CAATGTCTTATTAGCACTTGCAACACATCTACACGGAAAGAATATAGACAAAGGATTTATCAGAATCGATATGAGCGAGTTCCAGCATAAGGTAATCCTAAGAAGGATATGTTTATACGTAGTGCTGCTAAAATGACTAATCTGAGTATAGCATGATGTGTCGCGGTTCATTGGGTCCCCGCCTGGATATGTGGTAAGCTACTGTCATCACATCAAATGCGCTTTATTCTCTCATTCTCACTAATTCTTTTTGATGTCATCAAAAAGGGGTTTGAAGAGGGCGGACAGTTGACTGAGAAACTTAAAGACTGTAAGAAGTTACATTGCAGTAGTAGAGGAGGTAGGATTCAAACTAACAAGTATATGCCACTTCGATACATAGGTCCGAACGCCACTGTACTTTTGGATGAAGTTAAAAAGGTAATAATCATTTCTCGGTACTTGATATGGTCGAACCTTTTCTAGAGATCGGTGAGCTAACAAAATTGTATTTTTCAGGCGCGTCCTAATGTGTTAACAATCATGCTTCAATTGTTTGACGAAGGCCGTATTACTGACGGGAAAGGCGCCACCGTGGAATGCAAAGACGCTATATTTGTCATGACATCCAATTTGGCGCAACATCAAACTGCTGACGAAGCAGAATTGTTACGTCTTGAAGCAACGACCGATCACGACTCCCAAAGTACAGGAATAAACACTGAAGATGCCAAACAAGCTCGCGTGGCAGCCGATGAAGTGAAATCCGATTCAAAAGATGGTGACATCACATTATCAAGACGATTTATTGACCGGGTTATTTATCCCATTCTATATGATTATTTTGGAAGAGACGAGTTTCTGGGACGCATTAATGAAGTTCTATTCTTCTTGCCGTTCGATCAAAAGGAATTGAAAATCCAGAGAATTGATGCGATGGGCGAAAAAGGCCAAAAAACGACACAATATCACATTGACATGGAGCCTTGAAGCGGTATCTGGCAGAGTAAAAACTGCTTTAGCGGAGATGAAAAAAGATTTGGCGGTAAGGTTCTGACTGTTCTCACAAGTAAACAAGCCATAAGTTTCGATGTTGCAGGGTTATTTTTTTTGTCATGTAGCGAAGACACAAACATTCGAGGCGTGCATCAACATGAAAAATTGTCTTGAAATTCATGTTAGCACCCACATAAAGGAATGTAATATTAGGCTGATGTTTAGAAACACCGATGGGTGGAATAGAGGATTATGTGGCGTTTGTTGCTGACTCGCTTCGCTAAATTGTCAAAATACACACCAACCTCTAGGCGCACACCGTTGTTTCCAATCCTTGTGATAAACAGAGGTATGAGGGCACCACGTTTGTTGCATTGATCATATCCCTGAAATCGCAGTAGCTTTCTGATCGTAAAGAGCCCCACATAGACAGAGCGTCGGGTGTAATCTATCTTTCAAACCCACCATCATTGTCATAGGCTTTATCATGGCGGTCAAGCGATGATCAATTATTTCAACTAACTGCTGCAAATCAGAGAGTTCGTGAACGTGGAGAATGCAGCTGTAACGGATGGACCTATGTTGTTGCACATTCCATGACTCTGTAGCCTGATGTTACTTGTGGCAGTATCGATGATAACTCATAAACTTGTCCGCAGGTAGGTAAATAAAGTGATTTGGGTGTCTAAAAGGGGCCAGCACTATTTTTAGGAGAGCTATAGGATTCAACGGCCCGCAGCGGTACAAGGCCTAGCGGAGCTAAAAACGTCCTATTGATTGAACACGTTGCAAAAACCATTGGCCAAAAGACTTGTTTGGAGCTCATTTGGAAACTCGTTCAATTACCAGGTATTTGCCAACCCTTCAAACCACTTCAAAATGAAGGCTTTCCAGTGTTCACCTTTCCCCTGTCATTTTGGACAATGGTCATCGTTACTTTACACTTGTACCTTGTAGGTTAAAAAGGAAATACTTAAAAGTGTCTTACAAGCTGTATGTGTTAAAATTAGACAATTTTACCCATTAGGGCATGGAGCGGCAACAACAAAGTCCTCATTTTGTCTCTCGCGGATTTCCCGTAGACTGTTGCTGCTCACACATCAAAAGCACTCAAGGTTTTGTAAAGGCCATATTCAGTAAGCGTCCAGACATGCATTTTCCTGAAATGGTGAAAAGCTAGTGCATATTCAAGCCGCCTCTTGTATAACAGACGCTATGGCTAAACGGAAAGTATCGAATTTGAAGTGCTTTGTAGCGCACGTGGACTAAAAGTTAGGGGTGGGTCATCTCTAGCTCACGTTGCTACCTTTCAGTTGGTTATTCGAATGTTTGAGTCGTTTGGCATACGGGCTCTTTTGGTTTAAACACTATTGGGTGGCGCGCGGTTGACGAAAATGGATGGCTCCACTGAGGTGGAGTGGTGGACACGTGTGGTCATGTTCTCTCCGTACTGCCTTCGTTCCACACAAAGATGGTGGACAGTCTTACGAAAAAAACGGTTTTCATAGCTTCAACTATGACAGTGGTCAAATAGGCTGAAACAGACTAATGGTCTTGTTTTGGGAAACGAGCTTTGAAACAGTCGCGTATCGGCTTCACCTGTAAAGTCTTCGTGGCTTCCTGGAAGTATTGGAAAAGTGCGTGGACGGTGTCGGTGAAAGAAGAATAAGCTACTTGAATCTTCTGGGACTAAATTTTCATGTTACGTCGTACCATACTGTGGGTCTCTCGGGAATATGATTGCGCTAAGCGAAGAGTGTAAGGCGAGAGTTGCAGACGTTCGAACTGATGCAAAATTAATCAAGACTGTCAAATCAAAATCATATCACATCATTCAAATCAGACTGATTAACTAATCCTTTCTTGTGAGCGCATCACAACAAGATTGGGAACTCATGAGGTTGGTCTCTGTGTGTGCTACTATGTATAGACACAAATTGCAAAGGGTCAGACATCCTTTTACTAGGTTTATGGTGTAGCCTGAGACTTGTATATGAAACGTTTGTTTGCGTCCATACTGCCTGCGAGCGAAACATGGTTGCCCCTTGAAATTTTTTGGACGAGTGCCATTCTGCTTTCAAACGATGGAAGAGAACATTAGTGCAACAACCCCCATTTTGAACCGTGAATAGGAAGCCACTTCAAGTTCAATAGGTCCTCCATATTCCGGACTTAATAGCGTTGTTTTGATATCGTCCCTTAAAAAATGATGAGGCTTTGATGTTACATCCCACCGCTTCTAAGACAGTGTGTGTAAATGTGGTTTGACAAAGCGTTACATAACAAAAAGGGATTGCATTCCGGTATAAATGGACGGTCTCATTTTCATGCCGTTTTTACAACCTTTTTATCTCATCTCCAATTTAATCCTACACACTTGTCTCCACCCAATGGTTTCTGTGAAATTTGGTCTCATTGCCCTTTCTATCGTCTTGCAATCCACTCTGTCTCAAGCAAAGGTGAAAGGAAAATGGTTTGATTCCATTGGCATCATCATGTCTGAAAATGAAGACTTCCTGGTGACCATGGCCCAACAACCTTTTATCGACCTTGCCAGCAACGGTACCTTGGCTACCAACTACTTTGGATTGTCGCATGTGTCTGAACAAAACTACGTTGCTATTCTAGCTGGATGGTTGGATAGCGATATTTATCGTGGCGACTCTGGTACTCCTGCCAATCTTAATATCACCTACCCTACCATCTTGGACCAGCTGCTTGCTCAAGGATACACTGTTAAACAATACACTGAGTCGTATCCAGGAGGTTGTTATCTGGCAGACATGTACCCAGATGACCCTAATACTGCTTTGTATTACAAAAGACACTCTCCATTCAATATGATCAGTAAATGGCGTGGAACTCCTCTGTGTGAATCTCTCATTGGCACCTACGATGATTTTGCAGCGGATGTAGCCAACAACAACTTGCCAAACTACTTTTGGATCATTCCTAATGATCTGCATAACACCCATTCTGCAGATACATTTGTGGATGCCAATCCTTGGACGGCTGCCGAAGGCCCCAAGTGGCTCACTGCTGCCAAACAAGCGGACGCGCTATTTATCAATACATGGGATGAGTCCAGGTGCGATAACAACAAGTATCCATGCGATGGTGGTAAAATAGATCAGTTGGTTGCCACCATTATGTGGGGTCCTATGGTTCCAAAGGGTCAAAACACTACCAAGCGATGGGATCATTACTCAGTTGCTCGTACTGTTGAGGAAAACTGGGGACTGACTCCATTGAACTCAACTGGTGATGGAAATGCCACGGCCTTTGATTTCTTGCTATCCAATCCTTCTCTCAATGCCAGTACCACCAGCTCCACTCCCATGGGTGCCTCCGGCGCTTCAGCATCTTCTTCATCGGCTGGATCTGCTTCTACCGCCAAGTCCAGTGCTTTGGCGATCAAGCCTACTGTGTTTGGTGCTACCATCGCCATATCACTTCTCTCACTTTCCGCCATATTTTTGTAGATTTCCTACTTCTGCCCCATCATATCCGCAAAATTATGTATCAGTAAATACTCAAGTGTACTTTATTTGTATCCTAAGCGAGTTCCATTAATAAAGCATTCATTCCCAATACCGTAATTTGAGACCACTTTCCCTTCAGCATAACGGACAGTAAAAAATCTAGTTTCGTGACGCTGGCTGTGAAGATAGACCAAAACAACGGCCCTAAATTTTTTTAAATGCGAACCATGCGGTGTTTCATAACAAGGTATCATCGCCATGACTGGCCCGGTAGTCTTTTCTGCCATCACGAAGAGTAAATCGTTCTATGGCAAATATTTCTTTTAAATATTCCATCATGTGCTGTTTCTCCTCAGTGCCTCATTCACATGAGACACAACACTTTCGTGTTTTTGGTTTCTTCACAAATGCAGTATGACAAATTTCTACGCACCCATGTATAATGAACTGACGGTTATAGCATACGTGATGTTTATTGACAATCTGGTACGACTATATATATTGCATTCTTTTACATACCGAGATCTCCAGAGTCTCGGTTCTCTTGTGCATAACATGACTATTTGATGCTGCTGTGAGGTAAATATTTCTTTTTTTTACAAGCTGTCGAATACTTTGACAGCGTTGGCGGCGGTCGAATGAGCACTGGCGGGATTGGCACCAGTCACAACTCGACCATCGATTTGAGAAAAGTCATCAAAAGGATGAGCAGGAGCAACATACTTTGCTCCAACACCAGCCGCACCCTCCTCAATTGTTTGTACTCCAGCAGCCTTGATACGGTCCAAGACGTTCATTTCAACTTCTCCTTGGGTGGTGAAGCCGGTGACGGTCTTACCTTTGATGATGGAGTCACCGTTGGCGTCCTTAACGGGAGGAAGGATAGCAGGTCCGTGACAGACAGCAGCAACCACACCACCACGCTTGTAGATGTCCTCAGCAATGGCGATCAATGACTTGGCGGTGGGGTAGTCCCACAAGGTAGCATGGCCAGCCGACGCGAAAAACAAGCCATAGTCAGATGGCTTCAAATCCGAGGCTTTATGAAGGTTCTTCAGCTTGACGTTGAACTCATGGTTGGGGTCATGAAGGATTTTTTCATCATCGTCTGACACAAACATCTTGGCGGTAGAGTGTTCGTCGATACCATAAGTTCCAGTCTCAGAGGCTAAATCGACTTGGAAGCCAGCCTTGGTCAAGGTAAGGTAAGGGTGAAGAGCTTCTGTGTAGAAGAGACCAGTACGGGCACCATCTTCATAGAAGACGCCGTTGTAGCTGGTGATGGCGATGATAGCTTTACGAGGAAGTGACATAGTTAGAGAAACAAGGATAAAAGACGGTGATCGCTTTTACGATGGGTTTTTCTGATAAATGCTCGCCATCGGAAATTGAATCTGCATGACGCAGGCGTTTCGATATGTGCAGCAAGCGTGCATTTTAACCCAAAGACTACCGATCCAAATTCTACTACTTTCATATGGTACCTACTCACTCTAACAAAAATTTTCTACTGTCCTTGGAAGTTCGCCAGCAGGGCGGGTCCACCGACGACGACGCCATTCATTATAAAATTGTTATTTGCATAAAGCAGGTTTTGATATTTGATTATTTTTTAATGACAAATGAAAGTATAATACAAGGAGATTTAAAATTCCATGGAAACGGATGCTTCGGCTGTAAGGAAAATGGGAGTCAGTCGACAAAATGTGGTAATCGGCTTGAACCGTACTTAGTCTTACCTCGCTTGCGCTCTAGCGCTTCTTTCAACAGGCCATCGACAAATAGCTCAAAGGTTCCAATATATTCCTTAAGCGACGTTTTATCGTAATCTAAAGGCATTGTTAGATGCTTCATGCAAAGCCTAAGGTATCAATTCGCACACTTACCAGCCATTCGCTTGTCAGTCTCCTTGGTATTGGCAGCATTGTAGCTCTCCAATTCTTTGGTCAGAGTTTGCAACGTGGGGACCGAGAATGGATCGAATTGGTCACAGGTGTCGGGATTGATGGGTACGCACACTCGTTCTGCGAGCAAGACTTAGTGCTGGATTTAAAAAGTTATGGTTACATGCACTAGCCTATACTTACGAGTTTTGGGATGTACGCAAAATGGACTTTTCAGCAAATGGTTGATGTTAGTGGATACTTTATCGTCCAATCGCGGATAAGTATATTGGAAAATGATGTCCCGAGGTATCAAATTCAATTTGTCACCCTAAATAAGAAAAGGGATTAGCGCTAAAGTGTACGCCATTGTAGTGTTGGAAACTGCTTTCATACCGTCTTTCTTTTGGCATATTCGTTCTTTTCCAATTCAGTTCTGAGGTCATCCCATCGACTTTTACCCGATGCATCGGTGCCTTCCCAACGCTCAGCAAGTTTGGCTTGGACAGCTGGAAGTGGATTACATCAGTGATTCTGTCTTCAATTGCACTGCTTGGTATACCAAACACTTACCCTGGTCAGGAATGATATTTAAAATCTTTTTCCAACTCTTTTCGTCGTTAAATACGCCTTGATCCTTAACTACCAGTGGTAAAAAGTATTGTCTGAGAATATCCAGTGATCGCCTGTACATAGTAAATTGATTCATAATCAGCTGACTGGACAGAACAGGTAAACCGCCAACCATGGCCAAGTATGACGAGAAAAAAGCTTACGTCAATGATGGGTGAAGTGTAGCAGGTAGCTTAACCTTCCGTGACATCTCAGCACCTCCCTAAACAAAAAAAGTCAGCCATTTGAGCAGTAAATGACTATAGATCAACTCTGAAGTGACTAAACCAACCTTGACAACTTCCAGGTACGATACAATAGCGCTACGAGCCTCATTGTTCAATTTCCGAGCTCTTTCATCGCATACCCAACAATGGACACCTCTTCGTCCAGAGTACACCCATAGAATATGCTTGAAGCCGAAATCCTCTATTGTTGAAAAAGATAAGTTCACAAATGATACCTGTCAAGACTTTAAAGGTACATAGCTCTTCCTATGCATGTAAACGTACCTTTCAAAGCTGCGTGAATCACTTTGATAGCAACCGTCATGAATCCCCAGCATTTGTGACATATATCACCACCACTAAGAAGAAAAAACGTAATGTTTAGATGAAAGTCTGAAATGTAAGCATATATTTTGGTCAGCTCCCTTACCTGCAGCAAGTGCGTATCTCATCGTAGTCGGTCATATCAATATCAAACACCAGTTCTTTTTCAACAGGTTGAAATGCTTTAGGGTTGATGGTCTTTTTGTCTTTTGGTTTCGCAGTGTAAATAGCACCAATATCTATTTTGACAGGTTGTAGTCGTTCAATTTCGTTTCGAAGTTCTTCAGCGTCCGAGAATGAATTGTATCTCAAATAGGTGTCTGACGCCAAGGTAAAACTGAACTCTCTTTGGACAAAGTTCTTGTTAGGAGTGGTATCATAGTTAAGCCAATTGAAGTAAGTCTTGTAAGGAAAAAAGCGGTTGTAAAACGTTCGTAGGAGGATCACCGGGTCATTTTCCATAGCCTGCATTCTGTAGATCGTTCAGTGGTTGCAACAGAGAAGAAGGGAGGATCTTTTTAACAGCACTTACGAAGTCAATTTGGAGTTGAAATTAGATGCTGCCATAGGAAAACTTTTGGTTTTGAATCTGTCTGGCGTCGCTTGGTTGAGATGGACTTTGGACATGTCTCGATCAACCTCAGTCATGTCATCGTCCGAAAAAAAGTTCTGCTCAGCGGCATCCATGGCCATGATATCACTGATTTCGTCGTGAGCTAAGAGAAAAGTGCGTAAGACATTGGATTGCAAGTGATCGCTGCTTGGCTTGGGTCTTTTAGAGCATTACCTTGCACGTCTAACATTGCTGATTATTTTGTGTTTGCAAACCAACAAGTCGCGTCGCGTCTGTCGACTTTCAGGCGCGAATGGAAAAAACAGTCGGTGGCTGAAATTTTGGGCACACTTTTTAAAAAAAAGAAAAAAGTTTCAGCCATTGAGAAATAAAACATTGCTCGGACGGTAAGCCAAGCGGAAAAATCTCAAAGTAACGGTATTTTATGGTCTCATGAATCTAATGTTGCTTCTTTTATGAGAGCATGCTTTCATTTTTCATCACGAACTCTAGATAAGCGGTGGTACCGTAACTCAAAACGACGACATGTGACTTAAAGTTCCCGTGTCTTTCGCACCGAGCTAAATATTCGCTGAGGTCAGCTCTTTCCTATTTGTAAAACGGTTGCTTTATGGTAGAAACCGATAGAAAAATAGATGACAGCGGCAGGTACAAGCCGCATGGGATGCACGCATGGAATGGGACGCAACAGGCACAGAACGCTACGGCTTCCGAAACAGAAACCACGCCTTTGCTGTCTAAGGCAGCAGCCGCAAACCACGCTGGATTTCCTGATTATTCTGCTTTTTTCAAAGCAGTTGAAGTAAAAGTGAAGATTTTTTCCAAGTTTATATCGATTATATTAGCTGTTTCATGGGTGGTTTGGTACATCACGACTATTATCTCCATGTTTCGTCGTCAAGGTAATTCTGCAAACAGTATGCAAGCTTATTCCGATCAGTAGACAAAGTTTTTCTCACACATTCCCTCAGACCTTACAATGGATATTGCCAAAAACATTATCCTTGATACACCCAATAGCTTTAAGCTGCGCGAATACCTTGTCAACTACACCTCGGTAGCCCATGTTGCTGGAACAGAATCGGATCGCTTACAAGCCGAGTGGACTCGCGATAAGCTTGTTGAGTTCGGTATTAAGGATGTAAAGATCGAGACATACTGGCCGCTTCTCAACTATCCGAAAAGTCATCGAGTGGCTATCGTGTCTGGCCCAGAGCACTTGCACTATGAAGCTAAACTTCGGGAAGACGTTGCTCCCGGGGATGATACCAGCAAGCGACAGGACGATGTTCCAACCTTTCATGGTACGATGGTATGTTCGGTCTGTCAATATAGCTGATATTGCTGCTCATATACGTTATTATCATCCGTAGGTTATAGCAAGGGAGGCAATGTCACTGCTCCGATCATTTATGTAAATTATGGTCGTATTGAAGACTTCAGACTGTTGGCGTCACGAGGCGTTCAGATGAATGGAACCATTGCCTTGGTGCGATACGGAGAGAATTTCCGTGGACTAAAGGTTACTGCAGCAGAACAATTTGGATGTGTAGGAGTTTTGATCTACTCTGATCCTATCGATGACGGCCCTGTGTCCAAGCCCGGTGTTGAAAATCCTGCAAAACCGTATCCTGAAGGACCATGGTATGTGCCATATTTAGCATGAGATAATCATTAGTCAATATCTAAAGGTATAATGTAGGAGGGCTCGATCGTCTGTTCAACGTGGATCGGTTCAGCCATTTTCCCTTATGGCAGGAGATCCTCTGACTCCTGGATATGCTGCCAAGGAAAACGTTACTCGACTTGCCATAAATGAAACGATCGGTATCGCAAAGATACCATCTATGCCGATTTCTTGGGAGGATGCGGTACCACTTTTTAAAGCGCTCATTGGGCATGGACGAGTTATTGAAAGCTGGAAAGGCGGGTTGGACAATGCAATGTACTTTTATGGTCCTTCCGTGGCCGAAGTAAACCTAGTCAACGAGATTGAAAACAAGATCACTCCAATCTGGAATGTCATTGGAAGGATCCAAGGTCATGAGGAAGGTAGCAAAGCTATTGTGCTCGGTAAGCAGGAGTTCGTACGGGGAAGACTGTCAATCATGACATGAATTACTGGCTAATCTTACAATAGGCAACCATCGTGATGCATGGGTGTACGGCGCGATCGATCCTTCCTCTGGTTCAGCAATTATGGTAAGATATACGCGATCAGTCCAACGGCTTTACCCCATAGAATTAGCATCTAATTCAATTTACATAGCTTGAGCTGGCAAGAACATTTGGCATTTTGTTAAAGCACGGATGGAAGCCAAGGCGAACCATCATCTTTGCCTCCTGGGATGCCGAAGAATACGGCATGGTTGGTTCAACAGAATGGGTAGAGGATCACAAAGAATGGCTCGATAACGGAGCTATCTGTTACCTGAATGTAGACATGGCAGTTTCTGGCCCACATTTTGCAGCCACAGGCTCACCATCAATGAACCAACTATTGTATGAGATCACAAAGCAAGTTCCTGATCCCAAAACTCATATGTCCATTTACGATACCTGGCTCAAAGATTCTGGAGACCGTGTGAATGAACCCTTTGTCGGCACCCTTGGCTCTGGCTCTGATTATGTTGCCTTTATCGATCATGTTGGCATTGCTTCCGTGGATATAAGATTCACAGGTGAATTTGGTGTATACCATTCAAATTACGACAGGTAAAGTAAAGCTTCATGAGTAGCCTTCTTTTTGCGATAGCTGATGGCTCCCGTTCCGTTCTAGTTTATATTGGATGGACCATTTCGGCGACCCGACCTATCAGTACCATGTCGCACTCACACAAATTTGGGGCTTGATGGCATTTCACCTAGCTAACGACCGGTTACTGAAGATGACTGCCACACCATACGCTGCATTCATCGCTGAACAATTCCGTTCACTCAAGAGTCTATCCCCTTTGCGAGATTTCTCGAATTTGGAGTCGGCTATTAGGAACTTCATTGACGCTGCCGACATTCTAGATGCCCAAGTACTTTTATTAAAGAACGGCAGCGGAAATACATCCATCGGCGACGTTAACTCTAGGCTTAGCTTCTTCGAACGCCGGTTCATTGACCCTGAAGGTATCCAAGGTCGTGACTGGTTCAAGCATGTTATCATAGGTTAGTTGGCGCGATACATAGCTCTCATGGTGTCTTTCATCTCATTTTGTTTCCATTTACAGCGCCGGGGTTGTGGACCGGGTACGCGGCTCAAACGTTCCCGGCCATTGTCGAGGCCATCGAGAACGGGAACGAAACTGCGATTATGCATACAATGAACAGAGCAGCTTTGCACATTGAAAAAGCAGCCAAGTTCGTAGCAGGTCGACGATCTTTTCACTAGCGAGGCTGGTAGATGGACAGTATCAACATTTATTGTATGTGTTTTGCCAATTCTAGAATCTTTTTCACTTTTTTGAATTGTAAATGCGATCCCGTTAATATTGAATGAAACCAGCATATTGCAGTGATAAGAAAAAAAGGCGGGTGGAGAGAAAGTGGAGGGGAATATTGATCGATCTATTTCTTCTTGGCGGGGGCAGTGACGTTGAACTAAAGGGAAGAACATCATTAGCTTAATACCTAGCGTGCCATACCACTATTTTCATCAATCTTTACCTTGAAGTAGATGATATCACCATCATCAACAACATATTCCTTGCCCTTTTGCATGTACTTGCCAGCAGCCTTGACAGCAGCATCAGTTCCTGCTTCCTTAAGGTCATCATACTTCATAACTTCAGCCATGATGAAACCACGCTCGAAATCAGTGCTAGAATAGGGAATAACAAGTTAGAGATGATGCGAAATGATATAGATGTTTCCACATACCAAGGTTGTTAGCACTTACTGAATGACACCAGCAGCTTGAGGAGCCTTGGTGTGCTTGCGAATAGTCCATGCTCGGACTTCATCAGGACCACCAGTGAAGTAGTAAACCAATTGCAAAGCGCTGTATCCAGCAACAATGATCTTGGGAAGCATGGAAGGAACACCAGCTTCCTTCAAGGTCTCTTCCTTCTCCTCAGGGCTCTGGAGAGACAACTATGAAGACAGATCTAGGTGAGTGTGCGATGTCGGATGGGCCGTAATCGATTAACACTTACTGCGTATTCGAAGGCGACAGAGAATGGAATCATCAAGTCACCAGGAGTATTCTCATCAATCCATGCCTTGATCTTGGGCAACCTGTAACAACAGCATGTTACATCGCTGTTTTCGAATAGACTCGTACCAATCTCTTTCATTAATTGCTTACCACTTGTTCTTCTTGCGACGGTAATCCTTCTCGCTCAAGTTGGCGAGATAGATGACAGGCTTGGCAGTGATAAGGTGCATAGTGTTGATGACATCAACTTCCTTGTTGGACCAAACACCGTGACGGACATCCTTCTTGTCCTCGGCAACCCACTTGTAGACCTTGTTGATGATTTCCTATAACCCAACACCATGAGTGAGTGACATGAACATGTTCAATGAAAGAAAAACAAGTAGCCATTCTCACATATTCTTCCTTCTTGGCCTTGTCAGCGGCATTACCACCGTTTCCGAGACGCTTGACATCTCTCTCTCGCTCAGCAACCTGCTTTTGCAAGAACTCCTCATCCTTCAAACGAAGTTCTTCACGAATGATCTCGACGTCACGAAGGGGATCAAGTTCACCTTCAACGTGGATGACATCGGGCTCATCGAAAGCACGAATGACGTGGTAGATGGCATCAACAGCCTTGACATGGGACAAGAAAGCATTACCCAAACCAGCACCGGAAGCAGCTCCCTTGACCAAACCAGCAATATCGATGACGGTCAACTGCAAGAGGATATAGGTTTAGATCAAGTGATGGCAACAATATGGGTAGTAATGACGATCACTCACGTAAGCAGGGATCTCCTTGGCAGGCTTGTAGTGCTTGCAAAGCCAATCGAAACGAGCATCGGGAACAGCAACTCGAGATTCCTCGGGATCTAAAGGTTTGGATGAATTAGCACAAGGGTGCAAGGGCGATGACGTTCATGATGAAACTATACACACCAATGGTACAGAAAGGATAGTTCTCAGCAGCGGCGGCAGAGTTGGTGATGGCGTTGAAGAAGGTGGATTTACCGACGTTGGGAAGACCAACGACACCAATCTTAAGATTGTTGGAGGGACGACCCAAAAGAATCTTTTCTTCCTTAACTGCTTTCTTTGGTGGCATGTTTCTGAAATAGTAGGGCTGTTAACAATTGCTGCATTCCTTTTTGAACCATGCATTTAGGACACGCACCAGCTGTGAATGATTGAGAGACTGTTTCTACGGGTCGCTAGTGCCTTTCATTTTTTAAACCAGTCTGTTTTTTTTTTCAAAGTCACGTTCGAGAAAGGTAGAGCGTTGAACAGCCAATGAAAGCCTTAGCACGGGACCTGGACTTTTTTTTGAAGCCTGCACAGAGAAAACAAAAAATAGATTCCAGGGCCATCCTAACCACCTCTACACAATGCTCTTTAAGCACATTAATCAGGTCCAAGTGGCCATGTCACCATTCAACGTGTCATCACGATCAGCAAGGTACGAAATTGGCTTTGCAGCTAGCTACGTTTTCCTGCACCTGTTCTAAACCCTCCATTCTTTCTTGCACAGACTCTTCTTGAATCGAGTGCAAACTGATGCAGCAAGGAAAGCCAGCCCAGGGCTTAAAATCAATACACAAGTGCTTTCGGATCCAGCAGCTAAGTCAGTGATTGACATTGCATATCGTAAGTAGAAAATGCGTATGAGTATCAAATGATCATCGGAAAAGCTGACAGTAGCATTTTTAGGCGACGGGAAAAAGCTAAGCTTCCAAGCGGATGAATACAACATTGATCACATTATGAACATGGTGAATAAGCATGCGAAAAAGCTGGAGGAAATCGAGCAAGCTAACGCATAGAAGAACGAAACAACAACGAAGAAAATGTAAATATTCTACAAGTGTATGTTACTGCAGTAGTGAAAAGAAAAAAATTTAGCAACATACACAAAAAAAAAGAGAAAAATATAGAGAAATAGTTGGCGATAAGCGAGAATGGCCAATTGGTATCATCCTTCATGCAACTTCAGCCAGCTTTTCCAGAAGAGCCTTTTCTAATATGAATTTGCCTTCTTTGTATTTCTGACTTTCTTCAACCGCTTTTACCTGTGTGAGAGAGAGAGATATCAGTGAGTAAAGGCCACTGGTGTAGACTGCGGCATAAACAAAAACCTACATAGGTCCAGCCGACAATGGTTTTACATTTGGAGCATGCGATGTCTCGGACAGTATGTAATCCTGTAATCATGTTTCTCTCTTCCGATTCACCATGGTCGACATTGACTCTGAAAGCGAAAAAAGGTTACTTCAAGAAACGGGCTATGTTTTCACACAGGCGTTTAGTGAAAGCCAAATTTACACATATTTTATCAAGTACGCTTGGCCATGTTGCCCTTGAAATTGCTGAGTCATAAGGACAGTAAGCAAACGACCAGTTTAGAACAAGCAACCAACATGCACGTACTCGAGATATAATAGCATCGGTGGATGAAAGATGAGTTTTGCATTTTTTGCAACAGAATATGCCAGTCCCGTTGAGATAAGTTCGGTACTTTAGTCCCATGGAACAGAGAAGGATGGGCAGGCCAGAGGGGAGAAAGTAAGAAGGTATGGAGAAGGAAGAGAGAAGAAATATATAAACCGGTATAATGAGTGTCAAGTGATCCCAATGCAAAGGCAGAGCGAGCAGAGCAGAGCAGCAGAGCAACCAGCCAGCGGGACGTCATCCAAAAGCCGACAGACAGTATTTTTCTGCTCCCCCCCCCTTTTTTTTTTTTTTCTTTTCTTTCTTTCTTTGCATTCTTAGCAGGCTTGGCTTGGCTGCGACATTGGGATTTTATGTCGGACGACTCCTCTTTACCATCTTCTGGAAGAGGCTATTCGTTGACAAGGTAAACCATCCATTTTCTGGGCATTTTTTATTCGGCAAAAAAATTTGTCAGACCTACGCGTTGGAGGGAAAGACAAAGAAGCGAAAGGCCATTTAAGAAGCTATTTTTATGAACGTTGATATTGGCTGAACATATTTATATTTTTTCATGTCGCAAAATCCCCTTCAAATGAATGCCATTACTCATTTTTGAACATGTCTTTTTCCATTTAGAATGCTAGAAACAGCAGCTGAGGAAGGTGGGAATGGCGCAAAACCTAAAGGAATTTTCGCGTCTTCAGCTCACAAAAGTTCGGCTTTGCAATTTTTGAAACGATCGGTCGAGAATGCCAAATCAGCAAAGTCGAATGTACCGGTATACCCTTCTACTATATCATATGAGGACGAAGAAACTCCGTTGGATGACCCCGATACTAGTTCGACTGCTCGAAGACCTCGAGCAGATACTATGCCATCGCTATCCACCGAGTTTCCTTATACCGACCGTCAGCTTCCATACCTTTCATTGTCATTGTTACCCTCATCGACGCCAGCATCTGTTCCACCGAGAAATCGATCTGGCTCAGCTACGTTACCCCCTCCTGAGTCGTCTCAGGCTTTTCACTCGGGCATTTTTAGTTCCCCTTCATGGATTTCTCAAAATCAATATGTGACGCCTCCTACCCCTACTACCGATCAAATGATGAAGGAAGAATGTGCTGCCGATACCATTGCTAGCACCATGGCATCTCTCGGTTTGGATGATGAAAGACGGAGAGCGTCGTCGTTGCATCGATCCGGATCTTCGCCTGCCTTGAGAAACCAGCCACAGACAACCATGCATCATCATCCCTTGTTTCCTCCTGTTTCTGTGGAACCATCGGTTCATTCATCTACCAATTTGACAACCTCGCACCATCACCGTTCTATTTCTGGTTCATCTAATCAGTCCCTGACAGATTCCGATGCGTTTTACCTGAAGTCTGCCTCGTCTTCCTTGAGGACTTCAGCTGTACCGCAATATCTCACTCAACCAGGTGGAAGTCGCCCTAGAGCCATCAGTTTAGGCATGGCTGAATCAACTTCATTTCAGCAAGATGAAAATAACTTGGCACCTTCGTTATCTCCGTCACACCGCTATCACCGACATCCGGTGTGGCAAGCAGAATCGTCACGTATGCAAACTCGTCGTCAACATGGATTGAGAAATTCTTGCAGCAACTTGGATTTGCAGAACATGATGGGAGAATCTTCTTCATTTTCCAACTTTGCATCTTCTCCTAATCTAACTGAGCAGAACATCATGTACGATGAATGGGATACCGTAAGTTTTGGATCTGCCCTTAGCTTTGGGGTGCATTATCTACCACCACCTTTCTAACTCCTCTCTCTCTCTCAACCCTCTCCTCTTTTTTCACAATGACGTATATAGCATGTTTCCTCCGATCATGCCCAGTCTCTTTCCACATCACCTTCAAGCTCGCAAGCGCAGCAGCCAACTCGATCCTTATGGCTAGGAAACATTGATTCCTCCTTGACAGTGAATGATCTGACTCACTTATTTGGCATGTATGGCCCTATTGAGAGTGCACGTGTCTTGTTAGAAAAGGAATGTGCCTTTGTCAATTTTTTGCGACTGGAGGATGCATTGGCCGCCAAGGACGACCTTGTCAATAAGCTGAATTGTCGTATAGCCGGCCATACTGTCAAAGTAGGATTTGGAAAACCTGAGGCCATTGCTCAAATTGGTTGTAACGAACTTGGTGCCAACTCTCAAGGCCCTACTCGGGCTCTATGTAAGTGAAAAGTTACAATGATGTGAAATTTTTTTCACCTTGACAAGCGTTCGACGACTGACCGTAATTTATATGACCATTAGGGATCGGCAACTTGCCCAATGGTACATCTTCGGGTGCTTTAATGGCTGCCTTCGCCCCCTTTGGTAACATTGAATCAGCTCGAGTGCTTACCCATAAGAATTGCGGTTTTGTCAACTTTGAACAACAAGAGGATGCTATGCTTGCCAAGAAATCTCTTCAAAACAAGGATATTCCTGGTCTCGGTCCAGCTGCTCGCATTGGCTATGCCAAAGTTCCTGGCAACTCGACCACCTCTGCCATCGACATTGACGCCAATTCCAACCCTAGTAGAACACCACACTCATCGTTCACCTCGCACTCAGGACCATCCTCTTTACCACAAGCCACGTCGTCTATGGATGCCTACCAAACTCGCATGATGATGATGCTTATGGCTGAAATGGCGGGCGGAAATCCTTCCAACTTGGCGCAAGCCACTATGCTGGAACGACAATACATCATGAATGAGTTTGGCGATGAACCCAGTGATGGACCCCAATTTGACAGTAAGTGGTTGCAGCGGCGCCATTTGATATGATGATTTTGCTTCTGACTTTTTATTTGTGTAGCCGCCCCAACTCCTGTCACCTATTACCCAACTATTCCCACCGTCGTGGAATCAGGTGCAGGGCGCAAAATTGACCCAGTGCGCCTTCGCGACTTCCGTAAGCGACTTGATGGTGGTAATGTTACGTTCAAGGAGGTCGAAGACATTGCAGCGGATTGCATGGATGATATTGTGGATCTTTGCAGTGGTAAGCGGATGGTTTCTTGCAAAAAAAAAAAAAAAAAGGCTGGTATTGAATGTAACGAGTCGAGCAACTGACATTAAATTCATTGCATTGTGGTTATCTGTCTATATTAGATTATCTTGGCAATACCGTGGTCCAAAGACTCTTTGAGTATTGCTGCGATACCACCAAAACGGCCATGCTAGAGCAAATTGCGCCGTACCTTGGATCAGTTGGTATACATAAAAATGGCACTTGGGCGGCTCAAAAGATCGTGGAAACCTCAAGGACACCGGGTCAGGTATGATTGAATTTCGCACTCAGGCCGTTATCACGCTAGTACCTTCTCCTCATCCTACTTGTTTTTTCGCAGATCCATCTTATATGCTTCCATTTGAGACCCTATATTCCTGCTCTACTACTAGATCAATTCGGCAACTATGTTGTGCAATGCTGTCTAGGACTTGGACCTGATTTGAATCAGTTCATTTTTGACGCTGTCGTTGAAAAATGCTGGGAGATAGCTCAAGGTCGTTTTGGTGCTAGAGCTATGCGTGCTACATTAGAAAGCCCGCATGTCACCAAAAGGCAACAGGTAAATAAGTCACGGATGACTGCATGTACGGTCGGTCCAAAAAACTCATGTCTTCTCTCCTATAGAAATACGTTGCATCTGCCATCGTTCAGAACACCATCCTGCTGGCTACCAATACCAACGGAGCGTTATTGTTGACTTGGTTATTGGACACTTCGGGACTGAAGGACCGTTATAGCATTCTGGTGCCTAGAGTCATACCACACCTCGCCCATCTTTGTACGCACAAATTGGCGTCATTGACAGTGTTGAAGCTGATTAACCAAAGGCTGGAACCAAAAGCAAGGGACGAAATCATTCAACACTTGTTCTTTTCCGACAGTGACAATGTCATTGACGAAGTGCTTTTGGATCAAGTTCATGGTGTCGCGCTTGTTCAAAAAATCCTTTCCACCTCGTACATTGAGCTGCACGAACGTCAGCACATCGCTGAAAGGTCTAAGCAAACGTTGTCCAAGCTCAAAGTTCAACATGTACAAGGATACAAGCGACTGGTAGAGGAGATCAACATGGTCATGGGAGATTCGACTGGAGCCGGGTTTGCTGGAGTTCCTGGTTTTGCGGCTCCTTTTGCTCTTACTCCGGAATTTGCCGCTGCACTGCAGGCCAAGTACCTTGCTGCTCAACAAAATTCTGAAAATCGATTCAGCGTACCTGAGCAAGTGGAATCAAGTAGCCAGTATCCCAACCTGGATACCAATATGCTGAAAATGATGATGACCAATATCTTCCAGCAAGCCGGTTACCTTGGAGGAGGTTCATCCATGCCATCTAGTGATACTGAACAAGATAAGGTAGCCGAGGACAAGGACACGTCAAACTAAAGTACTCTTGGCTTTGTATGATGGCAACAACGTAATTGCAAATCTACACACACGCCCGCCCCACTTCGCTCTTATATATTCACCATTTGAAAAAAAAAAACCCCCCCCCCACACACACACAGGCTTTTTGTATTCCATTCTTTCTGTTCAAACCTGTGAGATGCATATACATTCTCAAAACACACACACACACATCAAGCAACCCCCAATTTCTCTCTTTTTTCTTTATACCAAGGCATGATCTTTTCTTTCTTTCACCTGAGAAAGTGAAGCATTTTTTCAATTGTTTGCTCGTTCTTTTTTTTTCGTTGTTTACTTAGACGTACCTTGTCGCTTTTGTTCTTGTAGGAGGATTTTTCTTTTTCCATGTAGATGTTGACTCATTTTGTGCAAATCTGTTTCGCGGTTTCTGGATAATCCAGCAACCGTTTTCTGTTGCTTTGCTTTACTTCATTTTCAACTTTGGGCATTACTTTTCTGACTGAAAGGCGCATTAGACCTAGTCGTCAATACAAAAATAAAATCAGACACCCCTCGTGGTCATTCAAGTCAAGGGGTTTATTTCTAAGTAACACATCATGGCCACCGCCATCTTTTGTACAGACCAAACAAAGTGTTGGGTGGTGTTTCTCATTGCAAAGAGCATGAACGATGAGCAATAATTAAAAAAAAAAAACAGGGAGGGTGTGGTGGTGGTTCTCTAATACTCGACAACGCAGAGTTTAACCCATGACATATTAGAGAGGAAAAAAGAAGATATGGAAAAACGGCAGGGATGGGGTTGGAGGGACGCGAATGTATCTTACACAGGTTGGCAAGGCAAACCAAGAAGGTGGTATCATGCGAGAAACTTTGGAAAGAGGGTATCGTAGCGGATTCCTTCAACAAGTTTACCATGCAGCCCTCAACCTTGCTTCGACCGAATTGCGATGAGACCTAAGGAAACCGATGGAATCAGTGATATGGTGGATGGGGGATGCCAGTGTTTAAAGACTCTCACCTGTTTCGCAAATGCACTTCAAAGTTCTTCAGTGTTTCATTAGGTCCAATCGTGTACAACTTATTGGGACAGTCATAGCAAAAGACTTTGTAGTCGCCGTTGTCTAACTGGACGATATCAAACACGTCATGAGGATTTCGAGTTTGTAATATCCGCTTCTTCGATGGCATCCAATCCAGCAAATGCTGCAAAATGCACACACAAACATTTGGTTAATACCATGATAGCTTCCATTGTTCAGTGATATCCTGTTTACCTTGGCAATGGTGGCTCCTTCAGGCAACTCAGCCTCGGGTTTCGGGACATTGTGTGGCACAGGTGTAGGATATAGACTGGTAGAGTCCATGTTGGAGGTAGCGTAAGCGCTGGGTCCATTGATGTCGTGTCCATGACCATCTCGTATTGAATCTCTCATGCCCGACGTTTGGTATGGATTGCCACTGTTGACTGAGTAACGCCCTACAGAGTATGAGCCAAGACCATCGTTCATTTGGATACCGTTTTCCAATTGAGCATTAGTAGGCACAGGACTGAGAGAATCGCGATAACCTGACATGCGAGCCTCGGCAGCAATGTTCATACGAGCCTTGATGGCGCTCTTTCGTCCATACCAGCTGCTTTCTCCGCCTCGTCCATTCTCTGCGCCAGCTCCTAAACCACCCTCTTCATTGGCATCGGTCATTTGTGGTATAGCCACGCCAGTGCGATGTGTTCGTAGTGATTCCCGTTCAGGCAGGTTAATACCGCGACGGCTACTTCGGTTTTGCCTCCTCTTCCGTCTAAATCATGCAAGGAGGAGTTAGCAGCGTACATGGCGGATATTCGCTCTGCTGTCACAGCGAGTGCCATAATTCACGTCTGCTACTTACCGGAATTCACGAAGTTTTTCACGCTCAATTCTGTCAAGTTCAAGGTCGCTAATTTCCAAAAGCACAGGGGTGAATTTTTCTGCTATCAGGGGATCTCGGAGCAGACTTTTCAAATTAGGCAAAAGTTGATTTTTGACGCGTTCGCTTAAATAGTTTCCATCGTAGTCCTGGCCGATCAAGAGCGACTTGAAGTGTACATAGACTTGTTCTCGGATAGAATGTGAGATGGCCGATCTAAACGTCAATGATGCATTAGAGCCATGGTACGGTACAGGTTTGATAATGGCCTACTTACTTGAATTCTCCGCCTAGGCCGAGCTCGCTGACAAGCTTTTCAGCAAACAACTCGGGGCTGTCGCTTGAATTTTCAATGCTCCATTCAAATTGATCGACCAAAGATATGTTGCCGACCGTGATGTCCAACTGCAATAGTGTTTTCATAATTAGCATGTCACTTCAAACATGGTTGGTACGTGCTTGCTGACTAACCTTGATTATAATTCGTAGTTCCTCCTCGGTCGAAGTACTCGGAGCAGGTTCACTTGGTGTTGTCAGACTCTCACTTACAGCGGGTTCGGTCGCTTCTGCCATAACTTGATCGTTATCTGTGGTGACACCATTAGGTTGCTCAACCACATCGGCGGCCTTATTTTCTTCTGGTTCCTTGATATGAGAGTTTGGGGAATATAAATGATACTCTTCCAACTGCTCTCGAATGGACGCGACAATGGCATCAACAAATTGCGCAGGCGGTAAATGGAGGTCTTCACAAAGTATATCAGCAAATCGTTCGGGTGTCAGCAGTTTCTCTGATGGGAAGGAGGGAAGTTTAGAGGAGGGTTGGACAAGTGGCGATATGGGATAGGCACATTACAGGGTAAGCAAATAGTACATACCATTCAAATTCCAAGTGAACGTATCACGTAGCTGATATCCATTAGACTCCATGTCTATTCGAACAGGTACGAGGACATCTTCTTGATCCGCTTGAGCAGAAATTGCGCGCATATTTCTACATACAATTGGGTCAAAAACACGGCGACGAACGAGAAAAGAACGTCCACTCCAGTACTTACACTGTATAATTTGTCATTCTCCGTTGTTTTCTTTTCTCTCGAGGATAGAGAATTGAATTTTGTACGGGGAACTTGCTATTGCCATAGCCTTTGTAGCCAGGTCCGAAAACGTTCAACCCCTGGTGTCTAGCCTTCTTTTCCATGGAAGCAGCTTCTAACTGAGCTTTCTTTGAATGAGCTAGCTGCATGTGTCGTCTATGTTGCACTTCTAATGACCTTTGATACACTTTATCACGGTGCAAATATTGTTGTAAGTTTTTCTCTTGAAGTTCACTGTTGACATTGGTGACAGGTAACTTTTTGTACGGATCAGGTCGCGTAGCAAGAGGTCCTTGAAAAGGTTTGTTAAATACTGTTTTGTCTGAATTGCCTTGAGCAGCACGTTGTTGTTCGGATTGTGGTGGAGTATTGATAGCAGGATCGGATGAAGGCATGACGTCTGGAAACTGCGGTGGAATATGTCCAGCGGCTGTCAATGGGATGAGAAACAGGAAGAACCGTGATTAGAAGTGAGTTGTATATTGCTGTTATTAAAGAAATGGGCATTTACCTCTCTGCTGGAATTGCATTGCCATGGTTGGGTCCATATTATTTTGCAAGGTACAGGGCTGGATGCGTGGATGAACGGAGAGCAAATGTTCACGAGAGAGTCGGATTGAAGTGGGCTTTTGATATTTCAAGTATGTACAAAGGGACCAACGTGTCGAACCTTTAACGTACGTGAAAAAGGGCCAATAGACCTTTTGAAATGCAAAACAGTAGGGCCAAAGCTGGATTTTTGAAAAGCAAAAGCAAATTCGCCAAACCAAGCGATTGAGTCACGTGAACACGGTCGAGACTGCTAAACGGCCGGCCATTGAAATTTTTTGGGTGATTGAAGGCACAAATTTTTCCAATCGTATTACTGATCACCACTGTTCTTTAGTAAAGAAATGGACTATAATCCAGTAGTAACCGAGCAATTGATGTAAGTAGGCAACTCTAGGCTTTGTCAATTATGAAATAGTCCTAACGTTACTTGTTTGCATTTTTAGTTTGGTACATATACTTTGCTTTGCCACCTGCCAGTTTGTTCCCGTTGTTTCTAACCTCTCGTTCTTACTAATCCTCTACAGTGCCCAGGATGTGGTGCTCCCACTCCTCCCAATGCCGCCAACATGTGTGTCAACTGTATTCGCAATGAAGTCGACATCACTGAAGGCATTCCTAAGCAAGTCACACTTCACTTTTGCCGAAACTGTGAACGTTACTTGCAACCTCCTCAAATTTGGGTCAAGGCCGAGCTTGAATCAAGAGAATTGTTGGCTCTATGCTTGAAGAAACTAAAGGGTCTCGGTAAAGTTAGATTGGTCGATGCCGGTTTCATATGGACAGAACCACACAGTCGAAGAGTCCGAGTGAAATTGACAATTCAAAAGGAGGTAAGTCAGATGTCAGCTTGGAGGGAACTGGATCAAACAAATGGAAAGCCTAACAAAAGTGGCCATTTTATTAGGTTTTTGCAAACACCATTTTGCAGCAAATTTTCGAAGTAGAGTATGTTGTGTCTTATCAACAGTGCGAGGAATGTACCCGGTTAGCTGCCCAGAACACATGGAAGGCTATTGTACAAGTTCGTCAAAAGGTTGAGCACAAGCGAACCTTCTTATACCTCGAGCAACTTATTTTAAAGCACAACGCATACAAGGACACCACCAATATCAAGGAAGTTCGTGATGGTATTGATTTCTACTACGGTCAACGTGGTCATGCTGTAAAGATGTTGGAATTCCTTTCTGCCGTCGTGCCAATCAAGTACAAAACAAGTGAACAGCTTATCTCTACTGATATTCACAGTGGCTCAAGCAATTACAAATTCACATATTCAGGTATGTAGGAGATCCATTGAGCACCAAAAGTATTTCGATTTGAAATTTACACTGTTTTCTCTAGTTGAACTTTCTCCTGTGTGTAAAGACGATATTGTCTGCTTGCCACGGAAACTTGCACATAGTCTTGGAAATATAACACAATTAGTCATTGTTACTCGAGTTGGAAACTCTCTACACGTCTTGGATCCCAACAGTTTGCAAACCGCCGATATATCATCCAATGTCTACTGGAGAGTACCATTTACAAGCTTAGCGTCCATGAAGAACATGATAGAGTACTATGTCTTGGATGTAGAGCCTCTTGGTCCTGTCCGTGGAAAGAATGTTTTGGCGGATGTTCATGTTGCTCGTATGTCTGACTTTGGACGCAACGATACAGCTTTCATTGCTAGATCTCATCTTGGTGGTCTTTTGAATCCCGGTGACTCTGTTATGGGATACGATCTTTCTCGCAGCAACTTTAACGATGACAACTTCAACGCTCTCAATCAAAACGAATTGACCGATGTCATCCTTGTCCGTAAGGCGTATCCCAACCGTCGCAAGAAGACCAAGCAAAGAAGCTGGAAGTTGCAGCAACTTGGCAAAGAAGAAGAGGAGATGCTTCCTCGTAAGCAAGACCAAGCTCGTATCGAGAATGATCTTGAATTGTTCATGCGTGATCTTGAAGAAGATCCAGAAATGCGTTCCACTATCAATATTTTCAAGAACCAAGTTGTGCAAGAGAACAAGGATATTAGCATGGATGATGAAGAGGAAGACTTCGAAGAGGAAGACTTCCCTGAAGTGTCTTTGGAGGAAATGTTGGATGAAATGAATCTCCAGGATGGAGAACCAGACGAAGAATTTGTAGACGAGGATGTCATGATGTAGATTTGATATTCCTTCACTGTAAATTACTTTTTGTCTTTTAATAATCTTGCATTTTGTTCCATCAATGAAAAATTATATAAACTGTTTGGTAAAATCATTTCACCATTTTGCACCATTCGTTGGGTATGAGAAAAAATGAAGCGCAATGAGAGACCTTGTTTTGATGGCTATGTAGATGTGTTTTAACAGATCCAGGTAGGTTTTGGTATAAGACGTGCTTGCGGGTGTAGTGCCAGCCAGCCATACTCATAGGAAGCCCTCTCAGAACATAGTGGGACCAATTGTCTCCCGAATGTAATGATCTTTTGGTTTATAAAGACCTCTCCTCCAAATCAACTACGGTAACGCTTGCATACAACGCAAGTTTATGGATAACAAATATACCACGATATAGGAAATACCAAATTACAGAGATGGCAGTTATTTTTATGGCCTTTGCATGATGGTCATTCTTTATGTGGTCTTTGCACTTAATTTTTAACTTGTATCTTTACACCGTTCTCTGAGCCTTTCAGCAGACCGAAACCGATAGCATCTTTTTCAGAATCAAACACTGAATAAAAAGCGTGGGTGAAGGTTGTACCCAGGACCCAGTCATGTTCAGAGCTGCCTCGACGAATTTTTGTATGGCAGCAATTTTGACCGGAATCCGTTACGCCTGTCCACACATCTGCAGGAAGCTCGACAGTAATAGAATCAAACTCGAGAATGAGGGGCGGAAGACTTTTCAATTTGCTGCACTTGACAGTATATGTACCGGTAGATTGCTGGTACACTGCTCCGAATTTTTCATGAAAGCAATCCGCTGCAAGTGGAATAAGAATGAATGTGTGGTTAATCTCATGAATAGTATCAGCCTTTCATTGTTCTCCAGAAGCTTACCTTGTGAAGGAGGCAGGGTAATGTAGGGGCTTGATGAACTGATGGAGGCAATGGCATATTTGTATTGATGTAGCCTTAACTTGTCACCAAACTCTGCCTTTTGAAGACAAATGTTCCATCCTTTAACTTCATTTTTTCTTGGTGACGATAGTGGTAAATAATGTATGTCCCCATCAATTTTCGTTTGATCAATTCCTCCTATAGTATAAAACGTTAGAATAAAACCACTGTGTCTTTTCCAGCAATTCATACTCTCGCTTCGACTCACCAAAAATGAGCTGACCTACAGGAGCTTGCTCATACAAGTGTTGTCCACGTTTGATAAAGCCCGTGGCTGCTGGATATTGTTGTTGTGGTGAAGGCGGATTGGGGATCACGTTGTTGTTTTGCGGCGCTGCTTGCTGAACTGGTGCAGGTGCTGCAGGTTGTGCAGGTTGCGCTGGTGCTGGTGCTGGTGCTGGTGCGGCTGGTAGCGGTGCGGCAGTAGTGGGCTGGACGACTGAATTTCCGGAGGTACCTCCTCCAGTAGTAATGTAGATGGAAAATTGAGGGCTGCTAATAAGACCTAGTTGGAAGGCTGCACTGAGGAAAGTTGAGGGTGCTCCATCTCGTTTCTGTAAGCCTTTGGTGGAAATTAGTATGATCAACTCGCTTAACGGAAGTCAACTCAATATACAATCAAAAATTACACCTACTTGAAGAAGCTGTTGTATGGTACTTTCCATTACCAAATTTGACGGCAGGACCGAGGCCAAAGTACCCATCTATTTGTTAGAAAGTGCGATTTAGTAAAGGTTTAAGGAGACAAAGTTGCAATATCAGGAGCAGTTTCTCCTTCGCAAGTGCGGTATTCAGCTTCTCTTACCAAATCCGTGATCAAAGCCATTCATACGATTGGCTACACCGAAATAGGAGTGTGGGATTTGAACGCCTGCAAATTCTACAGTATCCTTCCAAACCTTGGTATCGACGCATGCATCCCCGTAGGAAACACTATGACGAAGTCCCGTATATTCGATTGACCTGGATCGCCTTGTATAAAATGTGCATCGGTCGAGGCAATTTTCGGACTTGCACTTTTTGTAGAAAAAGCATGTTCTTGTTACTGATGAAAACCTGTCAAACAACAAAGGGGAAATTATACCTGACTTCCTCGTGCCCACGTATAACCTGAAGCTACAAAAAAAATGACGTTAATTATCTAGTTCATGCCATATTAAATTTAATAATTTATCTTACTAGTATCAAAAACGAGCTTCATTTTTTGCGGAGGGTTGCCAATGAACATTTCGCCTGCAAGCTGTACGTCGTTTGTCGTTAATGAGCTGCTTCATCAAATAAAACATATATTTTACTACATACTAATCCGTCATTGAGCTCTTCTCCATTTGCGGCATAGAATGGAGGTATTGTTCGCTTGTAAAGAGGGACGGTGATGTTTCTGGCGACAGCGGGTGAGATAATGAAATGAAGGGCAGTTGCTAGATAAATGATAGATCGCCACATTGTGGTTTTCGATTGGGTTGTCTAGCGTTTTCGCAAGAGGTATGCGCTATATGCTTAAATGAGAGGCAAGAGAAGATGAGATCAGATCAAGCCTTTGCCAAGGAATACTACTTTTTAATACTCTCAACATCGTAGGTGAGGAGATAGGGGGCTTGTTTCATTTTCAAGGAGATTCTTGAATCAAGCTTCAAGTGAGTCGTCAATGTTGTTCTTTTTACGTTTTTGCGATATTTCTTGAAGGGATCAATTTTTTCAGGAGCCAGGAAAAATATCCTACCATTACCCGAACGTCATAGTCGGATTACTAGAGCCCAATGCACACCCCACCCTTTGATTGGTATGCTACTAGTACAATAGAAAGACATTCAATGTGTAAGGAGAGTACATGGAACTATTTTTTTTACCCAGAAAAAGAACTTGAAATTATGATTGCCTTATAGGTGAATTATGAAAAATAGTTCATATGGTATCCGACAGCATGTAGTGCAAGTAATGTCATATACCAAAGATCAAGCGAGCGAAAGGACTGCCTGAATTACTTTTTTGAAGCAGGTCATTGTGACATGAGCCAATAGCCTTGTTTAAAGGAAGAACACATTTTAATTTTCATATTTTGGGATAATTTGTCATAAAATGGTGTTGACCCAAGAATAAAACCTCTTATCCATCCAGGCAGGGATGTGCTTAGATACCAACTGAAGGGAGGCAATTACAATTTCAACAAAATAGGTAGTCGGTTAAAGATTTTGGCTTGACTCTTCTTTTACAATTGCCTTTTAACAAATGGTACGTCTAACAACTTGAGTCGAGCAATTTGTGCTTGCTCCTTGGATGCTCAGGCCACGTGAGATCTTTTGGATATAATTTCTCCAGAACCCTTTCCTCATTATAAAGATCCAACCTCGATTCGTAGCAACCAATGTAAAGTATGGTGGTCCTTATTGACGGCATTAAATACGCTTGGTAGGTTCACATGACACTGGTATGCGGTGGATTCAGCCCTTTGATGCTTACCGACAATTTAGCCAGAGTTGTATTAAAGGCCACAGAGTGGCTCAATGTCAGCACAAGGAGCGGCCCTTACAGCCATTGCAACGCAAAGGACGGCCGATCAGCCAGTGCAATCATTGTCGCGGAAACCGATTGAAAAACAAATCGCACGTCAAATGCACCTGTGCTATATCTTCAGGTATATACGATGTCTACTCCGCCATGCTTCAAGCTTGCTTATACTGACTGACTCCTTTAACAGTACCTAATCCTATAAACGGTTGCATGTGCCATGTCATTGATCTATGCACTTGCGTCTCGTTTGACTTACAAGATACATCTATCTCGCCCACGTCGCCTAATTTAGCCAGAGACAGCAAAGTCGAAAAGTTAAGCCCAACACTCGCGCAACATCCAAACACCGATGATAGTGGACCACCGTCAGTGGTAGATCAAGATGTTTGGAACACTGTGATGGGCGACATTGATATCATATGCGATAACAGTTCTCGATTCCCAATGTAACGTCAGCTTCATTTGAAAACAATACATGACAAAAAAAATATAAAAAAAAATTGTACATTAGAAGAAAATCGGTTGAAGGAGACGGAAACGGGTAGTAGTAATAAGAAAGCTAATACAGATCGGTCTCCATGTAATCTACGCTGAATCCTCGGTCGTGCAATGTTTGGTTCTTGATTTTTTCCCGCTTCTGCTTTGATTCCAATTCCTCGCGCTGTGCAACGAGGATATCCTCAACTGGCACTTGTTGTAAGTTTGTGAAGTCTTCTCTTTCAGGATCCTATGAAAGTTGTCAAGTTTAGACGGCTATATTCACAGTACAGGAAACGACATCAAAATGGCCATCTTACGATTTCTCCCAAAAGAACAACGTTCTCTCCTCGAATTAAAAATATGCCACGAGGTATATCGCCGTAACAGTTACCCACATATATTCTTTCAATGGTATCTTGTAAAACCAAGTTTGCTGAAAAGAAGCATGAGTTTATGGTACAAGAAGTACATGGCGCAAAAAGTCCAATGTGGTAATCAATGCGTGAAAAATGGCATACCAAATTGGTCGAAAGATCGTAGAATGCCTATGAGTTTGCGGCCATCACGTAGAACCACCACTAGTTTTTCTAAAATTCGATCGGATTAGCAATGTAGTGGGGATGCAAAGACATACACTTGTAGCTGAATAACCTACTATCTACGCTATCTACAAGGCCCGTTGAGGTTGTGAAAAATGGGCCACTAGCTCCTGAATTCATTTGCGGTATATGGCTTGCTAGCTCTAGCTGAAAGATTGGCCCTTGAAGACGTTGAGGATGAAAAAGTCACGTGGACATGTAGGGAAAGGCGGGACTGCTAAAGTTTTAACCTCCCCTCTTTTTTTTTTTTTTTTCTTCTTGAGAAAGTTTGCTGTGCTCGATCAAGACAATCCACTGGTCGTAAATGCCGCAAAAAAGAGACAAAAAGTCGTCCAAGGGTACATTACAGTTGTCTTGCAATTATGTATGTTGAATTGTTACAGCCTACTCACATCACTATACAGGACGTTTGGACAAGTACTATTACTTGGCTAAGGAACAGGGTTATCGTGCTCGTTCTGCTTTCAAGCTGGTGCAATTGAACAAGAAATATGGATTCCTGGAGAAATCTCGAGTGCTTATCGATCTTTGTGCTGCACCTGGTGGTTGGTTAGTGTCCTGTCATTTGATTCATATATATATCAACTTTTTACATCAATTAATCTTAATTCATTCCGTCCTGTAGGCTCCAAGTCGCAAGCAAATACATGCCACAATCCAGTTTGATTATCGGTGTGGATTTGGCTCCCATTAAACCTATACCCAATATTGTTACATTCCAAGATGATATTACTACCGAAAAATGTCGACAGAACTTGCGCCAAGAAATGAAGACATGGAAAGCAGATGTTGTTCTCCACGATGGTGCTCCCAACGTTGGTACAGCATGGACACAGGATGCTTTCTCTCAATCCGAGCTTGTATTGATGTCGTTGAAGCTCGCTACTGAGTTCTTGGTCAAAGGAGGTATGTGCAGCCAGTGTGTTTGAGATTCATTTTGATGGAAACAAGAGCTCATTGTCGTACTTCATTTAGGAACTTTCGTCACCAAGGTTTTCAGATCCAAAGATTACAACAATTTGATTTGGGTTTTCCAGCAATTGTTCAGAAAGGTTGAAGCTACAAAGCCTCCTTCCTCACGTAACGTATCTGCCGAAATTTTCGTTGTCTGCCAGGATTTTATTGCGCCAAAGAAGTTGGATCCTCGATTCTTGGATGCTAAAGCCGTCTTTGCTGAGTTGGAACAAGAAGAAAAGTCAAAGCAAGTTGATATTTTCCACCCCGAGGTATGTCATCAGGGAATATGAATGTGGACCTTATATGGTTACTAACATCCCCTTCCTACCAGAAACGAAAACGTCACAGAGAAGGTTACGAAGATGGAAACTATACCATGCACAAGAAGGTTGATATCATGGAGTTCATCACAGCACAGGATCCTATTCTTGTATTGGGTTCATACAATCAATTTGTCTTTGAGTCCGATGAATCTAAAGTGTAAGTCATAACTATCACAAAGAATCAATGCGCTTTTACTTCGTTCGGCATCTAATGTATATTGTAACACTAGATTGCTTAAACATGAATCGACAACGGAAGATATCAAAATTAACGTGGAAGATTTGAAGGTCCTCGGCAAAAAGGACTTCAAGCAATTGCTCAAGTGGAGATCATCAATTCGTGAAGAACGCAAGATGGACAGCAAGGCAGAAAAGGCCAAAGTAGAGACCGCTGAGGTAGAGCCTGCGGATGATGATGAAATTATCGAAGCCGAACTTGCCAATTTGACAAAAGAAGAGGCTGCTCGTGTCAAGAGAGCTCGTCGCAAGGCTAATGAAAAGAGAGCCAAGACATTGCAGCGCATGCAGCTTAACATGGTCGTTCCCGCTGATATTGGTATGGAACAAGAAGGCCCATCTGGCCACCAAAGTCTCTTTGGTTTGTCCAAGATCAACAAGCTTGGCGTAAGTATCACACATCCAATGTACATATGGCAAACGAGCGAGAGTTCTCATCCACAATTTCTATGATAGGCTCTGCAAGAAGTGCGAAAGGGTGACATGACACTTGTCGATAATCTTGAAAGCTTCGATGACGATGTTGACTATCACGTTGACGAGGTTGAAACCAAGCCCCGTGATCCAGATGAATATGTCGATAGCGACGATGGCGATTTTGAACTCGAAGATCAACTTGATGCTATGTACGAGAATTACATTGAGCGACAGTCCGAACGTGATGCCAAATACAAAGTCAAGAAAATGCGCGCAAAGGAGAATGAATGGAAGGGATTCGACGCTCAAAAAGATTCTGACGATGAAGAAGATGGTGACGACAGCGAGACAGGCGAGCGACGCAAAGACAAGGATGAAGATTTCAGCGACGACTCTGACTCGGAGTCGGATGAAGAACCCATTCCTACTTTGCCCAAGAAGAAATCAAAGAACCCACTTCTTGTCGACTTGAGCAATGAGGAAGCTGAAATGAAGATGATTACCAAGACCGGATTGACCAAGAAAGCTGCCATGTTCTTTGATCAAGATGCTTTCAAGGGCATTGAAGGTATCGACCTTGATGGAGACGATGATGATGAAGAGGAAGAGGAAGATGAAGATGAAGATATGGCCGAACTTGACGAAGATAGTGAGCAAGAAGCTCAAAAGGTGCCTACCTTGAATGGCAAGAAACGCAAAGCTGAAGAACCTCTCGAAGAAGATGACGATGAAAGCGATTTTGAAATCGTTGCTGGAGCTCCAGAAGATGAGCTGTCTCAAGATGAAGCCTGGGATGGTAAAGAAGATAAAAAATCAAAGGACGTTAGAAAGGCTCAAGGTAAAATTCATCTCATGCCCTCTTTCCCCTAGCAAAAAAAAACACAATTGACTAACATCCTGTCTTCTCCCCTTAATAGAAATCGGTCTGATTACAGCAGAGGCCATGACATTGGCTAAACAGCTCGCCAATAAGGAAAAGACGAAACAAGATTTGATTGACGAAGGATTCACAAAGGAAGCTTTCCGAGACAAGCGGGCATTGCCTCAGTGGTTCTTGGATGATGAAGATAGACACAACCAGGTCAACATTCCTGTCACGAAAGAGGCCATTAAAGCTGTTCGCGAAAAACTCAAGGCATTGGATGCTCGACCCATTAAGAAGATTGCCGAAGCAAAGGCAAGAAAGAAGTTTAAGGCCAACCAGCGTCTAGAGAAGGCTAAGAGGAAGGCAACGGACATTGCTGACAACCCGGACATGTCTGAAAAAGAAAAGGCTACATCTATTGGCAAACTGTTACAAAGAGCCACCAAGGCCAAACCCAAGAAGGAGGTCAAAGTGGTTGTGGCCAAGGGCAGCAATCGTGGTGTTCAGGGTCGACCTAAAGGAGTTAAGGGACGTTATAAGATGGTTGATTCTCGTATGAAGAAGGAGACTCGAGCGCTTAAGCGGATCGCTAAAAAGAACAAGAAAAATGGCGGAAGAAAGAAGTAGACCAATAGCATTTTACACGGAGTTTAATTATCGCAATAAAAAAAGAAAAAAAAAAAATGAGAATAATACTTTGTCCTTTGTGAAGCTGTTCTTTCCATGTCATTAGAAAGTCTCCAAACCTATGCGCTTCTAGATTCCATTCAGCAGGAAATAGCACAGGTTGCTCAACATCGTCGCAAGGATCTGCCTACTCACGACCTGGTCAAAACCATTCTGGACTCACTGGATATCATTATCCATCGAAGTTACGACCAGCATACAACTGTTTCCATTGAAAACGAAGACGACGATGAATCGGGTGATGGGATGAAAGTCACTTACGGCGATATGACCACAGCCAAACGAATTGCCAGCGGTTGGCTTCTCAAAGTGATTTCTGGCGAGTATGCGGATGGCGACGATGCATCCATGGATAGAGCAGCTCATGTTATGGCTCACTTTTCTGGCCGAGGAGGTAAGGGATATTGAATGATCGGCTGCAGGTGCTTGTATTGTGAAGATAACACCAGCCATTTTTTCTTAGGGGCAGGGGCCATTACACGCACGTGGCACTTTGAGTACCTGACAAGAGACGGCGATAAAGACGTGATGGACATTAAAGTTCATGAACCGACTTTCATTGAGAACGACCTTGGATTCAAGACATGGGGTTCGGCACCGCTTCTTGCCAGGTGAGTGAGTATCTTTTGCTGAGCTCGAGTATTCGAACCACATCACTAAGCGGGAAGCATGACCAATTAGGAAACTGATACAGGAAAATTTGATACCTGATATTGGCGATGCACGAATCCTTGAGCTTGGAACTGGCACGGGGATGGTAGGATTAATGTGTGCCGAATTAGGAGCGCGTGAGGTTTACATGACTGACTATCATCCGAGCGTTCTTAAAAATGTTGCTGGAAACATTGAACTGAATGGATGCCAAAACGTTCAGATACATAAGCTGGATTTCTTCGAGATTGCTGGGTTAACACCACGAACAACCCCTATTGAAGACTGGGAAAATCAAACATTTGATATTGTCATTGGCAGCGACTTATTGTATGAAATGGATCACGCCCTGAGCTTACCGCATGTGGTAGCCAAGTTCATGAAAGACGTCTTTCATTTTCTCATTCCACTCCGAGCGCGTTATCAGGAAGAAGTAGTAACGTTTGAGTCCAAAATGACGGAGCTTGGTTTTACAGCCGTGGTTCAAGAAGACCTGGAATACGAAGAACAAGAAGCTCAAATATCGCAATATCGATACTATGAATGGCGACGATGATGACACTAATTTGGTACCTTTTTCATCCCATGATCGATTCAGCTGATGACCATTCTATAAACAGACATCGACACTACAAAGCCCACTAGACTAGACACTTAGAGAAGTTCAGAGAGCTGACTGACTGACTGAACAAATTCCAACATACCCTGCAACATGTCTTGATTTTTTATTAAAGATAAAAAAAAGGTGGTTTATCCTGTAAGAGTAGCAGATTGGTTTGGGGGAGTTGTTGGGCACGAGACGCATTATTTTGTCACGAGATTTGCTTTTCATCGACATGTTTGGGGGAGGATCCGTGCGCATTACGTTTCTTTTTGTTCGCACATTTCTTGTCAGTTGAAGCAAAACTCGACCATTCACAAGATAACACAGCGCTTGGCTTGTGTGAATAAATAATAAGAAAATTAATTTCGACCCAACGTTTTGTACAGCCCGCCCTTTTTTTTGTTATTTTCCAGCAACTCAACTCTCCTCACGGAATTGGGGCCATGTTCAATCCAATGCAATTCCATGCTCAGAATTACAGCATGCCGTCCATGCAACAACAGCATCAGGACATGTTAACCGGAGACCGCGCTTTTCCTTCGCCCATCACCAATTCGTCGTTGGATTCTCCTCCTAACTCCAATACGTCCGAGGCAGCCAAAAATAATATGCAACCCTTCCCACACATGGCTGTCGGCAACAACTCTACCTCTTCCTCGAGAATGTACGAACATACCTACTCACAACCGTCGCAAACTCAGCCGCGGCAAATTGTGTTTAAACAACACCGACCCCGCCAAGAGTCACAAGACCACACATGGCATGTAGGAAGCGTTGACTCCAATGCATCATCGTCTTATGGAGCGTTGGGTGGAGATAACATTGTATCGCCAGGAAGTACGAGCGCATTTGAAGACGAAGCGCAGCAGAAAAAGTACGTGTAACGAAGAAAGAAAAACTGCTATGATTTTTCCCACTGTGACTAATCCATTTACTAGTATGCAACATTTGTTTGAGAAAAAACGACGACGTCGTGAATCACACAACTTGGTGGAAAGAAGACGACGAGACAATATCAATGATCGGATTCAGGTAAGAACAGACTATTTTTACTTGCAGGCATCGATAGCAGCTGGCCAATTAAGCACATTTGCCACGTTTTTTGTATTCTAACATGGACGAGCTGCCCTTCCAATAGGAGCTTGGATCGATGCTACCAGATCATGATATTTCCAAAAGCAACAAGGGATCGATCCTTAAAAACTCGGTCGAACACATCCGGTTGCTGCAAAACGATGTTACTCAGTACCAGAACCGTATCAATGAGCTCGAGGCCATTGTCGAAACTTACAGGGCACGATTTGGTGATGTCGGCTATGGAGGTGGGAATCCTGGAAATAATCCACATATGATGTCCATGTCTTCTACTCATCCATTGGATATGGCGAATGGAGCGTTACAATCAGCACCACCACCTCATGCTTATCGAACAGGATGATGTGCCCGATTTCTCTTTTTTTTTTTGGACAATCTAGTTGCGTTTGTGTGTACGTTGATTTGTTCTTGTAAACTATCTTTATTTAATATGGTCTTTGCCTTGTATTTTTCATTCTTTTCTAAACTCAAGCCTTTTCTCAAAACTACTCATTTCTTTTTTTTCAACAATCGCTATGTTAGGATTTCAATAGCTGAGAGTGAGTTGTTTTATATCATTATATTCTTCCAAACCAGTACTTCCCCCAAGTTTTCTTATAAAAGTCGTAACAATGCTATGCTCAAACCAAAACCCTTACCCAGGTGGTGTAGAATTTCCATTTTCAGAGTTTGGCCCAGCCATCCTCCGTACCAAATTGTTTCAAAGGGAGGAGACTTTGCAGGAAGAAAAAAAAAAACTTTTATCATCTATCTCATCCCTCGAACCAATCTATTATAAATGGGTTGCTGTAGCTCTCGTCAAGTTCAGGATGAGGTTGACATGGCACATACAGCCTCTCAGCCTCAACCAACCTACCATGAAACATATCAAGGTAAGGCAAAAAGGACATGCCACGGGAAACTGTAGGTTTCGATTCGAGTCAATGAGCCTCCAATGTCTGTCAATTGGGTCGTAGTTTGACATGATAGGCATTAGCTCTCTACTTTGACACCATTGTATCCTACCGTCCATCCGCTCCATGCAAGGCGAATATGAATCCCCGTATTGACTCAACCTTCTTTCCTTCCTCTAGAGCCAGCAGGTGCTCGAATTCAACCTCATGACCCAATGACTGTCCCGGCAGCTGCTACACCTGCAGTGCCAGAGTACAGTGCTCACCCTCCAAGTATTATCACGCGTGACGAAAAACCAAGTTCCTCGCCACCTCCTTTTGGTTCCACGTCAGGTGTAGCTTTACTATCTTCGCCTATTCAAGACGATAAACCGCAGCTTGATGAGAAATCAACTGAAACCCCACAGTCGGTTGGAGAAACAACCGATACACCCATCATCGTTAGACTGTCGATTGCTCGCGATGTTAAAATTCGAATCCCATCCAGCAGTCCCTATATCACTGTTAGCCAACTTCGCACTAGACTATATGACCATCATGATCTCAATATCTCTTCGTCAACTCATACGATTCGATTCATCTACCTCGGCAAGGTCCTTAAAGATACCACCACCATCCAACCTATTCAACCTGATTCTAAATGTAAAAATTCAGCTGACACAGTGTTTGTGAACGATGGTGGCATTGTTCAAGCTTTACTCAGTCGTTCGTCGTAACGAGTTAGAAATCCTTTTTGTATTTTCTTTCTGTCCCATTGCTTGCATCCTGTTTACTACTATCTCTCGCATTCCATGTTCTTTTCTCGGTCTCTTTTTTTTCTTTCTAATTTTTTTCCCTCTCTCTCTCTCAACTGTACTATTTTGTTTATCAGCGCACACTCACCCTATACACCCATCGTATCTTTTCTCTACCCTTTCTCAACCTATTTTTCAACCCATTTTTTTTTATTAAAAGGAAAAGAAAAAATACTACATAAACACACATCATATCTTAACGTGACGACTCAAACAAGTCATTCACTGCATGCATTAAGCTTATCGCAAGATAAACCAAATGGTAGACCGTTTGATCTATATGGATATGTTCTTTCTCATTCTATACTAAATTACATGAACAATTTGTCCGCATTCCACCCCCCTTTCTAAGATGCTTTGCCCCGACGTCGCCGCTCAGAATTCTGGGTTGACCGAGGACATGTTTTCAGTAGTGTAACGTGATCTATCAATAGATATGTTCAGAACCAACCAATGTTGGCTATCAACCAATGAGAGGCCACAGTCTTCAAAGTCAACGGCATCGTTAGAGGTTTATAGCTGCGGGTTGACGACTACTGGGAAAAATTTCGCAGAATCACAATAAGTTTTCTTTGCTACTGGGACTCAGCTCATGTTTGAAAGCACACTCCAAAGGCACTAATCATCAGAAGTTATATTGCAAAGGAAATTCTGACTTACTTGATTGAGGACATGGATGTTTCTAACCATACTAGCCATCCTTCTGTTTCCATGCAGCAAGCGCACCACAGTTCCGTTTTTGCGTCTTTTGTCCAGATCTCGCTCGCTCGCCCGCCCTTTGCACTAAACTTGGAAGAGACTTGAAAAGCACATGTATAGGGCCTGTCACCCAAACATTGAGTGGGAACCTTCCAACTTGCTCGTGGTATATACGGTATATAGTAGAGAAGATGCATCCAGTTCAATTTTCTTGATGCAACCATACTCTACTGAACACGAACAATACGTCAAACCCTTTTGGGTGCAGTACCTCTTGTACTTTAGCCCGAACAGCAGGATTTTCCAGAGTTGTGTATCCAGCCTCCTAGGTAATGTCGTACGAACATTGGGAACTTTGCCATATGTTTTCACTAAGGTTGGGTGGGAAATCCGTTTGCATCCAACGATCCACGTTCCTGAACATTGTTTTAGACCGACTTGTATCCCTCCCCCAACAATATTAAAAAATTGCTGATTAGTGAACAAGTGGTTAGAGCCGTCGCGAAAATGAAGAGAAGAGAGAAAGTGAGATGTACATGAACACTCCCCCCCGCTGCTCGCATTGCACGACACTCACCCTCATGGCTGGATAAGTCAGGTCAGCCCAGATAGGTGAGTGTGATGGAGGTACAGAGTGCGGGGGCAAAAAGCGGGTGGTGGTCTGCGCACACTCTTGCTATCCATGGTCGATCTTGGCAGACGGAGCAGAGTAAGTCTGAAATTGCCTTATTCACTAGTTGGAGCTGACAATGTTGAGCCACTGTAAATGGTAATCAGCCGCTGTTGCCTGACTAGGGTGAGATTTTTCTTTCAGTCGTGGACTTTTGTCAGCATGGCATTCTTTTACAGCTACTGGATGTCATGTTCATCACCTACTATGGGTTACAAAATCCATCAATGTCATTTTTCCATTGCATAATCCCTCGCTTCACTTTCTAGCAACAGTTCCGATTTCCCATCAAATGCAGGCTAACTAAACGCAAAGAGAAAAAAATCTAATTTAATTTTTTATACTGCTAAGCAGAATTAATCCCCGCCACGACAATGAAAGTAAACATTGTGAAAGGATAAAGGGGTTTAGTACAATATACACGAACGCATATAGAAGAATTTGGTTTGATTCCTTAGAACGAGGTGGCAACTGCAAGTAACAGCCATTTAATAAAGTAGTTGGGACGCATTCGAAACGAGTGATGGGATTCGGGTTACTTAGGTACTTAAAATAGCGGGGAGAGGTGTACACTGCCTTAATGATGTATTAGTCTAAAAAAGGGGTTATCTACCGTATGACAAGCCATTCCCCCAAATCGGTTCCAGCATCCACAAGCGTCATTGCGGAATTCAAAACCGAGTCGCGTGTAACGTTCGAGCACATCGTTAGACTGCTCATCAGCATATTCAGGTTTGAAGAGAAAAGGGAAGACGAGTGTATTGAAGGAGTTGGGAAGATAGGTAACGATCATGACAAGCCAGAGAGAAACGGGCGTGAAAAACATTCAGACCCAAACTTTGTAACTGAGAAACCCCCACTATTCACATATACAGTATAGCAAGGCACAATGTCACAGACTAAATACACTAGAGCTTCGCAGCACATCGTAAATCAATCCACTTTCTGATCCATAGTGTTGGAATCCCCTCATGGTATCCACTAGCCATCACCCTCCATTGCATTTACAAAAGAACAATAATTGAAGCCACGGTTTCTATAACCACACTAGACTACGCGCTAAGGAAGCCCAGAACCATAGTGAATGTATACAAGAGTGGGACAATCACATGGAATATAGTCGATGAGAGAGATGATATAATGGTAGTTTCGGTGACGAAGGGTTTTAAAGAAAGTCACCCCCGAAGCGTCTACACTCAGCCAACAACCAGGGCATAGCCTGAAATCTTATATTTTGGGGGGAGCCCTCAGGAGATCAGTCAGTCCCGTCCAGGACCATCTCAATTATAATCCATGTATTGCATCGATCATCGTATATATAATTCCAGCTACTTCTCTCCATCCGAAAAAGCTTCTTCTTTTTTTCTGCCCTCTTTCGCTCTCTCCTCTCTCTTCACGCTTCCTTTCTCGGGGATCATAGTTGTAGCACTCAATTAGGGAAAGTTGCCTTATACATCTGCCCTATACAACTGCCTCTCCCTGTTTCTCCCATCTTTCGTAACCGCCCGCCCCATCCCAGCCCTTTTAAGCCAGAAAGTAGCATACCATGTCGGACGCAGCTTCCATCACTCCAGCCCGTAATAATGCTGCAGAGCAGCCACGGGATGGTGATAGCATTCATAGCAATGAGGCTGAAGAATACTATGAAAAACCACCCCAGAAAAAGCGATTCTACCGTCAAAAGAAATATTGGATTATTTGCGGTATCATCTCTACCATTGTTACCTTGGTCGTGATTCTACTCATTATTTTTGTGTTCTTCCCAATGATTGCACAATTGATTATCAACAAATCCAATATCAGTGTCAACAGTGCTAACATAGCATTCACTCCACCCACCGATGGTACGGAGGTGACAAAGCGTCAAGAACCTGCTCCGTTTATGGCCAATGCCAACAACACTTTTTACATGAAGGTAATGCTCGTAACTTGAAGCTGAGCGCTCACTTGAAAATTATTGGCTGATCCCTTTTTTTTTTTCCACACTGGTAGATGGATGCTACGTTGGGAAATACGGGTCCATTCCCAGCCGATTTGGCTTTCACAAGCGCAATCGTTATTTCATACAACAGCACTGAACTTGGCCGTGTACACCTTCCTGGAGCTCATGTATCTGGCGGCCATGGTTCGCTGGTCTCCGAATCTCTGTTCAATATCACTAATTTGGATGCCTTTACCGCATTTACCAAAGATATGTTGGCGCTTGACAAATTCAAATGGAACTTGAAAGGCTCTGCTACCATCAAGGCTCTTTCAAGAACGGCCAATGTCAATCTGGATAAGGATGTTGAAATTCCTGGTATGGGTGGATTCCCACAAGTCAAGATCACTTCCTTTGCTCTTCCTGGCGATGATCCTGCCGGAGGCATTCAAGTCTCTTTAGGAACAACCTTGACCAATCCATCCACAATTGGTGTCTACCTTGGTACCATTCAGCTGGCTATTGGCTATCAAGGTGTCTATCTTGGCCCTGTTCAAGCTTCCAATGTCAATTTGACCTCGGGTGATAACAATATCACGTTGAACGGCCGCTTGGTACCGCAAACTGATCCCAATAATCTGAACGTTGTGAGCGACTTGTTTACTCGCTATATCGCTGGTGAAATCTCCAATACAACAGCTTCTGGTGTTGCTGCTGCTCCTGACGGTGTTCATTCCATCTCTTGGCTCTCCGAAGGTTTCAAGACTGTCCAGCTTAATGTTGGATTAGCTGCTACTGAAAAGCTTCAGCTTATTCATGGTGTCAGTCTAGGTGACCTGGATTTGGTTTTCACCAATGAAACCGCTTATAGTCCAATTTCCACTGCTCCTCAGGTCACTGCTAACTTTAGCATTCCGTTTGGTTTCTCTCTGAACATCACTGAAGTTACCCAGAATATCACACTTGGTACCAACGCCACAGGTCCTATTGCACTCCTTTCTTCCGGATACTCCAATTCCACTAGTAATCAGCAGACAGGTGTCCTCAGTTTTGGTCTCAGCAATGCTCCCCTTCAAGTCTATCCTGATAAGCATGAAGCTTTTAACACTTTCAACTACAACTTGACTGCTTCCAATCTGTACTCCTTCAATGTCGCTGGTAATGCCTCTGTTGTTACCTCCACTCCTATTGGTGTGGTTAAGTTGACCGGTGTTCCTCTGAACGCCACAACTTCCTTGAATGGTCTCCAGTTCTTGAACAGCACTCCTACAGTTATCAACGGTATTGATGTCACTGGTGGTACTACAGACTACCTTATCATGGCTATCAATGTTACCATGTTCAATCCTTCCAGTGTTCAAATCACGGCTGGTGATGTTAGCCTTCTGATGCAGTCTCAAGGTACTCAGCTTGGCACCGTCACACTCCCCAATTTGACCCTTTATCGTGGTACCAATAACGTCGTGGCTATTGCAAACTTCGACCCCAAGTCTACAACTGTTGGACAAAACTTGCTTACCACTTTTGTGGGTGGTCAAGACAACACTGTTGGTATCGCTGGTGACGCCAATAGTACCATGATTCAGTCTCTGGCTTATGCTTTTGGCAACGTCAGCTTATCGTCCAACCTTCCTGGTCTTAAGAGCAAGCTTATTCAATCTGCTGGCTTAACTGTTTACACCAACACTGTTCAAACCAATGTGGCCGGTACCACCGTCACCATTGCCAACCCCTTCAGTGCTGGTCTCTCCATCACTCAAGTCAAGGCTGCTGTCACATACGCTGGAATGCCCGTGGGTAACATTGATGCTGATATCAGCAGCAACCCTATCGTTGTTGGAGGCAAGGCTACTGCCGCTTCCCCTGCTATTCCTATCACCATGAATTTGGAACCCGCTGCTGTTGCTCTCTTGCTCCGTATGAATGCTCAAAGTGCGGGCTTGGATCTTCAACCTATTGATGCTCTGCTTACAATGGGTGGTTTCAATATTCAAGGACAAGAACAGGTCACTGGTTCCGCTTCTACTTTCAATGGTTTCAATATTTCTGACTTCGTTATCAAGGCTTTTGCCAACTTGCATGTTGATCTCCAGCTTTCTTCGGTCATCAACATTGGCCAATACACTGATACCCTAGCTATCGTTCAGAACGACATCCCTACCAAGACAGATGATACCATCACTTACTTGATCCCTGTAGTTGGTCAACCCATTGTCCAGGCTATTATCAACCAAGCTGCTTTGACCTTCTCAAGTGCCATCCTTTCCAGCCCTACTGACAGTGGTTTCACCGTTCAACTCAATGGACAGCTCACTGGAACTGGTCCGTTCGCTGCCACTATTATCTTCCCTGTTCCTCTCGATGTTGCTTGGAACGGTCAACAGATTGGTAAAGTCACCATGCCCAATATTCAAACTGTCGCTGACGTCGGTGCTACCTTCTCTGTGTCTGCCCAATTCCAAGTTGTCTCTGAATCTGCTATGGCTGACTTCACTGCCTATTTGTTGCTTGAGAAATCATTTGTTTGGGACATTTCCTCCCCGGATGTTGCCGTCACTGCTCTTGATTACACTTTCACTAACCTCATCATGACAAAATCGGTAACTCTCCTTGGCATGGATGGCCTCGTGAACGATGTTAAGATCAACTCCTTTGACTTGCCTTCAAATGACCCTGCTGGTGGCATTCATCTTGTTTTGGATACCACCATTTACAACCCTTCACAAGTTGGTGTCAACCTTCAAGGTCTTGGCTTTGAGGCCTTCTTTGGCTCAGTGGATCTCGGCCCTGTTGCTGGTACCAATGTTGTCCTTAACCCTCAAGCTTCCTCAAGTGTTCCAATGGCAGGTCGTCTTCAAGCTCAATCTAGTCAAGATGGTCTTAATGCTCTTCAAACCTTGTTTGACAACTATCTTGGTCATAAGGAAACTCCTCTATCTGTTAAGGGTTCTTATGGTTCTGGTCCTTCTGGTCAAGTCAACTGGTTGTCTGAAGCCTTCCAGAAATTGACCATTGATAACATCATGTTGCCAGGTGGCCCTGACAATTTGACTCTTATTCCTGCTGTGACCATCAAGCAATTTACCTTTGATTTCACCAAGGGCGCCTATGCTCCTGATTCTAGCTCCAATGATATCGAAGCTCAGTTCAAGAATCCCTTTGGTTTCCCATTGTCGATCACTGGTCTCCAAGAATCCATTGACATTGGTACTTCCGGACAGGATATGGCTACGCTTGCTCCTCCCTACAGTCCCGCCACAACCGATACGTCAACTGGTATCATCAAGACTGGTTTCGAACATGTTCCTTTCCAAGTTCATGACGATGCTCATGAAGTGTTCAATCAATTCGTCAAGGGGCTTACTTTGACTTCTGGTGGTACTATGGAGCTCAAGGGAAATATCTCCAAGTCGGGTGTTTCTACAGCTGCTGGTGACTTCTTCCTCTCTGGAATTAGCTATGACGTTCAAAGCGCCATTCCAGGTATGTAAAAAATTTTCGTGAGAATGAAGTGATATAATTTATCCACTCTATCATCTTATGCTGACCGCTCTGTTCAATAGGTTTCAATGACTTTGGACGTCAATTTTCTATCAACTCTGTTGATGTTACTGGTGCCACTCCTCAGTACATCATCATTAAATTGACCATCTCGCTTACCAACCCGTCCTTCATTACTATCACCATTGGTGATATCTCATTTGATACCTATTACAATAACGTCAACATTGGTCCTACTCTCTTGAACGACGTTACCATTCCTCCCGGTACTCAACAGTACCAAGCAGAGTTCCATCTGACACCAAGTGCCGCTTCAGCTACCACCGTGGCCGAGGTCCTTTCTGGCTATCTGCAAGGACAGGTGTTTGCTCTCACTGTCAAGGGCTCAGACAACTCGACCAGCATTGATTCTCTCAAGGAAGGTCTCGCTGGCGTCAGCCTTGCTGGTACCCTCACTGGCATCAATTCTAAATTGATCACAGGAGGTGTCGTCAAAGACTTGAACATTAACAGTTTCCCCAATATTGGAGCCAATACTTATATCACCATTCAGAACCCTCTGGATGTTGGTTTCTCCATTACTGCAATCCAGGCACAAATCTATTATCAAGGCACCACTTACTTTGAACTTGCTTCCATTGATTGCACCCTTTCGTCGCCATTCACCATTCCTGCCAAGGGTACCGCCACCTCTGGTCCTATTCCTCTCACGTTCGTTGATCCCATCGCCCACTTGGGCGACATTCTCAAGATTTTAGTCTCCTCTTCTATTACCGTTGACATTAATCAAAACGCTACTGTCGTTGTTGGTGATGGCTTCAATGGAGTCTTGGCTTACTCTCAGAAGGGTGTCGTCATTCAGAACGAGATCTTGAGCAGCTCGCTCACTGGTCTTTTGAACCTTACTCAAGTTGCAAATTCAAGTGCTATCGCTGCCGTTGCAAGTGTTGCCAAGAGTGATGTTTCTGCTGGTGTTGCTGTAGCTACCTCGGTTGTTGGAGATGTCACCTCTCTCGTTGGTGGAGTGGCCTCTGCGGTTGTTAGTGATGCTACTTCCGTGGTGGGCGATGTTACTTCCGTGGTTGGCGACGTTACTTCCATCGTTGGCGATGCCACATCAGCCGTGGGTGGCGGTGTCAAGTCCCTTATTGGCGATGCCACATCTATTGTTGGCGACATCCTTCCTAAACCCACTTCCACCACCACCAAGGCCGCCGACAATACACCCACTCCCACGCCGGCACCCAAAGTAAACGCAGCAAAACCCAAAACCACCACCACCACCACCACCACCACTTCCAAGCCTTGGCCCTTCAATATCTTATAAGCGCCTACTACTCCTCCAACCTGCCATTAAAAAAAACCATGAAACGAGTAGGTTCTTAATTATATTTTTCCTTCTTCTGCGCTTTTGCTTGTTATCATTATTCTCCACATTTTTGCCTCATTATTCTTTTATATCGTTTATTATCCCTTTATCTTTGTTATTATCATACTTGTTACGATGGTGTATTTCTATCTACTTACACGTAGTTTTTATTTTGTTTGCAACCAAGTTTTCTATGTATGGCAGTTTTCATTGGTACATAATGTATTTACACCAATGGAACGAAAAAAAGTTTGAACAATACGCATCTCTCCACTCCTTTCATCTCCACTCCTTTTTAAAAACGCTGTTGGTCGTCCTTTTTCTTCCATTTACCAATGTCAATTATGTTATGGTCCATAATAAAGAAAAAGTGTTATATTATTGTATTCTGACGTTCCTGTGCATGGTGTCCACTGTCATGGAAGGCACCGATTCCATTGTATTTCCACGTTTCATTCCACCATTGTTTGTTTTGTCAATGCCATTCTGAAACCCTTACAATTATACTCTCATTGGTGAGCCAGCCACGCTACTATGATTCTCAGGCATACAAACATTGGGAAAAGCGAGAGCTTTAATTGGTTGTAGGAAAAAGAAAAATTTCCATAGGTTTCTATATTTTGCAGGTGGATGGGGGGCGGTAAGGCAAATTCAGCAACAGGTTGTGTCTCTATTACATATGAACAATGGTGGTGGAGTGAATTAGATATATGGCATGGTGTAGAATGGGTGGAGTATGACGCTTTACTGAGATGGTTGGTCATTGTTCGATGCTTTTGCTGCCTCGCCTTCTGCCTTTTCCTTGAGTTTTTCTGCTCGCTCCAATTCGAATCTCTCCTTTGCTCTGACCACCTTCGACTGAATATAGAATGACCCGCCAGCGGATGAGTCGTTGCATTTGAACATATGGTCATAGTGCTAAAAGCAGAGAGAATGAACGGTTAGTCAAGAGCAAACAGTGCCGTTTGAGAAAGAGTAGCCTTCAGAGCTACAGCGGTGGTATCGACCACCCTGCCATCTCACATGCGATACGTACCTTAGCAACCTCAGCCAACTCAGCTTCTCTATTGACATTCAAGATTTGACAAGCTTCGTCAATGGTCATGCCGGTCTGTCTAGTCAGGGCATCACCTGCCGAAGCCTTTGCGCCAGCTCTACCGGCCGCACCACCACCTTGTGCAGCATCTGATGGAAAAAATCAACAATGGTCAGGATCCAACCAAGCGAAATAAAATCATAGTGAGCATGTCTATAAATTGTAAGAATTACGTACTGGCTGCGGCTTGTTTATAAGCAGCGACGAATGCTCGTCCAACAACGGTTCCTACTGACACTAGAATTTGAGCAATGAGACGTCCTGACTAGAAGATTGGAATAGACTTTAGCATAATAGACTGGGTTGGTTACAATGGGTTATTGGCAGGGCATGTTTACCATTTTGTTCTGTTTTTTCTATAAAATGTTTTGAGAATTAAAAAAAACCGACAACGAAAAAACACCCAGGTTCGTTGTTTGCCGTGACTGTCATTTCCAAATCTCTTCCCTGCCTGTGTCATGGCTGATCCTACTGTGTCCTTCCCACCAAGCACGCAACTTTCATTCGGCCCGCCGTCCCCCTAACAAAAGAAAACCTTACTGTTTCAATAAACCGTAATCTACAATATCGCTCGTCTAACTCGAACAACTTTCGCTTAAAAGCGCCACGTCTATTAATACTCTAACGTTGGCAATCAACATAAAAAGACTAGGAGGAATACATTCTTTCGTTTCCCGGCTTATCAACCTCATAATGGACCATCGATAATGTAGGGCAGACTAGACCGAAAAGGTGATGGAACCATGCTACAGGATTAATTGACATAAGCAAAGTAAGTTTGATGGATAATTTTAGCTGTCGAACCGGTTCCAACAAGTATGGAAAAACGTCGTGAAAATAAAGAGCATGGGAAATAATTATTTTTTTTTTCTCTCCAAGCATGCACTATCAGCTGCTTAAGCGGTGGCTGTCGAACCGTGGTTAACTGTGGATGATGTAGGGCAATTAATTTCTGTGCGACTCTATTTGAGCACAATTCCCTCTCCTCCCCAGTAGCATGTGCACTAAAGTTGACAGATGCAAAGCTTATAAGCAGGACAGAAGACAGAAGTTTGGAAAAAGCACAAAGCAACGAGTGAAATACTGCTCAGACAGGTTCAGATTCAGTTATGTGGGGGAAGATCCGGGGAAGGTGGAGGCATTGCCTGGGGCAATCATTGCAGTGGAAACCGATTAACATATGCTTGTCTGCTCAGCTGTGAAAACCATCAGATCTCGATGCATTTATTAGATATTTACTGTAGCACGGACACTGGTGGCGTGTGATGTACAGCCTGCCTGCTGCCAAATGGCTAATCTAACTGAGCGATTCTTTCAGGTTACGTTGCAGCGATAAGTGATGCTTATCCAACCCTCACATGGAAATAATGCGCTCTTCAACATCCAATGCGACGTTCATTCCAATCCGGGGTATGCCCTACCCCGGAGCTTTCTGGTGCCTCCTCCGCCTACACTCCGCTTTTAACAAGCTGTTCCCTTTATGAGTAGAAAAAATATGACTAGAGAGATTTGAATTTGAATATTCTAAAACCGATCGTCTTTGTACCATCCTAATGCTGTCTATATATAATAATGCATCCAATGGTGATCTCGTCCATCATTTTTTTCTTCTCTACTACCTTCATTCCCTCTCTTTACATTCCCTTTTGACTCTGTCATCTCATTGGATTGCCTTGTTGCGAAAAAGTTCTTTTTTTTTTTGTAACTGCCACGGGCTCCACACCATCCAATCTCCAGTCTTTCTGAAAGAGTCAATTATTCCCCTTTCCCCCAATATAAGAAACTAAATTTTTAACGACCTATAATCGATAATCATGTCGGACGTTGCTTCCATTACTCCCGCTAGAAATCACGCTGAGGGCATGGATCACGACCATGGCAGTATGCATAGCAATGATGCTGATGAATATTATGAGAAGCCTCCTCAAAAGAAACGGTTCTATCGCCAAAAGAAGTACTGGATCATTTGCGGTGTTATCTCGGCCATCGTTACCCTCGTTGTTGTTCTTCTCATTGTTTTCGTATTTTTCCCCATGATCGCCCAATCCATTATCAACCATTCAGGCATTAATGTTCAGAGCGCCAGTATCTCTTTCACTCCTCCTGCGTCCAACACGAATCAAAAGCGACAGGACACTCCATTCGTAGCCAATGGAAACGATACCTTTTACATGCAGGTATGCAAGTCCGCCCGCCTAACCTTGTGCCTGCCTGTGATATTCCCTGACACTGACTTTCAAAATTATATTGCCTTTATTTTAGATGGTAGCCGGTTTAACCAACACTGGCCCATTCCCTGCTGATCTTAAATTCACCAGCCCTATCACCATCTCGTACAAGCAAAACGAGATTGGTAGGGTCGAACTTCCAGCAACACACGTTTCTGGCGGTAAAGGTACCTTGGAATCTAACACAGTTTTCAATATCACCAACCCTGATGCCTTCAATGCTTTTGCTGTTGACATGTTGGCTGTTGAAAGCTTTGTTTGGACCATGCAGGCAAGCTTGGATGTTACTGCCTTGTCCAGAACTGCTCACGTCAATCTTAAAAAAGATGTTACCATTGGTGGCATGAACGGTTTCCCCGCAGTCAAGATCACTTCATTCGCTCTTCCAGGCGATGACCCAGCGGGCGGTATCCAACTTTCTCTTGGTACTCAATTGACCAACCCATCTCCCATTGGTGTCTATCTTGGAACCATCCAACTGTCCGTCAGTTACCAAGATGTCTACCTCGGTCCAGTTTCAGCCACCAACGTCAATTTGGCTCCCGGAGATAATAATATCACATTGAATGGCCGCTTGGTTCCTCAAACCGATGTTAACAACCTCAACATTGTTAGTGACATGTTCTCTCGTTACATTGCCGGTGAAGTCTCCAATACCACCGCTAAAGGTATTTCTGCTGCTCCCGATGGTGTTAACCCTGTATCTTGGTTGTCCAATGGCTTCCAGACCGTTCAACTCCATGTCGGACTTGCTGCTTCTGAAAAACTTCAGCTCATCCACGGAGTTAGCCTCGGTAATCTTGATTTGGCTTTCACCAACCAAACTGCTTATAGCCCTCTCTCGACGGCTCCTCAAGTTACTGCCAATTTCAGTGTACCCTTCGGTTTCTCATTGAATATCACTGAAGTCACTCAGAACATTACCCTTGGTACCAATTCTACTGGCCCCATTGCTCTTTTGTCGTCTGGTTACGTTAACTCTACCAGTGACCAAAAAGCCGGTATCCTCAATTTTGCTCTCAACAATGCTCCTCTTCAGGTCTATCCTGAACAACATGAGGCTTTCAATGAGTTCACCTACAATTTGACTGGTGCTAACGTTTTTGAATTCAACGTTGCTGGTAACGCTACTGTTGTCACTTCCACTCCTATTGGTGTCGTCAAGTTGTCCAACGTTCCTTTGAATGCTGTCACTTCTCTCAATGGCCTTCAGTTCCTCAACAGTACACCCACCACCATCAATGGTCTCGATGTTACTGGAGGTACAACTGACAATTTGATTATGGTCATCAATACTACCATGTACAACCCTTCAAGCGTCCAAATTTCCGCTGGTGATGTCAGCCTTTTGATGGGATCTGATGGTACTCAACTTGGAACAGTCACTCTTCCCAACTTGGTCCTCCAACGTGGCAGCAACACTCTCCAGGCTACTGCTCTTTTCAACCCCAAGGCCACCACCGTTGGTCAGAACTTGCTCACCACTTTTGTTGCTGGAAAGGCTAATAATGTCACCATTGGCGGTTATGCCAATAGCACCATTATTGAGTCTCTTGCCTATGCTTTCGGAAACATAAGCTTGGGCTCCGTTCTCCCTGGTCTTCAGTCTCAATTGATTCAATCTGCTGGCTTAACTGTTTACACCAACACTGTTCAAACCAATGTGGCCGGTACCACCGTCACCATTGCCAACCCCTTCAGTGCTGGTCTCTCCATCACTCAAGTCAAGGCTGCTGTCACATACGCTGGAATGCCCGTAGGCAACATTGATGCTGATATCAGCAGCAACCCTATCGTCATTGGAGGAAAGACCACTGCTGCTTCTCCTGCTATTCCTATCACCATGAACTTGGAACCCGCTGCTGTAGCTCTTTTGCTTCGCGATAACGCCAACAGTGCCGGCTTGAACCTTCAACCTATTGATGCCTTGCTTACCATGGGTGGCTTCAATATCCAAGGTCAACAGCAAATCCAAGGAACTGCTGACTTGTTCAATGGTTTCAACATCTCTGACTTTGTCATCAAGGCTTTCACTAACTTGCATGTTGATCTTCAACTTTCCTCCGTTCTCAACATTGGTCAATATACCGATACCCTCGATATTGTGCAGACCAACGTTCCTACCAAGACAGATAATACCATCACATACTTGATTCCTGTTGTCGGCCAACCCATTGTTCAGTCTATCATCAATCAAGCTGCCATGACTTTCTCCAGCGCTATTTTGTCTGATGCCACCAATTCGGCTTTCACTGTTCAGCTCAATGGTCAAATTACTGGTACTGGTCCTTTCGCTGCTACCATTGGTTTCCCAGCTCCTCTCACTGTGGCCTGGAATGGAAGAAACATTGGTCAAGTCACCATGCCTAACATTCAAACTGTTGCTGATGTCGGTGCTACCTTCAATGTCTCTGCTCACTTCGCCGTCACTGATGAATCAGCCATGGCTGATTTCAGTGCATACATGTTGCTCGAAAAGGATTTCGTCTGGGATATCTCTTCCACCGATGTCTCCGTCACCGCTATGGATTACACTTTCACCAACCTCAGCATGACCAAGTCCGTTACCCTTCTCGGTATGGCTGGTCTTGTCAACGATGTGAAGATCAACTCGTTCAACTTGCCTGCCAATGATCCTTCCGGTGGTATTTCCCTCGTTTTGCAAACTACCTTGACCAACCCATCTCAAGTTGGTGTTAGTCTTCAAGGTCTTGGTTTTGAATCTTTCTTCGGTGATGTTGATATTGGTCCAGTCGCTGGTACCAATGTCAACCTTCCTCCTCAAGGTACCGCCCAGGTTCAAATGACAGGTCGACTCGTTAAGCAATCCAGTGACGCTGGTCTCTCTGCTTTGGAAACTTTGTTCAACAACTACCTTGGCCACAAGGAAACCGCGCTCTCCGTCAAGGGCTCTTCTGCGTCTGGCCCATCTGGTCAAATCAACTGGCTCTCTGAAGCCTTCCAGAAGCTTACCATCAACAATGTTATGCTTCCTGGAGGTCCTGAAAACATGACTCTCATTCCTGCTGTGGCTATCAAGCAGTTCACCTTTGATTTCACCAAGGGTGCTTACTCTCCTGATTCCAGCTCTAATGATATTGAGGCTCAATTCAAGAATCCTTTCGGTTTCCCATTGTCCATTACTGGCTTGCAGGAAACCATCGAGACTTCAGCTGCAGGTCATGATATGGCTACTTTGGCTCCTCCTTTCAGCCCTGCTACCACCGATACTTCGACTGGTATCATCAAGACTGGATTTGAGCACGTTCCTTTCAACGTTCACAGTGGTGCCGAACCTGTCTTCAATGCCTTCGTTCAAGGTCTCACTTTGACCTCGGGCGGTACTCTTGGTCTCAAGGGTAATATTAGCAAGACTGCTGTGTCCACTGCTGCTGGTGACTTCAACTTGGCTGGCATTTCCTATGATGTCCAAAGCACTCTTGCTGGTAAGTGATCCCTTTGATTTTATAGTTAAAAGATGCACATGCACCAAATTCTGAATTGTCCTAACTTGCTCTCCTGTGTAGGCTTCAATGATTTCGGTGGTCAATTCACTATTGATCAAAGCACCGTTTCTATTTCTGGCGCTACCCCTCAATATGTGATCATCAAGATGACCATCGCTATGAACAACCCATCGTTTATCACCATTACTATTGGTGACATTCAATTCGATACCCTTGTTTCAGGCGTCAATATTGGTCCCACCATCTTGAAGAGTCTTACTATCGCTCCAGGAACCCAAAACTACCTAGCTGAATTCCACTTGACTCCCATGGGTGGTAACAACGCCGTAGTCTCTGCCATTCTCTCTGGTTATTTGCAAAAGCAAACATTGGCGCTCACTGTTAAGGGCTCAGATAACTCTACCTCCATTGCCTCGCTCAAGCAAGGTTTGGCTGGTGTCAGTCTTACTGGCTCTCTTACCGGTATCGATGCTCACCTTATTACTGGAGGTGTGGTCGAGGATTTAAGTCTTGATCTTGCTCATCTGGCTATTGGAGCTAGTACTCTCATCACCCTCCAAAATCCATTGGACGTTGCTTTCTCTATTACCGGCCTTAAGGCTGCTATTTACTACAAGGGAACTTCTTACTTTGAGCTTGCTTCCATTGACTACACCTTCCCATCACCCTTCACTATCGGTGCCAAGAGCTCGGCTACTTCTGGAAAGATTCCCATTACCTTCATCGATCCTTTGGGCCATCTCATCGACCTTGCTGAAATCTTGGTCGCCAAGAGCATTGTTGTTGATATCAGTCAAAATGCCACTGTGGTCGTTGGCGATGGTTTCAATAATGTCCTCACCTACAGCCAAGCTGGTGTCACCATTCAAAATGAGATCATAGAAAGCACCATCCAAGAGATCCTCGGTGCCCTTGGTATCAAGGTCGGCGGCCCCAACGCTCTGATCGCTAATGTTTCTTCATCTGCTACTGGTGTCTCCGCTACCACCGCACCCTCAGGTGCTCTTCCTACCCTGCTCGACCCCTCTACCACTACCACTACCGCCTCTCCTACTACTACTCCGGCTGCTAATGACAAGTCTACCACTACTACTACTACCACTACGTCTTCTCCTGCTGCTGCTGCCACCAGCAAGAGCGGAGTCTGGCCTTTCAACCTCTTTTAAGAAGCTTACCCCTTCGTTTAGGATCCCTTTGAATAAATCGGTAGACTCGTCGTTGTTTTCTTGAACAGAGAATTTTTTTTAATTCGTTTTACATATTTTTTTTTATATATTATCTTATCTCTTTTCTTTCATTCCTTTCAAAATGTAATCTGATCTGATTTGTAATGCCATACCTACTTTGAAAGTGGAAATATTATAGCCCCGGCAGTATTTGATATTCTGTGTGCGCATAATGTATTGGTTTTAAAGTGGATTGGGCAGTAAGCATTGTAGTCACCATTGAGTTCCATGAAGGTGTTTGAAGTTGAATTGTTTTATCCAATACTAGTCAAGTAGCAAAGGGCTATTTGACGGAACTGTAACCTCATATTCAGATTCAAACGAATCAAACTTTGACCTGACATAGAAACACTCAATCGACGCTTTTTTCATACATGGAGTAGTGGACTGCAGTTGTCTGAAACTATGCAATTATGAATTTCGCTCTGACCGAATACTGGACTGAAATAATTTGAGCCGTTGAAACGCAGCGGTACAATTTAAAGGAAGTTATATGCAACAATAAATTTAATGGCAATTTGTGTTTTCAAATAATGAGCAGCCGACAACCCAGGTAGCACGTCAAAGAACTTGTGAAAGCGTAATGTGCTTGCATCAGATAGTAGAAGAGAAAAGACGCTGTTTCTATGTATTTGGTGTGTAGGCTGGACTGAAATAGCATTGAGGCAGGTTTGCTGAGTATAAGGCGGGGATACATTTTTTAATCATGGGCGATCAGTTGCATACTTCACTTTTACTTTCAAATTCACTATTGCTTCTCCAAGAATCCTTTGCGAAATGGCCATTACATAAAATATAGAAAGTGCTTTACGCCACATAACTTGCCTTCTTTGCCATACAATGCTTTCCTGCTTTGTTGCTCACGCGACAAGGCGGTGTCCTGTAAAGCCTGACATACTCTTTGGACAACTGCGTCCAGCACTACTACTAGTCGTTGCAATACTTGGTATATGCTCACACAAACAAAAACTCAACCAACTGAAAACATCAATGCTACCACCAATGCGGGGAAGACCAGTGTAACCTTTACCGAAAACAGCTATGGGCACTGGGTTGGTGCCTGGGAAAGAGCTCATAGCAACAAACAACTTTTGCGATTCACACCTCAATCACATCACTCGACTCCATCCCAACATGCTCTATCACGGAAATTCATTTTTGAACTACGACCTTTGGATGAACATAACGTCGTACTTGGAAGTCCAAGACGTTTTGAACGCCTCCATGTCCTGCCGAGCTTGGTATAGGCAGCTGGCCCATCAATCTCTGTGGGAAAAAGTATATACCAGTATACTTCCTGGTTATCCAACTGACCATTTTCGAATTAATCATGATATATTGAACTGCGCTCGGCCTGAATTCGTTTCAATGGACGGAAATGGGCCTGCAATGCTGAGCAAGTGGTATAAGACATCATGGAAGCAGCGGGCAGTGTATCTGGCGCATATCCTTCGCGTACAATCGGCGGTTATATCAACCATGAGGCAAAAGACAAAAGCGTTCTTGGACATACCAGCCCAGCCATTGCATGATGTCGAGCGAATTAATCGGTTCGAGCGGACCTATGGTGCCACCTTTCCCATTGACTTTGTCATTTTTGCAATTTACTTTGCACATCACCTGCGAGTGGACCAATCCAATCGCCATGAACCCAGTATGGGGCTTGTGTCAGGAGAATGCTTTGAAAACCCTCATTTGTGGAAGTACTGGGCTGACAAATTCAACTTTCAGGCCTTGAATTTAGGCAACTCACAGCAGCCGATTATCATGGAGGGATATGGACCACTGCAAGACCAAACCTTTCGCAACATGATGATCTTCCCTTTCTCGCAACTCACCAAATGCGACGAGTTGAACAAGGCACAATTTCTTGGAATGGCGCTCAGTAGAGATAACAGTTTCCCTCCCATGCGACCAAAAAATGGCCGGCTCCCCCATGTTCCTGATGATAGCAACTTGGAAGACGCTTCAGGGTTTGTTTATCGGGCATCTTTCACTGCTTTGCAAGAGAAGACATATGGATTAGAAGCCTTATGCGAAAGCTTCACTGACTACCTCGTTCAATACACGGGTGTAGTACTAGAGTACGGGGATGTACCTCAATATGGCCGAATCGGCTTTGTGGACTTGATGATAGGGTTACCAAGAGACCATTCTCCAAAGATATCCATTTTGTTACCGCACGCTCTTGATTGGGACATTGGTAGTTACCTTCCCACTGAATTCACTCTCATGGACTCAAGCATTCCAGTCTTTACATCACTTGAACATCAAATCGATTGTAGTTATTCGAAGGCAGTTGACAATTTGGGCTACGCAACAGAAAGCTCAGTAGCGGTACCTCCAAGGCAATTATTTATGGCTGCACAGGATCAACATCGGCACAATCAACTTCACAGTCGTCATGATGTAAAAGCACCAAAACCAAACACAATTAAACTGGCTGATTTTGGCACCGGACAATATCCACCAGTAATGACCATTCGATTGCCCTTAGATGTATACCAGCGTCTCATGGAACAAGCTGAAGAGTGGATATCTACTTCAGGATGTAAGTGCGATATATTCTTAGAAATTTTCACCCTTTACTAATTTATGACATTCTCATCTTACCAGCGACGTTGGGGACGATAACTAGACAGGTGGACGGAACACAGCTGCAAGTAATTCGACACATCACTTCTGATATGATGGGCCTGTATCACCTGCACCATAGATGTATGCCAGTTTCATTGTTCTACGACACGGCTGAGCGAACGGCGTATGATTTCATCTTGACAAGCAAGGAATTTTATGACCATGTCAAGGCTTTGGAGACCGAAATTATCAAATACTCGGCTTTTGAGCTTGGGGTTATTGCCAAGCGCTTCAAGCACCAGTTGAACCATTTGGGGTATTTAATAGGACGTTTTGAGAACCCGAAGACGGACTGGATGGTTCGAGTTAAGGCAGACCTTGGCGAGATTCCTAGCTTGACTTGGAATGAATTTAATTCAAAGTGTTAGTTTGGATCATCCTTCTTCTCCTTAAAGAGCAATAAATGACCACAGGCTTTTTGATGTACTCATTGAGACGTAACATAGAACACGACTTGCTGGCAATAGTCAATGTTATTATTCCTTGTTAAGTCTCATAAAGCGTGCCTTGACACATTGAATCGTTAAATTTACTGAGTTAACATCGTTGTTATCCCCGTGTGGGTACTACCTTATTGGGCGTACGGACCCCTCAATGGCTTACGTTGCATCATTCGCAGCTTGCATTGTAGCCGATACCGAGCTGGTCTTTCTCCATTGTATAAAATAACCAATTAAATCAATCGATTTGCTTTATCATAACAGTTTCAATGAAATCAAAGCGTTTTCATGATCGTTACGGCGGATCGTGAGCTCAAGGAATCGGCAAATTGCATGTGGCGCTCCAGGACTGGCAACTTTCCGCCGTGGCTGGAATGAAGTCTCAAAAAAGTGCCTGACTCTTACCGTTCATGCTGTTGCGGTCATGGCAAGGCGAGTTTTTAAAGAGGCTATAGCACGTCAACTATCCCATATCTCGGGAATCAAGCATAACATTCTAGAGACCGCCATTGAAATACCAAAAAATAGAACACATGGCGAATTCGCGATACCCTTACCGAAAGTCATTGGCAAATCCAACCAGTCAGTTGGGACTCCTGTGGAATGGGCTAAGCAGCTTGCGTCAAAGGTACGCATTGGAACGACACACAATGTTAAAAGCTACTAAAACACCTTACTAAATGTCGCCTGTGCTCAGTTTCAAGCTGACCCGTTTATAACTCGAGCAACCGCGGTGGGACCGTTCTTGAACTTTTCAGTGCAGCCAACCGAGTTTATCCGACGCACACTTGACGATGTCCATCAGAACAAGCAATTATATGGAGCGAACAAATCCTTCGGTCACGGAAAATCGGTGACCATCGATTACAGTTCGCCCAACATCGCAAAACCATTTCATGCAGGTCATTTACGAAGCACCATACTCGGCAACTTTGTTAAACAGGTCCACCTTGCCATGGGCTACAATGTCATTGGCATCAATTACCTTGGAGACTGGGGAAAGCAATACGGTAAATGAAAGGAAACTTATTGCTCATAAATGTGTGTTGGACTAACGTACAATTTTTGGTAATCCACTTTTTGATGATAGGACTGTTGGCTGTTGGATTCGAAAAATATGGTGACGAGCTTCTCTTGAAGAAAGACCCTATACACCATCTGTATAATGTGTATGTAAAAATTAATAAGGATGCAAAGGAGGACCCCGAAGTCGATAGGCAAGCCAATATGTATTTCAAGCGTATGGAGGACGGTGATGAGCAAGCTTTAGAACAGTGGAGCAAATTTCGACAGCTGAGCATCACTTCTTATAAGCAAATCTACAAACGCTTGAACATCGAGTTTGAGCAGTATTCAGGGGAGTCTGAAGTTAACGACTACATTCCACGCATATACCAATTGCTTCAAGACAAGGAACTCACCTTCAAACAAGACGATGGGACATTAGCTGTGGATCTGGAAAAATTCAAACTTGGCAAACCGGTGCTCAAACGATCTGATGGCACCAGTCTTTATCTCACTCGTGACTTGGCCAGCATATTGATGCGATGTGAACGTTTTCCAGCAGATCGAGCTGTCTACGTTGTAGGGACAGAGCAAGGACAATACTTGAAGCAAGTATTCAAGATCGCAGACCTCTTGTTTGCAGGACATCAATCCATGCCCAAACAGCTGCTTCATGTTCCGTTTGGTCGAATTCATGGCATGTCAACAAGAAAAGGAAGCGTAGTGTTCTTACAGGATATTTTAGACACAGCAAAGACAAGCATGCTCGACATCATGAAAGAGAATGATGAAAAGTATCGACAGATGCAAGAAGACGTCAACGAGGAGATTGCAGATGTAGTTGGTGCTTCTGCTGTATTAATACAAGATCTGGCCGCCAAACGAATCAAAGACTATCACTTTTCTTGGAAGAGAATGACAGATGCACGCGGTGATACCGGCGTTTATCTTCAGTACGCACATGCTCGCTTATGTGGGTAAGTCACTAGCTTCCTTTTAGGTTTAAAACTGCCAACTTCTTTTATCCATGAACTCATGATGTCTCAATTTTTTTTTTTTACGCTAGCATTGAACGGAAATCAGCAACACCCATTATGGCAGACATTGATGCAGATTTATTGAAGGAGAAGGAGAGCATGGACTTGGCTGTCATGATATCACAATACCCTGATGTTGTTCAGAGTGCGTTTGAAACCTTAGAGCCATGCACCATCGTCCAATATCTTTTCCACCTTTCTCACGCCATTAGCTCCGCCAACGCTCAATTGCGAGTTAAAGACGTCCAACCGGACCTTGCAAAGGCACGAATGTCTCTGTTCTGGGCAGCCAAAACGACGTTGGCCAATGGAATGCAACTTTTGGGAGTAGAACCTTTGGAACGAATGTAGAAGACAATTGATGTCACTGCCATAAACGGCACGTTCGGAATGTTGATGAAAGGAATCTCCTACTCACCAGCCACTAGACTGCATTTTTTTTTTCTTCTCTTCTTGTTGTTTGTTCCTTGCCCTTTATTTTTCTTTCATTGCCTTTTGAATTCCCAGTGCGGACGTTTGGAAGCACTCCTTGTGTCAGTTCATCTTACCCTGCATCTCTTTCCATTCCCCACTTTGTAAACAATGACCATAGTCATTGTTTAAATTCCCAATTGTCGGCGGTGCAGACCCTAATTTTTTTTTAATTGAATCATAACAAACACGCTTGTCTCTTTCAATCTCCCATTCGGATTGTCGCCTTCCACCTACCTCTTCAGATATTGGTGGTTTTGGTTTTTTTTTTTTTTCAGGAACACATTTCTCCCCCCGAGTAACTCAACCCCAAAAACCAGTTTAAGCCCAAACAAATCATGTCAGCCGCTAAAATGGACGTTGCACAGTCAACAGAGCATATGATCGGATCCTCCAGTATGAATCCAGTTCGTTTGGATAGTAAAGACCATTTTCTACATCAGAACAGTACTTCTATCGAAGAGGACGCCGGAGACATTGTCGCTAATAACCTGGCCAACCAATTGGCTTCGCAGTTCGCCCGTTACGAATTGACTCAACCTCCCCCTTATTACAGCACCGATAACTATACTATGCAAGCCACAAGCGATGTCATAGATCGCTCGGCCCACCACGATGTGGAAAAAGTCATTGAAGTTGCTCCCAATGGCCGGTACGCCCGGTTGAACACGCTTCTTGGAAAAGGTGCCTACAAGATTGTATATAAAGGCATAGATCGAGAAGAAGGCTACGAAGTGGCATGGAACATCTTTTCTCAGGTAGGCATGGACATGGATGGAGGCTCTTTTTCACACCTTTTTGCTCATTCTCTCTATGTTTGATAGCCAGCAACCACCGACTATGGAGAATTAAGCCATGAGATTGAAATTTTAAAGTCAGTACGACACCCCAACATCATCGCCTTTCATGACGCTTGGTCTACCAATAACGAATTTGTCTTCATCACGGAACTGATGACCTCTGGAACCCTTCGTGACTATATCCGCAAACTCTCACTCCCCAACATTAAGGTCGTCAAGCGTTGGTCACGGCAGATTCTCAAAGGTCTGGTTTACCTTCACGGCCATGAGCCTCCTATCATCCACCGCGACATCAAATGCGACAACATCTTCATTAATGGTGCTCATGGAGAAGTTAAGATTGGTGATCTTGGTACCGCCCAGGAAAATTCTCCCTTAATCAGTTCTGCCAAACGATATACAGTGATTGGAACTCCCGAATTCATGGCGCCGGAAATGTATGAAGAGAAAGGATACAGTGAGAAGGTCGACATCTATGCTTTTGGCATGTGTTTGTTGGAGATGGTGACTGGAGAGTATCCTTATGGAGAATGCAAGAATGCTGCGCAGATTTACAAGAAAGTCATTCAGGTAAGTGCCGCCACCACTTGCTGATTCGTTTTGGGAGGTTCTTATCACTAAAACGTTGGGTCGTTTAGAATATCAAGCCGGAGTGTCTGTCAAAAGTCCAAGACGAGGAAGTGCTGGCTTTAATAAATAGCTGTCTTTCACCTGAGAATGAAAGGTAATGCTGTGCTGCAGGTCCAGGATTTTGAAATTCAGATCTTACTAATCTCCCTATCTTGGTAGAATGTCGGCTCAAGAAATCTTGGAACACTCATTCTTAGCTGTTGAACCAGAAGTTGTCCTTGTTGCTACGGACAGTACCAAGAAGCACCTGCACATGTTGGTTGTTTTCAAGGGCATGGAAAAGTTGTCGGTTAAATTCGAGTTCAATGCTGTAAGACATCGTTTTTCATCCCCCGCATCATCTTGAAAATATGAGGCGTGACTAATTTTCCACCGTGTAATTCAGGACACTGACACTGCGGATGAAGTTGTTTCCGAAATGGTAGGCTAGACCAGATACATGCTTGGTCATCGCTCAATAAATGGTATCTAACTGAACCTTCTCTATAGATCGAAGAACAAGTTTTGCCTCAACGGTATCAACAATTAATCACTGGCGAAATTAATCGAATCTTGCGTGATATGACCAAGGATTCCGGTAGTCAGCAAAACGATACGGCAAGACTGGTATGGAGACGTGAATATGATTACCAATCTGAATTGGAACAAACCCGACTGGAGACTTTGAAAGCCGAGGAGAGAGCCTTGGAAGCTCAAAAGCGGTGTGAGGAATTAGAACTGCAAGCTAGCATTGCTGAAGAGAAATTTTCTGATACGGTGCGCAAGATGACGGCCGTCGAAGTAGAAGAACAAATAGAAAGTCCTCAAGATACCACCAGGTCTACTCACGCCGCCTTGATGGAGCATGTGCTTTCCAGTAAGTCGATACCATTGTGGTTGCGAGAAATGCCACCAGCATGCTCACTCACCCGCTGTTGTCATTGTAGAATATGAAGATGATGAGGATATCCAAGGTCTTGTGCTGGATGCGGCAGCCGCGACCAATCGTGGAAGGGATAAAGCCACAGAGTGGGTTCACAAACTTCATGATCAGGACATTCTGACGGTCGGCGATCTGCGCGGTCTTTATGATGAAGATTGGGCCGGTTTAGGTTTGACGGTATTTGCGTTGAGAGCTCTTAAGAACACTCTCAAAGGAAAGAGACCCTCTATGCGTAGCAATAGTATATCCGATATAGATGGACCTGGGAGTGTGGAAGATGTTCAATCTGTTTAATTCATAATTGCTAAATAAATGTGTTTTTTCTTTATACTACTTTTTATGCCCTGATATTCCCAGCATTGAGCCATGATAGGGTAGTTTGTCTCGCACTCATGGATTTTAAATTGCAAGAGCGCCATTTGCTGACATGAAGAAAAGGGGGGTGGGGTTTATATACATTGATGACCAAAAAGCCATAGAGGAGATACATGAAAGATTTTAAGTCAGTACAAGGGACAAAACAACCATGAATGCCATGGAATTTTGAGCGGTGAGTGATTCATGTGGCGATATTCAATTTGCTTTGACGATTCAATAGATCCTGTCTTGTGCCATTGACATTCTGATTATCCCACGGTATCCAAAGACCATGACTGAGGCCAACATAATACCATATGACAATGGATATGATGACGATCATCCAAACCGCTGAAAGAAGTGCCATGGCTCGATTCAGAAGATGAAATAATTGAGAGTATGACAACTCCCTTCGGTACTGAGCTTTATGCAGCGTTCCTCCTAACGCCTTGGTCATCCATGACGATGTCTTAAGGTCGACACTGCTGCAACTACTGCGAACGCTCCCTGCCGATGTCTGCGGGCGGCAGTAAAAACCCCCTATCCACCAACAAGGAAATAACAGGAAACCAAGTGCAAACAGAGTGACTTGCATGGAATAAAGTGAACCTTCTGCTTGCCAAAAGTAATCGTCTCGGATACCATCTGAATTTGGCGTTGCTACTGAATCCATGTCATCTGCGTAGGAACGATTATCTTTTGCTGATGAAGCTGACGAGATGGTTGCACAGGTATGTTGAAACAATGGCACGGAGTCATCCAATCGATGGTAAGGATTGACGGTTATTTTAGGGTCCAGCATAGGAGTTCTCAGTAACCAGGATCTCGGCCAACCCTGCTTTCTTCCAGAAGCCATAGATCTGAACAAAAATTGGTAGTTGATAGGCGCATCTACAGAAAACCGATATCCATGGGGAGTCAGTTTATGAGATGTTGCGGCGGGGTAGGTCGAGGGTCTAACATGTGCTTGCTGTGGAACATCCAGGTCCAACGCTCGCTGAGCTGCTAGTTTGACAGATGACCTCGACTGGCTGTGGAAAGGTGCCAAGGTTGCTGTATCGGATACCGCACTACCTCGAAACGCACTGATATTCGACTGCGGTTTAGGAGTAAAAACAAAAAGTTGACTAGCGTTGGCATCGATGGTTGGTTTATAATTGGGTGTTGAAATACGACTCCCACCAGGCACTGGCGACGCAAATGGATCTAGAAAAGAATCCATTGACAGGTAGAAAATGAAAGGAAAGGAAAAAGAAAAAACAAGAACAGAAACCTTTGATAAACACATTCTCAAACAGCTTTATTGTATCAAGACTTTGTAACAATTCCAATGAACGGCTTTTTTTTGAGTTATGTAGTCATTCTCCCAGAGATATTCAATTTCAACGTATTCAGTAAGTCAGGAGTGGGCTTCAAAAATCTGAAGTTGCTGACCAATGAACATATGGGCCAGCCTTTTCCCCACACTCACGCAAAATAAAAATATTTAAACAGTAAAGACCCAACCGAACCACTTTGTATTCCATACATCCCGCCTAATGTCATTCCCAGTCGCTATACCTTCGAAGGAGAAACACTTCATGACTCTCCATAAGGAGGGAGGGTTGTACATTCTGCACATGCACAATGCGGACAATAGATTCAATTCAGAATTCGTTGCCGCGTTGAACCAGGCCCTGTCGATTGTTGAGGGAGAGTACAACTCTGCTGAAGAGCTGCAGGCCACTGCACTCGTCACCATTGGAAACGACAAGATTTACTCCAATGGTCTCGACCTCATGCATGCTTTTGCCAATCCCGCCTTTATGGACGGCTATTTGGCCTTATTGAGGCGTCTTTTGACTTTCTGTATCCCCACTGTCGCTGCTCTCAACGGGTAGGTAGAGCAGAATTACTGAATGGGGTGAAATTTGAATTTGCTAAAATTGAAGTGTTTTGATGATAGACATGCGTTCGCTGGTGGTTGTATGATGGCATTTGCTCATGGTAAGCATCGTTGTATCACACGTGAAGGATGAGCCATTGGAAACTGATGGCATTGTCGTGTCTTATATGATAGATTATCGTGTTATGCGTTCCGACAGAGGATACATTTGTATGGTAAGCCCACAAATTCCCCCCTTTTCTTTTTGAACATTAGGATTAAAAGCTTAATTTCCCCATTTAGAATGAGGTGGATCTGCCTGCTCCTCTAGCACCAGGTATGGCGGCTATTCTTCGTGAAAAAATGACTCCTCATGTCTACCGCGATATGATTCTACAAGGTCACCGCTTTACGGCAAAGGAAGCGTTGGAAACCCACCTTGTGGACGAAATTGCTGAAGCTGACAAGGTGTTGCCTGCTGCCAAAGCCTTGGCTCTTAAGTGGGCTCCCAAGGCCAAAGCTGGCATTGTGTACAAACAGCTAAAGGATGAAATGTTCACTAATGTAGTAGCTAAATTATCGATACCCTACCATCGATTAGCACCCAGAATGTAAGAATAGAATTAAGAAAAAATATAGCGGCCATAAATTGTTTTTATTACCCTATGGCGCGATGCAGTGGTGAAATAACGCAAGGGCATTTGACCGTCACAGGGCGAAATTGTTACAGGTCCCCGCACCCACGGCTCACTTTATCCATGGTTGTACGTTGCAAATCCATGGTTCTACCCTCGCACTAAAGCCATGATCGATAAACTCAAATAGTCCACATCTTCACAGTATTCAATATCTATTTGCTTATCTATCCACTTTGCCAACTAGCTTTGGCTTGTCTTTCTGTTGTACACTTGATCCCAAGACGACAGATTGCGCAATAACAAATTAGCGTGGTAAAAGCAACCCCTAGCATTGCGCAATAAGTGGCATGGTGCGATCAATTGCCGTTTAGATTGGCTGACAGATCTCAAACACCAAGCATGGTTGCCATCATTTCAGTCAAAAATGGCGAGCAATATGGAAACACCCCCATTCAGGTAAGTTTTGACTTGATAGTGGTAGTCAGTCTTTGGTTTCCCAATTTTACCTCATTGACCATTTCCTCTTTGATTGCGCCATTACTTGCCGAAAAAATTCGTTGCAACCTTATCCTTCCCTCTTCTTATCTCTCTATTTCCCATTCCTTCTTCCCCCCAATGACACAGCCCGATACCCAAGCTATGCGAACTCTACCTCCCATAAGTTCATTAGCACATCAATCAGATTTGACCAATCGTCCCAAATCGATTCTGCCGGCCACTACCCCTCGAATCACGCCGATACTACCTCACATTGTCACTACGGCGACCACCACTTCCACATACCATCCTTCATCTCATGAACCTGTGATGAACTCTCTATCCTACTACCCTTTACATGTAACATCCACGCCCCACCTTCCAGATGGGTATGCATATGATCCCACCAAGTCGCCACCAAGCCATTTGGACGGAAAAGGCGGTCAGCTGACCTCTGAACAAGTATTGGCGGAAAAACGACGACGAAACGCAGGCGCATCGGCTCGGTTTCGTGATCGACGAAAGCAGCGTGAAAGAGATATGACTGATAAATGCCATCAATTAGAAGAACGAGTAAGAGAGCTCGAAATAGCCCTTTCGCGCGCTACTGGCCAAAGCGTAGAAGAGATTCAAGAGGGAGCTCGCAAGCCACTACATCAACGAAGACGAAGTAGTTCTGTGTATTCAGATGAATCGCAAGACAAAAGTGATAATTTCCAAACCCTCGGTGAGCGAGTTTCTGAACTGGAAAATTTAGTCGGGCGGTCCCGTCGAGAGAAAGATGCAAGTGTGAAACAGCTGCAAGAGCTTGAGAAAGAAGTGAGTGATCGATCCCCTTTGTTTTCCATGCCTGACTGTCAAAAACTCTAAACTCGGTTCTCTTCAGAACGCTTACCTTCGCTCACTGCTGACCCCAGCCACAGCTCCAATAGCAATGGCCCCCTCCACGCCGCCAATGTCAGTTTCATCGTCCCCTCCCACTAGCAGTCATAAAATCGTCCAACAACGCTCGACCATCGCTGTAGAAGAATCGTCGTCCATCGAAGCAAAGAGACGAAAATTCAGTCATGACGCTGCTGAGGATATCACTGTAGAATCGTCCTAAATAGCCCAGCCGTAGCTTCTTTGCTTTGAAATGTATATAATAAAAATTTACCCACATAAAACCAGAACACTTATGTCATTCTTGCAGTTTTGAGGCCATCATGACTCCCCCTTGTCGTTTTTCCTTTTCGAGCAAATGTCAATGAACGTGGCTCTCCTCCACTTTTGACAAAAACCGTGGTCGTTTTCTTCCTCCTTTTCTTCGGTCATGTACAACTTTTTCAAGGAGGATTCAGTTGGAAACGAAAACCTCATCATGCGCTGCTACTCACACAGGGTTAGGGTACATTGGATTGGTTGGTGTTAAATGCAGTCGACACAAGTTTGGAGCGGCGCCCTAACGGCTGAGGTTTGAAAAGGTGGGAAGTTTGGATCTGAAGAACGAGAGAATTTTTTTTCATCCTTCCCCGCCTTTTTTCTTCTCTACTCAACATGTTGCACTACGACACTGTACTTGGTACGATATGATCCATGAACACCCCACATGTAAACCGGTAGCTAACCCCTATCATCACTAGAACCCCAGCCAGTTGCCTCGCATACTGCTAAATCTGTTCACCATGTCATAACCGACGACATGCAAGAGATGTACATGTCGTCGGACGAAGAGACCACCACCACGTTTAGCACGGTTGCCGCTGGCGACTCTGCTAACATGGATCACGACATGGAAAGCCCCATGAGAGAAGAAAGTTATAAACAGTTTCAACATGCCATGGAAAGCGCCACCGATACACACGTTTCCACTTGCAAGAGCACGTATTTCTTCGATGGCGGCAAGCGCTTTATTTCTGTAAGTATCCCGCGGCATGTGCAACGCAACGTCCACCTTGCCATGTTAACCCTTGAACTTTTTTTTTTGTAAAGCTTCCAACCCTGGGTAACTCTAACATCAAGGCAGCTTCGTTGGTATCACGCATGTTTGAGCACTGGTTGGAAAATAAAATTTGCCACACAAGTCATACCGACCAAGAAGATCACGTCCCCATCTTAGAAGACAGTGTTGAACTGTGTTCAGAAGACATCATGAATACACTCAAACAAAAAGGCTCTGTTCGTGCCTTCAACGGCCTGTCTCATGTGTTGGTCAAAATTCGAGCTGGACACGCTTACTTTTATCACCAACTGGATGACGGTCAGCCCTTATTGTCACAAGACATGGAGGACTTTTTCCAGCAATTTCCTTTATTTGTTGAAGTGACCATCCACGTCAAAACCCTCGACACCAAGCGACTTTCTCCTCAACAACCTTGCAAAGTTCTCTTGTCTATGGAGAACATGGGTATCAACGCTACCAAGCCTTACAGATTGATGGAAGAAATTCATCTTTCATGATCTTGGTTAAAAAAAAAACCCAAAAATTGCCACCCATGCCGCTCTGGCATTTGATGATGAGCAAGCAACATTTTTTTTTTCCACCTTTCCATTCCCCGCCGCCCTGTTTTCTATTTCTCTCTATCCCTTTTTTCTTTCTTTTTGAAACAAGCAGAGATGCTTTCCAAAGGGAAAAAAAATTGCATACCCGTACGTACATTCTTCCCCTCAAATCAATGCCTTTCTAGATAGTATCCCTTCAAATCCTTTTAGTATTTCTAAGTTTGTGTGTTCTGTTCTCCATCCGAGAATGGTTGTAAATAAAATCACTCTTTCACCCTAATGTTGTTGGCTATTATGGAAGGATTTCAATGAACTGGTATCTATGTACAGGGGTAGGTTCAATCGCTGTTGTCTGAATCAGTATAGTCGACGGAAACAAGGGATATTGCGGAGGAACTTGATTCAGGCACTGTCCAAACCATATATTAATAAGAAAAAAGGTTCCGGTTAGCGCACGGTGATTGGCATAGGAGAACCGGACCAATACGAACCTTCTTTGGACTGCTGCTTCACAACTACGATGTCAGCCAAGGTATCTTGCTTGGACAACTGTCCAAAGGAAATAGTGCTTTGTAGAAATGGGTCGACTTTTCGTCGAGTCTGAGTGACCAATCGACTGGCCAGATCATCTTTCGCGCAGCCTTTGGTGTCCCGGCGCCGCTTGCTAAACAATGGGCTCACTTCTGCATCCTTTTTTCTCTTCTCTGCAGAAGCAATGACGGGATCTGCGAGAGACAAAAAAAATATAAACGACGTCAGAGACATGAAACCATTTCACTTTCTCATCCCCCCATCATGTACCTTCAAATTCGGTGAGCTTGGCTTTGATCTCATCATCGGGATGCTCGTCCACAAGATCAATGTGAAGTGACATCTTGTCCTTCAATTTATCGGCTTTCTCCACATTGGCTTTTTCAATCTTCTTTTGTTCTCTGAACTTCCGTCGTAATTGCTGCGACAGGGTATAGGGATCACTCCACTGAGCGTCATTTAGTCGCTGAAGCTGGGTGAGAACGGGCACAGTTTCAGCTGCCTTCCGTTGATCCTGTACTCCATGTTCCAATTTGAAAAATGCGTCATTTTCCAACTTTTCCAAGGTCGCTTCATCTGGTATCGAGGGTTAGTCCCGCTATGTTCCAGGCCATGCAACCATCGAGCAATGAATTTACCTTTCAGCCGGATCACTTCGGAGTCCTCCGGCTCCCATTCCTCTACTTTTTGCCGCGCTCCGCTCACGACATCGTATTTCGTTTCCTAGAAATTCCGTTTGACTGAGTTGGTAAAAAAAAAAGTCGGAACTTCCTACCACATGGCGACATTTACCTTTGGGTTGGTATGAATTTCGATCCAGTTATCGCACAAGTGACATTTCATTCGAAATTGCCATATCGGCGTTGAGAAGTAATTCCCAATCTTTTTCTTCTCCGCATTGTAGCGTACGCCTAGAAGGAAGGAACATTCAGCAAGGCCGCAAACGCGCGCTATGTCTGTGGACTTACCCATGCCAATATGATTGTCGCATCCTTCGCACCAGATATTGAAAGGAAGTTCAAACCTGAAATGAACAAACCCAAGCCAGGTGTTAGTACAGCCGAACATCACACGAGATATCGCCTGGATCAAATCAAATCTTACCGAACCACCAAGATCCCTTGGTCTATCTTGCGTGCCCGATCTCCAAGGGGATGTTTGCCTACGAATGTATTGACGGAGCCCTAGCATGATGGAGTTGCAACAAAAAAATGAGACCAAAGCTCGAGTACTTGACTGACCCGCCTACAACATACCTTTTCAGGCGTCCAGTCTGGAGGATAGTACTTGTTGAATGGCTGCATGTCGTGCGCAGCTTCAATGGGTGTTACCAGGAGACGAGCTTGTGGCAGGACTGCGAATGTGTTTTTTTTTCCACGCACGCACATTCAGTTCCAGCCCTACTACCCACCTAGCAAATCGAAATATCTAAAACCAATGCCACCGCACGTCGTTGTCAGATCGATCGCTCCTATTCTCATCGAACGATCCCCCCACGGCTTCATGGTCTACGCACGGAACCACCCAAAAAGAACCATCATGTGGAGCGTCTGGTGCGACTGCAGCACAAAAAGCTGCTCAGTGCATCGCTTGTTCACGTGCACTACGGGCCGATTACAACCCTGCGCTTTTGCGATGGTGGCAATTAAGGTTGCCCATTTTTTCGCAATAAGATATTACAAGAATTGGATTTCTAACGCAAGGCATTTTCACTTGAAGTATAGACATCGATCATTCCCCTCTCAAAAAAAAATAACACTCCATGACCTTTATGATAAGCTTGTAAATGTTTACTACTGTGCAGTTGAGTCACCACCTCGGGATGAGTCAAATCCCCTCTTCAGCTTAATCCACTTTCCCGACCTGCCCACTCATATTCACCCTCACCGAATTAAGCGAAGTGGTCCGCAACGGAGAAACTGTTTGAGCGAAGCTGGCTACATTGTATATCCGCTGAAGTCGAATGATGCATATTTGTAAATATTGGATAAGAAAGTCGAGACTGCTGGAAAGCGAAGAGACCACGTTGAGATCCATGGGCATTGCCTGACATTTGCTTACGTATCCTTGCCGGCATTGGTGGCAAAGCAAAAAAAAAAAATATGCGAGTGATACGATGAGGTGTCCCAACCTTTTCACAACGGGCCAATTGAATGTCACTGGTTTCAAGGATAAACTTCTTCCGCGACCCAATTTGTCAGGTCGGAGTCAGTAAGTGAATTTGTCTACGTAGGCCGTTTGTCATCCGCCTCCTTGTGAATGACACATAAGCGGGGACGATCACAGATCAGACAAATCATAGTAAAACCAAGATATTTGTTTAAATAAAATTGAACAACCATGATAAAACAGAACACAATGAATAGAAGTGTTTAATAAAAATCAAACTTGTATGTTCACTTCTTCATGGTCGGCGCACTTCGGCGATCCACTGGAAAGAAAAATCATTAATGGATAATTAGTTTGTTTGCAGGGACAGCTAGAAAAGCGATCAGAAACCTTGTAACAAATCAAATCGTAGACTGCGGTTGCAGCGATCGGAGGGTGGGTGCATAGCCACCTTTTTTATGACTTGTTCATGGTTATATCTTAAAGCCGTTAATATCCTGTTGGGTATTGCTTAGCAATACGGGCTGCGAAGTGCAAGTACCCGTTCATGTCCAGGCGGGGGTTTATGGCGCTTCGGGAAACGTGGATGGAGGGTGGATAAACCTCGGCCACGAATTCTCAGAAATTTTTAGCCGAGATTTCTTGGAGAGAGGGCAGCGATTACACAATCCCCCCACCCAACCAACCTGACACCCAAAAAATTGATATATAATCCATCACTGTTCCCAACCTCCTTTTCTTACTTTTCCCTTTTTAACCTATCTTTCTCCAACCATGAATCGATTGGACAATTATTCATTAAATTTACGACATGGCCCTTCCATCAAAGCCATGCTCAATGACGGTCAGATCAACCATTACCACTCTTCAGACGAGCAATTAGATCACCATCATTATCATAATACAACACCCCCAACGCTAATGCCATCACCACCTGAATTACTCCATGATAGTGGAGAAGACGAATCAGATGACGATATGATCCAGGATCATGTTAGCCCGTTACCTTATCTTGTTTCCAATTTCCAACGTCATCAAAGCAGCAGTTCGCCAGTATCAGTATTAAGGCAGCGAGAGTCCTCCATTAGATCAGACTCTAAACCTTCAGTGTCATTTGATGATACCACCAAGGCTGCCCAAGAATTCGGCGCACATCACCAGAGACATTTCACCACCGCGCGGCAGAACCGTTTGTCCGCTCACCGAAGCAAATTTTCATCTTCACCAGAAGAAGACTCTCAGATCAATCGTAGAAAATCGATACCTCATCGATCGCCTGCCGCGATCCAAGATGCTTTACAGGCCACTGCTTTGGATCAAAGTATTGTGTTCCAACTCAATGTATCGGGCGATTTATTTGATCATCAAGAATGGATCGACAAAGATAACATTGGATGCAAGCCAGAAGTGATTTGTGGTGAATCGCTCTTGACCGCACTGCAATCAAGAGTGACTTCAGCGAGACATGAGCGATCTAGTATGAAACCTAAGCAAACTTCACCTAGACGTCATATCGTAGCTCATAAGATCAATATTCCCCGTTCCCCTAAATCGCTTAAGCGAAGAAAGAGTCCTGAAGCCGTCAGCCCTTCCGAATTGGCCAACGCTTTCACAGACATGACGGTGTATACACCTCATAGTGATGAAAAACACCACCATCGACGAGCACATGCCATTGATTATAGAGCTCAATTGGATAATGATGATGAAGACGAGGATGAAACCCTCAAGTCTCCCATTAGCTCGGAGGAGGTCGCCGACAAATCTGCATCTCCTTCCACCACCTCCCATCGCAGCAAGTCAAAGGGTCCATGCCAAGCTTGCCAAGAAGTTTCCGATGGATGCATGCGTAAAGGGTTCAACTGGCCCTTCGAAGCCAGCCTCATCTACTATGACAAGGGCAAGCCTTTCGTCTACCTGTGCAATAAATGCGGACTCCGGTATGTACCGATTTTTTTTTTTTTTGGATCTAATGATATTAATAATACATCAGCACATACTGACTAAACAAAAAAAAAATTAATTTCATCCAGCTATAACAAGAGTAACGGTTGCGTATGTAGGAATTGCCGATGGGTGTTCTGTAAAGAAGAAAAACGCAAGGCTCTCCAGCATATCGAAAAGATGCGTGCATCTCGGCCTGATGGTCAGATCGATATGGATGAATTCATCGAAGGCTTCGTCTGCAGTCCAAAGTACTGGACGTGCGGGCAGAAATGGCGTGTCAGCTGGGTCCTGAATGCCAATGCCAATGAATAAGCGATACCAACGACTGACTAATTATCCACCAGCGTTTTTTCCTTTCTTACCTCTTGTACATAGACTTTTTTTTTTTTTTTATGATTCTTACACTTCATCGTACTTCACCATTCCCCCCCATCTCTATCTCTGAATAATTTTCTCTTTTTCACTTGTCATTTAATTCTTTCTTCTGTCTTCCTTTTGTCCTGTCTTCTACCGAAGCAAGGACTGTATCATAATTTTGTAAACCTCTGTTTCAATACAGTAACAACATACTCATTTTTTCCACTCGATGTTTACCTCGTATCACCTTGTTGCTATTGTCCTTATTTGGAGTTTTATCTTGGCGGACCGAATGCATGAAGATGCTACAGTGTTGACGCTTTTCGTCTCAGGGCAATCCAACTTGCTGGATGCTCATGAAACGATCTTCGTCATGGTACTTTATGGTTTGTGTGATCTATGTTTCGAATGGTTTCAAATCTCGTGGAAAAATGGGGGATGCCATATATGGCATACTCCCAGGCCCCCCAATGTGAGACCCGCCTCATACAAACTACAGTATGCGTATAGACACGTATCAGGTGCCGGTATGATTACTTACTGTTCACAGTATAGATTTATTTTTTTTATGACGTGTCCTCTCGAGACACAAGCTTTGATCTTTTTATAACACAATAGCCGTTCTTCATTACACAGCGGTTATATATATATTATGCTAATGTAACGAAGGTTCAAATGATCCTTTCCGTCGATTATTTGCCGTCCGCAGTTGGATCAAGGGGACCATTAACAGGGACCTGTTCACCCATGAACTGAGCGGTATCGAATCCGTTTTCTTCCAAATATTTCTTAAAATCAATATCTTCTTGTTCCAGCGAATCGGGCCCAATATTGGGGATGCAAAAGAAGGCAATGATTCCAGCTAAAATAGCGATGCCACTTCCTAATAAGAACGGGCCTTGGTTTCCCGCACGTTCTATCAATGGTTGAAACGCAAGCGTTCCTACCGTTGCGCCGACCTTACCGACGGCTGAATGAGATCGAAAGCAGTTAGTAACAATGAAACCCCCACAGCAGCCATGGGTTGCTTCTTCTTTACCTGCTGAAATGCCATAACAGGTTCCTCTGACCGAGGTGGGCCAGATTTCTGCGCTAACAAGACCAATGGTGTCGCCGGGACCTAATTCTCCCATCATCAGGAAGAGACCATACATTACCACAAACATAGGGAAGCAGTTCTTGACCAGCAAGTTAAGGCAGCCACCCATGATGAGACCAATAATGCCTTGAGCAATGAATCCAAGCGACATGGTTTTTCTTCTTCCTATCCGATCCACAAGCAAAGCCCCAGCCACGGCTCCAGGTAAATAAAACGCATAAAGTAGTGTATTCCATCCAGCGGTTTGAATCAGGGGGCTGCCAGGAGCGACGACGACATCGAGGATAGTGGTAGAGAACACGCCACTTGGATATGAGATAAAATCATACACAAACCAAAGACCTCCAGTGGTAAGAAGACGTCTCCAATAGCGCTTGAAGATGAGCCAGTACGGCACTTTGCGTTTAATGTGAGATTTTCGATATCTCGCAGGATCCGCCATACGAAGTCGGACTTTTTCCAACAACCAAGGAGAAAAAAAACAACGGTTAACCAGGCGGACATTTAAACATGTTCTCACATAAATTTCCAAACTCACAATAGAGAACACTAAGAGGTGGAATGACTCCAAGGCCTAAGCACAGTCTCCACACAGGTTCCAGATGACTCTCTCCAAAGATGGCCAATAGAATGATGGGCACCAACGCTGAAATAACATAGCCCAGATCAATGACAAAGTTCGTCACCATGATGAACAGAAAACCACGTCGTCCAGGCAGAACTTCGTCAGCACTTTCACCGGCTGCAACACTTGAGCATGGATATTCTCCTCTACATTTATAACCCATTAGTCTGACTATCCGCGGTTCAATAATGATTGTGAACACTTACCCTACACCAACGCCCATAATGCCTCTGGAGACAACCAACATCCATAGTAGTCCTTGTGGAGTGGTGCCACTACTAGCAGCACACATAGCGGCACCAATGATCACCAGTAACGTTGTCGAGACCAGACCGATTTTACGACCAATTCGATCGCAAATGACGCCAAAGCCAAGTTGACCAATGACAGCCCCCACGAACATAGAGTAGGAGATACGAGATGCAACGGTGGCATTGAATATATCGGTTCCGTAGATCAGTTTCAGTGGGACCTGGACAAATGAGATGATACCAGACTGATAGCCGTCGGAAAAGAGAGCCGCACCAGAGAAGATGGTAGTGAAGTAAGCAGCTCTTTTAGATTTGGCAGTGAAGTACACTGGAGACGACGTGGATTGGTGGTCTGAGCTGACGTCTTCCTCTTGTACTTGATGCGACAGGTTGCCCTTTGTATCCTGGCTGGTAGACCTACGATGCCCTGCTGTCTCAACATGATAGGTGGAGCTGGTGCTTGAATCCATTGAAGATGAATGGAGTTCACCTGCTTTGGAGAAAGGAAAGGCGAATTAAAGAGAAGAGAGGAAAGAAAAGTAAAGGCAGTTCAAAAAATGATCATTGTATATAAGGTGTGCCTTTCCAAATTGAGAATTCACATGCCCCTTCCTGCTTATGGTCATTTGAGACCATGCTACTTTGGCTTCACCACTTCATTGTTGAAAAGAAGTTCTCCTTTTCACTTCTTCTATCGAATCCTTTCGATTCTGTTGTTACTGCCATATAGGAGGCAAACCAGTGTTAGCTCCTATACGGACCGCCTCCTGGTAGCTTGAATCGCTGCTCGGAAATATGCTAGGTCTACAACGGTTTGAATACAGGCAGAAGTTTTGTGCTCCCCGCTTTTGAGCGAGCGACCGCATCTACGTATTTGATTCTTTTCGAGTAAGAATTTATTTTTCGAGTTAGTCCCACCGCTTGTTTCTGCAACAAAATATATTATGTATTTGCCTATAGCTCCCCCAATTAAACTTACTTGGGTCCGATACGACAATGGCTATGATGTGTTAAGCATGTCAACAACAAACAAATGCAAGTAGCTTGAATGAATTTCTGTAGAAAAAAAGAGACTTCATGTCTTATATTAAAATAAAAACTGTCTCTGTAGGGTGCCAGTCTTCACAGGGTGGCATACACTGCCGTTGATGGACAGGTAATCTGTGATAATGTAAAAAAAAAAAAAATTGAACTGTTACAAGTAATGCAGACGATTTTTTCTTACTCTTTAAATCAGATCTTTTATGATGCTGTTGATTCGATTGGAGTAGTGTTGGCTACCGTTTTGATAAGGTTGCCACCGCTAGATTATGCTATGCAATGCATATGGTTTCATATTTAGCGGTAAAGTACAGTATATGATCTCGTCTATAAAGCAAACGAAGTCTATTTAAAAACGGATGAAGGGTATCTGTCTATAACTCTGATAGGATATGGCAATGGAAGGTTGAATTTACTAATGTGTAAACATGGATCAGCGTTGGTGGTGCCTAGCTGAGTATTCGGCTATCTAAAATTTTTGATACGCTGATGTGAGTGCTTTGTGGTAGAAATATAGCAATTTGTCTATGAAATAAGTAAATTGGGGATGGTAATAAGAGACCCTCAATGTGTATATGAATGAGTGAATAGGTAAAGTTCGAGAGAAGCAGCGGTTATAAAGAGCTGCACCCATCAGCGATAAAGTGATTTGAACATTATCCACGTGACTTTGTCGATTTGCCACAATTTTTTCCAAATGGCCTGACTGGCTGTCATGACAAACGCGTAGTTGTACTTTTGGGCCAATCGTCACTTCAAACGCTTTTTCACAAATGTCCATCGATCCCAATTCAGCTGTGTACGCCACCGATGAATACGGCAGACCTTTCATCATTGTCAGAGAGAGCCAGAGGAAGTCGAGATTGAGCGGCATTGATGCTATCCGCGTATGTTCCTGTGTCCGATGCAAGTTTTCATCTTGTTCTCGATCAAACGTCTAATCTACCCATCCCTTCTACCTGCAGTCCCACATCCTCGCTGCCAAGACCGTTTCCAACATCATCAAAACTTCCCTTGGACCAAGAGGTAAGTTACTGGCGATCATCTCGTTCTTACTGTCTTACTCAGCCCCTAGACTAACTATTTCTCTCGGGATATTTCGTTGATCTTCATCTCAGGTCTTGACAAGATCTTGATTTCTCCAGATGGCGACATCACAGTCACCAACGACGGTGCTACTATCTTGGATCAGATGGCGGTTGAACATCAGATCGCCAAATTGCTAGTTCAGCTGTCAAAATCTCAAGACGATGAGATCGGTGATGGTACTACTGGTGTAGTTGGTAAGTCCCTGCGGCTGCTGTCTTTGTGTAGAGGACCATTCAATAACCCAGAGGATTTCCTTTTTCTGTAGTTCTCGCCGGTGCTTTGCTTGAACAGTGCGAAGAGTTGTTGGACCGCGGTATCCATCCCATCCGTATTGCCGACGGTTTCGAACGTGCTTGCGCCGTTGCTGTTGAACATCTCGACAGCATCTCCGATACCATTGAATTTTCAAAAGAGAATGTTGAGAACTTGTACAAAACGGCACGAACCAGTTTGGGCAGCAAGATGTAAGTTGACACCCTGTCATACTATGACTCGTGTTTCCCTCCCCAACTCACATCTTTTCTTTTCTTAGCGTCTCCAAGTGCCACGATCAATTTGCCAACATTGCCGTTGACGCTGTCTTGTCAGTTGCCGATTTGGAACGCAAGGACGTTGACTTTGAGTTGATCAAGGTTGATGGAAAGGTTGGCGGCTCTTTGGTCGACACTGCCCTGGTTCAAGGTGTTGTCATCGACAAGGATATGTCCCATCCCCAGATGCCTCGCGAGATCCAAGATGCCAAGATTGCTATTCTCACATGTCCCTTCGAGCCACCGAAGCCCAAGACCAAGCATAAGCTTGATATCACATCCGTCGAAGAGTACAAGAAATTACAAGAATACGAACGCGCCAAGTTCCAAGAAATGATCAAGCAGGTCAAGGACACTGGAGCCACTCTTGTTATTTGCCAATGGGGTTTCGATGACGAGGCTAACCACTTGTTGTTGCAAAATGAACTCCCTGCTGTTCGATGGGTTGGAGGTCCCGAAATCGAATTGATTGCCATTGCCACCAACGGTAGAATCGTTCCCCGTTTCGAGGATCTTACCCCCCAGAAGCTCGGTAAGGCTGGTCTTGTGAGAGAATTGTCCTTTGGTACTACCAAGGACAGAATGTTGGTCATTGAGCAGTGCGCCAACTCTAGAGCCGTTACTGTCTTTGTCCGAGGTGGTAACAAGATGGTAAGTTTAGGTGATGGGATTCCTATGTTTAAAATCGATGGCTGCTAACTCCTCATCCTTTCCTAGATCATTGATGAAGCCAAGCGTTCTCTTCACGATGCTATCTGCGCCGTCAGAAACCTTGTCCGTGATAACCGTGTTGTCTATGGTGGAGGTGCTGCTGAAATCAGCTGCTCTCTTGCCGTTTCCAAAGCTGCTGACGAGGTAAGGACACGTCCAAAGGAAAATGAAACCCGTTGGACTGAACTAACTTTTTCAATCTATTCAGGTCTCCACTATTGAACAATATGCTATGCGTGGTTTCGCAGATGCTCTTGATGCTACCCCTCTTGCTCTTTCTGAGAACTCTGGTCTATCCCCCATTGAGACCCTGGCTGAAGTCAAGGCCCAACAAGCCACCACTGGAAACTCTCGACTTGGTATTGACTGCTTGTATGTCGGTTCAAATGGTAAGTGCTTGCTTGATGGATGTCGTGTATGCAGGATGGAAAGGGACATGTATGCTAAACTGTCTGGTATAGATATGAAGGAACAGCATGTGTATGATCCTCTTATTTCTAAGCGCCAGCAATTCTTGCTCGCCACTCAACTGGTCAAGATGATTCTCAAGATTGATGACTGTATCGTTTCTGGAGCACCTGATGCAGAGTAAGAGAGAGACCCCCCACAAAAAGGAATGGGCTCCCCGTTGTTTGTACAGTCAAGCCAAGCCTTTAAAATCAAAAACTTAGTATAACAATCGCACCCTCAACCCCTTTGACCTCCAAAGAAGATTCCCTTCTTTTGAAACAAACCAAACCAAAAAAAAAAAAAACCTCTTTATACATTCGAATGAAACCCCCAAAAAGAAAGTACAGACTTTTGCTATCCTTAGACGCTCACTTCTTTACATATAAAAAAAAATGTCAGATTCAGTCTGATCTTTACCAATACGCCTTTTGAGAATTTTCCTGTGATTGCCCGCCCGCCCCATGAAGGAGACAAGGACCTTTCTACACTCATTTCAAAACATCTGGCTTCCCTTTTTTTTTTCTCTTATACTTTAATATTCGACATAGCTTAGGTGAGCTTATACTATCAAGCGGAAATAGGAAGAAGAAGAAAAAATTCACAATGGGGAAAAATCATAAACACAAGACATTATTATAGGTTGGGGGAAAGGCAATATTTTTTTAAGCAGATTAGGCTTGAGCGTCGGCAGGGTATTCAGTGGTATTGTTTGTTACTTTTTCAGTGGTAGAAACAGGTGAAGAACAACGGACGGTGTTCTCAAGATCTTCTTCAGCAACTGGCAGATCAGTGCTGGGCCTTGTGGATCCGAATGCGTTCCACATCCTAGCATACATGCTGGAGCGTTTGTTATTGCTCTGGCTGGAGACGCCCGATGCATTCGACATGATGCTATCGGTGGACTGGCGGCTGCTCTCCATCCAAGATGCAGAGCTACCACGTCGATCCAGGGCTGGGGTATTGGTGCTCGACCTAGCTGCAAGCATGGAGAGAGATGCTACAGAACTGTGTCTAGAAGGTCTATACGATGATTGCATAGAGGGTCGAGGCGAAGTCAACGGGGTATTGGAAGTCTCGTACTCCACAAGCTTAAGTTTGGCTTCTGCCAAAAGTTTCTCCAACTCGCGGCATCGAAGATCACTTTCAACATACTTGTCTTGGTAATCGGTGGAGTCAAGGTTTACACCGCCACTGAACAGTTGAACGGTGTGTCTTCGGTTAAGTTCTTTAGGCCGGAGGTTGTTGTCAGACTTCTTGGGGGCATGGGTACGGTTGAAGGCTTCAAAGACATCTTCCGAGAAGGTTCGTCGAGCAGCAATGGCTTGTTCTTTTTCAGCTTCCAGTTTCTTCATGCGGTTGGTACATTCTTCCAGCTCCCGAGCCAAAGATAACTTTTCAAATTGTAATTCAGAAGCCATCTTCTTGTTGGCTTTGGTTTGCTGTCTCATGGCATCGTTTTCACGATACAGTTCATCATGCATGCCGAAGAGCTGATCACGTTCTTGACGCAAACCGTCAGCTTCGTTCTTCACTACGCCATACTTCTCAGACAAACTGTTGTAAGATGCTTCCAATAGCTTGAGTCGGGTCTTGAGTTCTTCGTTATGGTGGCACAGTCTTTCATATTTTTGGCCCATTTCAAAATTAGCCAGCTTGAAATTGACCAATTCTTGGGTCAACGTCTTACGCTCATTTTCGTACTCGCGATCACTGTCCTCCACCGTGGTGGTGGCATTGGTATCGTATTCGCTATCTTCAGCAGGGTGATGACTACCATTGAGGGAAGAGACCAGAGAGGAGGATGAACGGCTGGATGAAAGGCGTTGCTCATCTTCATTGGGTTTGGCAGTAGAGACCGTCAATGCTCCAGCCACCAAGGAGCCAAAATCACCCGTCAATTTAAGACTTTCCACAAAGCTAACAAAATGGTTATCTTGTTCCATGATATCCAACGCCCGAACTTGTTGCTCGTGTCTATCGTCCGAATCAAGTGACTTGGGAGAAAGTCCAAGTCCGTATAGATCCGTCTGATTTCCAGAGGACATGTCAGTATGGTTGGAGAGTCTAGCCTTGAATTTTTTAAGTTCTCGTTCCAAGTCTGTATTGCGTTTGATGAGGGTTTCTCGCTCGGCATGAGCATCCATTTCTCTCATCTTGGCAGCCATTAACTGTTCATTGTTCTCCAGCTGATCCTTTTGCAGTTGCGATAAAACAGTGACCAGATCTTCGATCTGTTGATGAAGAACGGCGGTGGAAGGGCTATGGCGTGAGCTGGCTTGAACTGGCTCTTCCGTGGTAGGAGTCATAACCGTCTCGTTGCTGGTAGGTTTGGTTTCGGACGAAGGTGTATTGCTACCCCAGTTGAACCAACCTGATTCCCGCTTGTTGCGCTTGCTATTGGATCTTCCAAGACCTCCTCCAAATCGAATGGCAAATACTTGTTCGGTTCGCTTCTTCTCATCTCCGATTTCCTTCTCATGCAACGCTGCAATGTCGTCCATCTTTTGCTTCGTGATCAAGCTGCTCAACTCCATAGCATCATGAATGACCTGTTCAGGATCGCTTCCATATGCCTCTTCATAGAGTCTTTTCGAACAGAGTAAATCCATCAATTGCTCAAAATCATCCAAAGCCAGAATTTTTTCTTCGTTCTTCCTCAACAGTGCTATGGCGATACGCATGATGGTTTCAACTGCACCTTCAGCAAACACCACATCATAGATACGAAGTACAAGTGAGATTGGGAAGCAATACGCGAACAGTGTTAAATACCACTGGGATGCATACATGGCAGGATGGATGGCATGCTCTGACAAATGATTGGCAATTTTTGGGCAGGTTTGAGAGAGCAACGTTTGAAGTTGATGGAGACGCAAGTGAAGACCTTCCATGTTGAGGGTGAACATGGTACGCATATCGTAAGTTTCCATGAGGCGAACAAATACGCAAAAAGCTTGCTTTTCAGGCATCTACAAAGAGGGGGAATAAGTTTAGATGGGAGTCTTGTCAAATGTAGAAAATGAGGTGTAACGTACATTCATTAAAAGTGGACCCACTACAAAGGCAAGACCTTGGCAGTAACCAACATGGGCATCATACATGCTATATGCCTTCAAGATTCGTCCCATGGCTTGTTGGCCACTTCCTCCATCCAGCTTGAACATATCGACGTTAGGGAAGGTGCGAGCTAAATCGCGATTAATGATCCTTTCATATCTCGACTTCTCGGCGTCATCCGCGGAAAGTTGTTCATACAGCGATTCTAAGTTGGTGGCGGATGATTGGGACATGGTTTGCCACACCAAGCCTCTCAGCGGTTGTGGAACACCAGCACGAATTTTGGCAGATAAAAGGTGGGGTAATTTTCCTGCGACTTTCGGAAAATCGTCGATCAGGCAACCCCAAAAGTCCCAGTCGATGGTAGGATCTTGTTCTTGCTGCTGGGTGTCAAAATTCATTTTGAGGGGGCTGCTAGGATAACCAGCGGCACCACTGTCGGGTTGGTTGGGTATAAGTGAATCAGAGACTAAGTTGTGCAAGGTATCAAAGTGGGCTTTCAGTTGATTGGATTCAATGCAAACTGACTTTGGATCATTATCCAATAATGCGTTTTGACGTTCAAGTCGTGCCAAAAGAAAGTCCGTGGATTCCTATTGGGACAACAAAAGGGATGGTCAGGGACCGATTATGCAAAGTGATTGTGGCCTTTCAGGGAACCCCTCACCCACCCACAGCGATTGTATCCAAAGGTGGGATCACACTGTAATTTGGGCGGGCGGGCACCATAGCTTGTACATACCTGAGGTGGCAATTGTGCGTTTTGCTCAGCAAGACGATTCAAAAGATCAAGGTTGATAGTGTCGTTCGGTGAGGATGGACCTTGTTTCATATTAGCATATAGCTTCAATTTTTGAGGTGGTAAGCGTCGTCTTTGAGCCAGAGTATCCGGGGAGACATGACCAGATGGTTCAGATGTGGTGGATTCGAGTTGATCAAGCGTGGACACTGGCTCAGCCAAACACACCGTTCCTTCATCTGACATGATGACAATGATTAAACCCTATTAGTGAAAGTCTCAGTAGAGTTATGAAAAATATAAAAAATAAAAAAATTGGATGGCAGCTGTTTTAGAGCCTGCATCCACTTTGTAAGGAGAAAAACGTGGACTTGTCCTACATTCATATCACATCGCACAGAAAGCTGAGTTTTGATACAACCCACACTCGCTCGCTCCATGATGCCTCTCTACATGTTGGCACCCCATACCAATGCTCTTTGCTATCTGCTTCTATATTGACCAAAAAAAAAGATCCCGTCTGAACGTATCCTGGGTGTTTTCTCTCCTCCTCTGCCCCTATAGCCAGGAGACTTGCACCCAAAATTTCACGCTGTTTTTTAAAAAATGTACATTTTTATTTCAGGATTAGGATGACGCAGAGTAATGTTCGATCACGTTCCGGCTGAGCCTTGAACCTTTTCTAACGGCAATTTTGATACCTTGCTTGGCAAAGGCAATAGATAGTGGGGTGGATTCTGAAGGACAGTCAGTCGGTGAGTTAGCAATAGGGAAAAATCATCTGAGAAGAATGAAAGAAAGACAGTACCACGCATCCCGGGGAAATGTTTAGGGGAATAGACTGTAAATGGATTGGAACGCACTTGGCATTTAATACGCGTACTCATGGTGGAAGGTTCACTACAGGGAGAGCGAGATTTTAGCACTTCAAGTTGAAGTATCACGTGATCTGATATACCGGCGTTTAGGGACCCGTTTTTGACTTACCCATCACTCAAGTCAATCAAGGCAAAGTTGAGCGTGAATCGTCCTTCGGTACGAACAGAAATATCAGGGAATATGAAAAAAACACCAGGCTTATTGTCAGTGTCCAGCAGCTGGCAAGCATTGGCAATGCTCGATCCTGTCAAATTGCGAAGCGGAGTCGGTTCATGAAGGGGTCGAACAGTCATGACCGAACTATATCCTGAAGAAGACGATGAGCCCGCCGCATGTAAGGCTTCAGGAAGCCGGGATGGATTATAAACGAGACTACAGGAAGTCATACCGTCTTCAGAGTATAAATCGCACTGTACAACCATGAATAATATATCGGTAGCATCGCTAGTGAAATAAAAATGCACAGTCAGTTCTAATTTGCTGGCACCCAAATTATCGGTAGTCTGGACTTACACAACAGGCTCCCAGTGATTTTCGCTGACCTGCCTAGATACCTGCAATATAGGTGGTGGATCTACAGGTCGCCTATCCTTTTGTCCAAATCCAGCTGAACGCACTCGATCTGGATGCTGTACAATGACTGCAAATTAAACCATTAGCTTTAGAGCTCCACCTTCCTCGGTGGCAATTGGTGTGGTGTTGGCTTACCAAGGCGATATACTCTATCGCTGTGCTTCTTTTCACCCAAGGGTGTAGATATCGTCTCTGGTGGTTCATCATTGCTCATTGTATTAAAGTGATGGTAAAACAAGCGCGTTGGCGGATTATATGCTACACGGTTGTAAACAATAAGCGCTAAAAAAGCTCATGGATTTAGATGAAAATTAGACCAGAGTGTGGAAAGGAAAGAGAAAAGTCGATAGAAGAAGCTTAAAAAAATTCTTTTATAAAAAAGATTTCTGCCCATCGAACCATTTGCTTCGATGGAGACTAATTTAGTCTAGCGACAAGTCTAATTGAATTTTAGCAATCGGGGTAGGAAGATTTTCCCGATCTACCAGCTTATATTTTTTATTTTTTCCATGCTAGATTATTAGTTACTCGAGCCGAGCTTATTTCCACAATGAAGCATAAATTCTTCGACTTCCTTCAAAAGAATTACGGCTGTGCATCGTCACAACATTGTCAATTAAAATGACATCGCCCGTCTTCCATTCGAATGAGCAGCAAAGCTCATTCATGATATCGAGGCATCGCCTTAAGATCACGGGGTCAAGTGGACTACCGTCACCGTAGACCACAGCTTTGGTGGCATCGTTACGAGAATCTTGCCATCCCGTGAACGCTCTAAAATGGGTTACTGTTAGTGTTTCATAATACAGCGAAGAGGGAATAGTCCAGAAAAAAAAAAAAAAAGCCTCAAATAACATACGCGACAATGGAATTAAACCATGAGACCTTTCCTGTACGCTCGTCTAACTTAGTAGCTGACAAGATGGGAGAAGTGGTCTTGAGAGAACCATCAGGTAGCCATTCGAGGGTCATGCCGAGTTCCTCAGCTTGTCGCTTTTTTTCACTTGCAATCAGTACCGAATCCTGTTTCATGTCAAGTCGCTTTGCAACCCACTTACCTCCGCTTCCTTTGCGTCGGTGGTCATAAAGGTAGACTGCCATCCACGTCCGATTGCACTAGTGGCGTCGTCTTCAACAGGTAAGACACGAATGTATTTCACGCCCTAGAGGAGAACGCATTGTTGGTAAATAACAAGGTTTGGCCGGAAGCCTTTCTTTCCTTGTGGCAGCATTCGCTTGGTTCACACGTCAGAATGCATACCTTTTTACCAATTTCCTCCATAAAATCAGGGAACTCTCGGCTAATTTGTTCGTAAATGAGGTTGGACAAACAAATAGGCGTCTCTCCACCCTTATCTGCAGGTTTGTCACAATAAAACATGATGTGCAAAGGGTGGTTTTTGGACTGAGCCAACTCATGATGGTAAGGGATCAATTGGTCCGCAGGTGATTCATTGGCTAAAAAATCAAACAGCGTTTCAGAAACTCATTGGGCGTGCTAATGTTTTTTGCAGCGTGGGTTCTTACCAGTGAACACGGATCCTGTAATAACCTATTAAAGTGTGATAGACAAATGTACATTTAGACTTAAAAAGAGGAAAGTAGGTGTGTGTGAGAATATAGACTAACCGTTCTCGGTGCAGCTCCTCCAATGTAAGGAAATTCTTCAAGACCGACAGCTTTTCCAATGGCGTCGAAATGTTCAGCGGTGGAAATGGGGAAATCTCGAAGCAAAATAGCGCCATGTACTTTGGCAAGTTCGAGTAGTTTGGCTTTGTTTGTATCAACCCAAGCGACGGCTTCCTCTATCGTCGAGAGCTTGGACTCAGCTTCCGGGGTGAAAACCAATGGGAAGGTCACCGTACCTTCATTGGGGACGTCAAGTTGGCGTTGAAATTCAAAATTAGCAGCACGAGCAGGTGTAAGGACCTCCATGATAAGTCAAATAGTACAGAAGGTGAAAGGAACCAGGGTAAAAAGAATGGCGAAGGATCACGCAATTTTTACCATATGCGAGTGCGAGCGGATCATCAATCCGCGCCCGAAATACTGGACAATAAGCTTTACGAATAACCGAAAGCCGGAATCCGTCTCTTCACCAGATTTAGATACTTTTATCAAGGTGTGAGAAGTAAACAAGATGGGCTGGCCGATGTGGAAGCACACCCTACTGTTGTCTTTGTTCTTTCCTCCCCTCTTCCCGTCATCATTCACTTGCAAAAGATACTGTTGTATTCCGAGCATCGTGGGGTGTAACTGAGCATGTGTGCATTTTCTTTTTTAATTCATTTGGTCTGAATGGCATATACGAATTGGCATATCTACAATTACAATTGGGTAATTCAATCTACATCACTATTTTAAAACTTGTTATGGATGCTGCGGCTCTCCTTAAGTTCACGAACGCCCTCAAGAACAGTGTCCAAGGGAATGGTTTGACCCTTGGCCTTGCTACCGACGTCATCACGGTTGCGAACGTTAATAGATCTGGTAGATTCTTCCTCGGCACCAACAACTACATTGGGCAAAAGGGTTTAGTAAGACAGTCGTCGGAGATGGGTCGGAGTGATCGAGAAGATTTGGTTACTTACCGAAAATGAAGTTGTACTGAGCCAACTCAGCGTTACGAATCTTCTTGTTCAACGTATTGTCCGACAAATCGGCATCAGCGTAAATACGCAAAGCAGTCAATTTGTCGACAATTTCTTGAGCATAGCCATTGAAGGCAGCAGCGACAGGAACCAAGCAGATTTGACGAGGAGAAAGCCAGAAGGGGAACTTTCCACCAAAGTGTTCAATCAAAATGGCCATCATACGTTCGACAGAGCCGAGAATAGCACGATGGATAATAACGGGGCGAGCAAAAGCACCATCACCACCTTCCTGGTTACCGTGGTCGGTACGGAACTGAAGTTGGAAACGTTCTGGCAATTGGAAATCCAATTGAATAGTAGCGCACTGGTGCTTGCGGTTCAAGGCATCGGAGATGACAATGTCGACCTTGGGACCATAGAACGCACCATCACCAGGGTTGAGTTCCCATTCTACATTGTTGGACTGGCAGAATTTGTTCAAAGACTTCTCCAACATAGCTTCGGCATTGTTCCAGACGCTAAGCTCACCAAGGTAGCTTTCAGGACGAGTGGACAACTTGAGATGGAATTGGAACCCGAAGATACCGTACACATGCTTTAAGAAGTCAAAGCAGCCATCCATTTCATTTTCAATTTGTGCGGGCATACAGAAGATATGAGCATCATCCTGTTGGAAACGACGAACACGAGTCAAACCTGACAAGGCACCGGAGAACTCGTTACGGTGAAGAACACCGAAATCAGCAAAACGCAAGGGAAGTTCACGGTAACTGCGCTCACGATGGCCAAAGATGAGACAGTGACCAGGGCAGTTCATAGGCTTAAGACCGAATTCTTCCTTCTCAACCTCAAGGCAGAACATGTTCTCCTTGTACTTGGCAGCGTGGCCAGAAGTATTCCACAACTTCATGTTGTACATGTTGGGACTCATGACTTCAGTGAAACCACGGTGGTGGTATTCCTCCTTCATCAAATCCATCAAGGTGTTGTAGATACGGGCACCGTGGGGAAGCATGAAAGCTGATCCAGGAGACAATTCGTGGAAGAAGAACAGCTCTTGTTCCTTGCCGATCTTACGATGATCACGCTTAGCTGCTTCTTCAATGAACTTCTTGTATTCAGTCATCTGCTTCTTGTCAGGGAAAGAGATACCGTAGATGCGTTGCAAAGAGTCGTTCTTAGCATCACCCAAGAAGTAGGATGCAGAGTTCTGATAGGTAATACAATCTGTTAAGACAAGGTCTTCTATAATCGCAAACATGTTCAAACGTTTTCATTACCTTGGTAACACTGAAAGCCTTGATTCTGCCAGTGTGAGGAACGTGAGGACCAACACACAAATCAATAAGAGGACCACATCGGTAAACAGTGGTAGAGGTACCATCCTGGATCTTGTCTTTGATGATATGTTGCTTGTAAGGGTTGTGCTTGAACATTTCAAGAAGGTTCTCTTTGGAGACGATAAGACGCTCGAAAGGCTGCTTTTCCTTGATAGCTGAGTTGGCAAGAGCCTCGATGGAGGGGTAATCTTGTTGCGTAACGGCACGATCCTTCAAACCCATTTCGTAGTAGAAACCGTCTTCCAACGGTGGACCGATGCAAAGATGGCCGCCATAATGTCTCTCGCAAGATTCTCCGAGAACGTGAGCACTAGAGTGCCAGAAGACACGCTTACCCTCTTCATTTTCAAAGTCAAGCAATTCAAGTTGGCAGGATTCTTCGAGAGGACGGTTCAAATCCCAAAGGTTACCGTTGACCTTGGCAATCACAATACGGTCACCAAGAGACTTGGCAATGGACAATGCGACGCTCATGGGAGTGGTTTCCCAGGAGGTACCTTCCTTGGTGTTACCGTCAGGCAAGGTGACAGTGATGGGTTCGCGTGGTTTGTCTATGGAGAGAAATGTAGAGTCAGCGACAAGGAAAGCGTAAGTGGGTTTACCACAGATCACATGTATCACTTCCATGAGTAAAAAGAAATACTTTTACATACTCTTGATATCTTCATCATACTCTGCCTTCAGGCGCTCAAACATTTCAATACGATGATCAAAGTATTCGGGCTTGGGAGTGAATTCCAGAGGGTAAGATGGGCCATCACCAGCGGGGGCTTTGGCCTTCTTGGGCTTCTTTTCTCCTTTGCTGGAAGGCTTTTCTTGGTTAACGTTGAGATTTTGCATCTTTTGTTCCACTTCGGCGGTAGACATGTTCAGTGACAGCAAACCAAACGACGATAGGTGTAAAGAATCTTGAAAACTGAAAGCTGTCACTTTTTAATTCGATGGACCTGGCTAAGCCACCGGACTGGCACATTCTGACTCAGTCTTTGCAACATCCACCCTTTATAGCATATGGTCTTGGTATGAACGCTGAGCTGTCATGATACTTCATAACTACTTAATTTTGGTAGAAAAAGTGACTTAAAATTGATATATGAAGGTGCAGTTTGCTTGTAGTGACACCTCAAAGATTTCCTATGAATACTCAACATTTTAACACACGCAAATAAAAGGTGCATCTTTTTGTTTAATGAATCATAACTGCACTCGATAATGCATATGAAATACAGAATATTGAAATGGCAAATGAAATAATATAGCACATGACATATGAAAGCAAAGAGGCTATGTAACAATTATGACTCGTACTCCTCGGTTAGTAGGAACCGGTGCGAATTTCAACGTTTTTATATAGTAAGTGCAATTTATTCAATCAATTCTTGTTGTTCTTCTTTTTAGAGAATGCCTGGGTTCAGCTCACTACTTGCTTCATACGATTCTTCATCGTAACTTTAAAGGTAAATTGGTCCAAATTATCAGTATTTGCGAGACACAGTAACTCATCGTGGGTGCGCAAGAGACTTATTTATTTCCATTGAAAGTAGCACCTCGATCCTATCTTATTGTGCGGCTTTAGTTCATCTTTATATACAACTATGTACGTCTTTGCATCTTCGTCTTGCAACTTATAAGCTTGACTCGTATGGCAGAAGTTATGTCTTATATTGTTCGCCTCTTCGCTCCATGAAATTTTATCGTTTGATATATGCAAGTACTTTCCAGTCTTGGTGTTACTAATACGTATAAATTTGGGATCTTCTTCATGATATACATGTACTTCATCTGCTGCATATTCATCATCGACCACACGTAGAATACCATCCTTTGTTTTGAGATAATTCTTCTTCAAATGAATGCTTTCAAAATATAACTTCATTTTTCACAGTGCCTCTAGAGTAGCGAGAAATTTCTTGAGTGCTCGGTGAGCAAAAGGAGTTTTTGTGAGTTGTGAAAGAGAAGAGATTGAACATTTTATGCCAAACATTTTTTAAAAACTAAAGGATTTGTGCAACACGCACCCATACAGCTGATACGTATTCGCTGCGCGCAGTGAGCTGTTACAGATGCCCAGAGATTCTATTCAGTTATACTTCTTGGCGGTGACAACAATATCACAATCAGCCGAAATTGCTTGTAATTGGCAATTATTCTACAGCATTAGTTATGGGAGATATGTAACGTATGATCATTTTTCATGTTTAATATCCACAGATGTGGTTTCAAGGTTTTTCTTTCTAAGACGTCATTACTAAGGCTTCATTGCTGCATTTTACAAAATGCACTGTTATAAATGTAGGAAAGATACTAGGCTTGTAATCATCCTTAAAATGTCACCTTTCAGCCAAGGTGTAGTGGCTCACTTTGTCTTTTTGAAAAAGATCACAGTCCACTTGGAAGCGAGAGAATGCATCAGATACACTAACTGTCATGTTTATTTTGAAGCCTAATTGTCTATAAAATGATATAGAGATATATAGCCTTGGCTACATCAAGAATCAGCAGCTGGACTCTACATTTCAATAGTAGATCAACTAGTTCTAAAACCTGTCATGTTCAGAAATAGCCATATCCATAAGTAAGGATTAAAGAAGACTCTTTAACATTTCCACATCCTCCCCTCTGATCTGGAATAAGGTAAGTGCAGTAGGGCAAACTATATAATTTCCACTAGAAATTCTTTTTACCTTTGGATCGGTAATAGGATGTCATATTTTGGATCAACACTGCAGAAGACTCTACTAAAACACTGTCAACATTGATAGTTTGTTGGTTACTGCGTCAAGGCAAAGGTAAAAGCCTTTGTAGCATCCATAACTTAGTTTACTTTGTGCATCGTAAGCAGTTATTAGTTTAGGCTTTGTGCCTAAAGGCCGTGGTGAAGGCTGGCTTCATTGAGGATAGGTAAGCATTATGCGGTGTTTGAACGCCGCGGTCGTCGAGCCTGGTTCCAGCATGTGATTGAAACAAGGTAGCCCCAAAGAACAAACTTTTGTATTCTTGTTCTTCTCAACACCAATGTCACGCCTCATTACAAAGTCTGCTCTTCTCAAGCCCTTGACTGCCTCAGCTCGGGTTTCTCTTGCCAGACCATTCAGCACCACATTTGTGCGATGTAAGTTTTCCTTTCTTACCCATTCCTTCACAACGCCATATAGTCTCACGTTCCTGTCAATACACCACAGGCAACGCCAGCACTACAGACGGAAACTACCAAAACATTGTCTCTGAGACCCGAGGCAAGGTTGGTCTTATTACATTGAACCGCCCTAAGGCTCTTAACGCGCTATCCAGCGCTTTATTCCATGAGGTTAACGATGCTCTTTTCAAATTCGATGCGGATGAAAACATCGGTGCTATCGTCATCACCGGAAGCGAGAAGGCCTTTGCCGGTAAGGATGAGAGGAACTAATGCATGTATGTGCTTTTGTACTTGATTCTTACGTTCCTCACCTTGCCTAGCCGGAGCTGACATCAAGGAGATGAAGGATAACGTTGCTATTGAATGCTATAAGACCAACTTCCTTGGTCATTGGACTGACATTACCAAGGTCAAGAAACCTATCCTTGCTGCCGTCAATGGCTTCGCTGTAAGAGTTGTTTACGTGCATAAGCGTGGGAAACTAATCCCGAAACTTACCCTTTTCAATTCCAGCTTGGAGGAGGTTGCGAGCTTGCCATGATGTGCGATGTAAGGCTTACCTATCCTTGTCACACCTACGGTTGCTTAAATATAGGAGCTAATATTTCTTTTAGATCATCTATGCAGGAGACAAGGCAGTGTTCGGACAGCCTGAGATCAAGCTCGGTATCATTCCTGGTGCTGGTGGAACTCAACGTCTTGTTAAGGCAGTTGGCAAGTCCAAGGCTATGGAGATTTGCTTGACAGGTTCAGTCAATCTTAGTGCTGAGGAAGCTCTCAACCTTGGTCTTGTTAGCAAGGTTGTCCCAGCAGACCAGCTGGTTGATGAGACTATCAAGACCGCTGAGAAGATCGCCAAGATGTCACAGCCCATGACTCAAATGGTCAAGGAGTGCATTAATCAATGTGAGTCTACACCATACCGTCAGTAAACGAATACCTTTCGTCAATCTTACCAATGCATTTTCCGTTAGCCTTTGAGTTGTCTTTGACCTCCGGTTTGCTTTTCGAACGTCGCCTCTTCCACAGCGGGTTTGGCACAGTAAGTGAAATTTGAGGACTGGTCAGGTATTGTCACATGCTGATAAGTTTTACTTCTTTCTAGCATGATCAAAAGGAAGGAATGAGTGCTTTCGTAGAAAAGAGAAAGCCTACGTTCGAAAACAAATAGATAACTGCGCATGACACGTTTATTCATACTTTTAAATTCAAGTATATTAAAATACGAGTCATCAACCAAAACTGTTTACAAAAATGGAAAGTAGAAAATTCACAAGATCAGAGCTCTTTAGACGAGGATGATGCAGACAGCAAGTGCTACCAAAAGGGCATTGTAGGATGTACCGGTGATGGAAGCTGCGCTGCCGGGCGTAGTGCCGTTGGTGCCGTTGGTGCCGTTGGTACTATTGGTACCGTTGGAAGTAAGGTTGGCTGGGATGAGCACTGAAGAGAAGAATAATCAAAGTCAGTCTAAATGGAGGAAAACAAAACCGAGAATGCATGCTATACACTTTACCTTGGTTGATGATCTGAATGACACCGTTGTTGGTCAAGACATTCTTATCAACGATGGTGGCATTGTCGACTATGACAACGAGAGAATCAGTATCCATATGCTTGATAGACGAAGGCGGGACAGGGAGGCTCACTTACCGGTGTATTGAGTTCCGCTATCTTGAGTAAACAAACGCTTCAACAAGGCATACATCTGACCGTTTTCACCAGTCATGTTGGTGGTGGTATTAGCCAAGCTCAAGTTTCCGCCCGCTAAGCTAGGGAAGGTGCTGTTTTGAGTGACATTGCTAGTATATACAACACCCTGGACAACATGGTTCTTGAGGATGGCAGCAAGAGTAGCGTTGTCATACTGAGTGAGGTTAGCAGCCTTAATGGCATCGTCTGTGGGAGCAAAGAAAGTGATCTATGAAACCAAATGAGTCAGATTCAGAAGAAATTGTTTCACTTCGAAATTAAAGCTAGGGCCACTTACACCGGATGCGTTGTTAATCTGTGAAGACAAGTTGTACTGGTCGATGGCTTGCATGATCATGGAAGTGGAGGTCTTCTTGGCCAAAGTCGCAGTGGGAGAAACGGGAGGCAAGAGAATGCTGTCAATGTAGTAGATTATTCCATTGGAGGTAGTGACGTTTTCCTGCGACAAGCTATTGTATTGATCGAATCCATAGCCAATTTCAATGGTTCCATTGCTGGTAGCGTTTTCAGCCAAAAGTTTAGCCATGTGGGTTTGAGTGGTAGCATTGAAGTTCTTGACCAAGCCAATTGGGAGTCCAGTATTGTTAGGTAGTTTGTTGAGTGTTTCATTTGTTAACAACGTGTTGAAAAATTGTGGCAGTGTCGTTAGGTTGGCAGTATCAATAGTCTCGTTGACAACGTGGTAAGCAACAATATTCTCCCAGCCACCATAAGTTTCATTGATCAAAGTCATATTTGCTTGTTGGATAGCACTGTCCGTTGGGACGAAGCAAGTGTAAGTTCCAGAGGAGTTCAAAGCCTGTACAAGAGTGTTGTTGGTACCAAGGCCAGCAGCAATTTGAGCGAATGCAGTAGCATTGGTACTATTGGACATCAAGTACTCTACAATAGTTTGATTTTGAGGGGAAGGCGGAACAGATTCAGTAGGTTGAGGCAATCCCGAGCTTGTTTGGTTGGCAGGTGGAATGCCAGTTTGTACTGGTTGGCTAGAGGTGGGCTGCTCTGTCGAGCCAGGTTGGTCTGTTGAGCTAGGTTGGTCTGTTGCGCCAGGTTGACCCACCTCGGTAGTGGTAGGTTCGGTAATGATGGTGGTAATAACTTGAGTTGATTGAGCAGCGACCACAGCAGCCATGACCAACGGAGTGAGCAATTGTAAACGCATCTTTGAAAATAATAATAAATAAAGACAAGTCTTAGCAAGAAATGTCAAAGCGGGCATGCAAAGCCCGTTTTTTTATAGAGACATCGGACTTCATATCTCGTTTTACTAACCCCATCCATTTGGTAATGCATGGGCAAATACGAGCAAACCTTGGCAATGATTTCAGAGATTATATCTATCTGCCAGTTAAATTGGCCCATTTTTCTAATTTTTCATGCAATCGATACAATTGCCCTATAATCTGAAACAAACAAAAACAAAATGTTTTACATCGTGGTGAAACGATTGTTTTGAATTTGGTAAGAAAGTTCACAAGGCGCGATTCATCAAAAACAACGTAATTAGATGATTCTAAATAGAACAAGAGTCATGACATGGATTAAAAACTTTGTTGTTCAGATACAAACGTACACTGGTTCTCCCCATATGCTAAGTCGGCATGAATGCGGACCCGCCGTATCGGACAGGGATAACAATGGTTTCTCATCATAACGACAGTAATTAGGTAGCTGTTCTAGGTCGAACGAGCGACCCAGTCAACTCCCACTTTTCCGCGCAGGCAATGTTTGCCCCAAAACGGAAAATTTCCGCTGTCATGTGACTAGTACGCGACATCCGTTTTGCTGGAAAGAGGTTATCTTTGCATTTCTGCTGTATGAGCCGTCAAAGTGAGGCACCAAAAGGAAAATAAACGAACCCAGTATTTGTTTCATGTCATCGAAACGAATATCATGTTATTTTTCTGATCGCAAAGTGTCGTGGCGCATGCAAGTACAAGGATATGACACTGGACGTGCTCAGAACGCTTGGTATGCAGGCTACGGGTAAGTCTCACTTCAAGCGGTTGCATTAAAATGGAACAAATGCTAGGTACAATTTAAAGAAAAGAACATGTATTTAAAAGGTTGACTCTAAAAATGCAGAAACGATAAGGCAGTTTACATAGAAATCTGCTTTGATCAAGCTCAACAAAACCAAACAAAGTGATGACTTTCCTTAATAAGGTGTTCTATATTAAAGTCATGGGGATCAACTGAAATGAAAGTGATTGATTATGTGATCAATCTACAATTGGAAGTTAGAAAAGGAATGGCAGCTATAAAAAAAATTTCAGCTTCCTGGTAATCCATTGGTACGGAACGAAAATGATGTTGTCTGATTTTTCCTTTTTTACTGATTTACAGTATGTGATTATCAGTATTGACCTAGGTTTTTTTTTATTATATCTCTGTGTTATGCTTAAGTTCTGTATATTACAAAAGGGTCCAAAGTGCCTTTGATGCGATGCAGTTGGTTGTTGTGATCTTGGGTAATGTACAGACGAATAGTCTCAAATAATGTTATAGTGAGTGATTGGCCACCACGCAACAGATCGTTTGCTACAAGAAGAGAAATTGTATATATGGGTTATTATGTAACCGCAGTTGCGTGAAGCGAATCATAAATAACGATATATTGAATTGGATTACTCTATATTATGTGCCAACCTATATCGTCAACACAGTCTCTCTACTTTCTGATGACTACAGGCCACAGATCAGCCTGGCAGCATTCAAAATTTTGATAAGTCACAAAAAGGCTCAAATGAGCAGTCACAACAGTTCGAATTTTTGCTTTCAGATTTTTTTTTTTGGTGCAACGAAGGCGAACCAACTCTACATTGACGCAATGCCCGGATTCACTCTAGAAGATCCGTACCCGCTCTCAGCATTCAAGAGTACAACCTTGGAAGCTGTTGGTCAACGTTTTTGCGTTGATGTTCTTCCAGTTGATGCCTCAATTCCTACTGGCGATGCTAGTGAGATTGACGGTACAGCCGAGAGCAATTTGGCTGCTGTAACAGTCCAGGGCGAGGCAATCAAACTATACAACGTATGTAAAGACTATTAAGCCTGTTACAATAAGAAGACATTTTGATTAGCACTAACCTTTTGTGCATTTCATTTCTAGATCTCGGATCAAAATTGTATCAAGTCTTGGTCAACTCCTCCCAGCGTTGTGTTCAACGGTCCAGCACGCATCCTTACTAAACAGAACGACAACCAATTGGATAGATATATATATATTGCTGTTGCCTCTGGTCCAGACATCACCTCAAAGGAGGAAGGAAGAGTAGTGTGGTTGTGGAAAGATTGCGACGAATCAGCCCATGTTGACAGTGCACAGGATGCCGGTTTGAAAAAGACAACAAAAATGGTGTGCTATCTTACGAAGAATCCATGTTCAAAATTACTGATTTACTAACGGTTAGCTCACAATAGTTCAAAGACAAAATCCAAGCTGTTCTCGTGTCACCGGTTTTACAAGCATATGTCCTACTCGTTAATGAGAATGGTTCAGTGGCTTTGGTTACTGCTGATCTTGGACGAGTCGCAGCAAATTATGAGCCATCAAAAAGGTATGTAGAAATGGCATCCGAACATCTTAGCTTGCAACGCTGGCTTATACTCTACTAGTGATAGAACTGTCGTATGGTCCAACATCATCACAACGCCAAGCACCATTGGGCAATCATCATTCATTCCTACATCAATGGTGCCAGTAGCATCAACGCTTGTGGCGACACTTACAAAGACGAAAAATGCATACTCTCTCACAATACTCTATGTAAATGAAGAGCGACGAAGTGTTGATGAATTGACCAGCTTCGACATTCAATCAGAAAAGGAATTGGTGTCATATAGCTTTCATTCACAAAAGGGCATATTCTGCGTTCTCGGTATGTACTTGCTTTCACTATGGAAGACATGAGCGTAGTGCTCACTCTCTATTTTCTACTCAGACCAATCTGGAACATGGTCGGTGTATCAGATCAAACTGAAGCACGGTCCATCCAACAAAGTTGTAGCCGATGTTACGAAACCAATATCATTACCATTGAACAACCTTCACCGAGATACTCCCACTAAATCACAAGCGTCTTTGGTATCTAACCATAACACATTGGCCATGACCACCCTTCAAGATAACTATGTTGCCATTGTCACCGGTAACAAGCATTCAAGTAAGGCATTCCCACCTTCTGGGCGAACATGCATACATCATGCTAAATGCCTCAATTTTTTTTTCTAGCTGAGCATATCGTTAGCATTTGGGATGTTCGATACGGTACTCTCCAAACTTCTACAAGCATCAAGAATGATACATCATCCCAGAAGACCAAAGATACCAAAAGCTCAGATAGTCACATAATGTACAAGGTAAGCGGATGGTCAATTAGATATTCATCAGCGTTACCAAGTCCCGTTTCTGACCACCATACTACTACTTTAGATCACATCGCTACCAAACACAACCATTGCCTTGACGGTGTCATCACTTAAGCGTTCTGGCATTAAGCAATCGAAAGGAAGTGTTATTTCGAGCTCAGTTGTCTATCTCATCCACTATCATTATGCTCCAATGTCACTTTTGGCCGCTATGAACACCATGAAGGTGACTAGTCAGCAGCTCAATATTCAAGGCTCTGGTGCTCATCACGGAATTGGTATTCTACAGAGCGGACATGATGCTATGAATAATTTTATATCGGTAAGGCTCAAACCAGTGTTTCTGCTTGTTTGCGCACGGTCTTTAATCTTTTTGCATGTTTCAAGTTCGATGATCAGGAACCCGCACAACAGGTGTATGACTCTTGGGTGAAAAACATTGACTCGAATCAGCAGGCTCAGGACCAAGTTCTTGCCAAGCTTATGGCAGCTGATATCTCGACTGCCGACTTCACCAAGACCTTCCTCCAATATGCCAAGCACGCTAGTGAGGCCCAAGTCACATCAGATATTGTCATGGCCGAGAATGGAAATGACGTTAGTGATACACTGGACAACGTATCTGCTACCGAATTATCGAGTCAATCGACAAAGCAATCAAGAAATGTAGATGTGGAGGTAAGAATGGGTTCTATTTATGCGCTGTCCACGTTTCTACGGAAGCTCAGAAATAACATCGAGTCTCTATTTGTAACAGAACGTGGCCAACCTCTCGTATCAAGTCCTTCAGGCTGTGGTATCCAAATGCTTTGCCACCCTTGACAACGGAAAGCCCAATTTAGATTTCTGGCCGGTCGCGGTGTTGGAGTTCCTCGCATCTCGTGGTGTCTTATACAGCAATTTCGTATCAGGAGGAATCGTTCCGGCCGTCATGGCACGGGAAGACTGGGTACAGTACCACGCCTTTTGAGCGATGATGTCATTCATGACATATGAAATGCTAACGACTTTTGTATGATAGCATATACTTGCAGTGGTGTTGAAGCACGTACAAGATATACCAGAAGCCGATCTTATTCGTGTTGTTCGGACCATGGCGGAGAAGGTTAGAGAGGATGAAGCAAATTGGAAAGACAAGTTTGCGCTGTACTTCAAGTTGGTCGTGGAAGCGCCCCGCAATGATATCTTTATGCAACAAGCCGTCAAGCGTATTGGTGCTGATGAACTTTTCATTGTCCTTCAAACGCTACGTGACTGGATGGACTGGTGGGATGAACAAGGAGGAGGATCTTCTAGCAAAAACTCAGAACCGGCGGGTGTACCTAAATTTGTCCATGTAATTTTTTTTTTGAAGTCCACCATGCTGCAACACAGACAAATAGTTGACTGACCCCATCTTTTTATATCAGGTCATTGAGTTCGCCAATATCTTCTTGGACGTTCACTTCCCAACATTGATTTTAGAATCATCCATGCACGAGTTGGTACAAGCACTTAGAGAAAGGGTACAGCAGGAACTGCAAATGTGCTCAGATATGGAAGAACTTCGCGGAGTTTTGGATTTGTTCTATAGGAAAGATCTCGCTCGTAAAGCTGCCCCTGCTAACAAAACGCGGCCGTCTGATGCCCCACAGAACGAGCTTAGTAAATATCGCAAGGAACTTAAGGGCAAATTTGGTGGTGAACAAGGTGTTCCTCAATATAGAGTGGAGATATTTCAGTTTTAATCTTCCAATACACTTGAAATAAAAAAAGAAAACCCAACCTGCCCATGATGTCCATCCCCCCATAGCCTTGGCCCAAGTTCCGAGTTTGGACAGCCAGCACGAGTGCTTCGCGATGATGAGATACGTTTTGTGTAAAATCATTTGCAAAAAAATTTTTTTTTTTTATATAAGGCGCATGAAAAATCCAAACCCTCATTGAAATCGTTTTTGTGCTTTCTCTTCTCACTTTAATACACAAAATGTCTGCCCCTGTCGACACTGTTCCCGCTCACGGTAACTACTTTTCAACCAACCCAGAAAAAAAAAAAAAAAAGTTCCATTCAAACTCACTCATATCCTTTCTTTCCTTGCCGCAGTCGAGGAAACCCCTGCTCCTGCTGCTGTTGAAGAAACAACTGCTGCTCCTGCTGCCACCGAGGAAGCTCCTGTTGCCACTACTGAAGGTTAGTTGCGATTAAAGTGTTGTCTAATCCATGGTGGAACCTGACTTCTGATCTCGTTTTCTCCTCTTATCCACTCAGCTGTCAAGGATGAAGAGCCTGCTCCTACTACTGCCGAGACTACAGGTAACACGGTCTTTTCCCTGTGACATGCTACACAACGCACCCTCTTTCATCATACCCTATACAAATATGTAATGATACGATTCTATGCTCACTCACAATTCTTCACACGTTAGCCCCTGCTCCCGAAACTGACGCCGCCGCCAAAGTTGAGGAGGCCAAGCCTGGTAAGTGTCTTACACTAACGAGGGGTTAATGTCAGCTGAGATGAGGGATTTCCTCACTAAACAAGCATGCTCATTTAAATTAGCTGCTCCTACCACTGAGGCTAAGCCTGTTGCTGCCAAGGTAAAAGATCATTTTTATTAAGTTTGTCTGGTTTGTATAAACAAACATTGATGATGAATTGCTTTTTAGCCTGCTGCTACTGATAAGAAGGTCAAGCGTTCTTCTACCATTTTGCAAAAGATCAAGGCTGGTTTCAAGAGCTTGAGCAACAACTCTAAGCCCAAGACTGCCACCGCCTCCAAGAAGGTCGAACCCAAGAAGGATGTCGTTAAGCCTGCTGGTGGTAAGGATTCTTTTTGCGTGATCTGCACACCCCCCAATAATTTTTTTTACTCATCGGCGCTTTAATCACTTATTTGCAGACGCTGCTACTCCTGCTGCTGTTGCAGATGCTGCCACTAAGCGTGAGTACAGCTTTTTTCGGTTTTTATGTTTAGCCTGAATTCAATTGTGCCTAACCTTAGTGCCTTGCTAAAATAGCTACCCCCGAGACTCCCCAGACTGAGGTTGCCGCTCCTGCTGCTACTGAACGTAAGATGACCGTACGATCATGCTATGAATGAAATATGGACACTAACTTTAAATCTTCTTTGGGCTTCTATTAGCCGAGACTGCTGGTATGTAATCCGCCCAATAACACGCTTTATCATGTGAATACCTTTGAACTGACTTTTTCCGTAGAAGAGGCTCCCGTAGACCCTGCTACTGAAATCAAGCCTGAGGAAGTTGCTGTTCCCGTCATTGGTGGCACCATGGGCCATGCCGCATAAGCTCTTTCAACCCTTAAGATATCTAGTTTTCTTCCCAAAACAAGCAGCCTCTAATGATATATTCTATACGGTATTTTTGTCCTAAAATTGGGTGGCATCTACAGAATCAGCTCTTTTTTTGTATCTCGTCTCGCGTCTAATTTGTAATACAGCTCATTTTGTCACACCATTCTTATCAGTATTCTACGTGTTTTTGTTTCGCGCCGTATTTTCTTAAAGGCTTGTGTGGTACTTCGTGTGGTGGGGTTGCTGGCTAGCTCCCTTGGCGTTGGATGGGGCCAAGGTGTACACTACGTGGTTTGGCAATCCGCTTCTCATAGAATTTGTGATCTGCGGAAGTTCAATAGTATGCATGCCGAATCGACACCAATGGCAGATTGCACGTTTGTAAATGTTGTTGACTCGTGCAAGATGAAGCGCCGCTTAAGATGTTTATATTTGGCACATATTGCCGTACCGGTCCAAGAATTGACCATCTGTCAGATTGGGTACTTTAACCTTATTGCCCACCTTGCTCGGATTTTTCAGATCCGCCCACTTTCGCTCCTTCATTGTTGTCTGCAGCCGTTATAACGTTTGCGGAGACCTGGTCATCATCACAACACAGTCTATCAACTATTGATATATATATTTTGAAATATTTCACACAAAATCACAAATGAACTTGTGACAAACTAAATGCTCGATTTTAAAATCAAATGGAATGAAAAATGTGTGGTTCAACAGAGGCCAAGCGTAGCCAATCAGTTCTATGGTCTCACTGCCATCACTTACTTGTACGACCGTCTTGCAAGGTAGGGTAGAACACCTGGAAAGACTTGCTGAGGTTGGGAGCCTGCAAAAGTGATATATAAACAAGTCTGCGCGTATATATCTGGGGGCTCATGAACCATTTCTTTTTTTTTAAAAAAAAGCAAACCACATCCTTTGGTTTTGTGGTGCCATAATTTATTGTAAACACAATAAATGCAAACCTGGAAAGGGGAATTGAAATGTACGATCGGTCTTACCACATGACTCGAGTAAATACAAATGAATGAATGGTCTTCCTTAAATACCAGCACCCTCATAGCCTGGTACTTTCTCATGAAGAATCTTTTCCGAGAAATCCCAAAGTTTGATCTGATTTTCTGGAGACATAGAGTGACCACCCACCGAACCAGGCACAGCAAAGGGAACATAATACTGGCCACGGATATCCTTTTCTTCAACCTCAGGACTAGTGGCAAGATACATTTGTGTGATCGCTCCATCTTCTGTTGATATCATGAATGACTTGATGATGGAATTAAGAAAGCTGTTACTGTGTCTCATCAAATCAGATTTGACTGTACCGGGGTGACAACTGTTTACATATATTCCCTGCATTGGGTTGAGTTAAAAAATGAATCGATTCGAATATGCCACTATCAAGCCAATCTTACTTTCACACCCTTCTGTTCCAATCTCTGTGAGAGCTCACGTGTGAACAAAATATTGGCAGCCTTGGATCGACCGTATGAAACGAAGGCGCTATACTTGCTTTCATCATTCATAGTCTCAAGATCTAAACCGTGGAAATAGATGGTATTGTGTCCCCATGAAGAGACATTGACGACACGACTAGGCTGGCTCTCCTCCAGAACCGGGAGCAATTGCATAGTGAGATGGAAGTGAGCTAGCTGTAACACAAATCTTTTTTGGTAAGAAAAATTCAACTTCCGTTGAAGGTGAAGCGCGTACCTACATGATTGGTAGCAAACTGTGATTCATAACCATCTTCAGAGAGAGCAAAAGGGCACGCCATAACTCCAGCATTGTTCAGCAAAACATGGAGCGGAAGCTTCTTGGCCTTGAACTCACTTGCAAACTTGGTGACAGAAGCAAGAGAGAGGAGGTCTAACTGGATGAATTCAACAAGTTCGTTCTTGGTTTCATTCTTGATTTCTTCTACAACTGCAAGAGCTTTTGAAGGCGTACGAGAGGCGATAATGACATGGGCGTTTTTCTTTGCGAATGCAAAAGCGCAAGCTTTGCCAATCTATTTCAATCAAGATTTCTGCTTTTAACATCACCACGTACACATATTACAGTAGATATTCCCAACGCTTACTCCAGTATTGCCGCCTGTGACAATGCAGACCTTGCCTGTCATATCAGGAATTTGATCGAGAGTAAAATTCTTTCCCATATTGATAAATTTGTGTGAAAGAGTGATCTGCCTGGCCGGTAGATCAATTGTGCCGTTTTTATACACTTTTGTGACTGACGCGTCCCGCCGCTGACTTGTGAATTTGTTGTCTTGGCGTATTTTACGTGATCCTGGCCGGACGTTTTGAGTCATGCGGAGAGTGTTGAAAATTTGGTTGCAACGGCTTATGTTTAGTGGTAAGGACAACACATCGTTATGAATCCTTCAGAAAGCAGAATTGCCAATGCTAGAAGAAAAAATATTGAACGGCCATAAACCCATGTATCAACGCAGTCGCACTCTTAACTGCTGAAGGATCAGCCCTTCCACTTCAACATCTTATGCTACCCCCTTCTGTGACAGAGAATTGCTTGTGTAGTACCAATTGATCGAGGAATAATCACTACTGCGTGGTAAATATGTTGTATTATATTAAAAGGTGTGAGAACATGGTAGCTAGCGACAAGACGCTCATGATGCTGGTACGCAGGCTTCTACACAACCATTGCGATCAGAGAATATGTAATCTATGCTAATGTGTCAGTGACTTGCCTAAGTTAAAAAGTTTTTCTGAAGATGACTGTGGAAGCCACAGAGGGGATGACTCAATTACTCGAGCTCTCAAACGTTATATTTGCAGATCAATTTTTTTGGGATTCATGCGCAGCTTATAAGCCATCCATCTGGGTCTCAGAAGCAAGTGTACTGTTTATTGATCACAAATTTACGGAAGATGGAATGATAATTTGCGTTAGATAGAATGATCATTTTGCGTTGGATATTGCGTTAGATACTTTTTACATTGTTTGCTTCTTGTGAAAAAAGACACAAACTCACCTCTTTCAAGTATCGCTTTAAGCGCGTGGGGCTTTCATAGCACCCTTCTCATGATACTACCTCTTATTCCAGGTAGGTTTTTCACCGGTGAGAGCATACGACTTCACGATCCTCCTCATATTCATGGCGGCAAGGACATCTTTGTGCCAAACGGCCTGGTGATCATGACGACGAGTGGCTACAGCATCCAAAGTGTAGGTCCATGGTAGCCGAGGATTAGTCAATGTACCAGCGTTGTAATTGGCCCGGCAAGTTGTGCAACTTCTGTGTCGAATTACAGCGCAATCGTTCTTTATGACACGATCTTGGCATTCATTAAATGGGTGGAGGAATGATATGTTGCCGTCATCGTTTCTCTCACAACACCACTTCCTCCTCTTCTTCCACCGCTTGCCGGGCACTCGATCATCGTACTTTGATTTTGCGAGGTGGTCACATACTGAGACACGAGTTTTGTAGTCGACAGTCCTAGCATCACATAAGCAGGTGATACTCGTCCGGAATTCGTCAACTTTGATTACTTTGGCAAATCGTGCTACGTATTTAGCCAAACCCTTGACGGGCAGTGGTGGCGACCCCTTCCTGTTGCCAAAGCATCCAGTACCCCATGCTACAATTTTTGAATTCGATAGATGTAGCAGTGGTATGCGGTCGGACGGAGGACCAGCAGCAGCAATTGGTTTCTGCGGTGGCAACACCGATGAATTGCAGAGCAGAGTATTCTTCATTGTGGCGTAGGCTCTCTCTGTTGCAATTTCTCTCGTCCTTCTCCATCTTCGGTAAAACCCCAGCTTTGACCATGCATGCAAGATGTTGAAGTGTCTGTAACAGACAGCCAAATAGGCAGCCCATTGATCGTAGCTATCTCTTCTCAACAATGATAGCTGGTCAGTTGCCTCTTTCACAAGCCTTTGCTGCAGACGAGATTCTTTTTTGGAAAATGCTTGTGATAGGCGTGCGTTAACCCAGTATCCTAATTAAATAGAGTTATGTTGTCATTTAAATTAATAATTTTCAATCATATCAAAGTATGCATGCTGACATACCTTTGGTTATCTGCATTTTATCGTATAGATTCTCGGATCTGACAGCAGTAATCAAGGACTTCAGGCCAGGATCAACCCCGATGAGATCAGCACTTTGGAGCTCAGCTTGTACGGACTGAGGGTCCAATTTCAGAAGCTTAAACATTCCTTTACTGTAGCTGCTCAGGTCTATAAGTTCCTGTTGTTGGTATATGTATTGATGTCAGTGAGTACATCAACAACAGCTATAATGTTTAATTTTCTCCATAAAACAAACCTCTGTTGATCTGCTAGGTAGATTTCGGCTTGCTGATTCATTTGGCTGAGGTTTGAACGAAACACTACAGCCAAAACCATCTGTGTTTATACCTATATGGTGAGTCGCCGCTCTGAGTTTTTTTTAAAGCCATGTTATTAGTGCTTTACGGCTGTGATCTTACGGCTGTGATCATGACTTACTTCTTACTAAGTCGATCCAGATCAAAGATTTGATGCCATATCGACGTTGATGATGAGGTTTCTGCACTTTCCTCTACAGTGTGACGTGGTTGGCGTTGACGTCCTACGGGCCATTTGCTTTCAGCCACTATTGTATACCTTTTCAGCTCACCAAGAATCCTCTCATCCAAACGAAAATATTTTGTTGTCATTGTGTATTCCGGAAAGAGCTGGAACCTACGAGCGTCACAGTTTGAGCGGATAATGCGCAAGAACTTGTAGTATGACAATATCAAAGACAGTAGTTTTCGCTCTTTCAACAGTGTCCTTGTCAGCCTTCGATACCTGTGATCAGCTTCACGGTTTTCTTGAAGAAGAATGCCCATAGCTCGGCGATGTGCCATTATAAGATCTTGCAAATCGTCATCAGGAATGTAGATATTCACTAATCGTTCACCTCTTGATGTACGGATTTCAACAGATTCATCATCGGAATCATCAGAATCCGAGTCATTATCAATTTCTTCATCCTGAAAGGCCGCAGTGTTTTCAAATGGTTCTTCCGGGTGTGAATTATCCGTGCTACTACTTGCTGATGATGGGTCGACATTGTCTCTGTTCTCGACAAATACGAGCTCATTTATTTGACGTGAGATGTACATGGCCATTTTGTTGACGATTTTCTTCCTATCAGAGCCTTCGGCTTCCTCTTCTGGGATATATGGGTCGATTCACTTTTCAAGGTATGAAATTGAAACTTAAAAAAGTGCGTAAAGAGATGAGCCTTAAGGTTGGCAATCATCATTCTAGCATTATATGCCCGTATTTGTGCGGACAGGACTGAAGGTTTGGAAATGCCGTTTATACCAGAAAAGTAGCTATTGAAAACATCGTTATACGTTTGTTGTAAAGCCTCTTTGTCTGGTGTCAGCGCCGTGGGACGGAAGTTATCCATGAACAACGCTTGAGCAAACGTGAAATAGGACTGTAGCTTTTCGGTATCCGTAGGTAGAGCAGTGTTTTCTTTGTTTAAATGTACGTTTATCAGCAAACTGGCCTGCCGCCGTACGAAGGATGCAGCAACGGCTATTTCCCTAATAACAGGCACAAGGTGTTGAAATTCTGGACGTAGTATTGCTATCAATCCTGTTTTAATGGTTTGTTGTCGTGGCATTTTGTAAAGACTTTTAGGTGAATGCTGAGAGTGATGCCCAGTGATTGAATATAAATAGCGAGTGATTGAAAATAAACGCCCGCCAAACCCCCTTTTCGATTTTGAGGATTTCGAGAAAAAAAAAGGGGTTCGAAAGAAACTGCTTACATACACTTTCGTGTATTGGATTCGTCTTAACGTATGACTTAATGGCTTCAAATAATAGCGCGATGGACGGTTAAGCTATCTAGTTGCCTCTTCAAATGTGCTCGAGATATCATGAGAAGAGATTTTCTTGAGTCTCTTGCCTTACGATCAAAAAGTATGCCAATATTTATCAGTACCAATCAATACCGATCAATTAAATCTTATGTCTGCTTCTATATCTAATTACTTTTAATTGGATTCTATAATTTGCAATAGAGAAAGATATGAGGACAAGATGGAATTCAATGATGCAGCGTGAATGACACCACATTCTATCATTCATACCAAAGACATCATGTATTTGACAACTTCTGTTTTGTAGCTTAGCTTTCGGCGATTACTATGGTGAAGCCGTTCCTGTGGATAGCGAGGCGTCCAGTCCCACCATATCAACATCCATCAGGGCTCGCAACGGTACCAGAATGGTATCCTTGTTTCCACCTTTCTCCTCGATATCCATCGGTTGACTTGGTTTTTCCATCATAGTCTCCTCATTTTGCATGTAGGACCCTGTAGGGGTAGAGTTATCAGCTTCACACAAGATCATGTTTTCGCCTTCAATAAATGTGATATTACTGTTTTCCATGTCATATGCTCACTATGCAAGGGCTTATAGTCCGTATATTCAATTTTCTATGAAAACCTGAATTCGCGTTTAAGGCTACTAGGCGAAATATAATTATAGTTTGCGTATACAAATCAGAGGATCTGCGCCAATTATTTTGAGAAAGACTGTAGTTTGCATGGAGAGCTGGCTGTCAGTCGCGTGCGAAAATATGACATAATTCATTAGCTAACAACGGTTACCTTTTTCGCCGCTAGTGAAAGGTGTAAAGTTCGCTTTGCAGCTAAAAAAAAAGAATGATTTGCCCAAAAACGAGAATAGGCTGTCATTATTACGAAAAACGAAAGAAGTCATGTTTTTACGTTCTTATGCAAGTCGTGTTCCACACCGATTACTCTTTCGAACATTCACAACCATGGAATATAATATCTCTGTTGCTGGCAAAAACGTTCCCGTCAAAGCTGCTACTGCTGACATTGACATCAAACCGGTTTTTGAATTCCAACCTTTCAAAGACTGGTGCGCCTCATTTGACAAGGAGCTGAGTCAATCCAAAGACATTACTTTGAACTCAATTCAGATCCAAAGTGTCGATATCTTCGGCAATGACAAAATAGGATTTGTCAAATTCAAGGCTGACGCTGAGCTCACGGAAACCGGAAAGAAAGTGCCCGGTATTGTGTTCATGGTACGTGCGATTCGTTGAGCTTCTCCGCTGCATTCAACATATTGACTAACAGCCAAATATCAGAGAGGAGGAGCTGTATCGGTGTTGATTATTTTGAGATCCTCAGACAATCCTGAAAAAGGTGATCGTGTTATTTTCACACTTCAACCACGCGTGCCAGTCCCTTGCATCAAGATGCCTGAGCTTCCAGCCGGCATGCTCGATGGATCCGGTAGCTTTTCTGGTACTGCCGCCAAGGAGATTGAGGAAGAAACAGGTCAGTTTTGAACTGTGAATGATGCTCATACATTTTATTGTACTGACGGATGTATTATAGGCTTAATCATTGAAGAGCGAGAGTTGACCGATATGACAGAATTGGCATACGGTAATGCCTGGCGAGGCGTATATCCTTCTGCAGGTGGATGTGGTATGAAATTCTGCCTTTCTATGCAAATATGCCGTTCTTATCACTAACTGAACTACATCTTGCTTCGCACAGACGAATTTCTGCGCCTGTTCCTGTGCGTCAAGTCACTGCCTTCCAAGCAAATTGATGAATTGGAAGGAAAATTGACAGGATTAAGAGATCATGGAGAGTCCATCACGCTCAAGCTGGTTAAACTGGAAGATGCATGGAAGGAATCACCAGATGCCAAGCTTCTTTCAAGCTTAGCACTTCTAGATGCGCTCAAAAAAGCTGGAAAGTTGTAAACATATAGTGTCTAGGTTTAGCCAACAATCTAATTTGGCAAATGAATGTAGTATATGTCCCATTTAAATATGATATCCATTGATTTTTGAAGAAAGACACAGAATGAGGGGAGCAAATGTCAGGTTTCCGCTCTTCACACTTTTTTTATTTTAAATTTCCGTCTGCAACAATTTGCAACGTCGTGTTCGAACTGTGAAGCCTCCAATGGCAAAGGATCCTGTGCAATTACTGGATGACGAAGATAACTTCGCTCCCAGATTTGAGCAGGTGAGTGCACATAAGAATCTGCCTCCAGTCATTGGACATGCCTATGCGACTGGCAGGTCTGTGATCCTAACGACCATTGTTGGAAGGAGAATACTAATTACAAGATTTGGTATGACAGGTACTAGAAGAGATTTTCAAACGCTTCGACAAGGTGAGCTTTTTCATAGAGGAACATTTGATGTCCAAAGGGAATGTGAAACTAATATAGGATGATCAATCGAATGTAATCAGAGCAACAAAGGCTCATGGACTAGAGATGAAATCAACGAGTTTGCTACTCAAACCAACGGCAAGCCTGTAAGTGATTGAACTCGGGACTATAGTACACACGCCATAAGCTAGCTTACGATTTTTTTTAACATTATAACAATTCTTGACAGTTTGACAAAGATACATTGGAGGTAAAGATGCTCACGCCACTGTCTGATTTTGATGCCTCTTGTCTCTATAAGTTTCTAAATCACAAAATGGCTAAACAAACACTTTAGGAAATCGAAACTTTTTTTGAAGTAACAGAAGAGGGTAATCTTACTACTAATGGGTTCATGCAAATGTATCACTTGCAAACACAAAACGATCCTGAGGAGACGTGGAAGGATTTGAAAACATGTAAGTGTTGAACTGTCCAATATGGCTATAGATATCGTGCTTGCTGATCCCAAAAAACCATATTGCTATTATTAAAGATGGATACGATGACAACTTGGACCTTGTATCTAGTAGAACTGAAGATGAAAACCCCATTTCACCAGCACCAGAGAAATAAATACTACACTGAATGGATATTTAAAATTGCAATGTGGTAGTGGCATTTTTTTCTGTGATGCGTTCCAAGTGTGACTTTGCTCTCCTGCTGAGAAACACACACCAGTTTCTTGAATACCAGCGCAGCTTAAACGGTCTCCAGTTGTATCTTACCGTCCTCACAGCCATAGACACACATCTCAGTTTAGCCTGTAGACACTATAACTGCGTATGCATTCTGAAGCAGTCTGACATTCTTTTAAATAACGAACCATGACTAACCATAATGTCCCCTCATAGTGACGATTTACGAAGGAACTCATGACAGTCCCCGAGGCCAAGCGACAGCGAAGAGAAAATATGCTTGACACTCACGAAGGTACCCATTCGTCACTTATTGGAATGACAATAACAGATCGGAGGTTACATTAAACTGACCTGTTGTTCATAGAGAATGCCCATAGCTTAGACAGCAACTCGCCCCAACCGGTAGAGACAGTTACACCTGTAAATGAAGATAGCGTCATGACTGATAGCAGTCAAGTTGAAGAACCAGAAGTAAATGGGCACATTGTTCCTCTAAACTCTACTGAGGTGAATTCTCGTGGTGGAGACATACTGTTTGTACCAAAAGGTTCGCTGACAGACTTGCGTTAAACAGATAACTACGGCATTGGAATCGTGCAAAATTCTAGTTATTGGCGCCGGTGGACTAGGTTGTGAGATTTTGAAGAACCTCGCTCTCACCGGTTTTAACGACATTCACGTAATTGATATGGATACTATTGATGTCAGCAACCTTAATCGCCAGTTCTTGTTTCGGTAAGTTCAACTCATTCATCTGACGGTGTCTTAATGGATTGAAATTCATCAACGGCCATATAGGTCCGCCGACGTTGGAAAATCGAAAGCATTAGTGGCAGCTGAATTTGTGATGAATCGTATGCCAGGAGTCAAAATTATACCGTAAGTTGCAAGATGCGATATGAAATTTACTAGTGGAATCTCTTCCAACGTACTTTTCGTAGGTATATGGGAAGGATCCAGGACAAGGATGAAGATTATTACTCTCAATTTCAAATTGTCATCTGTGGTCTTGATTCTATCGAAGCTCGGCGGTGGATCAATGCTATGTTGGTCAGCCTTGTGGACGATGAATCTCCTGAAAGTTTAATTCCAATGGTGGATGGTGGAACGGAAGGTAAGGACGAAGTGTGAGCATGGTCGGCTTACCTAAGCACAACATAAAGTTATATTGACAGAATAACATAGGATTCAAGGGCCAAGCTAGAGTCATATTACCTACCATCACGTCATGTTACGAATGCTCCCTTGATATGTTTAACAAGCCCAACAGCTTTCCCATTTGTACCATCGCAAACACACCTCGATTACCTGAGCATTGTATAGAATGGGCTTCAGTACTGGAATGGCCTCGTGTGTTCCCAGGTCAGTAATTTGTCGAGCAATCTGCACCATGATTGTGTACCTAACAATTATGGCTGCAGATCAAAAGTATGACACGGATAACCCGGAACATATTTCATGGCTTTATGAAACTGCGTTGACGCGAGCAAAGAAGTTCAATATCGATGGAGTATCTTACTTCCTGACCCAGGGTGTAGTTAAGAATATCATACCCGCAATTGCATCGACGAACGCCATTATCGCCGGTACGTATATGGGTCATTTTTCGAAGAAAGTAATGGCCTGTGGCAAATTTCTAATTTCAACACTTCTTAGCTGCTTGTTGTAACGAGGCTTTCAAAATTGCAACATCAGTTGCTCCCTTTTTGAACAACTACATGATGTACACAGGCAATGACGGAGTCTACACATATACCTTTGAACATCAAAAGAAACCTGAATGCCCTGTTTGCGGAACGGTAGCCATCAAGATCGAGATTAACCCAGACATGATACTGGAAGACTTTTTGGATGTTTTGAAGGAAAAGCCCGACACGTAAGCCTACATAGCATTTTTCAAACCTAGGACGCTTCGTTCATCCTGTTTGCTTACGCCTTTTTTTTTTACTAAGCCAACTGAAGAAGCCAAGTCTTCGTACGGCGACAAAGGCCTTGTATATGCAAGCTCCACCACCTCTAGAAAAGGCCAGTCGACCTAATCTTGTCCTCAAAATGGGAGACCTAGTCGAAGACGGTGATGAAATTACTGTTACGGACGTAGCTCTACCTGTTAGTATGCAGCTCAAGGTCAAATTGATTACAAAATAATCGTTCTTCTGTGAAGAAGATCAAATCAGTAAAAATTGTTTAAAAAGACAAAAACATTTAAAGATGTGTTCCATTAGTGTTTACGATGGACACAAATAAGCCCTTCAGCTAGTATGGCGCTGCTCATACCTATGGCTGATAAGGCGGGCAGCACGTATTTATTTAAACAATGATAAAAGTAGTGGGTGAACCAATTCAGAACGGTCCATGTCCTATTCCTCGTCCTCATCCTCATCTGCTCCGAATTGTGTGTAATCAATCTTCTTTCCACGGGTGCGTCGACCGGTAGAGATGATAACAGATTTATCCAAAAACTCCAATTCATCATCTGCGAAATGAAAAAATGTCAGATATTTAAAGGCTTACTTGACATAGTCATAGTTGAAAAACGTACCCGACACATCAGATGCTTCTTCGCCTGATTCTTCATCACTGCCACGCTTTTTACTCTTGGATTTACTAGGCTTGCTGGCGGGTTTGCTTGGTTTGCTTGGCTTGCTAGCTTTGACAGGCTTGCTAGGTTTTTTCGACTTCTTGGATTTTTTTCTGTCATCATCGCTAAAGTCGTCTTCATCGTCATCATCGACGTCTTCATCATCATCGTCATCATCTTCTTCTTCTACGGCGTGTAAAAAATAGGTTTAGTTTTTCGACTTCATTAAGCTATCATACCACTCTAAACCTCACCTTCTTCTTCGTCATCAGAGCCAACGACAAATCCATCCCCGGTCTTATACTTTTCCTGTCGGCGGCGCTCTTCAGCTCTACAACCAAACTTAGTGTCAGTAATGGATGAATTTACCACGGCTGTTGTAACTGGTCAAGTTTGCTGAGGCTGTTTCGAACGTTTCATTTGGTGTTTGATATCAATTAATTGTAAAGTTCCGTATTGCTTTCGAATGAATATATTCCGGCCACAAAACGCCAGTGATCCGTCGATTTACGCGTTTAGGCAACCGAAATGCCTGGGGCATGCTCGTACACATGGTGTATTCTCTCAAAAACCAATCAAGGTGACTTACGCATCCTCAACTGCTTGCTTCTTAGAAGTAGGGCGATTTTCTTCATCCTCCTTTCCGCCACGTCGTCCAGCAGCAAGTGCCTCGAGCTTTCTCTTTCTATCGCTCATTGTCGATTGTTCCAAGGTAGAAGGTTGGGTCTGTGCCAAAATTTGGCACGCACACAAAAAAACGTCTCGTATCACGTGCGGGTGCCTTGAATAGGGTTCCTGATCTACCGACCTGGGGACAAAGCACCGACGTTTCGAAAAAAGATCGTTGTGCGATTTCAAACAACGAAGGCTTTCATTTCATTTCATTTCACGTTGCCAAAAAACAGAAAAACGATCTCCAAATGATATCTTTCGGCCGAGTGAACTACCTTTCAGCATGCGTATTCAATTTCCCTAAGCGTTGGTAAACTTAATAACTCAGATAGGTCGGACATCTCAGAGCGAAGAGGACTGTGATGATAAAGAATATTGGGTTGTGTGATCCTCGCTTGTCCCAAAGGATTGGGCTTATATAGTCTATGTGGCTCTTTCTGCATGTCGGTTATAAGGTTGTACCGTTGGATTCATGCTGTAAGGTTGAAACTCCACATTCCAAAAAGCTGCAATCCCAGATGAAGAGGTTGTACAGTCCACGCTTACAAACTCACACCCATCCTATCGGAGATGGAGGAATGCTCTGGCGTACAAAACATGTACGGCTTTGTATCACCGACGAAGTGTATCACCTGCCAATTACCCATATAATTGTCGAAGTTTTGTTTTCGGTCTAGTGAAAAGAGTTGCTCTTGAACACTTCAAAAAGATGGCTAGCATTGATTCTATGGTATCTCAATTGTTGCAAGCTCGCCATGGCTTCCTCGACAATATCATCCATCATTTAGGAAAACACTCCAAGGCTACATACATTACTACAGCGATAGCTCTTTATATTGGTGCCAAAATATACAATGTATTGTCTTTGCCCAAAAGCTTGCGACACATTGCCCATGTTCCAGCGCCTGTATGGATGTCTTCTTTGATGCGTGGAGAAACTACACTTGATAGAACCAAGAGGTTGCTTATTTCGCGTATGACCGAAACAAATGGCATGGTCTGTAAGTTTTCCCAGCTAGGATGGGAAGTCACAGTCATGAACCCTAAAGCTATCAAGACATTGTTGCAAAGAACAGGTTTGTACCTTTTTTCAAAACCTGGTTCACCTGGTTTTTTTTTTCTTACCGAAATGCTAACGTTCATTCTTCAGACATTTTCCCAAAGTCGGAAGTGACGATTGATAACTTTGATAGTAGATCGCTTATCCGTCGATACTTCGGTAAGACCAATCTCACTCTGGCCAATGGTCATGAATGGATGCGACGAAGAAAGGTTAGTCGGTTATCTGAACATACAACGAGAAGAGCATATATCTCACAAAGCTATTGTTCAATAGATCGCAAACCCCGCTTTCAAACGAGCTCTGCCTGTAAAAATGTTTGCACGTTTGACAAGCCAGGCGTCAGAGCAACTGGATCAGTCCAATGGCGCGCCTGTTATGATAGCATCCTTGATGCAAAGGTACCTCCTCATACTACCAGTCTTTGATACATGGAAACATCCCACATTACTAATAGCTTGCTCTAGATTTACACTTGATGTCATCGGCCTTGCTGGCTTTGGCTTTGACTTGAACTCCATCAGCAGCCCGGATGGTCAGTGGGTGACAGCCTACAATGACGTTGCAGATGGCTTTATGGCGTTCCCTTTCATTTTCCTTCCGATATTGGAAACGGAATTCATCCAGTTTTTTCCAAATCGCCGCAAGAAACACGAACAATTGACGAAATTGGATGGGTTTTTTGAAAGCATTATCGAGCACAAAAGGGAAACTCTAAAAAATGTAAATTCGGAATCGGTAGACGATAACGAGAAAGACTTGTTGACATTGTTGATGGAAGCTGGCCGTGGAGAAGACGATGATAGCGAACCTTTGACGAATCAAGAACTTCGGGATGAGCTCGTACTCTTCTTTTTTGCTGGGTAAGAGAAAGGACATAGTCAGGCATATGATATGACCGTCCACATCTGACTATTTGTATAGACATGATACAACATCTCATGCGCTGACCTGCGCACTTTACTATCTGGCCGTTAATCCAGTGAGTGAATGGTTGCACTAGCGACGTTTCCGGGTACTCACTTCATCTAACTGAATGTTGTAATAGGATATCCAAGAGAAGGCGCGACAAGAGGTGCTTGATGTGTTGGGAGACGCACAGGAAGAAAAGTTCCCGACCATTCAACAATTAAGGCAATTTCCTTATCTTGCTCGTGTGATGAAAGAGGTATGTTTGTCGTTATGCTAACTAGTGATCAAGACCCATTTCTAACTCTTCTACCCAAGACTTTACGCATTGCCTCACCTCCAGTCAACCTGGTCCAGCGCATCGCACAGCATGACACAGAGCTAGAAGGCGTGGTGATTCCAAAGGATACGTTACTCACCGTCGATTTTTATGCAATTCATCACAATCATCACCTTTGGAAAAACCCAGAGGTCTTCAATCCAGACCGGTTTAGCGAAGGCGGTGAGCTGGAATCCATGGACTCGAGCTACGCATACTTACCATTTGGTGGTGGTGGCCGACAATGCATAGGTAAGTTGACGATAGTGTGTGGGATCATATCACGAACAATGAGCACTGACCACTATGAGTTTGTAGCGATGAACTTTAGCATCGCGGAGCAGAAAGTGGTGCTTTCTGGCTTGCTCAGAAAATACGACATCAGTCTTCCAGAAAACTCCATACACAAACATAGCCTCCAATTTGGGCCAAGTACTGGGCTCATCGTCCCAACCAAAGATCTTGAACTCAAATTTATCCGACGAAACCAAGTTATTTGATCATGAACATCCGACATACATTTCTTCCATGTCTTTTCTCAGAAAGCATCTCCTCCTCCATCTTACTGCGACGCATGCACTATAGGCATATCATCTTATGTTAATAAATCAATTGAACAGTAAGCTATACGTGGTACTAATGGCAGGTCATTATGTAATGTAACGTGAAATCGATCGTTGTACGATCGATGTGTAAATAACCTAAGGCGGGAAAGGCTTGTTCATCCAAACAATTCTACTTTTGTAATTTGACAATGCTTAAACATTATGATAATAGCATGCTGATCTTTTCGTCCAACAACGACTGCCATCAAAACTCAAATGCAGGTTAATTTGCATTTTCTTGCAGCAAAGTAACCATCCCAGGGCATGGGTTGCACCATACCATACTGCACCTTACCGCTTTAGCGATCGGTTGGATTGAAACTCCTATGTAACAAGAACTTGCAGAGGCAGAGAGGTCAGGACAGCGAGTATAGAAAGGCTTTCATATTCAAAGTAAAAAAATGGATTGTATAAGATAATAAATGAAAAAGTAAGCGAGATTTGTAAGAGTAGCTGATCAGTAAGCTTTGCCAGGCAACTTGATCTCTACTACCGCGCATTTCCATTTACGGCTGTACACAAAATTTGCAACACAGTATAAAAGGCGTGGCCGATTATTTTGCCTTAACCTCGGCCAGTAAAAAATGTCTTCGAATTCAGTCCTTTCAAAAGCAGAGACCTTTGCTTCGTCCACACTTTCTCAACTTCTCGAATATCAAAAGTACGCTGGAAATCTCTCTATTGTTGAGCTGAAGAAACATGTGAAGCTCGGTCACGTAGCTGTAGCGGTCGCTTTGCTCGTAGCGTCCAGCATTTACAAGTCCTTATCGTATCCGAAAAAGCTCGCCCACATAGCGCATGTACCTGCCAGAAAGAACATAAGATCCTTTATCAAAGGTGAAACAAATGTCGACCGAGCCAAGCAACTTTTTATACCTTTGTGTCTTGAAACGAAAGGTTTGGTTGCAAAATATGCTCAATTCGGATGGGAAGTTGCAGTCATCAGCCCAGAATCTGCGAGGACGGTTTTCCGTAATCCAGGTACAGTAACTTTATTAAAGCTTTCTCAAGTTTTTTGAATCATCCGGCTGACATTCTCGGTAACTTGTAGATATCTTTCAAAAGACGGAGAGCTTGAGCTTGTTAGATCCTCAAACCCTTTCTATCCGCTTCTTGGGCAGTACCAACCTAGCTCTTGCTAATGGAGAGGATTGGAAGAGACGTAGAAAGGTTGGTACGTACTATAGTTACCGAAATAATGACACAGCGAATAACAAAGTCATTTATTGGAGTTTAGATTGCCAATCCGGCATTCCATCGATCCATGCCTGTGAAGGCATTTGTTGATTTGACCGGCACTCTTCTCCAACAGATCGACACCATGAAGGGTCCTATTGATGTTCAACCCTTGCTACAAAGGTTAGGGACGATCTAGTGCGAGGACACATGTTTCAGTTTGGCTGACTTTTTGTTCCATCAAGGTTTACCTTGGACGTTATTGGACGCGTGGGCTTTGGCTTCGAGTTCAACGCTACTAGAGCTCCCGATGGCGATTGGGTACACACTTATAACGAGGTTTCAGACAACCTCTTGCAGTTTCCTTACATCTTCTTCCCAATTTTGGATACACGCTTTCGGTTCTTGTTTCCTCGTCGCATGGAAAAGCATGCGAAACTGACCGTGCTTAACAACCTTTTTAACACGGTGATCAGGAACAAGAGAGAGAATCTTCAAAAGTTGAATGGAGAAATTGAGGATTCAGAAAAGGACCTTTTGTCTTTGTTGATCGAATCTGGACGAGGAGAAAACGATAACTATGAACCATTGACCGATGAGGAGCTTCGCAGCGAGCTGGTCTTATTTTTCTTTGCTGGGTATGTGTTAATGTGTTACCATGGTCATACATGAGTACGTAACGCTAACTTTAAGCTCAGGCATGATACTACTGCTAATTCGCTGGCATCTACACTTTATTTCTTGGCTGCAAACACAGTAAGTAAATACCATGATTGGTAGGAAGCGCTATTCAGAAGTGCTAATCGATAGTGCAGGCTATTCAAGATAAGGCGAGACAAGAGACTTTGGAGCTGTTAGGTGACGAACCTCATGATGCATCACCGAACAACGAGCAATTGAAGAATATGCATTATCTGACCCGCGTAATCAAAGAGGTAAATGTTCAACCATTCCAATGCCAAGTTTGATATACGAAGGAAACTGACTGGCAGTTAAAATTTAGTCAGCTCGCATGTCGCCACCGGCATCCGCTACCATTCACCGACGAGCGGCTCAGGATACTGAAATTTCTGGCCTGTTCATCCCCAAGGAAACGTTGATAGTTGTCGATATTATTGCCAACCACTACAACCCTGCATACTGGAAAAATCCTAATGTCTTTGACCCTGATCGATTTTTGGAAGGAGGTGAAGCCGATCAACAATCGCCATTTTCGTCATATATGCCTTTTGGTGGAGGAGTTCGACAATGTATCGGTACGTAGAGAGCGGTATATGTGAAAGTGAAGCAATGTCTGACTGATGATGATTTGGGTCATAGGCATGAATTTTAGTTTGGCTGAACAACGTGTTGCGCTATCTGCCATACTGAAGAAGTATGAGCTTAGCATTCCTGAAGGTTCAATTCACAAGGACAGTCTACAGTTCGGAAACCATTTGTTTACTCTAGCGCCTAAGGACCTGGCTATCAACTTTACAAAACGGTATTAAGTATTCATATATTCAATGCATTAAATAAAACCACTTATGTTAACAAGAATCACGGAGTCAGATGAGGGTTATTTGGCTAGCCATAGGTTTTGAAAATTTGTTCACGTAACATTTTAAGATATTGATAAACAATGTCTTGTACAATATACGAGTATTACCACACTACCCCTGCTGTTTACATATGGTTTAAAGTAACTGCTTTTTTGTAAAGATCGAAAATGTTCACTTGATGCTGTTTTTCTTTTTTTTTTAGGTATCAATTTACCCTTAGAGACCATACTGTTATATGTCATTTGGTAGCGGCGGGTGGTATATGGGCCAAAAGTAGAACAGAAGCCTTAACAACCAAATTCTTCATGTCCAAGACTTGGTGTGGTTAGGGCTAATAATCTGTGGATTCCTTTTTGCTTCATGCAGTTCATCATAAGGCGATATCTATGGGTGATCGGCAAGCCACCAGGATATTCCCCTAAATGTGGTTCTAATGTAGAGATGACTGCGTTCACACCATCCATACTGGATAGCATAGTAGATTCATCAGTCAAATCGCCATGGAAAACAGTGACCTTTTCTTTGATATCGTCAAGTAATTTGTCGGGCGACCCTACCATCACATTTACTTTGTGGCCTTCTAATAGAGCCTTTCTAGTGATTTCCAGGCCGGTGGGGCTAGTAGCACCAAATATCAGCAATTTCATAATGCTGTGAAGCGCGACAAAATGAAGGAGGCAAAGAAGACTGGAAAAGACAAATAGTTAGATTTTATATAGGTGCAAAACTTGAAAACAACGCGTTTCCTCATATTGAGGATGGTTCAAGCGAATAACCAGTTCATCGCATAACTTACTTGTTGAAGGAGAAGATATAGTTGAAGGAATGGTAGAGTAGTTCATGGTTTGTTATAAAAGACGATCTATTGAACAACACAACTTTGACGGTGGATTACGACGGCTTGCGTTGACCGAAATTATTCCCAAATTTGAAGTAGGGTGTCTGGCGCACTGGGCAATGACTCTCACAGTCAAGTTTTTCCTCTTTACTTTCTTTAACTGAACTGAACAGCACAATCTGCCAATTGTCCATTTAGGTTCCACACCGCCTACACAGCACCTAGTCTCTCTGAGCTCATACAAACAATGTCTTCTGGGACCTGTGCACAGTTCCTGCATCAAATCAAGGCTGCGGAACCATTGCTCTTAGAAAGTCCGCTGTTATTCAATGACAAGTTTTTATGATCAGACCTGCAACAACAAGCGATTTTTGTTCCATACTGCGCCACCCAAAATTCAAGCTATCCAAGCAAGCCATCCCTTCAAGTTCATTGATTGGACGAATTTCTAAGGGAGCAAACTTAAACAATACCGTTTTTGTTTTTTTTATAAATGCTTTCAAACAAACGACCCTAAATAACGAGATAGCTACTTCTTTCGGTTAATCGATGTCTTTTATATCCCAACATCAAGTAGATCACCTGAGATCTATGGTACTTTCACTAGGCTCAGACCCTGTCAACACATTCAAGAACGCGCTCCTTCCATCTATCAAGCGTTCCAAGTTTAAATACCTAGGCGCTGCTATCGCGTTATATGTGGTCAGCTCAGTGTATCGGTTTTTTGAACGACCAAAACAACTTAGACATTTAAAGAGTATCTCAGTGCTGTCAATGTTTAGATCCTTGATAGCATCGGAAAACGACCTTGACCGGACTAATAAGCTGGTGCTACCCCGTTGGGAAGAGACCAACGGCGTGATATCCTTTTGGGGCCAGTTTGGATGGACAGTCAGAGTGACCAACCCAGAGGCCGTTCGAACCATTTTGTACAAGACAGGTATGTGTGTAGATTCATGTATCTAATTCAACCTTCCTTACTGACATCATGGCAACGAAGATATCTTTCCAAAAACGGCTATATTTGACGAGCTGAAATACAAGAATTTGTTGACAAAGTTTCTCGGAGAGAAAAACATGGTGTCTACCAATGCTCATGAGTGGCGTAAGAGAAGAAAGGTACGTACGTGCTTTCATGATGAGAAAATACGTGCGGTTCAACTCAATAAGTCGATCTATTCCTGTAGATTGCCAACCCAGCTTTCCATCGTTCCATGCCTGCAAAGACATTTGCTGTATTGACTAGCAGAATGTTTGAGCAGATCGAGAAAGCTGATGGACCAGTGGATATACAGAAATTACTGCAAAGGTGAGGCATACTTTTTAACATCCTCATAATGGAATGTGGCCATAATCTAACCTTGTGCTTAAGGTTTACCTTAGATGCTATTGGCCTCATTGGATTTGGCTTTGAGTTCAATTCCACTAACACACCTGATGGTGAATGGGTGAAAACCTACAATGATGTTGCTGATCATGTTGGTGACTTCAAGTATCTTTTCTTTCCCATTCTTGATACTACACTCCTTCCATTATTCCCAGAGCGACAAAAGAAGCATGAAAGCTTGGACAAGCTGAATGGGCTTTTTAATGAGATTATTCAACACAAGAAATCGGAGCTAGCAAAGGGTGGATCGAATGTTGATGACAACGAAAAAGATTTATTGACACTAATGCTTGAAGCTGGAAACGGAGACGATGATAAAGATCCTCTCACATCTGAAGAACTCAGAAATGAGCTCGTATTGTTCTTCTTGGCAGGGTAAGTGCTTCTTGATCAAAGATGTATGGCTGACTTCAACTTCTCACAATGATATGCATTCTAATCGTATCATGAACTTTAGTCACGACACCACGTCTAACGCCATGAACGCTGTGTTGTATTTCTTGGCTGTAAATCCGGTAAGAACTTGGATATGAAATAGGTTGGTATACTATAGGCTTCATTTTGACCTTGGTAAATAGGATGTGCAATCAAAAGCTCTACAAGAAGTCTTGGATGTTCTTGGCGATGAACCATCGGACGTTTGGCCAACTCTTGAGCAACTTAAGCAATTCCCTTACCTTTCGAAAGTCATGAAAGAGGTATGTAGCGTCAAAAGGTTCAGAGCCCTTTATGTCCATACCCCTACTAAAATTATATGTTTCAGGCGATTCGCCTAGCACCACCCATATCACGTCTCGTTGAAAGACAATCAGCAGTAGATACAGAATTGGCTGGCGCTTTCATTCCCAAAGGTACTAGCATCATGATCGACGTACTCTCACTCCACTATAATGCCAACCTTTGGAAGAATCCAACCAAGTTCGATCCTGAGCGATTTGCCGACGGAGGCGAGCTTGAGTCGATGCCATCTACCTACGCTTATCTTCCATTTGGTGGCGGTGCACGACAGTGTATAGGTGAGTAACCTAATCATAATGTCAAATGCCCCTGTATGTGTGTGGCTGACCTTTATGGATCAGGAATGAACTTCAGTTTGGCCGAACAACGCGTGGCTTTAAGTTCCATCTTAAGGAAATACGAGCTCAGTCTGCCTGAAGATTCCATTCATAAGGATGGCATTGTATTTGGTTCGCAGACGCTTACTTTTGCTACCGAGAAAATGATGATCAACTTTACCCGACGACACTGAATAGGCTGATTATATGCACGTCGTCCATTTCTGTGGAGCATTTACTATCATATTTATGAAGTATACAATACACGCCATTATATATTTTTGCAGTAGTCATAAGGTCATTGTACATTATAAAAGAAAGTTTACGGTTCGGTCGCAGTATTTTGGTGCTAGATGTCATGAATGATAGGAGCCCTTTACAATTTAACCGATGTGCTTTCTTCTAATCTCATTCGATACCCCTCTCTCGTATGCAGACATCCAGAGAACTACTTTCTTGACCAGATTGCAAAATACTGGAGAGTTAGAGATATAGACACTTTAAAGCGTATACGAAAGTCAGTATAATAAATCTGCAGTGCGCACAGACATTTTTTGCTAGAGTGCTGGTTGGATCAGAAAGGATTCACGACACAGAAAATATTCATACGCCATGGAGAATAAACACGCAAATGTATACTGGTAATTAAAATGGAAATGCTTTACTAGGTATATATTGTTCAGCTTGCTTCTCTTGATCTAGCTATAAGTATCAATAAACAACGAACATAAATCGTTATACTCTAGTAGCAAGTTCATCACGGAACATTTGGCAGAAGCTCAATTCATTTCATATGGGTCATTAAAATAAACACCCGCCAGTAAGACGCGGTCTCAGCTGTCAATGGCAATCTGCATTTGCACATCAGTAACTCACAAAAGGTCTTGTACCGTACTTTAATAAAACCATGTCTACTCAGACGTACTAGGGTGTTTAACAACTATATAATCGCTTTCCTTTTCCTATGGCTTGAATAAAGTACCAAGTTGTCATTCAAGCTTCCCCTTTATCCCTGATTTCTTTGCCCAAGTTGTACCGTCTGTATGCTCAACAACTATGACCATTAGAGCGAATACACGCGACTGCTTCACCTTTAAACGCCTAAGAGCACATAAATGGTTCGCTTTGAACGAATTTACGCCCTTAAAGCTTACTAAACACGCTCCTTAGCTTAAAAACAACTCTAATTTACCCCGCATCTTTGATACACAAGGTCTGTGCGCACTGCCACTCTGTTACACCGACTTTCTTTCAAGCTGTGAGATGTCTATTTCTCTGGTTCTTCATCCCCTCGATGCTTTAAAAAATAACTAGTACTATAGAAGTATGAGGAGAAGGGAGGGGTATGATATGGGAGTCAAATGGAGTCTGTGGTGAGGCTGGGGGTCGAGGAAATGGCGATTTTGTTCGTAAAAGTGATGGTCATGATCATGTCATTTTCATTACATTTTTGAGACGGATATGGTATGTAGAGAGTGCGTTAGTGTCGTTCCTCGCGTTAAGTATCCTTGGTTTCAGTCGTAGTAGTCAGCCCCGTGCTTCTAGTACCGACTCTCCGTCCGTAAAATAAGTTAATCCAGAGAAAAGATGATTTTTATTAACCACAAGAAGTCCGGCTTTTATAGCCATGTGACTTCCACGTCTAGCGGAAGGTCCGGCATAATTATCTACCGAGTACAGCGAAGAGAGGATGGCAGTCACTGATAATAAGGATTACAGCGGCGCAACATTTTGAGGAAGGTCTTCTGGTCTAGTGGTCTAGGCGACCCCCATATTCTGAGGTTGTTGTTCGGGCTCGGGTTCGATTCTCGCCGTGTGGCGGGTATTCTGATTCGGCGTCTGACCTTCAACTGAGGAATATAGGGGGCCGCCCAAGGCCACTGCCGGGAGACCGCCTCACCCTTTGTGCCAAGTTACTATCGTGACAATGAGCTCTTTTACGAACATAATCGCCATTTTCTCGACGCTTAAGCCCTCCGCATTACCTTCTCTCTTCATCGTTTTCTTCCAAAAACGTTTTCACGTGACCAGTCTTTTCTAACAAGCGGTTGCCGGTCACCTGCTACCTCTTGTGTCGTCGCCTAAAATACAAAATGACAGTTCAACCGAACGCCGGTTCAAGGGGACTTCTTTACCAGCGAAGTCACATTGAATATCCTCTTAAAATTAGATTTCTTTTACATTTTTATATAATAAGTCACGAATCAACAAGTATAAATAGAGCAGTTGATTAATAGAATAAAAAGCAGTTTTTAACCTCACGAGAAGTTCACTCGTCTGCAGGATAATACAATAAGTCATACAGTAATCTAAACGACACTTGTCGCAAACGACATTCACTTAAGCCAATGTCTCTGGGCATATTGCTTCATGTCTGAGGCTGTTTTAACATAGCGTTCAGAGCTGAGGGCAGAAAATTTGAACTCCTCTCATTCATTCACTTCTCGAGACGCGCATTCATGCAGGGTCACTTACAATTCTGCTGCGGTTCTTGAGGACAATAGCTCAAAGTCTTGGAGAATGTAGTTGCACTGTTAGTTGTTAAATTCTCTTTGGTCAAGTTTAGCTTCTAAAGAGCAACTAGATGGTGGTCATTTGGCCCCTGAACCCACTTTCTGTTGATATCAGTATGAAGTTACAGCCCCACCTACACGTTTCCATTCAGTTTCAATTCTTGTCATCATGGCTTCAGCTCTTGTATCGAACTGCACTGGGACTGAACCAAACCAGAAATATGTTCACCAACTAGCGGTCCCAAGCGGATATGACTGCGATCACATTATCCTTACTGTGGAGCATTATAGTCTCATCCGCCAATTTGCCATGGAATACACTGCACGTTTCATAATATTGTCGAGTGTCTTCTCATGATACCGTAACTTCTGATTCACTGGATAGCCTCTAGATGAAGCCCTTCCAGTAATTTCCCAACTTATTCCAAAATGTAGGCGCCAAATAAAAAAGGAAAGGGTAAATTACTAAGTTTTATCAAAAGAAAAGGATGTCCTCTAGGGACAGCCTTCACCTTTTGGTTGAACTGATCAGCGACAGCTATTGAACCGCACAAACTTTTCTTGAAAGAGGTTATACGGTTTTACAGGGCGTTTCGTAGTTTGCTATACAAGATCATCTGAGTCAACAAGATGCTTGAAAATGCGCATTGCATTGATTACGACGGTATGCGTTGACCGAAATTGGAAGAGCGACTTCGGCGCACTGGCCTCGCATGCATTTCCCGCTAGATTGATGAGAAGGGTCTCATTGCTAATTCTGTCCCGATACGCACCGCTTCAACTAGCATCACATTATCTGGAACTTGCTACTTTAAGGAAATTATGTCTTCCTGGACGTAGTCACACAATCATATCGAAACCACAGACCCATAGATCTCAAAACCATCGCTTTTATTCAATTAAATCGTAGTTCCTTTGACCCGTTTTTATTATCTCATAAGCAAAGAATGCAGAGATCGGTAAACAGGGTTAAATTTTTGGTCATGCTGCGCCACAAAAATCGAACAATTTCCCTAAGCCTTGCTTTCATAGTTCATTTATTGGATGAATTTAACCGCTAATCCTCACGTTATTTGTTGCTTTTTTTAATGCTGCATCAAATGTATGAACATAAATAACGAGATTGTTGCTATTTCTTTTAATTGAACAATGGCTTCTCCTACATCAACCTCCCAATATCAAATAGACCGCATGAGGTCTATGATACTCTTGCTAGGTTCAGACCCTATCAACATCATAAAGACCAAGCTACTTCCGTCTATCACACGCTCCAAGTTCAAGCTCCTTGGCGCTGCCATTGCATTGTATGTGGCCAGCATAGTGTATCGAGCCTTCGCATACCCAAGGAAACTTAGACATCTTAAGAGAGTACCACTGCTACCGACGCTCAAGTCCTTGATGGCAGGTGACAGTGACCTTGAGACATCCAAAAAATTTATGCTACCCCATTGGAAAGAAACCAACGGCGTGATGTCCTTTTGGGGCCAGTTTGGATGGACGGTTAATGTCGCCAACCCAGAAGCTATTCGAACCATTTTGTACAAGACAGGTATGTGTAAGCTTATGGGTCATGTTCAGACCTTTTTACTGACATCATAACGCCGCCCAAGATATGTTTCCGAAAACGACAGTTTTTCAAGAGCAAAAGTATAAGAACTTAATGACAAAGTTTGTCGGAGATAACAACTTAGTATTTTCCAATGCCCATGAATGGCGTAAGAGAAGAAAGGTTAGGATATGTGGTCATGTTGAGACGATTCAAGTGATTTCCTCTCAACAAGTCAAAATATTCCTGTAGATTGCCAACCCAGCTTTCCATCGTTCCATGCCTGCAAAGACATTTGCTGTATTGACTAGCAGAATGTTTGAGCAGATCGAGAAAGCTGATGGACCAGTGGATGTACAGAAGTTACTGCAAAGGTGAGGCATACATATCGACATCACATAATGGAATGTAGCCATTATCTGACCTTATGCTTAAGGTTTACCTTAGATGCTATTGGCCTCATTGGATTTGGCTTTGAGTTCAATGCTACTAACACTCCTGAGGGTGAATGGGTGACAACATACAATGATGTTGCTGATAACGTTGGTGATTTCAAGTATCTCTTCTTTCCCATTCTTGATACGACACTACTTGGATTATTCCCAGAGCGACAAAAGAAGCATGAAAGCTTGAATAGGCTGAACGAGCTTTTTGACCGGGTTATCCAACACAAGAAATCGGAGTTAGCAAAAGGTGGATCGAATGTTGAGGAGAATGAGAAGGATCTATTGACACTTATGATGGAGGCTGGGAACGGTGATGATCAACATGAACCTCTTACTTCTAAAGAAATTCGAGACGAACTCGTGTTGTTTTTCATAGCAGGGTAAGTACCGCTCCATGATAGATGGAATATTGACTTCAATTCTCACAATTATGTGCGTTCGAATCATTTTGAAAACTTTAGTCATGACACTACATCTAATGCCATGACCGCTGTGTTGTACTACTTGGCTGTGAATTCGGTAAGAATATATACAAGGAATCATTGAAAAGCTATAAGCAATTATTTTGACCGTGATGATTAGCATATACAAGCAAAAGCTCGAAAAGAAGTCTTGGATGTTCTGGGAGATGAACCATTGGACGTTTGGCCGACTCTCGAGCAACTAAAGGAATTTCCTTATCTCTCGAAAGTCATGAAAGAGGTATATGGCGTCGCGATATGCACATTAGTGTCCTCATGCTAAAACTCATACTGATATGATACGTTTTCAGGCTATTCGACTAGCACCACCAGCAACTAGTCTCATTGAAAGAGTGGCTAAAGTGGATACGGAATTGGCTGGCGTTTTTATTCCCAAAGGCACTCTTCTTCAAGTTGACGTTATATCACTCCACTATAACGAGAATCTTTGGAAAAGTCCAACAAAGTTCGACCCCGAGCGATTTGCCGATGGAGGAGAGCTAGAGTCAATGCCATCAACCTATGCTTATCTTCCATTCGGTGGTGGCTCACGGCAGTGTATAGGTGAGTAAACACATCATAACGTAAATGCTTTACTTCATGTGTGGCTGACCACCATAATTCAGGAATGAACTTCAGTTTGGCTGAACAACGTGTGGCACTAAGCTCTATCTTAAGGAAATACGAGCTCAGTCTGCCCGAGAATTCCATTCACAAGGACGGCATTGTTTTCGATTCACCAAACATAACTATGGCTCCTAAAGGAATGGAGATTAACTTTACCCCACGATATTAAGCAGGCTAGCTATTCACCTAAGGCTCATCCTTATAAGCCGTCCAACTCCATTGATACAATATACAATATAGATTTAACCTTGATCAAAGATTTTCACCATGGTTACGAGTTCGCTGTACATCGTAGATAAAAGGATAGCGATTTGGTGACAGGCTTGATGTGCACGATATTATAGTCTTCGAAAGCAGACACTTTTGATGGGTCCGAACCAGCCAACACAATCTCGTTCTCGAGCAACAGAATATTTCGATAATTGCAGAGGAAAATGGTGATCATCATAACCTTAATCCAAACCACAACATAACGATGGGGGTTTCGAACAGCTTGGCTCCATTGTCGGTGTAGCACAGAGTAAGGCGCACAGACAGCTTAGCATAAATGTGGGGTTGGGATAAGAGTAGATTTCAAGTTACAGAGCGTGTTCATAAGCTTTGAAGGCGAGGGGGCTTGAAAAATAGATAACGGTAAAGAACCTGAGAGAATTAGAGTGCAGCTGTATTTAAATTCATTCGCTGCAAAGTCCTTCTTCACTATAGAATATACAAGCAGCAAACGCGACGTAAAAGCTCATTGGTTTCCATAATCCTTGAGAGAGAGTTCATCTTGTTCATCCAACCGTCTATTTTTATGGTACTAGGATCATACATGAGAGAGGGATTTTTACGACCATAAGCAACATGAATAACAACGAGTCATTTAGCCAGGTTGTCGTAATGGTTACTGATAGTCCTTGAAATTGTTGATCGCTTTCAGGTTTCAAAGTACTCGATGAAACATCAATCTATCGGGCGCCAATACAGCCCATATCGTTGTCGATTACTTCGATCTCGATTTATGTCCCTCTTTTACCACGTGACAACGCATCAACGAAGCCGACAAGTACGGTGCATGTTTGTGTTTTACTTAAAGTATGACGATTGCTATAGTCATGAGAATAGATAGAAGAATAAGAAATCCACCGGTTGCTTACATTGAATGTATCTTTTTAATGTAATGACCAATAATTAGGATGATGATAGAATGGGTAATTTGTGGACCCAGTTGTTTGCAACCACTTCGTCGATGCAGAATTTGGCAATGTCTTTGCGATATATGAATACTCCCGCGTCGCCAGCATAATTTGCTTTTAGTTTACCGGTTTCATTATCGCTGTTTTGCAAAGATCCAACTCGATAAAGCGTCCAATCGATGTCATTTTGTTTTTGTATCAATTCACCGGCAGCGACGATGTCTTTATATGAGTTATGAAAGGGCATGACGGCGTAAGGTCCAAGGGCAGTCCAGAAACTCCAACGGTCATTTTCTTTATCTGCAACACTTGGCGTAGACAAGGCTAGCAATCTGCGAATTCCTTTTTGCCGCATGCAGTCCATCATGAGCCTATATCCATTGGTGACCGGTAAGCCAGCAGGATGTCTACCTACAAGTGGTCCTAACGCAGATATGACTGCGTGAACGCCGTCCATACTGGATAGCATAGTGGATTCATCAGTCAAATCGCCATGAAAGACATTGACCTTTCCTTTGATATCGTCGTGTAATTTATCGGGCGATCGTACCATCACATTCACTTGATGGCCTTCCGATAGAGCCTTTCTAGTGATTTCCAGACCAGTGGGGCCAGTAGCACCAAATATAAGCAATTTCATAATATATAAGCTAAGCGAAACGAAAGAGCCGCATGAAACAGGAAATAGAGAAATTCCCTGATTTTATAGAATAAAAAAAATCAGTTCATAGGATAAACCGCTTCCATTTTCAGAATTCACCTGATTACCAACCAGTACAACAAGTCTGAACGATTACCTGCATCAAGTTTGTCAACCATCGACACTGATTAGTCAACTAATGGACTTCAATATCAAAACGCTAATGTCGCTCAGAAACATACGATGTCAACTTCCGTGGAAGGAATTAACTGTCTGTAATTTTATTACGCTGTGAAATCAAAACGAAAATCAAACAGCAGCAAGACGAAATCAAAAGTCATATGCTGAAGTCTGATAAAGGTACATGTTCGTGCTTGGTAGGACAATTTATGGTTTGGTATAACAGTCGATACCACTCGACAGAATACTAGAGGATCACAACAGCGATATATCAGTGACTACCACATCTTGCATTGGCGACCCAAGCTGAAAGCAGCCTCTCCGACGCACAGGCCAGAGACCTCACAGCATATGTGATCGACATGTTAGAAGCACATTCATGTCATCGAAAAAAGACTGCAAATTCGATCCATGATACACTCTCGCCAAATTAAACCGCGTATCTTTATAAAGCCATACAAATTGTTTCATATCGATCTATTGGCAGCCAATGCAAGTATGCAAATAGCACGAGCTTTTGATTTCTGGTATATACAAAAGCAATGAAGCACTACCAAAATCCGGGTTCCACCGGCCCTTCTCTTTGAAGCTCATTCATTGGATAGAAATAAATCCAAGGCACACATCACCTTGTACAATCTTGTTTAAATTTTGCCTCCGATCTCCGCATAAAATACAAGGGCTGTTGCTACTTCTTCTTCCAAAAATCATGTCTTCGATAATATCAGCCTCCCAACATCAAATAGACCAACTGAGGTCTATAATACACTCACTAGGTTCAGATCCTGTCAACGTCTTCCAGAACACGCTACTTCCATCCGTTAAGCGCTCCAAGTTTAAGTACCTTGGTGCTGCTATTGCGCTCTTTGTGGTCAGCAGAGTGTATCGTGTTTTTGCATACCCAAAAAAACTCGGTCATTTAAAGAGAATACCAGTGCTCTCAACGCTCAAATCCTTGATAGCATCTGAAAACGACCTCGACCGGACTCGCAAGTTTGTGTTACCCCGTTGGAAAGAGACCGACGGAGTCATGACCGCTTGGGGTCAGTTTGGATGGGAGGTCGTTGTTGCCAACCCAGAGGCCGTTCGAACTGTTTTGTACAAACCAGGTAAGAGCGAAACTTGTCCTACGTTCTCTTGTTCATACTTACTTTACTGACATCACCGCACGAAAGATATCTTTCCAAAATCTTCCGTTTTTGAGAACCCCAAGCACAAGACCTTGATCTTCAAGTTTTTCGGAAACACCAATATGTCTCTTGCCAACGCTCATGAATGGAGAAGGAGAAGAAAGGCTAGTTAATGCTCACATGATTACAGGAAGCAAGTGGTTCGACTAATTAGTCGATGTTTTCCTATAGATTGCCAACCCAGCCTTCAAGCGCTCTATGCCTGCAAAGACATTTGCTGTGTTGACTAGCAGAATGTTTGAGCAGATTGAAAAAATTGATGGGCCAGTGCATGTACAGAAACTGCTTCAAAGGTAGGATATACACATTTAAATCACCTGGATATGACCATTATCTAACCTTGCGATAAAGATTTACGTTGGATGCTATCGGCCTCATTGGATTTGGATTTGAGTTCAATGCTACTAACACCCCTGAGGGAGAATGGGTTAGAACATATAACGATGTTGCTGACAACATTGCCGACTTCAGGTATCTCTTCTTTCCCGCCCTTGATACCACCTACCTCGGACTATTCCCAGAGCGACAAAAGAAGCATGAAAGCTTGAACAGACTGAACACACTTTTTGATCAGATCATCGAAAACAAGAAATCAGAACTAGCAAAAGGCGCATCAAATGTCGAGGAGAATGAGAAGGATCTATTGACACTTATGATGGAGGCTGGCAATGGTGATGATCAACATGAGCCTCTTACTTCTGAAGAACTTCGGGATGAACTCGTGTTGTTTTTCATAGCAGGGTAAGTACTGCTCAGTGAATGAAATACTGGTTCCAATTTCTCACAGTTGCATGCGTTTGCATCTTTTTGAAAACTTTAGTCATGACACCACGTCTAATACTATGACTGCTGCGTTGTATTTCTTGGCTGCTAATCCGGTGAGAATCTAATCGTCAAATTATACCATACTATAGGCTATCTTTTGACCATGGTGAATAGGATATACAAACAAAAGCTCGACGAGAAGTCTTGGGTGTTCTTGGAGATGAACCCTTGGACGCATGGCCAACCGTTGACCAGCTTAAAGAATTCCCTTACCTCACCAAAATTATGAAAGAGGCATGTAGCGTCATATCGTTTAAAGCTCTATGCTAGTACTCATCCTAACACGATATGCTCTCAGTCTATTCGCTTAGCACCGCCAGTGTCGGCTCTGCTTGTAAGAGATACTACAGTAGACACAGAATTGAATGGTGTAGTTATTCCCAAAGGCACTCTTGTCAAGGTTGACGTACTCTCACTCCACTATAATGCCAACCTTTGGAAGGATCCAACAAAGTTTGATCCCGAGCGATTTACCGATGGAGGAGAGTTAGATTCGATGCCGTCTGCATATGCATATCTTCCATTTGGCGGTGGCTCGCGACAATGTATAGGTGAGTAAGCGAATCAAAATGTAAAACGTTCAATGCATGTGTTTTTGACCGTTTTGCTTTAGGAATGAACTTCAGTTTGGCTGAACAGCGTGTGGCACTAAGCTCTATTTTGAGGAAATACGAGCTCAGTCTGCCCGAAGATTGTATTCACAAGGACGGCATTGTGTTTGGTTCACAGATGCTAAATATGACGGCTAAAGAGATGATGATCAACTTTACTCGAAGATACTAATAGGTTGATTTGTTCATTTGCATGGGCCGTTTAATGCCTTTTGATATGATATATGCACTTCCCTTAATCAATAATATAACTTCTAAGCATAGCAATGAGAGAAGACAGAAGGAAAGGAAACTGTTATCATCCTTAATTTTAATAGTAAATGTCTTTTCCAATGCATTTATTAATAATCAGGACGATGATAAAATGGGTAACTTGTGGATCCAGTTGTTTGCAACTACTTCGTCGATGCAAAATTTGGCAATCTCTTTGCGATATGTGAACGGTCTTGCATCGCCGGCGTAATTTACTTTGAGTATAGTTGTGTCTTGATCGCTGCTTTGTAAATGCGCAACTCGGTAAAGTGTCCAATCGATGTCGTTTTGTTCCCGTATCAATTTACCAGTAGCGAGAATATCTTTATATGAGTTATGAAAGATCATGGCGCCGTAAGGACCAAGAGCAGTCCAGTAACTCCAACGATCATTTTCTTCATCCACAACACTTGGCGTGGACAAGGCTAGTAGTCTGCGAATTCCTTTTTGTCGCATGCAGTCTATCATGAGCCTATATCCATTGGTGATCGGTAAGCCAGCAGGATGTCTACCTACAAGTGGTCCTAACGCAGATATGACTGCGTGAACGCCATCCATACTGGATAGCATAGTGGATTCATCAGTCAAATCGCCATGAAAGACATTGACCTTTCCTTTGATATCGTCGTGTAATTTATCGGGCGATCGTACCATCACATTCACTTGATGGCCTTCCGATAGAGCCCTTCTGATGATTTCCATACCAGTGGGGCCAGTAGCACCAAATATGAGCAATTTCATGAAAATATAAAGTTAAATGAAAGGATGAAGCCAAAGAAAAAAAGGAAAAGCTGAGTTGCCAGTGTTTTATATAGGCAGACAGTGAAAGGTCACACCCGCTTTAATTTTTTAAACGATCATATATGAACTCACCTACAACCAGTCCGTTGACATGGATCAAGTTTCCCAGCTATAGCAGAAGATCAGAAATCGAGATGGGGGCTTCATTTCAACAACGTGAATTGGATTCAGAGAGTTGCAACGTTAATGAGTGTCAACTCCAATGGCCGACTCGAGCGTAATACAGCGGACTTGTGCGCCGAACATTTCACAATTGTTCGGTCTCCACATCAAAAATCCAGGAAAAAATAGACGCCAAATCGTAGCATACTACGCTCAGAGATACCACAATTTTAATGAGTAGATGATTGGCGGTTTGGAGGAAATAGAGGGCCAGACAAGAGCCCTACCCATAGCCAAAATATCAAATGAAGCGTTGTTAATGCAAATTAAATTTATCGTCACCTATTCAATACAGGAAAAGAAAGGCTACTAAAGTAAGGGACGTAATCCTTCACTTCAAAACATGCTTTTCACGAATTATGACAATAGTCATTGGTAAAGATAATCGTGCATTCACTACAGAAGGTGTCGCCTTTTTTATAAAGTATGTTTTTTCTTTCGAGAGCGCTAGATATCGTATTCACTGTCAATTGCCGCAGTAATCAGAAGGTCCGTAAATACAAGTACCATAAATATTTGCTCCTTGACCTTGAAATAAAAAAACAGAGATTTCCTATCTCTCTCTCCTCTATCCACAAAAACAGATTGAGTTGAAAGCTGCTGGGTATCAAGAGGGAAACGTCACCAGCATGGTGAAGGTTATTCATTTGTTAAAGTCACGTGGCCATCATAGGGAATAAAAATTGTTATGAGCATCTGTTACAAGCAATCAAGCATAAACCTGACCTGCTTTTAAAACCCCTGAAAAGAACGAACCTGATCAAATCCCGCTTTTTGAGGTAGGGCGGGCGAAGCGAACTCTAGACTTCTTTTAAAGTTTATCGGCGTTTGAGTCAAAGAAAAAAATCTTTTAAAATCTGCTTGATCTGAAGAAAAATTTGAACTTTATTCAACCACAAACTTGCAAATTTCTCAAGTTGTAATACTGATTATTCAGACCATCGCCAGGTAAAACAGATATGCTATCAATATTACTGAATGTATCTTGAGGGAAGTTAACAGTACCAGGAGATAATGCGATATACTGTCCAACCTGAACACCATTGCTATATGCCGTGAATGTAATTGATCCAGGAAAGTTAAAATTTTCAGTTATTATGTCTATACCGATTACAGTAAACGGAGTATTACGAGATATCGTTCCTGATCCTCCAAAGTAATTATAAACCTGTGAAGAAGCTACGAGAAAATTATTCCAATTAAAAGTCTGATAACAATTGGGAACAAACGTCCCAGGTGGTAAATCACTAAAAGTGATTGTTCGAGTACTACATAATGGAGGGCTGACACCTGGGTCATTACAAACACATGCGCCATCACAATGTTGATAAGCATTGCATGTGTTTCCACAGGCGCCACAATTATTTGGATCAGTTTGTTCATTCACACAGGTGCTGCTGCAATTAGTATATCCACTGTTGCAGGAAATGCCGCATTGTCCAGATATGCAAGTTGCTTGACCATTCGTGGGAATTGAACACGTATTTGCACAGGTACCACAATTATTTGGATCAGTTTGTTCATTCACACAGGTGCCGTTGCAATTAGTATATCCACTGTCGCAGGAAATACCGCATTGTCCAGATATGCAAGTTGCTTGACCATTCGTGGGAATTGAACACGCATTTGCACAGGTACCACAATTATTTAGATCAGTTTGTTCATCCACACAGGTGCTGTTGCAATTAGCATATCCACTGTTGCAGAAAATGCCGCATTGTCCAGATATGCAAATTGCTTGACCATTCGTGGGAACTGAACACGCATTTGCACAGGTACCACAATTATTTAGATCAGTTTGTTCATCCACACAGGTGCTGTTGCAATTAGCATATCCATTGTTACAGAGAGCAGTAGAGGAGCTAGCAACAGGGGAGCTAGCAACAGGGGAGCTAGCAACAGTAGAAGAAGGGGATGGAGAGGGGAAGGGCGAAGAAAGGGCAGTGGGGAGAAGGCCGTTAATATCAACGACAGCACCTTCACCCAAGCAGGGAATGGCGAAGGTGCTAGATCCAATCAAGATGGAAACCGAACCGGTAGCACATTCATCGCCTTTGTGGCCACCCTTGTCCTCATCATCATGATCATCATCATCACCCTTGTCTTCGGACCAAAGTTGTTGAGGTTCGGCAGCCTTGACATTACCTTGCTGAACTTCGGCATTTCCTCCCTTTGAAAAGGGTGTGGCGTCAACAGCGCTAAGTGCGTACAAGCAGCAGATTAGAATGGGAATGACTGAGCGCATTCTCAGGATATGCTAGAGTGAATGCTGAAAAATCTGGTATTGAGATTGTCTTTTATACAAGCAATGTGAAGGTAGTTTTGCCCTTGAAACATGTATTATGATGCCCCTGACATTAATCATACTGCAGGCGTCAAATGTTACCCATTTTGACTTTCATTGAAGTCATACGATATGCAGATAGCTTTCTCAAGTCTACCATTTAGACGATATTATCACTTTTCACCTTTCATGCCTTCTTCAGTCGGTCACAATGATTGGAGGGGTCGCTGTCTGTGATTGTGGACTCAAAAAGCACATCCATGTCATTTGATTAAAGTATCTTTTTATCAGGTAGGCAAGATATATGTTACGCAACTTTCATTATCGCTCATCATCGCAGCAAGTGTATTTCCTCCAATTGGATTTCGATATTAGGTTAAAGAGTTCTACTAGAAATTCATAATGCCATATTCGATTGATTCATGAGGCGCAAAGTCAATGATACTTTTTGTTCTAAATTGCAGCATAAACCTGTCACAATAACTTCAGAGATCTCAGCATATCAAACCCATATAAATTTGGAAAGCTGTGGTAATATGTAACTTATCTTCAATATAAGTAACATCAAGTAAATTGAAACGACAATGACAACAACAACAGGAAAAGACGGAGGCTGTCTAAGCTTACGTTTTACTGTGATATGAAGTCAAAGGGATGAATCGAAGAACAACCACATAACAGCACAACTCGTCTGTTGAAGGAGACTATAGGTAATTGTTGCTGCGTCGTATAACAGATCATAGTTTTGGCAACAGACAATACAATCCAATAGGATGCGATGGCAGTGATTATGACTGTATTCAATGCTGACGACAGCTTGCGTGGGCTAATTGAATCCAAACCTTAGACATAGAGTCCGACGCACAGGCCAGTGACCTCACAAACATCTACTGGGTGAGATTATAGAGAAGCTTGTTGACTTACCGGAACAAATCGTTGCAAAGTCCATTCACCTTACGGGCGGCTCAACGTCGTTTCCTCATTATTTAAAACTTGTATCCTTAATAAAATCACACAAAATTTTTCATGTAGAGCCACTACATCAGATCAAAATTGCGGGACCATCAATATAATGTGTGCACACTATGACCTTACTTTAATGAGTTCTTATTTCATGCCATGAGCAAAGCAACAATGAAAGGGACTGCTTGTCAAAAGGGTAAATTTTGGCCACAAATCCGGTTGTCCCCTAACCTTTCCGTTTCGTCGTTCATTCATTGGGCGGATTTCCCGGAAATGATTTATCCGAAAACCCAATAATGTCATTTTTTTCTTGCAATGCGTCAGAGATCCTCCGGTATTAAATATACATAAATAACAAAGGCTGTTGCTAGCTGTTTCAAATGTATCATGTCTTCTATAATATCAGCCTCCCAACATCAAATAGACCAACTGAGGTCTATACTACACTCACTAGGTTCAGACCCTATCAACGTCTTCCAGAACACGCTACTTCCATCTGTCAAGCGCTCCAAGTTTAAATACCTTGGCGCTGCTATTGCACTCTATGTGGTCAGCAGAGTGTATCGTGTTTTTGCATACCCAAGGAAATTTGGACATTTGAAGAAAATACCAGCGATAGCAATGATGAGATCATTGTTAGCAGGCGAAAATGACCTTGATCGAACTTACAAGTTTGTGTTACCCCATTGGGAAGAGACCAACGGTATCATGACGGCTTGGGGCCAATTTGGATGGGAAGTCATTGTTTCCAACCCAGAGGCTGTGAGAACTGTTTTGTACAAAACAGGTATGTGTGTAGATTTAAGTATCTAGTTCAACCTTCCTTACTGACATCACCGCCGCATAGATATCTTTCCAAAGACGACAATCTTTCAGACTCAGGCCCAACGATATCAGAGCTTGATCACCAAGTTTTTCGGAAAGACCAACATGGCTTTTGCCAATACACATGAATGGAGAAAGAGAAGAAAGGTTAGTACGTGCGGCCATATTTACAGGATGCGAGTAGCCCGTCTTAAAACAGTCGATATATTACTATAGATTGCCAACCCAGCTTTCAAGCGCTCTATGCCTGCAAAGACATTCGCCTTGTTGACCAGCAGGATGTTTGAGCAGATTGAAAAAGTGGATGGACCAGTGCATATACAGAAATTACTTCAAAGGTAGGATATAAATATTGACATCACCTGGATATGACCATTGTCTAATCTCGTGGTAAAGATTTACATTGGATGCTATCGGCCTCATTGGATTTGGATTTGAGTTTAATGCTACTAATACCCCTGAGGGCGAATGGGTTAAAACATACAACGATGTTGCTGACAACATTGCCGACTTCAAATATCTCTTCTTTCCCGCCCTTGATACCACATACCTTGGGCTATTCCCAGAGCGACAAAAGAAGCACGAGAGTTTGAACAAACTGAACACGCTTTTTGATCAGATCATCGAACACAAGAGATCAGAACTAGCAAAAGGTGCATCAAATGTTGAGGAGAATGAGAAGGATCTATTGACACTTATGATTGAGGCTGGAAACGGAGAAAATGATCAAGAACCTCTCACCGCTGAAGAACTTCGAAACGAACTTGTCTTGTTTTTCTTGGCAGGGTAAGTACTGCTTGATCATGGTTGAATGGATGACATCGAGGTCTCACAATTTAATGCGTGTCATTTTTCTGAACTTTAGCCATGACACCACGTCTAATGCCATGACCGCCGCGTTGTATTTCTTGGCTGCTAATCCGGTAAGAGAGCTAAGACATGAAAATTAGATGCAAGCTATATGCTGACCATGGTGAATTAGGATATACAAACAAGAGCTCGGCAAGAAGTCTTGAGTGTTCTTGGAGATGAACCATTGGACGTTTGGCCCACTCTTGACCAACTCAAGGAATTTCCTTACCTTACCAGAATTATGAAAGAGGTATGTGACTTCAACTTGTTCAAATCATTCATGCATATGGTCATACTGACAAAAAATGTCTTCAGTCTATTCGCCTGGCACCACCAGCAACTGGTCTCGTTGAAAGAGAGGCTTCAGTGGATACAGAATTGGCTGGCGTGGTTATTCCCAAAGGCACTCTTGTCAAGATCGATACAATTTCACTCCACTATAATGCCAGTCTTTGGAAGGATCCAACAAAGTTCGACCCTGAGCGATTTGAAGAAGGAGGCGAGCTGGAGTCAATGCCATCTACCTACGCTTATCTTCCATTTGGTGGTGGCTCACGACAGTGTATAGGTGAGTAAGCGAATCATGATGTAAAATGTTTAATTCGTGTGTGGCTGACCATTATGATGCAGGAATGAACTTCAGTTTGGCTGAACAGCGTGTAGCATTAAGCTCTATCTTACGGAAATACGAGCTCAGCCTACCTAAAGATTCTATTCATAAGGATGGCCTTGTATTTGATAGACAGCTGCTGATTTTGACTGCCAAGGACATGCAAATCAATTTCACCAGACGTTATTAGATAGGCCGGTCAACTGTCCGCCTTTGCTCCTTTCATGGAACGTCTAGTAATACATATACTATAGTAAAAAATTATTCACCATGCTCACACTTTCTCTGTACATTGTTGAGAAGAGGTTGATCTTTATTGACAGCTGTTATGCACAAGATTGCAAGGGATTTGAAACCTTTGCACTTGCTGCATCATAAATACTATGGCTTTGATCCAGTTTCATTTGCTGCCATCGCCGAACCAGCCTACACAAGTAGGCGTTCGAGCCATGCAGTCTTTTGGCATTTGCTCAAACCAACTGGGATCCAGAGTATCAAATTTATAGCAATAGTAATGAAATTTGTCTAACGATCTGGCTTCAGTGCAAAAGAGAAATTCGCCTGCTTGTTGCAATTCTTTGGGATCCATGTTTTTGTCACATAAAACAACTTGTTGTATCGTTGTGGTTAGTGGGTTTTTGCACTCCAATGCTAATGCTAGCTTGAAAACGCTGACTATGTAAAAGATAGAAGCAAGAGACTTGAAAATCGATATATTGTTCATCATTCCACTGTATGCGTAGAGACGATCTAAAGGAGTCATCAAGACATATTAACAGAATGTCGTTATTATATATTTTTTGTGTTTATATCACTGGTATCCCATCTTTACATGCAGGTGGTCTGGTGGTGAATTGTCGGTTTATTGCAGTACAAAGTTGGGAATCACAAAAATGTGACATCGTTTTACAAGCTGGCCAAAGCCTGACGCAGTTATTTATCACATACCTTCAATAGCAAAAGATGAACATTAAAAATGCAGACTGTTTTAAAAGGCAGCCGCCCTTACCTGCCAATATCGAGAATAGCCCTGACTTATATCATGGTGAGCGGTGTGTCTCAACATAATAGTAGTGTGCCTTCCATTTAGAGAACCTTTTGCGATATAACGCCAGATCAGATCAGCGTGGGCATAACCCGAAATGCGTTGTTGCCACGTTTATTGGTATAGGTTGCTTTATGGGATTCCTTACTTCATTTGACTTTATGTTTTTCAGAAAGAATAACATGTAACCTGGCACCAAAGAAGATAGTATAAGGACTGACTTATGTAGTTTGCCATTTGAATAGACATTAGTGGATCAGCTTTGTAAAGAGGTCGATGGACTTGAGCGTTCAGTGACCTTATGTTTGAACGCTGCAACTGTTCTTGATCAAGCTACTTTTGAACAGATGTCAAGTGGCAAAGGATCTCATATGGCCACGTATCCTTAAGGACTTTTGATCACTCAGTGTGATAAAAACATGAGCACCCTGATAGTGAGACTCAGAAATGGTTATCACTTTTATAGCTTTTTTCTTTTGAACAATCAGACTCATCCGGCACTTACTCCGATGTGGGGTTGTGATTTACTCTGCCATTGGCTGATAAATTAGGAGTAATGATTCTTCCGGAAATCCGTATAACCGCGAGGTTTGAGGTTGAGGCAGTATAAATTAGATATCTTTTTTCTACTTTTTGGTTCCGCTCACTCTGATATCAGGTTACAGCTCTCTGAGAAAGATCCAAAATGTCAGCTTCACAGATTGACAACATAAAATCACTGGTGCTACCTCAAGTAGACCACATTCGCAACGTTATTCTGGAACGAGTCATTCCTGGCTTGAAAAATCACAAGTATTCATGCTTGGCAACGGCCATAGCACTTTATGTTGCCGCCAAGGTGTACAAGTTAACGGCATATCCCAGAAACATTCGGCATATAAAGCATGTACCGTTCCATTCCATGTTGATTTCTTTGATCAAAGGTGAAAACAACTTTGTTCGATCTGAACGGTACATGATTTCAACTTACAAGGAGACAAATGGTTTCCTTGGCGAGTTCAATCAACTTGGATGGAATGTCATTATTGCAAACCCTGAAGCCGTTCGCACGATGCTGTATAAGACAGGTAAAGTCAAAATCGCAAGTGCCAAGTTGTAGGTTACACGTCCATTGATGGCAATTTGCAGAGTTGTGGCCGAAGGCGCACACAAACGGCCCAAGTCGCCAAACACTTCTTGGGAGATTCTTTGGCCGAACGAACATGGCCTTTGAGAATGGTCATGAATGGCGTAGAAGGAGGAAAGTTAGTTCACGCACCTTCGTTTTGAATGATTGTTTAAATGGTCAACTCATAACAGTCTCAACTCAATCCAGATCGCCAACCCCGCATTCCACAGATCCATGCCGGTTAAGACGTTCACGGCTTTGAGCAACAAGATGCTTCAGCAGATTGACAGATCAGAGGGTCCAGTTCATATTCAGCTTTTGCTCCAACGGTGAGTGATGATATCTCTACTACTGAAGTGAACGAGGACACATTCCTGATATAGACCTCTTACAAAAGATTTACCTTGGACGCCATCGGTTTGATTGGATTTGGATTTGAGTTCAACGCCACTGAAAACCCTGACGGTGAATGGGTTACCAGATACAACGATATCAATGAGCACATGTTGGACTTCAAATTTTTACTCGTACCTCAATTCGACACTAGTCTTGTTAGCTTTTTCCCGAAACGACAAAAGACGCATGAGAGTCTGACCAAGCTTAACGAGCTATTTGAGGAGATCATTGAGAGCAAAAAAGCGTACCTGTCAAAGACTGCCTCGGATATTGAGGACAGTGAGAAGGATTTGCTAACGCTCATGCTTGAAGCTGGCCAAGGAGATGATCCCAAAGAAGCTCTTAGTGCAGAAGAACTTCGCAACGAGTTGGTTCTCTTCTTTGTTGCAGGGTGAGTGAATCTTTATAGCTATAACTCTTCAACGTTAGGCTCTAATTTTTTTGAAATCCTAGCCATGATACCACTTCCAATGCCTTGACTGCCGCATTGTATTACCTAGCTTGTAATCCGGTAGGACATGGAGAGGTTCAAAATGGACGTTGATGTACGGCTATCTTCTGACATTGTTTCCACAGGATATTCAAGACAGGGCCAGAAAGGAAGTCCTTGAAGTTTTGGGCGACAAAGAAACAGGTATCTCACCGACTTTGGAGCAATTGAAAGAACTCACTTATTTGACCAGAGTGATGAAGGAGGTACGAAGTTATATTCGGTTTCCAGGCTGTGTTGCATATATTCACTCAGTAGATACTAAACCTACATATTAGACTGCTAGAATCGCCCCTCCTGCTACACAGGTCTTCCCCAGAGTCGCCGCTGTAGATACTGAATTATGTGGAGTACATATGCCAAAAGGCACCGTTGTCAATATCGATATCACTGGAATGCACTTCAACCCACATCTATGGAGAGACCCTCTAAAGTTCGATCCAGAGAGATTTGCTCCAGGTGGCGAGCTTGAGACCATGCCTTCTACCTATGCATACCTTCCCTTCAGCAGTGGATCCCGACAGTGTATTGGTTCGTAAAATGTATCTTGATTGCCGTCACATGGAATAAGATATCTAATGTTGTTTATATTTCAGGCATGAACTTTAGCTTGGCTGAACAGCGTGTCGCACTGAGTGCCATTTTACAAAAGTATGAGCTGACCCTTCCTGAAGATTCTATTCATAAGGATAGCCTCAAGTTTGGTAAACACGGTATTGTTTTAGCCGCAGAAGATCTGCATATCAACTTCAAAAGTCGCTATTGAACGACATTATAATGACTGCTATGCATTATCATAACTCCATTTATCTCATGACATATTAACACTAAGGTAGCAAGTAATATCAATAAACCAAATGAATGCTATGACAATTTACTCCATGCCTATTGAGAAATGCTTTGGTGATTACGATCGACTTTAGTAATAGCGGAAGAAAGGTTACGCAACGGCATTTTTTATATGAAACTACGATATATGTACAAGTTGATGCCTATTTCAAAGGAAGATTATAATTGAGATGGCTTTTTGCCATTGTCTTCTTTGGTATCTTCAGGTTTGGGATCTTTGACATCATCCTTGAGGATGTTCTCATCTTTAGTCTCAGGAACATGAAGTACTTTCTCAAGTTCCTCAGCCAATTGATCAATGGTTTCCTTCTCAGCTGCGGTTTCCTTGCCACTTGGTAGAGTTTCGGGTTCTTCTTCAAGAGCTTCTTCTTCCTTAATCCATTTAGCTTTCAATTGCTCATGACCCTTCCTATGCAACTCATCAAGTTCTTTGCCCCAACCTAGCAGCTCGGCTAGCTTTTCTACACCACCATCACAATCGCCCAGCCAGACAGCGTCTCGCTTCTTCTTCGCCTTTCCTCTCAGCTCATACCCTCGTCTCGATTGGAACTGCAATGACTTTGTTAGTAAAGTGCCATGTCTAGTGCTATGGGTGTTATAGTTAACGTACCACACCGGCAGGCTCGCGATTTATCAAAAGTCTTGGAACTTCGCTATTGACAGCATCAACAAGTGAAGCAAAAGGTTGAACTTGCAAGCTTGTACCAATGACAATGAGCAAATCTGCTTCGTCGAACAACTGAAAATTGTAAAATTTAGACTTCGCCATCCAGGCAATGGGTACTGTAATGGGATGCGAGTACTCACGTCAAGGCTGTCGTAGAACTTTTCAGGCAATGACTGGCCAAAGAATGTGATGTCGGGTTTGATCAAGCCGTCTTTACAGCTTGTGCATCGAGGTATTTGGGATTTAAGGATATGTTTCTTGACATGGTTAATGTCACCAGGGCTTTTACAGTGAACGCACGTCGCCGATGCAAAGCTGCCGTGGGCTTCTACCAAGTGAGTACCGGGCAATCCGGTCAGACGTTCCAGCGTATCAATGTTTTGGGTAAAGTTGTGAAGCAAGACATTGTGATCATGTAGCAGCTTGATGAAATAATGGGTCTTGGTAGGCAAATACTTGCCAGGGAAAAGTTCTTTTGCCAATGCGTAAAAGGGCTCTGGTTTTTCCTGCAAACAGATACATTAGAACCACTTTATCTTCTCAAAATCAACGGCGGGTACCACCATACCATGAAATAATCAATGTCAAAAATAGCCTCTGCATATGGTAAATTGAATTTCTGCAGGTTATCGTAAAGGCCGGTTCCTTTGGATCGAAAATCGGGTATTCCGGCAGCAGTGGAGATACCGGCGCCAGTCATAACAATGATCTTTTTGGCTACAACGTGATGTCAGTAGTGGGTGGGAAAATGAGTGTGTGGCCATGAGCGTACCTTGGCCTGATTTAATGATTTCAGCAAAGGCATCGATGGATGCGTCTCGTAGTGCTGCGGTTTTGGGTGAAGGTTTATTTCGTTTATCGCCTGTCATAATGGTAGTGAATGCGTCTACTGTTGAGGGTTGTTGGGAGTCTAAATCCAAATCTTCAAGGTCAAAGTCAACGTCCGAAAAAAACAGACGACTACCCATCAAAAAAAGGTTAGAAAAGGATTCCGACGTCAGCAGTCCAGCCGGTTGTCATGCCCAACATCTGCATACTGGTGCCCAAGGGTCAACGCAGCTATCATGCCCAGTAACGTATATAGAAAAAAAAAAAGAGGACATGCAGCTCTTTCAACATTTATGATCACTTGGACAGTACCATTAAGAAAGTTTACAGTATTCTACAGCTATATTACAAGAAGCGCTCTATGACTATGTATTTTTTCATTGCATTTTTTTTTGTAAAAGTAGGTTTGGGTAAAAGGTGAAGAGGCAGTAGAGTAGTCTGAATTGAGTTCCCCGGCAAGCAGGTCAGAAGAATTGCACTCCATAATCGCTTCGCCAACCAACATCCTTCCAAGCGTTTACAGGCCTACACCCTCAGTCAAAAGACTTCGACGAGCAAAAGACAAGTAAACGCGTGGGCACTGCGCGCACTCGGCAGCAACAAGTACCCGATTGCTGGTTATTGGTGGTCAAGAAGTTCTCAACCAGTCCCTCTCGAACTTCAGCGGCTTTGCTCAGACCTTCCCAAGGGTAATAGAGATCAAGAACAAGTCTTGTCGTGTGTTTTCCCCTAATCTTCTGCTTACCGCCTCTTCATAAAGAGCAAAACAAAGATGTTGCAAACCGCCAGCAAATTTTATGCTCCTCGAAATTGGATAAGCCACAGATATCACGAGTACCGGTTTTGATTGGGTGCTACACTATGAGCTGCAATCATGCTATGTGACAACTTTTCTACAGCTTATTTGCCCTTGGTGCCAACAAGCTCAAGCAATATTTAACCAAAGAACAACATTTTTAATTTATTTATGACAAAGCATTTAAATATTGGTGCTTGCCAAATGAGCAGCAGGATATCTCTCTCCAGCAACTTCAGCTGCTTCGCTAATGTCACGAATTTCTTGGATTTCCTCAGCAGTCAATTGAATCTTGTCAGCGGAAAAGTTGGAGTCCAAATACTTGATCTTCTTGGTGCCGGGGATAGCAATAAAGCCTTGAGCAAGGACCCAAGCGAGAGTCAACTCGCTAGCTGTCACGCCCTTCTTGGCTGCAAGTTCCTCCAACTTCTTGACCAGCTTCAAGTTCTTTGCAAAATTTTCACCTTGGAATCGTGGTGCGTATCGGCGGAAATCACCTTCCTCAAAGTCCTCTGCCTTGGTGTAAGCTCCAGTCAACATACCGCGGCCCAATGGGGAGCTATTGCGTTCAGTTCAATTCGGTCAATGGAACAGCGCTGACGCACAGTTTGAAGAAAGCAAGCCAACTTACTATGCAACAATGGTAACGCCCAACTCCTTGGCGGCATCCAGTAAACCGTTCTTCTCAATATCAAGCGACCAAGGGCTATACTCCATTTGTACAGCGGCAATAGGATGAACCTTGTAGGCGCGGCGAAGGGTTTCTGCAGAGCACTCGGACATACCGAGATAGCGAACCTTACCCTCCTTGACAAGTTCAGCCATGGCGGTGATGGTTTCCTCAATAGGAACGTTGGGATCGACTCTGTGTTGGTAGTACAAATCGATCACATCAACACCTAGACGCTTCATGCTGATGTCGCACTGTTGACGAACGTATTCTGGGGTTCCGTTAACACCGAGGAATTCACCGTTGGGACCACGCATGTTACCGAATTTTGTGCAAATGAAGACCTTATCACGTTGAGACTTGAGGATCTTGCCGATCAATTCTTCATTGCGACCCCAGCCATACATATCTTTTTGAAAGAGAGATCAGTAAACCAGGTTAGACTACCGCTGTGGCGTAGTGTTCGGTAATGCTTACCAGCAGTATCCCAGAAGTTGCATCCAATGTCGATAGCGTGCTGCAACACCTTCAAGTTTTCGGATTCGTCGCTTTCTCCATAAAATTCAGACATGCTATGCAACCATAACCCATGTATTAATATAGGTGCTGTCAAAAGTAGAGGTGATAATGAAAACAATGAGAAGGTCCATTTACCCCATGCAGCCAAGGCCAATGGCAGGTACTTTAACTCCAGTTTTTCCAAGTTCGCGGTATTGAGTGGCCATTTGTGGTTTCTGTTGAATGAGAAAATCAAGTTGTGTTGGATAAAAACGTCGGGAGGCAGAGGACAGTTATATACGCGGCTGAGACTGAAAAGTTACCGCCATTTTGGTCTGGTTGAAACATTATCCGTGACGCATAACGGGATTGCGTACTCGCTTGCGTTGCCCTCGCTTTCAAAACTCCGACAAACGACTGGGAGAAAAACGTCGTTTCCTAATGATTATTTCACTATAAACGAGGCAACCAATCAACGAAACCAGTGGACATAACTTTCATGATACACATCCTCTACCTTAATTGCTTCAAAGTGGCCATGGGTGCATCTTAAGTCGAGATAGCAATATCTGTACAACGGTCGCGTCCTGTTGAATACCACACTGTTTTTGACAATGCAGTGATTCAAAGAAGAAGCTGGTATTTGCAGCGACACGTGTACACACAATGAATGCGCGTCCCTAGAAACTTTGTGTCTTAACTTTGGTGTAATTTCATTTAATTTCATTTACTGGCTTTGATGACGTTACTAGCAAGCCTTCAGTCACAGCATGGCAAATTGATGAATCATATCCTTGTTTATATTTCACTTTACAATAGCTGCAATGTACGAACTACACTATGATACAGCTGGATTGTGTTAGCGACGAAACGCTAAGCAAGCACTATGCCATCCACCAAACGATGCAGCAAACACAAACATATCTTGAAGCGCTTCAATTTTACGTGGGTTGATCTCTGGTTCAGGAGCCATCATGGCATACCGATTAGGAATATTCCTTCTTGGTAACCCAGCCGAGCCATGACCCAGTGCGCCACGGCTAAAAGAGCCCCAAGTCAATAAGTCACCATCATTTGTTAAGGCGCCACTATGGTAGTCTCCAAAGGTCACTTTGCATATGTTACTGTTGAGTTCGGGCCGTGTGGTTGGCTCATCTTCCGCATTAGTTTGAGCCGTACCAAGTTTGACTGCACCATCCAGAGTATATACAGCAAAGTTATGAAAGAAAGACGAAATGAACATGGTTAAATTGCCGTCCGAATCAACAATGTTCTTTTGGTCTGGTGAGCTATAGTGAAAAAGCTCTCCACCAGTAGCGGCTGGATTTGATAAAAATACCGGTGGTCCTTCGCCAAGCCGCTCCTCCTCTTCTTCTGTTTCTCGTTCAATCAACTGTCCAGTTCCGAACTTATATACCTTGCCCTTTCTCGATAGGGCAAGCGTGTCTGATTCCATCGATGCAATTTGAACGAACATGTCACCTGGGATAGCGTTCACTTCCTGCCCCATGGCTTGAGCATCACTGATGTAGTTCCGAAGTGTGATGCCTAGTCCCTGAGCTTCTGATGTCAGAATAGGCACTTCATCGTCCTCTGCATTCTCGGGTTGCGGAACAATGAAGATTTCTCCCGCAGCAGTTAATAGACTGGAATATCCCCAGTTGCCAGAAACTTGAATGACACGGGACGATGTGTTGGGTAACAGAATCTCTTGAACCTTTTTAATGTGATTCCAGTGATATACCTTTCCTTCGGTGCTGAGGCCGATGGCATGGGATCGACCACACGATATGCTCGCTATCTTCACGCCTTGTGGTAATTGAACCAACGTGGGTGTCTTGATGGGTTGCTGGGAAACTCCTCTCGATATAGGCCATTCCGCTTGCAGCTGCAATAGAAATAAGTAAGAGAGCTCGAATAATAGTATGTCTAGTCGATGCCAAGGAAACGTCACTACTTACCATCCCCCATACCCACACGTTTCCGTCTCTGTCTAAGGCGTGAAATGACCAACCTCCAGCTACGATATCGATAATTTTCTTGCCTCGGAGTGCCTCAAGTTCTCGAGGGGTGTCTTCATCGCCTTGGACACTGGAACAGGGTCAGCTTGGAATTCGGAGTTCTTTGCACGTAAAAAAACCAAAACTACTTACTTTCTTGCCCGTCCAAGGACCTCCCTTTGCTTGTGACCTAAGCGATAGTAGGTGCCTTCTCCCCACGTGTACACGACCGGATCATGCAGTTTGGAATATATCTCCTTCCAACCGCGGTTCCTAAACGTTGCGTATACCGGGATATGAAATTCGCGCAATACCAGCTTCTTCCATATGGCTTCGTCGGTGCAAAAGGTCTGGAACTGTTTACAAGTGGCAGAGAGGGCAATGAGGGAGTGGAAGTCTAATCTTGGACATAGATCTTGGATGAGAAGATCGACTGGGAGATCGGTTATGTTCATAAGTGTTGAACAAAAAGGTGACGAAAGAAGAAAATTCAATCCAAGCTGAGCCAATATCACGCGAAAATCAAAGAAAGTCGTACTAATGCAGCTTGCTCGTGGTTAACCTATAAACAAAACACTCGCTGATCCCCTTCATAATCAATTGCTTGGTGGAAGCCAAATATCGTTTACCATGCAGTGGTTTCATTCAGGTTCCAATGATAGCGGGCAGAGGGGCTCGGCTTGTCATCAACGAAGCGACGTTGGGTCTGTGAAACAGCCTGCATTTGAAAGATAAGAACGGTTCTGAGTTAGGAGAGAAAACGATGAAGTTAAAAGTACATTTTTTTGAACTCCAACTAGAGATAAAGGGCCCATCAGGCACCTGTTGCTTAAGCAAGTTGAGTGTAGCTGCCGTTCAAGAGGTAAAACATACTGGGCTGCGCCGATACGAGTCGCACTTGGGGACATTTCAAACACCGACAGGTCAAGGATATTATAGCACCATGTTTTGGACCGCCTATTATCATTGAAGGTCGATCTCTACCAGCGCTTGCCAACTAATGAAGCCAGCTTGTTTACTTGTAGCAGGCATTTTACTAGCAATTGCCTCGGCGGATGAACACAACCATGTGGTAAATGTCCCTGCTTTACTCTATACCTACCTAGATTATCCAGCTTCTGGCTAACAGTGTCCATTCCTTCTCCACAGTACGAACCGAATGAAGAAGTCGTAGTGTGGATGAACACTATTGGGCCAATGAATAACTGGCAAGAAACCTATGACTATTATCAATTGCCATTTTGCCATGGAGACAGCCCTGTACAGCATCACCACGAAACGTTGGGTGAAGCACTTCAGGGCATGGACTTGATCAACTCAGGCATCCCCATGTCGTACCTAGGTAAGTTATGTTCATTCACCATGCATTCCTTTCCAACTAGATATACGTTTGCTGATGAATGCACTATCACCTATCCAGTCCCTGCACGAGACGAGCCAATATGTACTGCGACACTTCAACACAGAGACATTGACTTGTTCCGATATGCCATTGCAAACAAGTATTGGTATCAAATGTTCATTGGTGCGTTAAGACCGTCATACAATTTTATCTACATGAGAGCAGAGACTCATAGTGCACCTTGATATTGTACTTGCAGATGACCTGCCTTTATGGGGTCGCGTCGGAAGGATGGTTGATAACGAGATTGACTCGGAACAGGGCAATGCGGATACAGACGATGATGGCGCACCAGCAGAATATATTTATACACACAAGATATTCACTATCGGTTACAACGAAGACAGAGTAAGCGAGAAACTATATGATGTTATTCACCTATCACCTCGGCTAATTCGACTATAACCATTTCAGATCATTGAGATTAACTTGACAGACTCAAACCCCATACGGCTGGATCCCTCAGCTTCAAGTGTGGAATTGGAATTCAGTTATTCAGTGGAATGGGTTCCACAAGATAAAGACTTCAAAGATCGTTTCAACCGGTTTTTGGACGCTGATTTCTTCGAACACAAGGTACATATAACTGTCTAAAGTGAGAAAGCAGTTCAATGTTCTGTTTTCTAATGCCATCATGGGCAGGTTCACTGGTTCTCCATTTTAAGTTCTTTCATGATGGTCTTGTTCTTGACCGGTCTGGTGGCCATCATCCTACTAAGAACAATCAAGCGCGACTTCACTCGATATGATAAGGAGGATGGGCTAGGCGACTTTGATAGAGATATTGGAGAAGATTACGGGTGGAAACAACTGCACGGCGATGTTTTCCGACAACCTCCTAAGCTGATGCTCTTGTCGTCGTTGATTGGTGTTGGAAATCAGTTAATGATACTATCGGCTGTTGTGATTCTCTATACCATTGTAGGCGATCTATACGTTGAACGAGCCACCATTTTGACCGCAACCATTTTCTTGTATGCATTGACTTCAGGAGTAGCCGGATATACAAGTGCTAGTTACTATGCTAAGAACGGCGGCAAAGATTGGATTCGCAATGTCATGCTTACTGCAAGTTTATGGCCTGGTGCGGTTGCTAGCGTTGGAGGATTCGTGAATGCCGTTGCTATCTATTATTCCAGCTCTCGAGCCATTGCTTTTAGTGTGATTGTAAGTAACCCAGATTAATCATTCGTCAGTCATCCGGATGTCCACTGAACCTGAAACTAATACTTCTTGATGTACTAGTTGGCTATGTTGGCTATTTGGGTTTTCCTTTGCTTCCCATTGACCTTGCTTGGCGCTATTGTTGGTAAAAACTGGGCTGGACAACCCGATTTCCCTTGCCGTGTCAATCCCATTCCTAGACCCATCCCTGAGAAATTGTGGTATTTCGAACCGCTCGTCGTCATTGCCCTGGGTGGTATTTTGCCTTTCGGCTCCATTTTCATCGAGATGTACTTTATCTTTACGTCGTTCTGGACCTACAAGATCTACTATGTCTATGGTTTTATGTTCCTCGTATTTGGAATTTTGCTCATTGTTACAGCTTGCGTCACCATTGTCAGTACCTACTTCTTGCTGAATTCAGAAGACCACCGCTGGCATTGGATGAGTTTCTTGACCTGTGCTTCAACCAGCGCCTACATCTACATCTATGCCACCTACTATTTCTTTAGCAGGACAAGGTAAGTCGAAACTTAGCATGATCTTGAATCAACCAATACCAGCCATCTCATTCCTTTGATCACCTTTTTCTCCTACATAGAATGACTGGCTTGTTCCAAGCTAGCTTCTACTTTGGATATACAGGCTTGGTGTGTCTTGGCATGTTTTGCTTGCTAGGTAAGTTGAAATGAACAGGGTCAATCTGGAACGTGCATCACTGCTAATGGTCTGTGTTTGTAGGTGCCGTGGGACATTGGGCGACATCGCAGTTTGTTCGCAAGATATATCAGAACGTGAAGATTGACTAAATAATATACATTGGTCGCTCTTCTCCTTTATTCACTACATTTCATATTTTTCTTCTTTTCCGACTAATCGTCACATCTTTCTCGAGCTTAACCTGTACTAGTGCCCAAATCATGTAGCATAATCATCCAAATCATACAATATAGGTAGGGTAGGATATATACATAGCCCAGTTGCTATCTAGACAACCGAGTGTGCCTGACTGAAAAAGCATTCCTTTCCTTTGTTTCATTTTGCTTTTGGTAAAAATTTGATGGTAAAGAAAACCAGCACAAACATCAGTGAGACAAATAGCATAATGCCACATGTCATGAAGGTTGTGCCCCATGCTTTTGAGTTGTGGCGATCGATACGTGTTCGTTCCTTGCGCAGGCGATCTAAATTACTAGCAACAGCATTTTGAGCGTCTCGTAAGACCTAAAGAACAATGCAGTGGGGGAGGAAGATATCAACAGGTGCTGCACATATACCAGGTGATAAAACGACCCTATTACCTGATCGTCTTTTTCGAGCAGATCACCAAATGCAAGACTGTTCGATTTGAGTTGCGCGGCCATTTTGCTTAAATCGCCAGTAAGTTCTTCCTGCAGCTGTCGGTGATGCTGCAACACATGTTCAATTTGCGCTGTTTCCTCTTCATGAACGTTCGCTGAATTGGATGACGGTGTTTGTCTACGATGTTTAGGTAAGTATATATACCGTACAATGTAAGCCATCGTTGATATCCAACTTTTAGACTTACGATTTACGATGTCGAAGCTCATTTTGACTCTCTGCAGATTTATCTGTAAATGTGTGTTTGCGTTTGTGTTTTTAGTTTTCGCTTGGTCGTTGTACACTTTAAAGGGATACCTACGTTCTCTAAATGACGGTGACTTTGATTCACTATGGGAGTCTGGACTACTTTGTGATTTCTCAGACCATTCCTCTTCCGCTTCTACGTCCTGTTTTCCAGCAATCTCCTATAAAAAGAGCATGGTCACAATATCAGCCAGACATTCAACCATATAGCAAGAAAGGCATGGCTGATATAGTACCATATCTTCAACTTGTGATGGCTCTACTTGTTGAACATGAAGCTGCTTTTCATCATCATGGTTAATGCTTTCATCGATCACAGCTAAAAGGGCTGTCTTTCCAGCTTGAGCTTGAATTATGCCTTTGTCCATTGTAACATTCTATTGTCGGGATAAAAGAACCTTATCAGTCACAAAGTCAAAAGTGGGAAAACCATGCGGAAAATGCACATACCATCGTGTCTTGTTCTATAAACTTGCCGAGCTCATCTAGAGCGTGTCTCGTTTCGGGTGATAGGCTGTAGAGCATCCACATGTAGGATTAGATACCCAGCCTGCCGTCGACTTGGTAAAACATCCTGATACATACCTTCCTTTCTGCTTTTCTATAAGCTCAGACATGTTCTTTGCGTATTTCACATACTGTAGCAAGAGACAACCATTAGTATCAACTTGAGCAAACTGGAATGCATATTGATTTGATCTCCCAACCTGAACAAATTTGCTTCGGTCTGAACCAGACCATGTGTCTACATTGTCTTGCGATAATCTTGCTTTGCATTTCAGAATGAGCCGTTGAAGGTTTCGTTCATCCTTGACTATTTGCGAGCTCACTGCGGCCGGCATGTTGAATTACAGTGGATGAAGGCCGGCTGCCAGACCATCACCAAGCGGAGTTGGTCTGCGCACTGCCTGAACGACGGCACGTGATTCAGACGAAAGAGAGCAATCTATCGATATTGCAGGGCCAAGCGACTTTAACAAGCAGCAGCATAGTGCTGTTCAATTGAGATAAAAACTATATCTTATATTTTGAGCTACCTAACTGATATCACAAGATGCCCTTGTCTGATTCATAGCAAAAGTCAGACTAGCAAAAATCGGCCGTCGATCAAGCAGTGAAAGTGTTGGGGCGGTGGAGGAGTTAGGTACCGGTTCCCTGCCTACGCAATGGCCCCTTGATACGTCCAGAAGTCGATCTTTTGGGAACTGCTATAATATGCGTTATTTGCTCACTGCATGCATTAATCGTTTACCTGCATACCAACCACCACCTATGTTTACAAAGAACGGCGTTGGGATGGACTACAGGAGCCGTTGAGTAGATGGGCTATGTAAACATGACGCGGCAAGAAATGTCAGCGCCAAAGATCGCTTCCAGAAAATCATCCATTTAGAAGCATACTAAGCTAACCAATGTTCTTTTTGAGTACCATAAATGAAATGCAAAATAAAATGAAATCGGTTTATGCGCTCAGAACAAGGGATGTGTCTGAGAGCTCTACAAGGGGTGACATTGGTTTGAAACGAGGCGCACGGCATCGTTTCAGGAGATGCACTATTGGAAGTCGTACATTGGACAAGCAGCGCCATGAAGAACAACACTATTGAATGATCAAACGTATGAATTCGTAAAAGAGAATGGCTAGAAGCTTTTATTGACAATTATGCGTGTGTGCCATGTAAAATAAGGCTTTGGCTATTAGTAAAAATGACCTTTTTGAAGTTTTGATGGTATAAAGGGTCCACGATTTCCTTGGTCGGCAGGATGCTATTTTGATTTGAGGAGAGCACATCTGTCTCGCGTGTGGCCATACTGTGTGACCAAGAAAGTGTCAGTCAAAACAAAAACAAAAAAAGACGTGAAAAGGGCAGTATTTAGTTGGATGAGAACTTACTTGGCCACAGTGATTGCTGATGAGACAAACAACAAAGGGTTATTGAAATGAAACACAAATCATTGGAATGTTTTTTTCCAGCTTACCACTGAGATCCTGTGAGGTTGACTGGCTTGACAGGAGGCATTATGTGATAGAGATAGATGGAGAGGGAAAAATCACTTTGATGGACAGTTTATATACTTTTTGTTATTTTGGTGTTTACCCTGATGTTGCCCAGCCCTGCATTTCCCTCCTTCGCTTTAACTCGCCTGCCATTTTGACAGAGCATTAGGTTCTATCTCCTCTTTCCCCTTCCACTTGCTTTTTGTTTCGCATACCGCTTAAATTGGTCCTTCCCATGAAACCGCACCAACCCATGGGTCACATGACTTTTGACAATCACATGTTACGTTGAGTACCTGTCAGCAACATTTACTGGCCGGGATTTAAAAAAAAAAGTTAAAGGTTTCCCATTTGCGTTTTGTGCTCACCATCCCCGGACTCTCACCATGTCTGATCCTATAAGCAACCCTCCTGCCCAACACGAAGAGGATCCCGAGCTCGACGATTTGTTGGATGGTATGTGCTTACTATTTGGCTTGGGTGCTGTTCTAAACTGATCCGAATCTCCTGAAACAGATGTTCTCGATGACTTCAACGCCCCATCTGCCCCTAGCAAAGCCAAGGCACCTGTTGCGCCAGCGGTTTCTGAAGATATCGATGATGATAACTTGGATTCCGTTCTCGATGATGACTTTGCAAAGCAGCTAGCTGCTGGTATGGAAGAGCTCATGGGCGGTGAAGGTCAAGACGAGTTCAAGGACACGTTCGAGAAGATTTGGAAGTCTTTTGAGTCCACATCGTTGGAGGATGTGGCTGCTCCTGAAGCTGCTTCGTCGGCACCTCTGGACCCAGAGAGCAAGAAGTCTTTCCAGGAAACCATTGCTCAAACCATGAATAAGCTTAGAGACAGCTCGGACAAGGTCGAGGTAAAGATGATGACACTGCTTTTATTTATGTTAAGGTGCGTTTGGATGTGAACAGTCATTTAACCCTGTCTGTTATAGACGGATCTTTCTGAAGAATCAGAAGATGCTTTTATGCAGGAGATGATGCGACAGATGGAGGGCCTGGCTGATAACTCAGATTTCCAAAACATGTTGGAAGGAATGATGAGCCAGCTCATGAGCAAAGAGCTATTGTACGAGCCAATGAAGGACTTGGCTGCTAAAGTAAGTGACAATATACCAGTCTACAAATTTTTTGTTGTCGGATTATTGTCTAATTTTGTTCGTGGTAGTACCCCGACTGGCTGGACAAGAATAAAGATACTACACCTAAAGATGAATATGAGAAATACAAGCAGCAACACGAGTATGTTAAGCAGATTGTTGCCAAATACGAGGACCCCAGCTTTGACGAAAAGGACGAGAAACAGGCAACTGAAGTTGTTGATCTCATGCAAAAGGTAGGTTATGCTCCACCCCCTTGCTTTGGTTGCAAAGTATGCTAATCAAGTGGCTTGTTCAATAGATGCAAGAGCTTGGTCAGCCGCCATCGGAAATGATGGATGAAATGGCTCCAGGAATGAATCTTGGCCCAGAGGGAGTGCCAGACATGAGCAAACTAAATGAGCAGTGTAGTATTATGTAGAAGCCATTATGATAATAATTCTCTTGTTTTTGATTTAATATCAACTTATTGTACATCCAACCCAGTGTATTGAATGAAATATTTGAAGACGAAACATTGGTTTGATCGAACTGATTTGAGGATAGCTGTAACAGACGTAGAGAGGATATTTTTTAATCTCCATGTCGAGTCATAGATTCGGCTCCCACGGCCAGCATACAAATTGTCCAGTGCGAACATTGCACACATTGATGTAGGTGAAACGCCTTCAGTTTTTCTTTTATTTATTTCATTGTACGTTTTATAGAAGCCAGCCGCATGTACCACGAAATCCAAAAATTCCTTATTCTCTCGAAATATCGCGACCAAGCACATTCTTCTTGATCCAATCTGTGGCTACAAGAGAGCGATTTCGAAGCGAGAATAAATTGGAAAGATAGACAGATCTCCAGAAGACATAAGTGGCTGTAAGTGATGTGTCAAGTTAGTTACCTATTTATTGCCCCTACTTGTATTCTTTCTTCATTGAATACATACCAACTCCACCAGACGCGACATTTCCAGATCCCCAAGGGAGGTCTGCAATAGCTTTGTCGGACCCAATATAGCTACCAGTAGATTGAACTTAATAAGTATGTCAACGTTGAAAAAGATGCACGGAATGTACTTACGCAAGTGAACCTTGATGAGAGTAGTGGAAAGGTTTGACATTTCTGACTTTGGCGAGTCTCCTTAGCTTTGATTGCTTTTCTTCCTCATTGGTCATAGCAGCAATGTCTTGCTCTAAATGATCGCGTAGGGCAAGTTGCGAAAATAGTCTTGCAAGGTACTTTCCTTGTTGCGATGCAACCTGAGCTGTAGGTGCATATTTACTGGCTGAAGCATCGCCAATAGCATAGATGTCATCTGAACCTTCCATTCGCATCCAATCATCCACCACTAATCCACGGCCAACCTTTTGCGTTGCAGGGAACTTGGACATCAAGTTTCTCACAACCGGACGAGATGTGTTTCCTGTAGCCCATACTAGCAATCCATAAGGCATCTTGGCCAACGAACCATCGGCTTGCTGGATAGTGATATCTTTATCATGTACTTCCTTGACCATGGTCTTGGTATGGATAGTGATGTTCTGTTCCTTGAAGCTTGCCTCAGTGTAATCAATCAATTGCTTGGAGAATGCGGGTAAGACATTGGGCAGGGCTTCAATTAAGGTGATCTTGAGTTTACCAGCCAGTTCTACAGGGGAAGGACACAATAACAATTAAAAGACGGCCACTTGATCTAAACAACAACAAAAAATCGCTGATACGCACCAGGGTACCATGTGGTCAAGTCTTCCACCAAAAAGTCGTGTAGTTCAGCAGCATACTCAACTCCCGTAGGACCACCACCTACAACAATCATATGAAGGAGGCGGTCGATTTCTTCGGGTGCCTGTTCAGGGAATCCGGCTGTTTCGATACAGTCCATCAGACGAGTTCTAATTTTCTGCGCATCCCAAACTTCTTTCAAGAAAAGGGCATGCTCTTGGACACCTTTGATGCCAAATGTTTGATTGGTGGCTCCTACACCAATGACGAGATAATCGTATGGGATGGTTGAAGTGTTCACTGAACCCTTGATTTCCGAGTTGTCTATCAAAAGGGGGTTATTTAAATGTTGGGCTGATCCACAGTTACTAAGAATGACATTTACCAGCAATTGTGACAGTCTTGTTGACGGGATCAATTTCTGTACACTCTGCTTCAAAGACCTTGACCTCTCTAGTCTTATGCCTTGTAATGAAGCGAGTAGGTTCTACGATAGAACGAATATCGACGGTGCCTACAGTGCAGCTGGGAAGTAAAGGAGTAAACAAGAAATAGTTTCGAGGCGATACAACAACCTAAGAGCTCAGAGGATGAGGATAATGGAAATGGTATAATCGGTGTATAGGCGTAAAAAACCTTACCACATTGTACAAATCGGTATCAATGGATTTCAGCAAAGAGGTGGATCCCCATCCACTTCCCAAAATGACGATGGTTTTCTTCTCTGGATCAAACGGTGCTTGTAGAGGAGGATGTCGTGCATCCCATAGTACTACGAACGGACCATCAATTGTTTGACACTCAGTAACACCTTCGCTGTTGGTACGTGCGCCTTCATGCTCTTACCGTAACCACTGTAAGCGATGCCACCCACAACACCAAACTGCACAATACGCTTCATGGTATGCCACCTGCTTTTGTGAACAGTCACAGTGCCTGTAGGTGTGGTAGTTGCATATGGGCGCATAGCCACTTTCAACAATGGCCTTGTTCGTGGAAGCCATTGTGCCAGTTTCTGGCCGTGAATCACTGCAAAAGAAAATGGAATGAATGAGAGGAATGGTCGAACTGCCAAATGAAAATGAAGCGATGGACGTACTGTTTCGCTGAGCTATGGATCCGATAGTGCTCTGCATGGTGGACGCGAAATGAGAATAAACGCAGGAATAACGATACGTCTTTTCAGGGTCATTGTGACGTTGGTTTGCCCTAGATAACAAAATTGCCTTGTGAAAACGTCAGTATGGATAAGCACAGCAGATATTGCTCTGGACAACGAGATACAAGTTTTCTTGGACATTCTGCTTTGCGTAAGTGAATCTTTTAGCTAATATAGCCTATTGCATTAGTGTCATACTATGGCAGATCAAATAATGAATAGATACCCCCCCCCAGACCATGAGCATACCTGCTTAAATCAACATTCCGTTTCCATTATGACTGATAGGCCATACGAATTGTACTCTAAGTTTGAGAGACGTGACCATGAATTATCGCAGTACAGCAACACCATTTATCTGTATCCTATCAGCGGCAAAGACTCGTCCTTCGTCTTAATGCCTCGAAAATTGCAAATATTTCGCTATTGCAGAAATATGCACTCCCAATACATGACTTTGACAGCTGCATAATTTACATCCTTCTAAGCACATAGGGGTCGGTCTGATGTGAGAGGGACTTGGCATGCAATACCCGACTCGCGCAAAAGCTATTCAAAACAAAAACAAGCCGCAAACGACATGACGATTTTTCTCAAAGAGTCATGTGTATGATTGTTATGTTAGCAGCAATGTTTCGCTGTGAAGAAGATGAATGTGCTAGGGTCGACTACCTCTCGCAGTTTGACAGAGATGACTTCCGTCGACCCATATAAAAATACGGCCTCCATGTAAAAGAACGAAGAGCAAAGGGAAAAAGTGAAGTTTAGGTGTCTTCAGAACCGGCCCTCTACCGACTGTAAAAAGGATTCCTGGCTTTCCTGTTTTGCCATTACTTTGATAGCGATGATCGTCGGTACCACAGCTAATTTTCAATTTAACACTTGTCGTTTTCTTTGTACTTGACTGAAACCGACGGCATTGCCAACATCTCTTTCGCTTTTTTCTACTTCTCTAAAAAACATGGGCACGAGCCAATGTTTTTCTATTGATAGTGTGCTGAGTTGAGCGACACAGATAAAAATGGGTACACCATAACAGAATTGGGTTTCACCCACAGCCCTTTACTACCCATGCGCAGTCACTTGTCCTGGAAGCTTCGGATGGCAAGCTATTACTACATCATCTATTGCGAAACCAGTCGCCTTTTCATGCAATAGTGGTCCCAAAGACAGGTGGCGAACGTGACCCGGGATCTATTTCATTATTATTATTCCTACAAAAAAAAGTTCAACGCTGTAGCCCTTGAATTGAGTTTACTTCGATGTGGTGAAAACACATACAAACATCCATGATATTTTTAGTCAGGTTGAGGGAATTGAAGCGAGACTTGGCGAAGCGGTTGATACCGCACGGGCCTTGATGCCATGGGCTTAAATTTTCCAAGCTGGGTAAAAAATCCGTCTGTTCTAAATTCGGATGGTTGTTTGCTTACCCTTCCATTGTCCTAAAACCAATGACGGGCTTAGGGAAACCAAAAATGAGAAGTGAATGACCATCGAGGCTGAAAATAGATTTTTACCACAAGTAGGTATTTTTGATTCCCACTAGTTGTTAGCCATTTGGTTTGTTGATGGCTGAAAAAAACCTATATAAATCAGGACAGCTCCAACCACTCAAGAACAACAAGCTCTTCTTACAATGCATCTTACTTCCCTTATCTCGGTCCTCACACTCACTGCAATGGCTGCTGCCATCCCAGTTGCCAAGCGAGGAACTGGAGCTGCCATCCAAGTCAAATCTGCCACCGATTTCTGCTTCTACGTTCCATCGGTCTATGGTGGTGAAATTGGTGTCTATGAAGATGATTCCACACCAGCTTGTACAGATACCACCTTGGCTCCTGGCGCCATCCCATTCCCGGCTGGATTCATCCAAAGCGCTCATTTCAAGTCCTCAGGCTCATATACTCAAGTGACTGGCCGTATCGATCGTTCCAAATACGGTCTTAAGGCATCCGATGGAGGTGGCCAGATGGATAACTTGGATTTGCCTTCGGGCACATGCAATGGCTACAAGCACTTTGTCAACCTGATTGAACCTGATGCTCAGCTCTACTGTATCCGCTGCTGCCAAGACTCAAAGGACTGCAATCTTGGAAAATCCCAGTATGGCTGCGAGTCTGTTGTCCCCGGCGACTACAGTTAAATAATGCCCCGGCGCAATTATTTTGTATTTTTCATTCCATTTCATTACATGTCCTCACTCGCTCGCATTGTGTTTTTGTTAAACTTTGCAACAATGTATTCTATCAATATATTCCAATATTTTTTTGACTAATGATGGGGGGATATGCGAATTACAGTATGGAGGTATTATAATTATTAGGAATATGCAACAAAAATCGACTTAAAGCATATCACCTTTTCTTAGGATGAACTATCCTCATTAGGTATAAAAATCTTGCTCATGAAAACTTCAAAGCTCCTGCAATGAATGACGAAAACGTTAGCTTTCCATATTACCTATTCATTTCTTTTTGAAACATTAGCCTCACCATTTGCTGGCTTTGTGACGTTGAGTGATAGTATGAATGTCAGCAGCTCTCTGAGAATAAGCGTGTTTGTACAGTGCTTGGTTGGTGGTGTGAACAGTAGCCCGGAATGCATTGATAGCCGTTTCTCGAATGAGCGGTCCTAAAACTGCTTGAGATACGACCATTCCGTCCAGCAGAGGTCCAAAGAGTGGAACTTTGGAGTCTCGGTATATCTGAATGGCGTACATGCCATTCACTAGAGGAGTCACAATGATTTGAGCGTTACCAAAGTCACCGCCAATGGTGCCGATTCGGTAATCTCGACGATGTTCGTTCCAAACAATGTGTACGTGATCATTGCCAATGTGTCTCTTTTTCTTGACCTGTTTCACATCATTGGCGTCGCTGGGCATCTTTGTGACGTCGTGGAAGATCATTTCAAGCGTTGATGAGCAGTAATAGGTCGTTTTGGTACCATTGGTCAAGCTTCGTTCCAGTCCACCAAGGTAACCGTCGTGGGTAGCGATATCGACTTCCCATCCCAAACTATTTACAAAGGCTTCGTATTCAGCGCTTCCGCTACTGTTGCGGAAGATCGCATGTTCATCCTCTTGGCCGTCCGCTACATACAGTAGAGCAATCTTCATGGTTTCTCGCCTAATAAACAATCGAACGGCAACATATGGCCAAAATTATGACTAAGTAATCCTCTTTGCATACAATCAATCGTGCTTTACACTCTATAACCTACCCATGCTTCCTATCCAATCCTCTGAGGTCCCGGAACAACGCAGGCGATTTAGAGAGCATCTGGAAGGAGCCTTCTCGCAAATAGTCGTAGTTGAGCAGACCCATGTGGCTCATTAAGAGTCGGCTTTGCTGGAATGGAATGTGTGGTTTTTCGGCTTCACCAGGCACTACAGGTGTAAACACTTTGGATAATGAAACGTTGGCGACTAGGTTGCTCTCACTATCGGAAGGCAGTAGCTTCTGGCTACCATATGGACGGCGATCATGTTGTTTGTACCATGATTTTCTACAACAAAGTGGCCATAAGTCAATCTGAAATAAGAAAATGATTATAGGATGGAAAGAGGACCTTACATGTCGATTATATGATCCGGAGTAGAGGTTTTTTCGAATTCAAGATGATGGTTCAGCTGTTCACTCATTGACATTACGATATTTGAATGAGGCTGGCTGAGAGGTAACGGGGCATTAAGAGGCGTACTTGGATCAAGCAGGCAGTCTGGATTATTATCGCCGATGTAAGTAAGAAGGTTTTCAAGCATGTCGCTGTTATGATTGGTCGCACTCCAAGTAGGTACTTCAGATTGCTGCGTAACAGGTGAAGGCGGTGTTCGTTTTGGTAGTTTTGGTACTTTGGAGAGTGTAAGTCCATCTCGTAATTTGAGACCTTCGGCAATATGACTAATATCCTGCAGAGAGCCTTCGCTGGAACGGTGACCATCTTCTATGGCTGAGGGTTTGATCCATGTTCTGTAGAACAAATTCATATCCCATGCATACCTTCCAGTGATATCCCGGGTAATAATGCGGTTTGCAGATTCCGAATCCATTCGCTGCGGCCCTTCAACAAAGGCGATGATGGTATGATCGTTAAACGAAAAGTACTCAAACTGGTCTTGGTAGGTGTCCGCCTTCTCATCATTGGATACTCCTGGCCCGAGGATGTTACTGAGGTATGGGGCGTCAGCACAATTGTGGCTACCAAAAAGTGTGTAGAACATATTCAGCATGTATATATTACCTGTTGATCGTCGCTGGTCCATTCGGAGGAGGAAAGTTGTTGAAATGATGCAAAAGATGGAGCAAAGTCGCTTCAGTCGATTCCTATGGTGCGTGATGAGTGAGGACAAAGTAATCGAAGTTGCCGTTTTGTTAGTCCACAAATGTATACTTTACCTTCACAGAATCAGTATCATCGGTTTCGAAGGTCACATCATTGACCATGGCCATATCATTAGCGCTAAACCGAGGGCGTTGGTCAGGCGAGACCTTAAATGAAAGTGATTTGATTTGCCTGTTTGCATCACTTTGATCTACTGGTGGATGCGGGAGGAGCTTTTCGGTCTCAGCCTAATCGAACGAAAGTAAGTGTTACTGGCATTTAGTGATTTGAAACTGAGTGAGCATCCAGTCAACATAACCACCTACCCCAGATATATTAAGTGCGTATTCGACGGTATCAAATACAATCTGACACAGTTGTGTCCCAGTAAAGATATCCGGGTCAATGGCCATCAGCCAGCCTACAAGCAGGGAGAAGAGTTTGCTAATGATCAAGCTACGTCCTCCTTTAACCGTTTTATCATAGTTTTTCAAGTGAACATTGAGAGCATCCAGGAGCTTGCTAAGGATTGTTTGGAGAATGCGCTGCAAAAAGACATAGTAGGACAGTATAAGTTTATGATGAACACTCTCATCAAAGCCAGGCGATAAACATACATTGTCATGATCAGTTTGCTTCGAGTAATGGGAGATAAGGGTGTAAAGGGAATCGCATGCGGCAATGACAACTGGAAGGTTGCTCCAGTACAATCGGTCAACCAAAACATTCAAGGTTGAGAATACTATTTCCGGGTCGTAGCTGAAAGGATACAGCGTCAGTCACATTAGATAATGATGAAGTAGATAACGTTCGAATGAACAGTAGAAGGAATATGGTTGTAATACATACTTGCTCTGAAGAGTGAGTTCGTGAGCCAACAAGCTGCACACGCCATTGATCAGCATACAATGTGAATCGGTATATTTTGCCATCCTTCGAATATTTGCATCTGCCGCAATCAAATCGATGTACAAGTCCTTCAACATGATTTTCACCTATCGCGCCACGGGTCAACATATGATAAATGTAAAACGAGGTAGCCAAACAAAACAATAAAAAGAATTACCTGATTGAAGGTGAACTCATTGCTTTGAAGTGTTCCTGCCTTTGCGGCTTTTGCGGAAAGTTGAATGGTAAGACTTCCAAGCTGATACGAAATAGCTGTCAGGGAGCCCATGATCAACACACAACTGGACCGAACATCATCAGGTGTATAGCGTAATGTATGCGAATCTTCAAGCAGCTGCAACATAGAAACGCCAGAGCATTAGTCTCAGACTAATGTAACGTACTTCTAATGTAAAGATACGAACCTCTTTGCGAATGCAGGCAATGAACGCAGGAATAAGCACATTGACACCAGGGAGTGACAAGGAGAACAGTCTGATACTGTTCCTCAGAACAGCTTGAACAGCAACTTCATCAGGACGAGACAGTGCGTCAAGTAAAACTTGATAGAACAGAGGATAGTATCCCTCAGGAACATCTTGATCCGCACGCTGACACATCATCCGGCAAAGAACACCATAAGCCGCCGCCCTGCCTAGAGAGTGTGATCTATTGGCAATGCGTTAGTCAAACAATTCATTACATAATGTCGATGTACATAGTCCCGTATACATACGGAGGTAGATCGGACGCCTGGAAAAACCAGGGCGCTAATTCGTACAAGGCAGGCTTAGTAGCAGCTTGGAATGGTTGGCAAGCTCGCACGAGGGCAAGAGTATCCCAGATATCGACGAGACAGTTTATGGCTATAGCATGGGTATAGGGGCTCTGGAAAAAGCGAGATTAGCCCAATCTCAAACATGTAAAAGGGGTAAACGATGCTATGCTACTGACCTGTATTTCGTTGACGTTGCCCATGACGCAGATCATGTTTTTCCAAATATGAAGTATGGAAGTGCCAGTCCAATTCATGCCTTGTAAGTTGAGGAACTCTGCACTATCAAATATAGCTATAGTGCTCGGTAAAGTCTCATTGCCAACAGCAGGAACGCCGCCCGTATAACTTGCTTCCAAAATATGCTGGAAAGAAGAGGTAGATGTTCGATTTGACTGAACATTATATTAATACATATTAGACACAGAAACAGATGCCTTGCCTTGCCATAGCTTACCTTGCTGGGCACACCGAGATTTTCATCGGTTAATTGTCGTTCGCCAAGACTGTTAATACTCTTCCGATCAACTTCCTTGTCAGATTTGCTATCGGAATGTAGGTCAAACTTGGAACTAAATGTGATGGACCCATTTTCCTTCTTCATTACTCCTTTATCCGAGTCCGTTGAGCTTTCGAAGGACAGTGGAGTACCTCCAGTGCTATGACCTTTGTCTAAGGTCCAAAGAAGAAAAGTAAGTATTACATTGAAATGAACGCTGTAAGCATGAACAGACGTTTAATGGGTAAAAAGTCTTGCCTGTATTGGGAATGATACTCTTAAGACCGAAGCGGATACCACCAGACATTGGACGGGTACTGAACGTTTCGCCACTATCTTCTGGTGATGTACTTAAATCCTTACTTCGACCTTCACTAGGAGCAGTGCTTGTGGAAGCAAAAGGTGTGGATCTACGGTCCCCGGCTTTAAAGCTTCTAGTAATCAAGTTACTACCTCCTAACAGAGAGCTCGTGCTACTATTTCGAGGTTCTGGTATGTCTAGAGTATCGCTTGCTGCAGCGTTTCCAAGAGTGGCTGTATGGCCACTAAAGGTTGCAGCCGACTGTAAAGATCGTTCTGACGGTGCGAGTTCGATTAATTGTCCACTGCTACCAGAAGAAGTAGGCCGCCCCGATGACCGACTGAGTAAAGCTCTGGGGTCACCATGAATACTCTGATGCCGTGACCGGGATTTGTTAGCACGAGTTCGCGATCCTGCATGACTGAGCTGTGTGGAATGGCGGTTGCCTGTAAAGTAGTCACTCATATTGCGCTTGTTTGTGGAGGCGAACTCAGTGTCGAGATTGACATTATACAGACGTTGTGACAAGATTTTCGTGAGCAGATGCATTTGTTTCTGTAGGAAGAGGCCAGTCAGTCCATACAATCGGTTAAAGAATTGTTTTGAAACCCCATCCACTCACCACCCACTGGTTTAAAGGCTGTGGCCACCTATGAGCCACAATCATGCTTTTCTTCAGACGGATCCAAAGATCCGGATTCGTGGTATCCGAACGAGCAAAAGCCACTAGCAATGTCTGGAAAATAAAGCATTTAGAGGTCTATTGCGATATACAAACATGGCAGTAAACATTTGGACCATACTTCGCATGCATAATCAGCAAGGTCGTCGGCGAGCGCGTGAACTGGTATAATGGTGTATTTCTCCGTGCTGTTCATCAGCTTTTCTCGAATGTCCATCAAACAGCCAAGCATCACTTCCCTATTCATTTGAATAAAACTGAAATCAGTCTTCATTTTCTTGAGCCAATTGATGCGGCTGCATTACTTACCAACTCTGGCTTTCAATATCAATGCCGTCGTGTGCCACAGTGATGGCTCTGTAAATATTCAAAGCGTCCTTGTAAAGGTTCACCAATCCTTCCCAATCACTTGTATTTTGAACGGCAGCTGCCACAGCCTCTCTGTTTTTATACTTTGAAAGGTCGTCTGTGCTCTCACCAATGTTATCAAAGATAGTTTGAATCATCAAAAAGTACCGTCGAAGATAAACATTGGCGGTGGCATAGTCAGTGGTCTGATTGGAGGCGGATCTCACCAGGCTACTGGAATCGGTGTCGTGATCAGTCGTTTCAATGGCATGGATAGAGACTGGACTGGTTGCCATCGTTGACAATGACGTGTTACTGGTAGAGGTACTGACACCTCCTCCTCTTGCGTAGTTACCGGTGGAACTTGATCGTCGTAAGAAGGCAGGACGCTCGTCTTCTCCACTAAGAGCCCACACACCCAGAACATGCATAGATCCACGTACTATGTCTCTATAGTTCTGATTACTGCACGGCAAGACCAATGCTTGTCGCAGAACTTCGTGAATAATTTCTCTGCTCTCGCTGGATCCTAACACTATGGACTTCATGATAGGTATAGCTGGTGAAGATCCTGAAAAGTAAGGATATATACCACCTGGATGTGGCACGGGTGGATCACTGCTGTTGCTATCCAGGCCGTAACCGATGATAAACATGAGTAAGGTTCGTAGTACGCTAGGTGGACAAGCTTTGAAGCCAAAGTCTGCAAGTGATTGAAGACAAGTTAGTAAAGGGTGTTGTTCAGGGAAGATGACCAAAATAAATAGCTGAACAAATCTGCTTACTTGGAAGAACAGTATTAATGGGAGCACCATCCATTCTGAAGCGCATAGCAATGTCAGGAAATAGTTTAACGAGGTAATAGCTTCTGAAAATTTTGAACAAAAATTTGGCACTGGCGGATGCTGCATCAATTCCTACGCCCGTAGCAATTCCATCGTCAACTTCACACATATCGCCTGGTGGGAATTCGTATTCATCCGGAGGAGGTGGAGATCCAGCAGCAACATAAGCTAGTCTTACAAGATTAATGATAAAAATGTGTAACATTGCGATGGAGTCTTGGTAAGTCGGCTGATTTGGATTAGGAAAAAGAGGTGCTTGCGAACCAGCTATTGTGCAATAGTACATATAAGTTTATAATTATTGCGATGGAAGATAATGAAGTCAAGATACTTGCTGGATATGATAGATTGTCGTAAATTACGATCTGCCTTTTTGATCCTGTCGTTTCTATCCAAGCCGTGGCCAAACGCCTTCTCATTACTGCGTTCATTAATGCGCTTGACAAATAGCAGCCCATTTCCACTCGTTCCTGTTTTTTGTTCCTTTTCTTCACTCTGCGACGATGTATCTGGGCCAGTCGTTCCAGTTGTTGCTGTAGGTTGAATCTCGTCGAGAAGAAGGAGATCGAGAGGGATTGCGTTTGCGAAAAGTCCCATGCATTCTGGGTACTCTACGACTTGGTCATTTAACCATAAAAGAAGAAGGCGAAAACCAAGAATACGTAATCTAGGATGATTGCCGTGGTCGAGAATGTGCGAGAGGATGGTAGCTACACAACAAAGATAAGCATCTATGAGACGTTGCATGAGGTGGCGATTTGAGGCTCGTTCAAGCTTTTACCTATATTTTGACGCTGCCAGCCATTTCGCATGAGTTCGGGTACATAAAGAAACATTTTGCGCAATAAGAACAATGTTTTTTGTAAGCCAGTGAGCTCCTTTGAATGCCAACTGGTAGGACGATCGGTTTTTTCTACAAAAGTCAATCAGTCAAATTGAATCAAAACCATGTCTTGAATAAAAACAATTTGCCTTGGTACTCACGCTTAATCTTTTCAATCTGGCTCATACAAGTTTCGCTAATGACAAGAAAAACCTGCTCGGCATTCTCTTGAAAGAAACGAGCTTGATCGAAGTTATTCGTAGCATCTGCAATTACAAATATTGTGTCAGTCTACTATTGAAATTGTCGTTCAAAGAGTTCAGTGTATATACCAATAAAACTCCATAAGCTCTGAGCTCTTGCTTTTGTCTTTTGGCGTTCGTCGAAGAAGTTCTTTGCTTTCTTTCTCAGTTTTTCAGCTCTTTCATCTTTCGTAATGGGTAGTGGAGGAATGGAACTGCCTTCGGATGGCGCGGTATCACTTAAAGGTTGGTCATTAACACTACGCGTATGTCTTTCGTCGTTGTGCAGTGATGTATTAACTTTCTTCTTGAATCTCGATACGGTACTGGAGCGCCTCAAAAGTTTCCCGGCTGAAGTACTTTGATTTGGAGTATTCGGTTCCTTCAGCGAGTCGTTTGGTCTATCAGACATTGAGAAAACAGATCAGACGATCTACAAGGGCCTATTCTGAAGTCCGTTGCTGAGCCCTGTAGTGGTTTAGGAATGTCAATGGAGCAGAGGATTGGAGATCTGTGTTTGAACCTGACTTTTTGGGTGTTCGTTCCATGCTCTGCCTCATTGCTGGCATTGATGCACGTGACACCTCATTAACACAGTGCCAATATCCGTGATGTCAGACATTCTTAAATTTTTGATAGAGTTCAGTGAAAATCCACGCGCAGAACAAAAAAAAAACCTGAAGGTACTAAATGTCTTACATGTTTCATCACAGATTGATTGATGCAGTTACGACTGGCTGTTATAAAAAGCCATAGTTTCTATATTATTGCCCGCGTTATCAGATCTTACAATCTATCGAATTTTTACTTGGAGTTAAGTGCTTTAAAAACCTGACAATCTTTGAAGATCAATCCTGGTGTGGTTTCAAATGCGTTTCTGCAAACCCATTGGCTTGATATTACTTCCTTTTTGGGTAGATGTCCACTATTCAATCGCCGATTTTTTGACAAAGCCAATCCTCGCTCATCTTTTGGGATAATAAGTGAGGTAATGGCCACGTTAGGCGGGTAGCCAAGCTAATTAGCCAAGCCAATTAGCCAAGCTATTTCCTTGGTGAAGCTCATTAAACAGTATAATAATTTATATCAACATGTATCGTACACGTAGTTGCAAACACTGCTGTCATGCCAATGCATTCATCGCAGTTTCAGGTTAACTGGCTGCACGGCATGTCACCAGAATGCGCCAAGGTAAATTTGTTTACGCTTGTCGAATAAGCGTGGCCATCGGCATGGTGTGAAGATCAACCCTGTGTGTAACCATCCATGCGAACTGATTGTTTTGCAACAGAGCATAACAAAGTCATGGGTGTTGGAACACCAGCAAGCAGTCGGTGGTAAGCTTAAGGCGACCGTCTGCTACACGCGCATTAAAAAAATGGATGGGTTTGTGGTCTATAGGTAAATATTACGGTTTCATAAGCCTTTCTGAATAGGGGCGGTTCCATATCAACCCCCTGTTGCGATTGTGCAAACAATACTAAGGAACAAGATAAGGATCCAGTTTGGGTCGACATTTACTGTCCCATAGAGTGTAATCGTTGCTTTCCATTCCTGACTGCGAGACGTTTTCCAGACCGCGTCGACTGATCAAATATCGTCTAAGAACCCAACATCATATGAAGTCTGTAGTAATAGCAAGCGAAAGTGAGTCATGTTAGGAACGTCTTTCACAACTCCCCAACAACTGTCTAAGTGTAGCTGAGCAAGTGCGTGGCATGACAAAAATGCTGACACCGAAATGTTTAACCCGAACAATGGGTCAAAAAAGTCGGTGCGTTGTACCGATATCTGTATTTGAATAAATCCATATTATCAACCGCCAAGAGAGTACTGAAAAACGCTAGGCTAGCGATTCCGATTATGCTCATGTAATGCCCACGCCCGATTTCTTCCAAGTTCGATGGAAATTTTTCATGTGCTACGACCATGATAGAAGAATACGAAAGGAAACATAGATGATGGGCTTTCATATGATGATGCCCAAACTTGGGGATAGTTTGAATTACGATCTTTTTTTTCACGTGGAAAGGGTTTAAGGTAGTGATATTGATCGGCTGTGGGTGAAGAAGTGTTCTCGGCATGTCCTTCCTCAAAATGTGTCGAAAAATAGGTGCATCGTCTAAAATGCGACAAATCACCAATCATACCTCAAAAGAAGTTGGCCATGTTTCTAGATTTATTCCTTTTTTTTTTAATCGTGCAGGCGAGACAGAAAGAGTGAAATTCTAGTTATCAGCTCACGGAACAGACCAAGACTCAAGCTTTGGGGAGGTGGTTAGCCAATCAGATCGCTGGATTTGTCTTACTTCAACCAAACACCCAATCTAGCTCATCTCCTCTTTAAAAAAAAAAAAGTTGGGTAGACTATAAAAGTAGCCAATCTATCTCCACTCCTACTGTTCTTTCGTCTTTTGTGCCAACTTCAAATATGTCGAGTACTTTAGCCCCTGCTGCTGCTCGAGTTTACACCAAGAGTGAATCGCCACGACCACCTTTCCCCAAAGGCGAATTGCCGCCTATGTTCGACGACAAGGTCACCTCTCAAAATTGGCATAAGAAAGTCAATTGGATTCATTTCACTCTGTTGGTTGGTACTCCTCTTATTGGCCTCTATGGTGCTCTCACCACCACTCTCCAGACCAAGACTTTGATCTGGTCCATTATCTATTATTACATCACTGGTCTCGGTATCACTGCTGGATATCATAGATATTGGGCACATCGTTCATACCGTGCCAGCGAACTCTTCCGTTGGATTCTTTGCCTTGCTGGAAGTGGTGCTGTCGAAGGTTCCATTCAATGGTGGTCTCGCGGTCATCGTGCTCATCACAGGTACGGACAGCAGTTCCTTTTTTTTTTTTGAGTGAAACCTTTTTTTTTTGTCTGATTGTTCTGACCCCAAATCCCCAAAAATTTTATTTTTTCCTAGATGGACCGATACCGACAAGGACCCCTATAGTGCCCACAGAGGTCTCTTTTTCTCTCACTTGGGATGGATGCTTGTCAACCGCCCTAAGAACCGTATTGGTTATGCCGATACTGCTGATTTGAAAGCCGACCCCATCGTCAAAGTCCAACAAAAGCACTACCCTTGGTTCGCCTTGGTCATGGGTTTCATTTTCCCTACCTTGGTTGCTGGTCTTGGCTGGGGTGATTACCGTGGTGGCTATTTCTACGCCGGTGTTCTCCGTCTCGTTTTCGTTCACCACGCTACTTTCTGCGTTAACTCTCTTGCTCATTTCCTTGGTGACACTACCTTCGATGATGAACACACTCCCCGTGATCATTTCATCACTGCCTTGGTCACCATGGGTGAAGGTTACCACAACATGCACCACTCCTTCCCTCAAGATTATCGCAACGCTATCATGATTCACCAATACGACCCTACCAAGTGGCTCATCTGGTTATGCTCATTGGTTGGTTTGACTTACGATCTCAAGGTCTTCCCTGCCAACGAAATGACCAAGGGAAGAATTTACATGGAAGAAAAGAAGATTGAAGCCCAGAAGAAGAAGCTCAAGTGGGGTATTCCTCTTGAACAACTCCCCGTCTTCAGCTGGGATGAGTTCCAAGAAGCCGTCAACGAGAAGAACTGCAAGTGGGTTTTGCTCGAAGGTATTCTCTACGATATCGAAAACTTCATGGAGGACCATCCCGGTGGTTTGTCCTATATCAAGGGTTTTGTCGGCAAAGACGCTACTGGAGCCTTCAATGGCGGTGTCTACAACCACTCCAATGGTGCTCGCAACCTTCTTTCCACCATGCGATGCGGTGTTGTCGAAGGTGGTATGGAAGTTGAAAGCATGAAGAAGCAAAACTAGATTATACAATGCACTTCCTATCAAACCCACAAAAACATATAACTGCATGCTTTTTTCCTCTTTCACTTACAGCACTTGCCACTGTACCATTATCTTTTCCTAGCACGGCTTGTTGTTTTTTTCACAATCCTATCTTCTTTGTCTCGCTATAGTACGATGATACCAAACCCCGTTCTCAGCGCCAGTCTCGCAACAACCTTACCCTTCCCATTTTCTTAACATTTTGAAAACGTATGTGTAAATAACCCAAATATAAATTTCAAACTGCAAACTGCAATGCTGTTTAGACAATATTTTCAAATGTTTGTATGGAGTTGATAGAGTATTTTTATGAAATTGACAACAATGTATGATAAATGACTTGAGCCATTTCTTACAATGGATGACAGCAAGGCCGTTCTGCCATGAGCATTCATGCGGACCTACACACCTGAATGGATCCTCCACAGGTTCAAAGTCGCAAGTCCCTGTGTGGCTAGCCATCTTGTGGGGAAACGTGCCAGGGTAGCAATAATATTGAACCTTCTTCCTCAAAGGACTTTTTCATAAGGGCATGTACGTATCGAGCACTTGGGAGACCAAAGGAGTCAAGATATGAGCAGTGTAAGCAAGGATACTACTCAAGCTAAAGAATTATTATGCTTGCCTTTGGTAGAAATATATAACTTTTCGGTCTTTTTCGATTTTTTATCTTGCGCCTATATCACGAAATTTAAGCTCCGTAGCAAATGTTGGCCGGCCAAAATGAAGTAAAAAACTAGCTCTGTTCTGCAAATACATTACATAGCGTAGACGGCCCTATACTTCAAATAAACTGATGTTCATTTCAAAAAATTTGAGCACTGAAAACCTTAGTGAATTTGACAGAAAATTGCTTCAGCGACAGCTGTAACGATGCATTCCCCACCACAGACGGATTCACCTCGTAATAGTGAAGAAATCACTCTTCGCCGCTGAGCCCAGTTCTTTTACCAATAGCCCAATTCTCTTCTGACCTGAACATTTACTCAAGACTAGCTCGCTCTGAAAAATTTGACTCGATAGGTCGTTCGCCAGAAAATCAATGACTGATGGATGATCACTTTTTGTCTATACTGCTCGCTTGAAAAGAGGAGAACTTTAAATGTTTGATCCAGAACTTCACGACTTCTCAGTTGATGAGATTCACACTTGTCTTTCACCATGTGTGTTAGATTCGGGCATCAAAAATGCATTCAAAGCATCATATGGTATGGAGAAGAGAAACTTATGCTATTTTGTTCAATTGATATCACGATTCCGGCCCACTGCGCAAAAAATTTAAATGGTAGTAGCTGCTTAACCCTCTTTCATCTACCCAATTGTACATACTCTAAATAACAACTTCTAATAGCCTACATTTCTCAAGCTTCTGTGAATTACCCATAAAAATCATGTATAAAGACATAAAATTTCCAAACTTTAGTTTCTACACGTCTTCTATTTTTGGAGAGCTGCGCTATATTTGGCTTTCATTCGCTTGCAATCAAGTACCCATCTATTTTTTGTAGTTCTTTAGAAAAAGGAAAAATCGAATTAAAGAAAAAAAAAAAAAAAGCCTTGAACTGCTCATCTTCAAATTGCAGGCCGCAGTCACAAGCGCGAAGTGGCTTTTTGAACTCGTCAAAAAAAGAGGGCTCGTACCGATATTCCTTTTGCAAACCTAATGTCGTCCACAGAAACCAGCTCTGCTCCCAATGAGAAGCAGCCAACAACGATACTGTGTATCGGTATGGCAGGATCTGGCAAAACGACCTTCATGCAGGTATGCATCGATAGCTTTTCTCTATCTAAGCGATTTTTTCTTTCGTAAAAAAAGTTTCGTTATGCTGAATAAGCCCGACCCTTCAATTCACTACAGCGTCTGAATGCCGATTTGCATGCAAAGAAAACACCCCCGTATATACTTAATCTTGACCCTGCTGTTAGCTCGCTGCCTTTCACCGCCAACATCGATATCAGAGATACTGTCAATTACAAAGAAGTGATGAAACAGTAAGGATAGCCTCGCTTTTCCGTTGTTGCGCTAGACTGTACAAAATCTTACCATGGTCAACGTGTTCATCATAGATACAATCTTGGTCCCAATGGTGGCATTTTGACGAGTCTCAACTTATTCACAACTAAGTTCGATCAAGTGCTGAAGTTTGTCGACAAGAGAGCTTCCTCCGTCGAGTAAGCGTACTTTTAATATTTACCCATGATGGTCTATATTTCCTAGCTCTGACATGTTCGTCACTTAGTCACATTCTAGTTGATACTCCTGGCCAGATCGAAATCTTTACATGGTCCGCTTCTGGAGCCATCATTACCGACACATTGGCTGCAACCTACCCTACTGTTGTTGCTTATATCATTGACACACCACGCACCACCTCACCAGCTACCTTCATGAGCAACATGTTATATGCTTGTTCGATTCTCTACAAGACCAAGCTGCCTTTCATCTTGGTTTTCAATAAGACGGATGTGGTATCACACTCATTTGCAGTCGACTGGATGACTGACTTTGAGAGCTTCCAGCAAGCCCTGCAACAAGACACAACTTACATGAGCAGTTTGATGAACTCAATGAGCTTGGTATTGGATGAATTTTACAGTCATTTGAAGGTGGTTGGCGTCAGTGCTGTCACTGGTGAAGGCATTGATGAATTCTTCGATGCTGTGAAGGCAGCGACCGAAGAGTACGAGACGTAAGTTGTTCAGTTGATGTGCGGATCAGCGCATTTGTTTGGCATTTATTGACGTGCTCTGATATTATATAGGGAATATAAGCCAGAAATTGAACGACTGATACAAGAAAAGGCAAGTCGGAATGGACAATCAATTGTAATGAATGACTGTGTATGATGTGTCGACTAACACCAATTATAGCAAGAGAAGGAGGAACAGCATCGACAGCAGCAGTTGTCAAAGTTGATGAACGATATGAAGGTTTCCAAGGGTACTGAGGTACCGATGGATTCGGGTTCAAGTAAGTAGACGGAGTCTGTAGCATTATTCCTTATCACATTACTCATGGGTGTTTATTTCAATAGAACGAATGGAGGATGAAGAATGGGAAGAGGAAGACGAAGAGGAGTACGGGGATGAGGAAGACGAAGGCGAAGAGTCTGACGACGACGAACAAGGTACGTGACCTGCAAGGTTCAAATGGATGCCATTCATGCAAGTAGACTGATTCCACCATCGTTCTTAGAAAACACTTTACTAGGCGCCAGTCGATTCCCTCCCTCATCAAGCCAACGGCAGAACGATGCAAAGTTCAAGGCTTGGCTCGATCAAGCCAACCAACCCTCCATGAACTAATTCATCCGCTGTCTTCACTTATATAGACTATTTTGTACGGCGTTCATCCTTTACCAATGGAGCATATCAAAAGATGGATCAAAAACAGTATGAGCTGCATTCTGCGATTTTGTAAAATAAAGGAAAAAATAAAATAAAAGGTGTTGTAAATCCCAAACGTAAAAGAATGTGCAAGATGTAGGGTAGATTACTATGTCAATCATCGTTGACATGATGGTTAAAAGACATTGTTGATATTTGGATGGATTTAGATTTTTCGGAAAAAGAAACCGGCAAATGTGTGAGTGTGAAAGGAAAGAGGAAGCAAGTGAGATGGAATGAAGAGTCTACAAAATACAGAGGGTGTGTGCAAGGTTGTGTGAAGAAAAAAATGAGGGAGGAAACATGCGTGAAAAGTCTCCTCATTCTATACACCATAGTTCAAGTTTCTCAACAACCGGGCTATCCTTGGACGGTTTTGTTTGAGCTCTGGAAATTTGACGAGCTAGATCCAAATCATCCTGATCAATCATAAGCACCAGTTCATCGTCCTCATCCTTGTATTGCAGACGCAGCATGGATGATACATCGAACTTCTCGTGAATTTTCTCCAGCAGACCATGGAAAGAAATATAGGCTGATACAACCAACATCCGCGTGTCCCTATAGTGTACCTTAATTTTGATCTTGGGGCCCGATGTTTGGCTAGACACTGAGGACGGGCCCGGTGGTCTATTAATGGGTGACTGACTCATGCTTTCACGGTACGAGTAATAGGGGCCAAGACCGTCGTTTCCTTGACTACCAGCCTTATCAACACTCATTTCCCTCAGTTGCTCATAGACACCATTTAACTCATCTTCGAGTTGTTGACTGGTATTATTTCCATATCTTGTATCATTTTCATCCACAAGGCCGCCATGGCGTACAGGCATTGGTGGTACAGGTGGGGGTGAGTAATGGGGGTTTGTTTTTTGACTGCGTGAGGAATTCCGTGCGCTGGAGTTGGAAAAGCGATCTTCATGGTTGGATTCGAATCCACTGTCGATCCTGCGACCATCCGAATATTGAGCTGCAAATTTTTGATTTGATCCGTACGAGGAAGTAGACATAGTGGTGGCTGAGGGCGGCGAGTTATCGTCATCCGTTGTACCAACACTGGAATCTTTCCGTGTACGAGGCGAATACTGCCGCTGCGGTGATTGTTGACGGTAAGATGCCTGTGGTGTGGTAGGTCTTTCTGATATTGATAATGGTGATCGTCGATAATAATTTGTAGGAGTAGTTTTTGGTGAGTTCATATCCATAGGGGATCGTTCGATGCTCTCGGTTCGCTGTGGTAAATAGCCGGTTGTAGGTGGGCTTTCTTGGAAAGGAGTGGTTCTGCCATAGGCTCGTGGTGGCGGTTGGCGGGTGGAAAATTTATTTTGGCCAAGCAGAATGGAATTATTTCGTTTGATTGCAGCAGCAGGAGGATTTATCTTGCCTAATCCAAACTTTTCTGCGGCTGACAAAAGGTCGGCGCTTTGTGGACCACGAAGTCGACTTTCTGGTGGGCGAAACAGAACACCGGGGGGTATCGAAAACACAGAGTAGCCTTTGCCACGATCAAGCACAGCTTGGTCAATGACTTCATGTTCCTCTGTCATTTTATCCTTTTGAGCTAGATAAAGGTCGGTCAAGCCATCATTCATCTTTTGCAAATAGAGGCGGCAGATACCGCGATTGAAGAGAACTTCGCATGAATAGAGTCGAAAAGACAGTCCGAGTTGAGTGTAATTGATGATCTGATTTCCTCTTAATTTCTGTATGCGCAGACGATGAGGCTTATGTACATGGTTGTGGAACAAAGGCTTATAATACGGCCACTTACAGCATACGCATCGTCAAAATCTTGCATGGCAGCTTCCATATCTCCCATGATGAAGTGAGATACACCTTTTTGAAAGTATACTACAGCAAAGTATTGATCAAGCCGGAGGGCCTTATTGTAAGCGGCAAGCTTTGCAAGAGAAAAAAAAAATGGGTTAGTGGATTTAGTGGATGGGTTCAAATTTCTTCGACGCATGGATAAACAAAAATATCGAACGCTTACAGCTCTTTGGTGATCGTCCAGCGTCGCAAAGATTAAGCCAATATTGAAATGCATTTTGGCATTATCAGCCAAACTCTAGAAAAGCGTAACATAGATTTAGAACGGCAGTACAGGAAAGCAGCGGTCCAATGTTGGAATGTTTCAATTTACGATGAAGGTGCTTAATGCAGTGTCATAATCCTGATTGTCGAAAGCAACACAAGCGTTGTTCCATTGTTCCAACTCAAACTGTGAAAGTAATTTCATAAATTGTTAGAGATTGAAAGTTGTTCGTCTAGCAAGACAGGCTCTTGGGTCTCCATATGTTGTTTTTTTTCTCTCAGCTTTTGTCTCAGTGCAAATACAAACTGGGAACAAAAATAAGGAGAGGAATTTTCAAGCATGCGTGAAAACGTACCTTGAGAGCCATTGCACTTTGAAGCGCTTCAGTACCTCGAAAGTAAAGGTGGGTTATATAGTGTTCAAAGGAGTGGAAGAAGAGAAGTTAGAGCAAGTGCAGCGAATCAAAAGTTCATGGAAAAAATGAGCACGGCTTATTATTTTGGCGCCAATTTGGCTTTGGTGGTACAGATTTTCGCTGGCCCTCATTGGGTCGGATTTTTTAACGCTCACTTGAACGTGCGCTCTAACAAAAGCATCTCCCTTAGAACTAACGCCGGCCGTTATTCATGAATTGACTACGTGCTTTCGTGTTGTATGATCTTCCTGTGAAAGGGCAACTTCTAGGCTCGCCATTAAAAGAACCATCAGCCAAATGATCGGCCACTTTAGCCACTGTTTCAGATCGTAGTGGTGGGATCTTGTGTGAATTCTACCCAACGATATTAACAATGCTTTAAACCCTGAACAAAAAAAACCAGGATGAATGGTAAAGAAATGTACAAATGCATTGTTGCATGTCGGAGACAGCTGGATATAATACTATGATCCGCTGCTGGCCCTCAAAACTCTACTATATACCACTGATTCAGGTAAAATTACCATAGTCAATGTAAATTACTGGAAATCTCTCTGGATAGGAGCGGTCCATTCGATACTACCCACAGGAAATCTGAATCTCCCATGGTACATAATACGCAAATCAGTGAATCATGTATGAAAAACACGTTCTAGTCCAAAGATTATGATCAAAAGTTCATAGTCAAAAGTTCATGGCCTTCGCATATAAATCCAACATAATATGTTCCAATTCATTTGAAAAGAACCCCAAAGTTATTAAAGTTGTAATAGTGCAAATACGGAGGCTCTAGCGTCTTTCCGCGAACAGCCGAGAAATTTTGCCATGGAAATTCTTGTGACGTTTTTACGATTCATGACTGTGACGTCACTAAGAAACTTTCTGCCCTTCAATGCTTCCGTCGCCTGCAGCATCAGCACCGCCTTTCCCCAAAAATCCCACCATGAGCACTCTGACCGATGTCGCAGACGTTGATACCTGGATCACAACGCTTTCTGATTGCAAACAACTCCCAGAATCCGACATTGAAAGGCTCTGTGAGAAGGTGAGCAAAGGAGCATGGTCCATGACCAGATCTAGCTGTTGAGGCTGGTTTTGTTATTTGCATTACGATAAAAACCCAAGCATCCCAACCACTACGCCTGCTACCCAATGTATACGCCCGTTTACAAACCATGTTTGAAGACTGATTCCACCTCACCGGTATAGCCGAAATGCTAAGTAAAACGACTTGAACCTGCATCATCGCATTCCGCTTTATTATTATTATTATTATTTTTCATTCTCGCGTGATGCCCAACGACCACATCAGATTACCAAATGTGTAACCAACGAACCATCTCTCCGATAATAACCCAACACCTCGACGGTCTTTTCATTCCTCTTATCACTGTTCTACATTTACTAATTGATACTTCCTCTCACGGCAAATTTCCAATCCAGGCTCGTGAAATTTTAAAAGAGGAATCCAACGTTCAACCCGTGCGCAGTCCAGTGACAGTGTGTGGTGACATCCACGGCCAATTCCATGACCTTATTGAATTGTTCAAGATCGGTGGTAACTCTCCTGACACAAATTATTTGTTCATGGGTGATTACGTCGATCGTGGTTATTACTCTGTTGAAACTGTCACCTTGCTAGTTGCTCTCAAGGTTCGATACAAAGACCGTGTTACCATTCTTCGTGGTAACCACGAATCACGACAAATCACCCAAGTGTATGGTTTCTATGATGAATGTCTTCGAAAGTACGGTAGTGCTAATGTTTGGAAGATGTTCACGGATCTTTTCGATTATTTACCCCTCACCGCATTGATTGAGGATCAGGTATGTCTCCCTTCTAACGTATTTGCATGTACCGTGATTTAATCTCCCCTCTCGTTCAGATCTTCTGTCTTCATGGCGGTCTATCTCCATCAATTGATACTCTTGATCAGATCCGTAATCTTGATCGAGTGCAAGAAGTGCCTCATGAGGGCCCAATGTGCGATTTGCTTTGGTCAGATCCTGATGATCGCTGCGGTTGGGGAATATCACCCCGTGGAGCCGGTTACACTTTCGGTCAAGATATCTCAGAAACGTTTAATCATAATAACGGTTTGACGCTGGTTGCCAGAGCACATCAACTTGTGATGGAGGTAGGCTTCGGTATTCCATCTGTGGGAACCTTATTGCGCATAACTAATATGTCTACATGTACTCCTATAGGGTTATAACTGGTGCCAGGATCGTAATGTTGTGACCATCTTCAGTGCTCCTAATTATTGCTACCGCTGCGGTAATCAAGCTGCCATCATGGAAATTGACGAGCACTTGAAATACACATTGTAAGTTTTCTTTGTCAACCCACGTTTGTCGTGACTCGATCAACCATGCTCATTTTTTCTTTTCTGTAGCCTACAATTTGATCCTGCACCCAGACGCGGAGAGCCGCAAGTTACAAGGAGAACACCAGACTATTTTCTGTAAAAAAGTTTGTTTTATTTTTTTCTGTTACTTTTTTCCCTTCATTTTTTTTTTCTTTTTTTGTTTGAGAGAGGATGGGTTGCTGCGTCTCCCGCCATGTCAAAAATGGGACTATGCTATTTTCTTTTTCTTTCTCCAATGTTTTCATACTCTTTATCGTCGAACGCCGTCCCTTTCTGCATCAAGGATATATTCTCTACAACGCGCGCTGTCTCCGTTCTCTTCTAGTCTTTGTATTTTCCTCCACCTGTGAACCCAGACTTCTTTCTACAAATACCTCCTCTGCTGTCCTTGGGATACTCTCTTAAATGAAATCACAAAAAAAACTTCACATACTAATCGCTGTGTCTACTTGCCATTGTTCATGAATGAGATATTACTGTGAAACGGGATAGGTACCAATTCTTTTTCTTGGTGCAATGTGGGATACATTGAAACAATGTTTATTCTACAATGATTTTGAAACAATGGGACCAGGAACAGAATGGATATCTTTTTAAGCTAATGTACATATTTCGACTCTTGTGTCTTTTTTACTTTTACGTTGTTTACAAATCAATCACTACTTCCATATGAAACTCTTTGCCCAGTCCATGAGGCCAGGCTGAGCAGCTGGGGTATTGGATCGTAAGGATGTGTTTGGAGTTTGCCTGGGAGTTTGCTGTGGAGTTCCACTGGCCAACGTGGCTTGATACTTGAATTCCTCATCCTCTTCGGCAACAGGGGTGAGCATATTGTTGTACGAGTAATCGTTGCGAGCTGGCTCATGTCGCCAATCGTACCCGGCTTCCTTGTCTACTTCATGAATGCCAGAGTCCAGTCGATTATCATCATTTGGTCGGGAGTAATAGAATATATACACGAGGATAAATAGTAGAATGATGAAGACCCAGCCGCCTAAAATAATGCATAGAACGGCAATAGGTCCTAGGCTGGGGGCAGCATTGGTATCGCTGAGAATGGCCACCAATACCGACGTCCAGAGAATGCATGTAAATGAAGCAGTACGGAAATAGTTGATTTTGTCCACATAGCACGGCCGGGTTTTGATGTTATAACATATCATTGTCAGCAAGATGGTAATGGATAAGATGGCTCGCATGCGGTTTTGATTGGTAGTCGATTCGACTAGCAAAAAATTGATAGCCAACAGTAGACCTGAAAAATAGATATACATGAGACATGTCCTTCAGACTACATCCTCTAGCCGTCATTTCAAAAAAGTCTCTTACCCATATTCTTAATGAAGGCAATACCAATTGATTTGAAGGCGATTTCATTATGATGTGGTATGCGCTCGTAACTTGTCAGGAAGATGGTCATGAGGAAGTATGCTGCAATATAACCGGTCAGAGATAGCCACAGGTATGTTTGTTGATTGATGTTATCCGCATGGCACCGAAGGGTATTGGTATAGGATGCCGTAGGGACATTCAACGACTGACAAGCTGCTGAGCTCACGAAGGTGGTCTAAAAGGACGCATAGTATAAGTTTAGTTGCTGTCATCGGTGAACACATCACCGCATTCAAAACACTTACCAAGACAGGGATGTACATCAAACTCTGTAAAAGCAAATAATGAATATGCAAAATAGATGACAATGCGACAAAAATATGTATTACTCACCACAACAGGGATGCACCAATGCACCCATTGGTTTGGTAGACGATATGGTCTCCAGGTGTTGACGCCGTGTACGGTCACAGCTACAAGTAATCCAAGGCAGGTAACAGCAAATGTGGTCCACACAGTGTAAGTATACCAGGTTGGGGTTCTCATATCCGGCATAAGACCACCGGCATTTAAGACCAGAGATACAAAGTACTCGAATTTAGACTGTTGTGCTTGACTTGAACTGGATTCTGACATGGCACCAAAGGAATTGACTGTCATTAAGTCTCTCAATGGGAAAGTCAATAACTGGAAGAACTCGATGATGAGGATAACGATTTGGATCCAATTGGACCACATCTTTCGGTCCCAGTCTGTAAACCGTGTCTTGTAGACGGCGTTCATATGAGCATCGTCGCTACCAAAAAGTTCCTTACGCTCCTTATAGTAGAAGCGTTGTCTTGTCACTAGAAACATATTGATGCAAAGGACTACAACGAAGAGGGAAGCTTGTAGGAAGCCAGATGTACTTGAAGAAGGTACTGCACTTGCAGTTCCGATGAGTATGATAAAAGCCACAATGAAAAGAATGAGGCATATGATGGAAAATAGATGATGAAATTTATGGGCCAGGACCTTTCGATGTTCGTGGGATAGAGGAACGCTGTTGGGAAAAGACCCTGATGTGACACCAGACGCTGAAGACACCGTAGCCGGGGTGATGGAACGATCTCGCGTGCTGTTATGACGACTTGGCGGTCCAGCAGAAGCAGATCGTGGATACACTCCATCTACAGAGTTTGCAGAGTATCCTAAATCCTCCGTGTTGTTCTTATGTCCATGAACAACGCTATTCCAAAGCACGACCAAGAGCCCCACTACCGGTATTTTGAACACCGCTTGTACCTGCTGCCGTATATTCTCCACAAGCTGATCGATTTCTTTTTGGTGTTCCAGACGCTCTTCTCTACGCTGCTGTGGGGGTATTTTGTGCCATTCCGTGAACCAGAAATAAAATGCGAACGATGCTATCAAAGCAACAATAATGGAGAAAAAGAGGATAATGGAAATTAGATCACTGGCTGGGTGATCGGCCGTTGAATTTTGTTGCTGGTAGGAAGCGAATCCTATCAAGCTACTATTAGCAGTCGTAGCAGTGGTGGTAGAATTTGAACTCATTTTGACATGCAATGAGGAATGCTGTGAAAATGTTCCCGTTCAGAAGTTGAAATAACAGTAAACTCTATACAGGCTGTATCTTTGACAGAGCAGCTCAGGGAAGGTATAATGAAGCTATGCGGAGAGTTTCTTCTGAGAGGGGTGGTCAAAAGATATGAAAACGAAAGAACAGCGTTGATGAAGAGGTGGAAAAGATGTGGTTCTCTTTTTCAATTGAGGAAGCTTGAGCTTGTAAATTTAACTAGCTTTGTCGATGGCTATATGATAAAATTTCCATACTGGGCGAATGTTTTTGTTGTTGTGAGGAAGCCATTATTGAAGTCTTCCGATTTAGCTATTTTCCAGACCGCCTATCCTAGTTTTGTGTGAGAGCTATTACATCCTGCGAATCTTTACTGTTCATTATCATGCAGTAAGAAAGTCATACAACGTGATTTGAAAAACGGCTGCTGTTTGCCACCTCAAGATGATCGGTAAAGTAGCCAAATAACAAACCTTTTGAATTGTGTCTTGTTTTTCGATGAATCAAAATATACGCAAGTGATCTGTTTTTTGAGCTTTTTATTCGGAGCTAAACGTTTCAAATTGTTGCTACATTTACTCGTCTATTAAAATGCGTTATATCCAGCAAGTGCCTAGATAGAAAAAGCGTATTGCAACGCTAGTAGTATCGGGAATTGGAACGTTATAAAGCATTATCAGGCATTCTTACTATACACAATCATATGAGCATCTCGCTCAATAACCATGGGGACTCACATGAATGGTTGGATACGCTTGATATCGCAGTGCATCAAAAAAGAAATGCCCTTGGGATATCCAGCAACTTGCAGAGATGTCTTGTCTGAAGAAAAGAATCATAACGAAGAGCGGGCAAGATACCAAAAATTGGCTTTTATAGGTCATTGCTCATATTAACAAGGAATACAAGTGATATCAAATAGTGTAAAAGGAACAGTGCACGTATTTTACACGACATTAAGCGTGGTTCCTTGCAAATCAATTTTGAGGTAAAGCTATGCTGCAAGGAAGTGACTGTCATTCAATTATTCGATTTCAACATTTGGAAATAATAACCACTTTGCGAAATTCCGTTTTACTTGAATCAGCGTGCAACATGGTCACCGTTAACGATCAAGCCCAAAATGAGAATAATAAGCGCCCTCTCGAAGACAATACTGCTCCTGAAGTAGCTGAGAACGATGGTACGTTACGAGAATCTTTCCACCGTCAAAATGCTCAGCCAACCTGCTCACCGCTTTTCTCCTGAATCAGACGATGGTGACATTGGTCCTATGATGCCACCTCCTGTAGAAGAAACTCCAAAAAAGAAAAAGAGAGGTAAAGCTACTTACATAAAGCACACTCAATAATGCCATCCCACTGACATTTATCTAAATCCCTTTCTCGCAGTCCTACCTCACGAGCAGATCTACCTTAGTCGCTTACCTACCTCCGATATGTACGAGAAGAGCTACATGCACCGTGATATTCTCAACTTCATTGCTGTTACAAAGTATGTGGTTCTTTAAACAGGAGATGCATCAACGCTGTTACAGTAGAACAACACTAATGATGACCTGGGTTTTGCAGAAACGACTTCATAATTACTACTTCCCAAGATGGACACCTCAAATTTTGGAAGAAAACCGCTTCCGGTATTGAGTTTGTAAAGCACTATCGTTCCCATTTATCGAATGTGAATGGCATCAACATCTCGGCAGACAATGAGCTGCTTGCGACTATTTCTGAAGACAAGTCGATGAAAGTATACGATGTTACGCAGTTTGGTAAGTTCTAGTGAATACACAAGATACCGTAGGTATTCGCAACTCTAACATGTTCTCAGATATGATTAACATGATCAAATTTGACTTCACGCCAAAATGTGTTTGTTGGATCCATCAAAAGGGTCAAGCCCAGGCCCTGATCGCAGTGTAAGTATTCTTCCATAATACGATTTTGGAGACACGATTTATGCTTACCTTCATGAATGCAATAACAGCGCCGACAAAGACAGCTCCAACGTTCATATATTTGATGGGCGTGGTGATGGAAAACCCATACACACAATCTCAACACTTCACAGTCACCCAGTACATCTTATGACCGTAAGCAATAGTTGTTATCCTTTTTTATATCAAAAAAATGTTCCCTGGCTAATTTCATTATATTCAGTTTAATGCTCGATTTAATACGGTGATTTCGGTGGATACGTCGGGTATGTTGGAATATTGGGAACCAGAAGAACCCTTTGATCTACCAAAGAATGTGAACTTTGAGTACAAAGCAGAAACTGATTTATACGACTTTAAAAAGGTGAGTGTAAAAAGGCATATTCCTTTATGGAAAGTGTTCCAGCATCTTCTTTTATTGACGCTCGAATACCTAGTCCAAGTCAGTACCAACGTCCATTGTATTGTCGAACGACGGCTTGAAGTTTGTCACCATGAGCATGCCAGACAGACAAGTTCGTATATTCAAATTTTTGAATGGCAAAGTCTTCCGCAAGTATGATGAGTCGCTCAAGACAATAACGGAGATGCAACAAGCCGGCACTAGTGTCAGAAAACTGGATGACATGGAGTTTGGACGTCGTTTAGCTGTTGATAAGGAGCTGGAGAAGTCACCACAGGCACAACATATCAATGCTGGTAACTAACCTTTCCATAGCAGCCGAAAATGAAAAACTTTACTGACCTTTAAACTTTAGTTTTTGATGAGAGCGGCAACTTCATTATATATCCTACTATGTTGGGCATAAAAGGTAACGAATCGAGTAGTGGCATTTGTAGTGGATCACGATCAACAATACTTACCTCGTTCGCTGCAGTCGTTAATTCAGTGACCAACAAAGTAGCTCGATTGATTGGAGAATCGGAGACACATAGATTTTTAAATATGGCCTTGTACCAAGGAGCTCCTAGAAAGAAGGGTATCATGACTTTGGTAAGCGGATGAAGATGTGGCAATATGATACACCACACATGAGATTTACCCCAATATTTTTTTTTCAGGCAATGGCAGCATCTGATAACCAAGCTTTGAGAGAAACAGAAGAACTTGACCCAACTCTGTTCACAACCGCCTTTAAACGAAACCGATTCTTCATGTTCACACAACGGGAACCAAATGCGTACGTATCTGTTGCTAGGCTTGCTGATAGTCGCGGTTTTCCCATATCTAATCATTACCATTCATCATTTACAGGTATGACGATTCCAAGGGCGATCGTGATGTTTTCAACGAAAAACCTTCCCGAGAAGAACAAACCGTTGCTACAACTCAAGCGAAGCAACAGCAATTGGGCTCAACGGCGGTGTTGCGTACTACAGCAGGAGATATTCACATTCGACTCTTCCCAGAATATGCAAACAAAGCTGTTGAGAATTTTGTCACGCACGCTAAGAACGGCTATTATGACAACTTGATCTTCCACAGAGTCATCAAAGGTTTCATGGTGCAAACTGGTGATCCTTTCGGGGATGGTACTGGAGGCGAATCCATTTGGGGAGACGATTTTGAGGATGAATTCCACCGTGACTTACGACACGATCGACCATATACTGTGAGCATGGCAAATGCTGGACCAAATACGAATGCCTCACAATTCTTCATCACCGTTGTACCCACAGTAAGTGTTGACATTTTGCATACTGATACTCTATGAATGTGTTTATTAATGCCGAGCGTTTCGCAGCCATGGCTGGATAATAAGCACACAATCTTTGGAAGAGCAACAGCCGGTATGGATGTGATCCATGCTATAGAGAACTGCAAGACCGACAAAAGTGATAAACCTTTAGACGACATAAAAATCATCAATATTGAAGTGCATTAAATTTGGCAGTTTTGAAATTTTCCAATAAAAACGCGCACTGCAAATTTCTTTATGTCCAAAGGAGCAGAGCCATTACCACCTTGTGACTTATTCTCCTCCTTCGTCATGTCCAGTTCATTCTCGCCTAGAGTGGCAGCCCCTAATTTATCGCGAAGAAATACTGGTAACCAGCAAGCAGATCATTCTCCTGTCACTATAGGCTCTCCCTCGCTTGACCGCCATGCCGCGCGCTTCTCTCGCGGTTCCAATCAGGAGGAAGCAGATAGGCAAAGTCGACGCATTTCCGCTCGCGAGACGCTGTTACGACGAGTGTCTGGTCGCTCATCTGTCACTGGAACCGAAGCCACCGGTATTGATGAGAGAAAGGCGGCACGACCTTTGGAAATTCTCACCAATGCTCCTAAACTACCGCAATCACTTACCAACGAACAAATGTACTCCAATTTCGAAGAATGGATGAAAATGTGCACTGATAATGTAAGGACCGCTCTGACACTATGGGCCGCCCGTATTGGAGTCAATAATACTAAATGTTCAATTTATATAGAAAATCAATGCAACCAATAGCTGGAACTTTGCTCTGATTGATTACTTCCATGAAATGACATTTTTAAAAGACGGCGACTCTATCAACTTTCAAAAGGCTTCATGTACTTTGGATGGTTGCGTTAAAATTTATACATCACGCGTTGACTCTGTAGCTTCAGAGACTGGTAAACTCCTTAGCGGATTAGCGAATAGCGCAAGTAAGTTGAAAATATCGACCGCTTTATAGCAGATTGTCTGCTCAATGTATTGATCTATGGTACAGACGTAGCCCAAGATGACGAAGACGGCGATGGAGAAGATGATACAGAACGAAGAACCAAGAAAAAATCAAATCGCTCAGAAACCACGCTTGTCAAAGACTTTTCTTCTATCAAAGTGAAGAAGCTTGATCTCGACTTTACCGTCGATCCATTGTTTAAAAAGACTTCGGCAGATTTTGATGAGGGTGGAGCACGAGGCCTCCTACTCAATAATCTTACCGTGGATCGTGGTGGAAAAATTATTTTTGACGCATCAGATGCGTTTGCGGATCCCGAAGACGAAGATGAAGTACCTACACCGGACCTCAAAGAGAAACAAGCAAGTAAAGACAACGATGAAGGCGACCAACCACTTGTAGACGCGATGGATATTGAATCAACAGAAGCTGAAAAGAAAGAAGATGATACTAAAATTGAAGTGTCTCATCTAAAAGGTGAATTAGTGATATAGGCGCTTCCGCCAGCTTCATAGCCATGCTAACCAAAAATTACAGCCAAACTCCCTTCGCTCGAGGAACTATCCATCCTTGAAATTTCCCCTTCCTTACGCGAATTCGAATTTTCTTCATCTAATGCTCTGGATATTCCAGCGGCGAAATCGAACAACGAAGATACAAATCCTGACAATTCACAAGAAATGGAGCCTGATCAAGAGTACCCTCAGGGAGGGAATAACGACATAGACGATGTTTTTAACGACATTGATAACGACCAGGAACAGGAGCCAGATGCAAACCAAGAGGAATCACAATTAGGTGGCTTCTTCGAGCCTGCTAACCCCGGAACCGACGCTGCCACGGTTCGGACGTATGAAATGGCCATGAACCCAGACGTACAGACCGATATGTTTAGTTACTTTGATTCAGCTTTTATGCGGAATTGGGCTGGCCCGGAACATTGGAAGCTCAGACGACCCGTTAGCAAAGGTATGATAGATACTTTTCAGATGTGAAGTTTGACATTAAGTTAATGGTTTTGTTTGTAGTGGCGAAAGAGTCAACTGAACAGGGCGTAGAAGAAGGCGATGAAACTCAAAAAGGAAAGAAGAAGCCAAAAGTAGTTTTTGAGATTGACTTTCTCAACTCTGAGGATATCAACGAAGAGGAATTGTTTGCAAATGATAAGAAGGGATCTATCACTATGCCAGTGAAACGGGATATGAAGAATTCAAAACACCTGTTGCCAGACGACATGCACTTTTCATCAAAGCAGCTACTTCATTACTTTTTGAAGCCTGATCATTCAGTAAGTGACACGTTGTATCATCGATGCTAATTATACTTCTATTTCTCATCCTTTGCTCTCCCTAGTTCCGGAAACGAAAGCAATCAGAGACTACAGCCACCGTTTCAAACGACCCGATCGATGGAAATGTTCAGCCAGATGAACCGGATGCACAGTACTGGGCTCAAGAGGAGGAGATGGCAATCGACGATGGCAATCTGACTCAGGCGGATCTATCTTTTGCTGGAGATCAAAGTATGTACCGACTTGGGAGCAAAATGTGTGGCAGCATCGTTCTATGTACTCATTACGGTTTTGATAGCTATTTTGACAGCAGTTGAGGATACGACGTTCTTGCAAGACGCCTTTGATGAAATTAACGATGCTGAAATGGACAAGGTGTATGGTGATGAACTCATTACAAATCATCGGTTGAAAAAGATAAAGCCTATCTATGTGAATTATGCCAAAACCGCTAAGCGAGTTGATGTTCGTCGCCTCAAAGACAATCTATGGAAGACACTAAAAACTGAACCGGTACGTATACCTTTTAGCTCTCTCTATATAGCATAATCGGGATAATTCATTAATATTCATTCAACAAAGGTGGATGAGGAATCTTTGTTGCCTGAGCCTTCAAATGCGCTGAGCGAAGGAACCGAAGATGCCATTAAGGGCGAACACAAGTTTTCAGAAGTCATCCATAACCTGAAGAAGGAATACTCTGAGAAATCCATGAAAGACATTTCAGTGCCTTTCTGTTTTATCTGCTTGTTGCATCTTGCCAATGAGAAAAAGCTAAAGATCAGCAATGAAGCTGACCCGGAAGAGCTCTTTGATGCTATGGGTTCAGGCTTAAAAGACCTTATCGTGGTCCAGGATTGAACAACCCAGTATCCTTTTTGTAGATAACAACAGACTGTATAATTTTCACCATCATCATTTTGCCGCGCTTTTCCCCTGTACTACTAATGTAGAATTCGTTCTTATTACTTCAATGTGTCATTGTCTTAAACAAACTAAATACATAATGACGATGGCTTCAAAGTACCATAGTGATGGCATCATTCAGAACGAGCAAATCTTTTCAAATTGATTGGCTGAATTGCTGTAGTTTTTCCCCCCAAAATTGCACATTACATAATGCGGGCTGCTGTGTTTGACATCCTCGTCTTTTTTTACAACAGACTTCGTTTCTCACTATGGCTCTCGCTCCTCAATTCATCGGTAAGATCTAACGGACATTGCCTAGCCTTCCTACACTAGATGCACCGTTTAACGTGAGCATTCCGAACAGGTCACCGCATAGGCTCAGCTGCCGCAAAACATAGCCTCGAGGTCTATCTCGACTATACCGTACGTCCCCGCCAGTAACACCGCCTAGTATCGAACATGACATTGATTGAATTTTCGTTGAATATTATCATAACAGTGCCCATTCTCGGCAAAGATTTACAAGAAGTTGCGCAAGGCAAGTACTAGAGATATCATTACCGAGCACTCAAAACTAGCATTAAACATCGCGTTACAGGAAGTTATACCTTATCTCAATAATGAGCACCCCAATGAAGTGCAACTCATCTTCCGACAACAGGTTCAACCGTGGCACCCTTCGTCCACGCTTGTCCATGAAGCTGCTCTTGCTGTTGAGCGCGTCGATAACACAAAATTTTGGGATTTCTCGGATGTCTTGTTCGAACGCCAAACAGAGTAAATAGAAACATTGCGGCGTATTGGCGACGCGCAGTGGAAAGTAACTAATCATGCATTTGAACTTCTAGGTACTACGATGAAGCGGTTTATACAAAGTCGCGTAACGAGATTTATGGAAAGCTGGCTGATTTGGCCACCACCGTCAATGTTCCCGGTGACAAAGTCCTGTCTTACTTGACAATTCGATCGGGCGAGGCAAAGAACTCCGGAAACCAAGTGACCAACGATCTCAAGTTGCAAATCAAGATCGGTCGCCAGAATGGAATTCATGTTAGCCCAACCGTGTTATTTGATGGTCTGAAAGACGATTCTGTTTCGTCCAGTTGGGACCTTGACCAATGGAAGGAATACTTCAAGTCCAAGTTGTAAATAGTTGAATGCGCCATTGGCGGTCACTACTGCTTATAAAGTTGGGACTGATCTTACTATGAAATGGTGTTTATATGCTATGTTTATTTTTTCTTGATTTTAAAAGTTGCAAACGTGGCCTGTGTGAGGATACACTTATTGCAATGAGTTAGCACTGTACATAACGTTTAACCGAACATCTTGGAGTATGCTGCCTTCTCCTTCTGCTTGCGCTCAACAATTCTTTGTTTGGCAAGAGCAAGTTGCTGCTTGATGGCAGCATCGTCAGGGTTCTGAACAGCAGCTTGTTCAAAGTTCTCAATTGCGGCAACCTCGTTCTTGGTTTGAAGATAAGCTGTGCCACGACGGAACAAAGCCTTTGCCTTGTCAGATGGCGTCAAGTATTTTTCTGGGAACTCAAGAACAGTTGTGGTATCTTCTATGGCAGATTTAAAGTTGTTGAGCTTAAGCTGAGACATGGCTCGGTTAAGATAACAAGGCACCTTGATGCTATAGAATTGAACACGAAGGGCTTCTGGGTCTTCATCTTCATCGAAAACTGGCTTCTCTTGGAGGTAACGAATAGCCTTCTGGTACTTCTTAGCAGCAGATTCATAGTTTCCCTTCTTGAAGTAATCGTTACCAATGGCTTTCAATTCAGTAGCAATCTTAGCCAAGTCGGCGGGTTCCTTTGAGCCTTCATAATCATCTGGCGAAAGAAAAAAAAGGTCAAATGTTGCTGCGCTATTTTTTTATCGTCCACATTATTACTTTGCTTACCAGGGTATTCATCATAAGCATCACCATCAGAGGGCACAGGGACGCCATCACTCTCATTCTCAGCAAGTTCACCGCAGTTAGCAATCACCACATCCTTGACAGGCTTGTCAGCTGAGGTAGGCAGGTTCTCAATAGCACGAACAATACCCTTTCCCTTCAGGACTTTTCCAAAAACGACGTGCTTGCCATCAAGATGAGGAGTCTCGGTGGTAGTGATAAAGAATTGAGAGCCGTTGGTACCGGGTCCGGCATTAGCCATGGACAACAAGAAAGGCTTTTCGTGCTTCAACTGGAAGTTTTCATCTGTACAATTGATCATGAGTGACACTGTCGTATAAAACTCATGAACGTCGAATTTGGATGCTTACCCTCGAACTTTTCACCGTAGATGGACTCTCCACCAGTACCATTGAAGTTTGTGAAATCTGCATATCATTAGGGTCAACCAACATGGCCAATTGCCTCAAGTTACAAACCATAAAAGCATTGCTCGCGTACCTCCTCCTTGGCACATAAAGTTCTTGATCACTCGGTGGAAGATAGATCCCTTGAAGTGCAGAGGCTTGCCAGCCTGACCCATTCCTTTCTCGCCAGTGCAAAGGGCGCGGAAGTTCTCAGCAGTCTTAGGAACGACGTCCTTGAACTGATATGCATTGGTGTTGGTACAGTCAATACGTTTATTGTCATTTACTTTTTCGATTCTCGATATATAAACACTTACCAGCTCAAAAACAATGCGACCTTCAGGTTGGCCACCGATTTCAATGTCGAAGAAACTGTAAACAGAGGTAAGTACGTTGATCACACCGAGTGATAGCGATCAAACCACAATCAGTTTACTTACACACGAGGATTTGCCATGACTTTGGTATAAATTACTTTGAATCACAAAGAGCGAGCGATCTGCCAGACGCATTTTTCATATGAGTGCCGCTGGGTTGCAATTGTTGGAATCTTCGCGAAAATTAAAGAAACATTCTAAACGACGGTGATTTTTTATTGGGGAAAGTTTTGAAAGATGGAGTGTATGAACAAAAAAATAAACGAAAAATTAAACTTGAGGCAAATGGTTCACGAAAGACGTGCTTGTCTTCTACCATGCCTTATCAGTGTTGTTAACAACGACCTCTTCACCGCCAATCTGAGACTTTTCGACAAGAGAGCCAATTTCAAACACTTGCTCGTTAGCCTCGCTCAATAATCTAGTAATTTCAGGTACAGCGGTGCGATCGGCAACAATGACCATACCAATACCACAGTTGAAAGTGCGGGAAAGTTCGTCTGGAAAATACAATACATTAGTGGGTTTTGGAAATCAAGGTGGTCGCGAAATGTTACTGTTATTCAACTTACAGGCAGAGACATTTCCAGTAGCCTTGAGCCACTTGAAAACGTCAGGCAAAGGCCAGGAAGTGGCATCGATCTGGACACCAAGATGCTCAGGAAGGACACGAGGAATGTTGTCAATGAAACCACCTCCAGTGATGTGAGCCATAGCCTTAACCAAGTCCTTGCGAACAACGGGCAAAAGTTGCTTGACATAGATGCGAGTAGGAGTCAACAAAGCTTTACCAAGGGTAGTGGACTTATCCCATGGGCATGGGGAGTGGTATGAAAGACCAGGTTGAGTACCAACAATCTTACGAACCAACGAGAAACCGTTGGAGTGGACACCAGAAGATGCAAGACCAAGAAGGACATCTCCAGCCTTGATCTGGTCCATTCTAGGAAGAATGTTCTCACGATCAACGGCACCAGTTGTGAAACCAGCAGCATCGTAGTCGCCAGGAGCATAAAGACCAGGCATCTCAGCAGTCTCACCACCAACAAGGGCACAGCCAGATTGAAGACATCCTTCAGCAACACCAGCAACAAAGTCCTTGGCGACATCGACCTCAAGCTTACCGCACGCAAAGTAATCCAAGAAGAACAAAGGCTCGGCACCTTGGACAATGAGATCGTTGACGTTCATGGCAACCAAATCAATACCGACAGTGTTGTGAATATTGCAGTCGTGAGCGATCTTCAACTTGGTTCCAATACCATCAGTAGCAGAAACCAAAATAGGATCTCTGTATCCAGCAGCCTTGAGGTCAAAGATACCACCGAATCCACCGATTTCTGAATCAGCACCGACACGCTTGGTAGACTTGACCAATGACTTGATCTTTTGGACAAGCAAGTTACCAGCATCAATACTGACACCAGCAGATGCATAAGAGATTCCAGTATCCTTCTTTTCGCTATGCTTGAAGGCTCGGTGAGCAATATCCTTTCTATAGTACATGCCATCAAAGTTGACAGAGGTAATGCCTTGGTAAGCTTTGTCAACAGCTTCACGAAGAGTGCTGGCGACAGCGGAGACGGCCAAAACACGTCCTCCATCAGTGACAAGCTTGGTATCCTTCATGGTGGTACCGGCATGGAAGACCATAACATCTACAATCATAGAGTTAAACACACGCCTCTTTGACCTTGAAACGGATCGAATGCAACTATCTACCTTCAGGGGTGGCACCAATGGTGATTTCCTTGCCCTTTTCGTACTTGCCGGGGTAACCACCAGATGCGAGAACGACAGTGGCGGCAAAGGCGTGCTTGATGCCGATATGAACAGCATCGAGACGACCTTCAGCACAAGCAAGCATGATCTCAGCCAAGTCAGTATCATCGCTGAGGAGGGGCAAGACAACCTGAGTTTCGGGATCGCCAAATCTAACATTGTATTCCAGGACCTTGGGTCCAGTGGCAGTCAACATAATACCAGTGAAAAGCATACCGACGAAGGGGTATCCTGCAAATCATAAATTTGTTAGCTACCGTGAGCTAATGTGTAACACCATCGTCGCATGAACTCACCATCACGTCGCATGCCATCAATAGTGGGTTGCAAAACGGTACGCTTGACTTCGTCAATGAGATCCTTGGTACCAATAGGGGTAGGGGCATAGCATCCCATACCGCCGGTGTTAGGACCTTGATCTCCATCCAATGCGCGCTTGTGATCTTGGGCAGGGGGAAGAGGAATGACGGTATAACCATCGGAAAAGGCGAGGAATGAAAGTTCTTCACCTTCGAGGTATTCTTCAACAACGACTTCATCTCCAGCGGCACCGAATTCCTTGTCTACCATGATAGCCTTAAGGCCATCCAAAGCTTCTTCAGTGGTTTCGGGAATCAAGACACCCTTGCCGGCGGCAAGTCCAGAAGCCTTAAGAACAACACGGTGGCCAACAGATTGGACGTATTGCTTTGCCTTTTCGAAATCAGTGAAGTTCTAATTGAAAGAGTGTGAATAAATGGGATGATGATATTGCCATCTAGTCCAACGTTTAATACCTCGAATGCAGCGGTAGGAATGTTGTGCTTCTTCATGAAGTCCTTGGAGAAAGTTTTGGAACCTTCCATGGCAGCAGCCTTCAAAGAAGGGCCAAAGACAGGGATACCGACTGTTGTAGATATGCATTAGATCGGATCAAACAAATGTAAACACAAAAGTTGCCGATGACATGGCTGATATTTACTCTTCTTGAAAACATTTTGGATTCCTTCGACCAGAGGTTGCTCAGGACCAGCAACAACAAAGTTGACCTTTATAAAGGGACTGGATCAATAGGATGTAACGCGGTTTGGACAATAAATGTCTCAAAATATTACATTGTTGTTCAAAGCGAACTCGGTGAGTTTGCTGAAGTCACTGACGCCAATATTGACGCAAGAGAGCTTCTCATTGGTAGTAGTACCTCCGTTACCTGACAAAAGAGCATTAGCAAGTGAATATCAAGATTAACTCGAGATTTGTCGTGAAGCATACCGGGAGCTACAAAGATCTTCTCGACAAGCGGAGACTGAGCAAGCTTCCAAGCAATGGCGTGCTCACGGCCACCAGCACCGACCAGGAGGATGTTGAGTTTGTCTAAGGGAAGTGTCAGTTATGCTATACTACTTGGGCCTGAAGCTGCTGCTGTCAACCTAACCTGTGCTAGACATGAGGAATGAGGCCACAAGCAACTTTTCGAACAAAACATCTATTTTGTGTGGAGACGCTGGAATTTTTTTTGGCAGTCACGGTGCAATCAAACTGTGAGTCAATGCCGCAGATTTTTTTTTTTTTATATTTATTTTATTTCAAAAAGAGAGATATAAAAAACTGTACAATAGCAAAACTCACTCAAACTGAGCTCGGATTTCTGTAATATAACCATCAATTAATGTTCCATAAAGTATTCGGGTAGAATCAATTGTAGTACTTACGGTCAATGACATGGTCATAAGCTGCGCAAGCCGGTGACTCGGGATATTCATCTAAGAACGATACTCCCATATCACAGCTCTTGGCTATTCGGGGATCCAATGGAATTCGACCTAAGAATCTGACATTCATCTCCTCTGACATCTTCTCAGCTCCACCAGTGGTTGGCGGGAAGATCGTTGATTCGCCTTTGCAGTTGGGACACACAAAGCCGGACATGTTTTCAACCACGCCAATGATAGGAATCTTAACCTTGCGACAGAAATCAATTTCCTTTCGTACGTCTTGTAATGCAACTTCTTGCGGAGTCGTTATGACAATGGCACCATCGATTCCGCTCTCTTTGAGATATTGTGTCACGGATAAGTGCTCATCAGATGTGCCCGGAGGTGTATCTACCAGCAAGAAGTCCAGCTCCTGCCAATCGACATCTCGCAAAAATTGCTTAATCAGCCCTTTATAAAAAAAAAGAAGCAGGCATGAGTGATGATTCTAATATCATATATGAAGATCCTTCATCTTGCAAGATTTACCGTTCTTTTTGGGTCCACGCCAGATAACAGCGTCGTCTTTGTCAGGAAGCATAAAACCGATACTCATGACGGCCAGATTATCTTGAACAAACACAGGCTGCCATCCAGAGCCAGTTTGATGAATCTGCTCGCCTTCAAGCCCCATGATGGTTGGAATAGATGGTCCACAGATGTCAACATCCATCACACCAACTTGGGTATCTTCGTCATGGGCCAGTGCAAAAGCCAGCTGAGATGTAAAGCTAGACTTGCCTACACCTCCTTTGCCGGAGAGGACTAAGATTTTATGTTTGACGGTGGCCATTCGCTTTGTGATATGAGGAATATCTGGATCTGGTCCTTTTGGTGTTGTTGCGCATATATTCTGGTTTGGACATCCAGCACAGGCATCGGCTTTGCCAGCTTGATCGCTCTCAGTTCCCTACCCAAAGTAAAAGTGAATGTTAAAACTAGTTCTTTATGGTCCATTATGGTCATTTTGCTGTATGCTCCTCATATTATACTTACGGGGCAATGTTCTGGTGCATCTTCGGGGACGGTGTCAGTAGTTTGTGGTGGCATTGCTCGACAATGGCAGTAATACGAAAGAATCTGTCAGCGGTAGGCAAGGTTTTGTCAGCAATACAATTTGTCCCGTCCCAAGTCTTTCAAATTTTGGGAAATTTTGAATCACGTGCACACCTGTCGTCTGGACCACTAAACTTTGTATATTTGATCCAACATCGAAATTTACTATTATACGAATTTATGAAGTAAAGGCAAATATCGAAAGAATTTGACCTCTCTCAAAAATCTCTGCTTGTTTTCGTAGCCTACCTGCCATAAGCAACGTTTGAAATTTCGGCCCTTTGGCCCGATAGTTTACGCGGTGACCGCGCATACGCGTAGACCAACAATACGTGTCTCAATAATACTCCACAAGGAAGTGGATAAAATGAAGCCGAGCACTTTCAAGCAAGGTTATAAAACAGAAATTCAGCTGAATAGTATAGTATTCACAATATTATAACAATTCACCAATCTATGTCCCAAAAAACCGTTCTCATCACCACTGCCAATGGCAACGTTGGCAGCCGCCTGGCTAGACAACTCCTGGATCAAGGCTTCAGTGTTAATGCTTTGGTGAGAAACACTGAATCCGAGGTTGCTCTTGATCTTGAGAAGCGAGGAGCCAAGATATTCAAAGGAGACTTCGATGATATTCCATCTCTCCAGAGGGCATCTCAGGGCATCTGGGGAGTATTTGTCAACTCCCATCCTGTACATGGCACAATGGATGAACTCAAGCACAACCAAAATATCATCAATGCTGCAAAGGAAGCTGGAGCCAAGTATGGTATATACATGAGTGTAGTCATGGCTGACCGCAAAGACGAATTCCCTGGTATGGGACCTGGACATCCTGCCTATACCTACTGGGAATCCAAGACTGGTAGTGAGAAGGCCCTTCAAGAAGCTGGATTTGATTACTGGACAATTCTCCGACCCAGTGGCTTTATCGACAATTCCTTTGGTCCTCTTTCTGCTATGTTGTGGCCTGCTCTGAGAAAGGAACATCGTTTGGTATCACCTTTAGAGCCCAATGCCGCCGAGCCCTACGTTGTCCCTGAGAATATTGCTAAATTCGCAGTTGCAGCATTCAAGGATCCAAGTACCTATAATGGCGAAGCTATCGATCTTGCTGATGAAAAACTCACCAGAGAGAAGCTAGCAGAACTTATCACGGATGTTGTTGGCATCCAAATTACATATGAACACGTTAGCAGGGAAGAAGCCGCTGCTCGTGGTATTTCGCCTATTAATTCAATGTGGTCAGACTGGGCAAAGGACATCAACTACCAAATTGACTATGAGCGCTTGAAGCAATTTCCAATCAAGCGTACTACGGTTGTAGAATATTTGCAGAAGAACAAGGCTTCTATCGCTGAGTACCTGTCTACTGAGTCTCCATCTTCGTCATAACCTTCTTTAAAGCAGAAGTAGAAATTTTTAAAAGCGCTATGCATATGTACTATGGCTTTGTATACCATGTATTCCAGTAAAAATCGGCTTTTGGTTTGTGAAAATGCCAAGTCATTATGCATGTCATCTAACAATTTGATCATGAGCCCTTGCAGAAATTCCTGTATGGAGCGTCTTAGAGTTTAGACTTTTTGAAAAGATCATGGATAAATACACGGAATACCTGTCAACATAACTCTTCGACCTTTGCTAGAGCCATCTTACTAGCCTGACGCTCATGAGCGCCAGTCATATACACCATTCTCTTTGTATGCTGTGTCATTCAATAAATTTTATATAAATGTCAAAGACAATTGTATCCACGATTGTTCATGTATAACATGCCGGAAAATTACCATTTATGTCATTTAAACAAAAGCTTTGACCATGCAGATTTGTGAACATAACATCTCCCCCAAATTGGATTGCAATAAATTGTTATCGCTTTATTCCCCACATCATAATGCTCTTATTTTTGTTCATAGAAAACTTTCTGAGGAATACGGGAAGACAAAAATTTTGCTTGTATGAACTGATTCATACAACATTTCGAGTTCAAAATTTATCGATGTGAGAACGTTGCCAAGTAGGACACACTTGTCCTCAGTGATTTTCTCACCAAGTGCCAATTCTTAGCAATTTCAATTGATGATAAAGTCACAATCGACGTTTCGTGCGCAGCATTTGTTGTTTGTGCAAGTAAGTCCAGTGCTCAAATTATCAGCCAATACCCATGCACGGATATTCGGCAGAGTATATCCGGCTGTGAAGAACCTCTTCCATAGCCCCTTTACATACAATTAACTTTGAGTAACGTTGATCCATTCCTTGGCATCATACATATTGCATTTTACTGCACTTCAAAAGAAAAAGGAATACAATGTAGGAGGTACTGTTTGAGCACGAATGGTACGCTCATAACAAACCTACAGCGAAGGTCCTTACCATGGTTGAAAGTAGATTCCGCAAAAGGATGTGGCGATGGCACACAGAGAATCTTTGCCTCTGAATTTTGCGTGCTTTTCCTCATTTATGTCGAATTCACAAGATAATTCTTATCGTCCATCTCACATATCTGTCTCAACATGATTTAATTGATTATTGAAGAAGAATTGGAGAAAGTGGTAGCGCACTTCGCGGCGAGTTTGATGACTGTAGTGCTTTATTAGTAATGCGTCTAATAAAACCTTGGAGTTGTCACTCCAGATCTGCAGTGATCAACTGAGGAGTGTATAATTATGATTAGCAGTGCTGACGTGTATCGGTTAGTAATTGAACGAAGAAAGTGCCAAATGATACCAGAACATGGATAAATCATGACCGATGTACTGGTAGCCACAATGTATATATAAATATATATCCCTGTATATGCATCGAAACACATCATAGTATTCGTAACAACAATGACACAAAAGACGATCCTCGTTACTGCTGCCAATGGCACTGTTGGCGGTTCTCTGGTTGCATCGCTCTTAGACCAAGGCTTCAATGTCAATGCATTGGTGAGAAATACAGAGTCGGACACAGCTCGCGAATTTGAAAAGCGTGGAGCCAAAATTTTCAAGGGAGATTTTGACGATATCCCGTCACTTCAAAAAGCATCGCAAGGGATCTGGGGAGTATTCGTCAATGCCATTCCAGTGCATGGTACCTTGGACGAACTGCGACATAACATTAACGTTATCAATGCTGCTAAAGAAGCTGGAGCCAAGTTTGCACTGTATATGAGTGTCACCATGACGGATATCAAAGACCAGTTCCCTAATTTTGGCCCTCAGCATCCAAATTACAACTATTGGCAAGCTAAATATGAGACAGAGAAAGCACTTGAACGGGCTGGATTCGACTATTGGACTATCCTTCGGCCTGGAGTCTTCCTGAACACCTTCTGTGGACCTGTGGCCACTTTCTTGTGGCCAACCTTTCAGAAGCAGCATGTCATTCTATCACCAATCCCGCCTTCAGCCACTCAATCCCTAATTGATCCTGACGACATCGCTCGCTACGCTACTGCAGCATTTGCAGATCCAGATACTTTCAATGGTCAAGCTATCGACCTTAGCGGTGAAGAAATTACTCTAAAGGACTTTGCCAAGCTCATCACCGATATTACTGGTATTGACATCAAAGTAGAACATCTTTCCAGAGAGGAAGCAGCTAGTCGTGGTGTGCCAGAAGTAATTAATTGGTGGAATGACTGGAAAACAGCACTTAGTTACAGCATCGACTATGACCGTTTGGAGCAATTTCCCATTCAGCGCACGACATCTGAAGAGTACGTAAAGAACCACAAGGACGCTATTATCAACTTTTTGTCAACATGAGTAGTACACTTGATACTTTGGTAGAAGAAAGTAATATTGTTAGCAATGGCAATGCAGTTTCCACAGTGCGTAGCGTAGTAAAGAAATAAATGACTTGCGTCAAATGTGTGTAATCGATACAGCGTTAATTTATATGAGCGTTGGCTTCACGACATCCAATCTCCTGCAATGCGGTTCCATGCGTGACGTTTATAATCTCTGATGAACAAGGTCAATTTCTTACGTTTATTATAGCACCAAATATTTTGCAATCTAGTCATAAAACTGTTTAGGTCAGTGATGATTTATCGGGCTCTAATAAAGAAGACAATATCCTCTGGTATCATTGGCAGATGAACTGATCTTCGCTGACCTTCCCTCAAGTTTTCGACGATGTCTACGTCCATGCAAGCCATGTCTTGATCCCTATACCATTCCGTTCAATACTTCACATCTGTACCAATACAAAAAACACACGCCCCGTGAGCTATTTTTCTATACCGATCGAGAAAAGCAAGCCGTAGTTTACATTTACTGACCATGGCATCATTCCTGGATGGACCAGTATCAAACGGGTATTGGTGGTTATTCTACCGACACATGGGTGATTCCACGTTAGTGATACCATGTATTAAATGCTTTACTTCACAACCACGAGCCTTCCTTCATATTGTGTGCGACAACACGTACCAGGACGCTGACCATTTAGTTCACCATAATTTGCCATCTCCGAAAAGTGGCGCAATGTGCCTGGCGGAGAATCTGAACTCGTGGCATTCGTCATGGCGCGTAAGCTGTCTTGCTTTTCAGTAGCTGAAAGGCTCCACAGAACCTCACGCGCAATATGGGTTCAGGAAACCAATATTGAGTAAATCGTCAGAGCATACAGTGGCGCATTTTCATGATAAGCGGTAGTGTTGATACTTGACTTTGGAGTGAAGGCGACTCTACTATGCTATGTCCAAAATTGAACTAATCCCGCTGCCGACTAGCTTAACCTCGCAAGCTTGATAGAAACATGCTTACAGGGAATGATCTCTGATGTATGCCAAAATAAAAAAAGGTCGAATCTGAAGGTTCAAAGACGAATCATGACGAGGCTTCGTTTCGGGGATAGAAAATAGCTGCCATCAAGTTTGATCAAAAATGTGATCACGTAGGCAGTTCCCAAGATATAGAACCAAAGGGAGCCATGTTATAAGGCAATGTTCGTTGTAGAAATAGCTTAAATGAATATTTCGTATACCAAGATTAAATCTGTGATTGTCGGCTGGTCAGATACATATAAAACTGTTGCCAGCATTGAAAGAAACTCGGCTGCTGGATGGGTACCGACAATATTGGGGATATACCAGGACCGATTTTCCGGGGAAAAAAGTATAAGTACTGTGATCAGAATCAAGACGAGACCCTGATAACTTACAATGTCACAAAAAACTATCCTCATCACCGCGGCCAACGGCACTGTTGGAAGTAGCCTAGCTGCATTACTCTTAGATCAAGGCTTCAACGTTCATGCTTTGGTGAGGAATACCGAGTCAACAATGGCTCACGACCTCAAGAAGCGTGGAGCCAAGATCTTCAAAGGCGACTTCAGCGATATTTCGTCACTTCAAATAGCATCTCAAGGAATCTGGGGTGTATTCATCAATGGCTTTCCAGTTCATGGTACGATGGATGAACTTACACACAACCAAAATGTCATCAAAGTTGCCAAAGAAGCTGGAGCCAAATTCGGAGTATACATGAGCGTGATGATGGCAGGGCGCAAAGATGATATTCCGGGTATGAACCCGCAACGTAACAGTTATAACTATTGGGAGTCTAAGTCTGGTTCTGAGAAGGCACTTCGAGAAGCTGGTTTTGACTATTGGACAATTCTTCGACCTAGTACTTTCATCAGTAATTTCTTTGGACGTTTCGCCGCTTACATTTATCCGACCTTGCAAAAGCAACACCTTATCTCTTCACCATTTGAGCCTTCGTTTGAGCAATCGTTCATTGATCCTGAAGATATTTCCAAGTTTGCCGCTGCCGCTTTTGCTAATCCCGATACTTTCAATGGTGAAGCCATTGAACTTTCTAGCGAACAAATTACGCTGAAGGATGTTGGAGTCCTTATTACTGATATTGTTGGCATTCCAATCGCAGTTGAGCATATCCCGAGAGAAGAGTACATTGCTCGCGGCTTACCGGATCAAACGGCTGAATGGTATGACTGGGCCAAGGCATTGGATTTCCACATTGACTATGAGCGCATGGAACAATTTCCTGTTAAGCGTAACACCGTTGCAGATTATCTGAAGAGAAACAAGGGATATATAACTGATTTTTTGTCTCAGTAAGCGCATACACCGAACCTTTTGTTTAGCAGAACTATGGTTGTTCATTAATCAACATAGTTGCCTTGAAAGTCCTTTGGAAGCTTATACCATAAATAAAAGCATGTTACCAGATTGGAACCAGAGTCTAAGTAAATAAATCTCTATTGCTTTTGATTGTTCAGCCAGAAGCATAACACTGAATGCGAGATAACATGAATTTTAATTCAATGAAGAAGGAGTAGATGAAGCATAATGGAGCCGACCTCTGCAAAATTCAACCGCTCTGTCCTTGGCACTGTTCGTGGCACCACCCCTTAGCATGTACCTATCCGTTGCACTGACTTATGTTGTTACATTGGATGCTTTATCATAATACAATGAAATTGGCGTGTTCTTTTCAGTTATTGCCAAATGTCAGACTCAAACAATGCAGTTCTTATTTTACAATCTTTTACCGTTCGGAGTCATTGATGGCGCCAAAAAAGTGATGGTATCGGATCCATCGTTGCTTTGTCATATGGAGCAGATGATGGTACGGAACACATTTATCCGCACGATGGGTCAAAGTGCCTGAGGTATGTTAGTTCATGTACGGCGTATTTACTGCGCAATAAGCCAAATTTCTTGCCAAAAAACTGACTATTTCACAGTGTTTTCCAGCTGTGTCCTAAACGAGTTCGAAATTTTTCGGACAACAACGCTAAAATGCCACAGCTCAATGCTCTATTCCAATTTTTCTATCTTTCAACCTTTCTTCTTTGTAGGAACGTATATTATGAACTTGTTAGTCGATTATTCCACCACCAGATCAGTGTATAAACGATTTCTGCTCGGTCAGCAATATCAATTGATATTCCCAAGTGATAACTCCTAAATAGGTAATATTCGTTTACTGATTGACATTGCAAAACAAGAAACTGACGAACTTTGAGTACTGCGCCATAGAAAAAGCTTGAAGAGCTGTTTTCTGCATTTTTTGGAGTATTCGAAAAAGTTATTGAAAAGTTTTGAAAGTAAAAAGCATCATATCAAAGGGGCCATCAATGGGTGAAGTTCTCCATTGACAGGTTTACCTGGAACGTAAAATTGGCATGGCAAATCCATATATGCAATAAACGGCTGACCAGGTCCGAAGGTTTACACGATGCCGTGTTTTCACGGTTTAGCAATAATGAAAGTGAAAAGATCATGCAGCCAATTCCAAAAAGTAACATAGGACAATCAGCGCAGCCGGAAGATTCACAGGTTTGAAGGTATAAATACAGGGCAAGTTTATCGACCATTGATTTCATTCACTCGCAATGTCGCAACAAAACACTATTCTTGTCACCGCTGCCAATGGTAACGTTGGAAGCAGTCTTTCTAGGCAACTCCTGGACCAAGGCTTCAACGTCAATGCACTGGTGAGAAACACTGAATCCAAGATTGCTCGTGATCTTGAGAAACGCGGAGCCAAGATCTTCAAGGGAGACTTCGACGACTTCTCGTCGCTGCAAAAGGCATCTGAAGGCATCTGGGGAGTGTTCATCAACTCCAACCCCATACCTGGTACATTGGATGAACTCAGACATAATACCAGCATCATTAAGGCTGCCAAAGAAGCTGGAGCCAAGTTTGGAGTTTACATGAGTGTGATGATGGCCGAGCGCAAAGACGAATTTCCAGGCCTGAGTCCTCAGCATGAAAGCTACAAGTATTGGGAATCCAAGCACGGTACCGAGAAGGCACTTCAAGAAGCTGGATTTGAGCATTGGACCATTCTTAGACCGGGTATGTTTATCAGCAATTTCTTTGGCCCTATTGCCAGTTTCCTGTGGCCCACTCTCCAAAAGCAACATGTTATTTTGTCGCCTTTGGCTCCTACTGTCACTCAGCCACTCATCGACACAGACGATGTCGCCAAGTATGCTGCTGCAGCTTTTGCCGATCCTAATACCTTCCACGGCCTCGCTATTGATGTGGCTTCTGAAGAAGTTACCCTGGAGAACTTTGCAAAGCTCATCACTGACATTGTTGGCGTTGAAGTCACAGTCGAGCATATTTCCATCGAAGAGGCTGCCAGACGTGGTGTTACTAGTCGTATTGCTGGTTGGCACAGTTGGATCAGAGCACTGAATTACCGTATTGACTATGAGCGCTTGCAGAAGTTCCCAATCAAGAGTGCCACTGTTGCAGAATACTTGAAGAAGAACAAAGCCTCGGTTGCTGAATTTTTATCCGCCTAACTGTTTTTCAAGCAGATTGTCATAATAGCGTTGCCGCCCTTGTAAAAAATGATTGTACGTCTTTATGACCATCAATAAATACATGCGACCTATTTGGCTAAAGCAATGGAACATTTCACATGTCCTTCTGTTATGACAATGTATGCCAGCACATTTTGATATATGTTTTGGGCTTCTGTATGATGTCAGGCCCCTTCTTTATAGAGGATAATCTAGATGTAGACAGAAAACAAACTGGCATCACAAACGGCGAATGTCACAGACAGTCTGGCAAGAGAGGAGAGAGAGTGAAGGGGGGAAGGGGATCAGGTATAGAGCGTCATATATTATACAAGGAGGGAAACAATCAAAGGGGGATTGAAACATCGTAAGGACTTCATTGTGAAGCGACAGGCTTATTGTCATCGTCATCTTCCAAGAAGATGGCACCGGCCATGGATCTCCATGATAAGACTAACACACCAGAAACCAAAATGACGATTCCGCAAAGAACGCAAACGATTTGCCACCAAAAGAGTCGCTCCCATTGGTCATAATAGACCAAGCCGTTGAACAAGCAGCTGACGTTGAAAGAGCAAAAGTTCAGCGGAACAAGAATGACGGTGTCACAAAGGGAAATGCCTTTGTTGAGATAATATAACTGTGAAGAATTTGGTCAGTTGCGGAGAAACCTGATGGGTGGAGATTAAGCTTTGTTTGCTTACCTGTAACAGTGCCGTGACAATCAACGCTGCGACCAAAAGCCATGTTAGTGGATAGATAAACTGATTCTGGCCCTGAAAGATGGACAGAATCAGTAGCTCTAGACCACTTTTAGCGAACAGCATCGCCTGACTGCTTATGTTTGCGCCAAACACACCATAACTAAAAGGTGACAAGACGCCGTTAGAGTTGAGCGGATTGGAGTTCAAGGGAGGTGAGAGAAGATAACCAACCTGATGCCCAAGAGAGCTTTTGTGTTTGGGTGCGATACGATAGTTCGATCAGTGAGAGAGTACTGCATGCTTTTGTATTTGTTTTCCACAATATGAGTGGCAGCAAGCCCTGCCACGATAAAAAACTCCACAACAGCAAAATAAGCAATGAAAGTTGGACGTTTGTACAGTTGGATCAAGTCCTCCAAGGTATGGTTTGGTTCTTGCACCACACCGAATCCACCGATCAGCACAGCACCGAGGACAATAAGTGCGGTACCTTTATGGGGTGACAGAAGAAGAAAGTTATAATTAGATCAGATCAAAGAAGTTGCTAACGAGGGGCTGTGGGGTGTCCAAGGAACGACTGCTTACCATACGCTGTTCGCTTCGTGAAGGGGTCGCCAAGCATAACTTTTGCAAATATAGCATTGAAGACCAAGTTCATAGCACCAATGGGGGCTAAGACGACGATGGGAAGATAACCAATGGTGAAGATGGAACCAATTATATTGGCAATGGTGTACATTAGAAAGCCAGCCACCCATATGGGCCGACGGAAAGCTGACCGTTGCAGTTCTGGTGGTTCAGCGTCATTGAATATGTGAGATCGTCGTTGTAATGTGATAGCAAATGCTTGAATGACACTGGCCGCTAATGAAACGGAGACGGTGACGCCGTATAGTTTGTCAGGCAACATGGGATGTAGAAGAGATGGTTTTGGACGAAAGTTTTTCTTTTTCTCCTTTATAAATTTTCAAAAGCGCAGATGAGGGAAAAATAAGTACAATGGCGAGGAAGAGAAAAGGAAAAAGAAGAGAAGAAAAGACGACGATTATTGCGTCCAATATGGTGGTTGGCCCTGAGTTCCCTGACCACCTTGTGGCTGACCAGACTGTGGCTGGGAATGAGGCTGTCGGTGAGGCTGTTGTGAGTAGTTTTGGTACGTAGACGAGTTGTAATAAGCATTGTTAGCTTGTGCTCCATTTCCAGACTTTCCATACTGGCTATTCAAATCATTCTTGCCACCTTGTTGACCCTGGCTACCTTGGGCCGATGGTTGGCCCATGTAGTTTTGCAATGGTTGCCCACCACCATAATGCTTTTGATAGTCCTGTCCCATACTAAGCTGCTGTTGATGAAGAGCATTCATATCATCGTAGGATGCAGCAGGTGAGTAATGATGCTGGTAGGGTGATCCTCCAGCAGCATAAGGAGAGGTTCCATTGGGCTTGTTGCCATGCTGATACATGGGATACATGTTCTTATTGACAAAGGGTTGACCATAGCCTGGTTGCTGATAGCCTTGGAATTGGTTAGGCATGTAATAGTATGGATAGTATGGCATATTGGCATAGGCATGCTGTGCTTGTACTGTAGGGTTGCTGCCAGCGGCGGGTCCGCTCTGTTGGGAAGTTGCGTTGTTTGTATCCTGAGTGTATTTGTCACGGGATTGATAAGCGGTTGCTGGTGGGTTGGATGGGGAATGGTGCAGCACCGTGGGGTCATAATAGCCCATAGCAGCACGTTGTGCTTCAGTGCCATACATGGCGTAATCGGGAACCGATGCCATTGGGTTCATACCATAGCCAGACAATCCATTGGGATTAGGTAAGTAAGAGTATGGGTTGGCGTGCTGCTCTCCTGTTGTTTGACCAAAGCTTTGATTAGGTTGACCATACGCTTGTGGTTGTTGCTGTTCTGCCTTAGTGTATGAGTTACTGCCGAAACCAGGTCCAAAATTGGCAGCTTGGTCGGCAAGTCCAGATGGCGTTTGGGACAAACGACTGTCCCCATATGCTTGCTGAACTGGCACACCCGTTTGTCGAGCATTATCAGCTAGCTGAGATGCGTTGGTAGCGGCAACATTTTCAGGTTCCTTTGCAGCCAAGCTATATCAACAATCAACGTTAGTACTCTAATTTCGTTAATTGGCGGAACACCGCTTCTCCAACTGACCTGCTGCTATCGTCCTTAAGTTGCTCTTCCGCTTCTATTTCAGCATCGCCGTCGGCCAAATTCAAGTTGCCAAAACGAACTCCAACGCTTCCCAACCCTGTACTTCCTCCAGGAAGTACGACTGGCACATCTTGCCTGAGACGACGGCCAATGGGTGTTCTTTGCTTCGGGGTAGATGCTACCGGCTCTGGGACAACTTCTACCATTTGGTCGACCTGCTCAGCAACGACTTCTACACTAGGGGTTTCGGTTTCATTACTCTGAGTAACAACGGCCTCCTCCAATGGCTTTGATTCCACAGGCTGGATAGTAACCTCCTGTTCAACAGAATTCTCGAGCTCTTTCTTTTCTTCCACAGCTGGAGGTTCCTCCTTGACCGGTTCTGGTGCTGGAGGTGCCCTAGAAGCATATCGGTCAGTATAGGCCGCTAGTGCACGATGAAAGACCCCCCGTTTATATGACCTGGCACTTACTTTAGTAAACTAGCCCATGAAGTCGGAGCTTGGGCGGCGGCAGTAGATGACGAAACATTGGACGCCTCTGTGGGAACTGTAGCTTGGGCTGGGTTTGTAGCATCGGTCCAAGTAGTGTTATCAGTGACAGATTGATCTTGCTCGGTTATAGCCTGGCTATTGCGATTTGCTTTGCCTGCAACTACACATACCGAATTAGTATTTGTTATTTTCACACAAGCAAACAGAAGATCAATTTTATCTATTTCTCCGTACCTGATTTTCCACCTCGACCTCTATCACCAAAGTTTCCAGGACGACCCCCTCTCGTTGATCCTATGAGCACATCAAGTTAGGGCATGCTTCATCGTTACATTCTAAACCTTCATATACCAACCTCGTCCTCGTCCACCGAAACCGCCCCTGGCTGAGGGGACGCCTCGCTCTGCCTTTGCTGGTCGTTGATTGTCTGTGGTAGCCACTGGCTTTTGTTTTTGAGGGGTTTCTTTTTTTGTTTTCTTGCCTTTAACTTCATCCCATTGATTAGCCCAGCCTAGAGATACGTACGAGTCAGTGAAACTTTGTGCGATGTAGTTGATCCACGATTATTCCTAGACTTACCTTCACTGATTCGAAGAGCAGCAAGCTCTAGATCGCCGTCAGCATCCTGAAGAGCGTATAACAAGTCTTCATCAGACCAGTCCGAAAACAACTCCCGTAGCGTCGAGAGTTGTGTTCCATATTCAGCTTTAAGCTTCTTCAGATCATTTCCTCGAGATGCCTGCTGTGACTTTGGGCGAGCAGTTGAGGACATTTCTATAAAGATATTTCGGTTGAGATTCTCCAGATACGTATTCTTTCTTCTTATGTTACTTGTGCTTGTTGATCGCAAGGAAACTGATTTGAAACTGTTTTTTTTGGGAACAAGAAGCTGTGAGTTGATCGTTTAACTCCTTCACCTGCTTCGAAAAGAACGCGCACCACAGGTGCAGTCACGTGGTTTTTTGTTTACCGCATTTTTATCGGTTTTTTCTGCACGATGCGGTCAATAAGACAGTTGGGCGATGATGATGCCTGAGGTGGTCAAAGCTATGAAGAAACAGAGAAATGATCATTTTCAGCTATGATGGATGAAGATGCCTGTTTATGAACCAAAAAAAAAAAAGGTTTGAGGCAATGGTCAGTGAGTTTTTCTGGCCCGAGCTGAAGACAGACAAACTCTATTACGTCAGGGCAAAGCTGCTGTAATAAAACGCTTGTCTCGCTTTTTAAAAGTATTGGGTACATCGACGCACCAGCCACATTTATTGCACACCTTGGCTGCTCTATTCCAGCGGCCCGTTATTATACAGGCACGCAGTTGGATATACCTAAGGCAGCCATGGTATAAACTGAAGCTAAAATAGTTTTTTGAGGTGAACCGTCAACTTCCCAACAAACTTGTGTTTTTAATTTTTCGCTGGACTGAATAATCTCTAATGCTTTCCTAAAGAGGAATGTTTGCAATGAATAATGCTCTTTGAATGAAAATGATAGGTTGTCACTTGTAGAAACTCTGTGGGAAAAGATATCAAGCTCAGGCCATATAACCAGTGTTACAGTACGTGTGTAGAAGCTTGGTGTATGAGCCATGAGCAATAACTCGATGCCATTGACTACTGCTTTGTGCAAGATCACGCATCGGGCCATACTACATGGAAACAACTGTGTGAACATTCTTTTTACGGGCGTCATGGCATGTTTGAGAACTCCACATGCAAATGCCTTTATATCATGAAAATCTTCTACTAGCAACCTCAAAGAGGCACTGAAAGCACACTACTCAAGCCAACAATGTCGCTAACACTTATTTATACTAGTACATGGTCAACGCTTGGCACACTTAAAGGCTCACAAGGCGATGGCAAGCAGCCTGAAAAGAGGTTGGCTGTGAGCCACAAGGTGTTACAGGATAGTCTAGGTAGAATTGACGTGCGTGACTGGATTTAAAAGACTCTTCTTCTTGCCATTTTTTGTTCTCTACTTCTTCACACAAGTTATTGTCATGGACAGTGTTCGAACTGCAGTTCGTGGGATTCCCACTCAATTATCCATTCCCATCCTACGCTCGGTCCTCAAGGCGCCAGCTCCGCTAGCTCGTATCATGATGAACGAACTGACCGAACCACTCAACAGGCATTTACCTTATATTCGAAAAGTATACAATGGTAGCTGGGTATGCAATTTATATTTCCATCATGCCAACTATAAGTATTATGACTAAAGTTCAATGGTTAGAACGGCGCATGGATAGGCGAAGGAATGAAGGCATTGGACAACTATGAAGATATTAAGGCTAGAGTACGTTCTGCTGACGTGGTTATCTTCAATGTACATGGTAAGAAAAACTATGACGCAGATTAAGATGGTGATAAATGGATCTGACTTTGTTCTCGCAGGTGGACCCTTCCGTGTGGGAACATCCACCATGTTCATGAATGCTTATGTGGCATGGATCAAGATTCTGAAGGAGAAATACAATTTGAATGCTATTATCATGTCTGTCAAATACCGTAAGTACATCCTACATATTTGTTAAATTAGAATGGTAAAACGATTACTAACGTTACTTATGGCCATTCACGATATAGGATTGGCACCCGAGGTAGGTTATGCAACTGTACAAAATGGTATCATATGCAAGCGCTAATGGTCTTATACAACCCTTGCAGCATAAATATCCAGCTGCTACGGAAGATGTTCTCACGGCGTACCAATATTTAAGAAGATCAATGAAGATTCCGCACGACAAAATCGTAGTTACAGGAGACTCTGCTGGTGCAGCTCTACTCTTGGAAGCCATGCTACAAACCCACGCTCCGGAGCTGCTACCGGCCCTTGCTGCGAGCACAACCGATGCCGACAGAGAGACTGTAACGTCAAGCGTTGATAACAAAGAACTTCCAGCCGCCATGCTATTAGTTTCGCCAGTTGTGTGTGCCGAGACAACGACTCCCTCATGGAAAGAAAATGCAAAATACGATATGATAAGACCAAAGTTGTTCAAAAAAGTCTTTAAAGAGTTCTTTGGTACCAAAGATCCCTCCTCCAGAGATGTACGACTCATTGCCATGACTAAAATGCAAAAAGGATTCGACCAATTTATCCCCAAAAACACCATGATGGTGGTTGGATCGAAGGAAGTCATGCGTGATGATATTACAGAAATGTCGTTGAGAGTAATCAGGAACACCAGCATCAAGGGCCACCTTGTAAGCGAAGACTATGCTCATGATTGGTATGTCATTCGAGATACTGTCAAAGATAAAACTGTCATCCAGCGAACCGATGCTATCTTTGCGGAATTTGTTGCAAGCGCCATTAAGGAAGCTCAAACTCCAAACCCATTTGATGACAGACTAGCCGTTAACGAGAATGCTCCAAAGACAGTCAACAACGATCTGCCGGTGAAGTTTACTCGTAACGGTGTCACCATGAGATTCAGTCGAAACTCCATGCAAGAAATTTTGGGAAACTTGGATCAGGCTGATACCTCTAAGGAAGGTATTGCAAAAACGCTGGATTCGATGGCCAAGATGACTGCAGACTTATCGAATTCGAATGCAACACAAAGTCCACAACAAAATCCAACTTCTCCACCACCCGTCATTACTGTGTAGGCTAGAAGCAGACAAATAAGATGTAACTAAGTTATGAGATTTTTCTTATGGCTTAAGCATTAGGTCATTAGTATTCAATGTTCAGCTCTCAGTATTTCTGTAACTATATTTTTAATATACGCCATCATTTCACCTCAGTTTCTCGGGAATGTCCATGACATATGTAGCCGTATTCATTATATATGTGACTGATCGTTTCAGGCATAGGTGTTCTCTCCATAACTAGTTTCGAGGACCCATACTTTCAGAAAGATCGGGAAGGGCTTGAACTCTACTGTTAACTTTCACATACGGCTTCAGATGGAAACGAGGTTGCCGAACTTGGCTAAATACATGCACAAACCGCCGGCCACATGTTATGAATACAATCGTGTTTGTTAATGCGCAGCGCGCGCTGATCTCATTTGGTAGGAGTTACCGCTCCCGCTATACGTTAGACTGGTTAAACCTGTAGGTGTTACAGTGGGACATAGCACATCACATTGCGTCTTTCATAATACAAAAATTGGCTCTTGTCGTCCTCAACTTTGGTGTTTTCATATGTTTAGCAAGGCTGATGGATCCCTCCGTGCTGTTATTTTCACTCTTATGAACAACGGTTAAGTTGCTGTCATTCAAAATGCTTACACCTACATCCAAAAAGTGAGAGACATACATTGATCCGCCAGGCTCAAGGTTGTGACCAGTTCCTAAAAAGTAGAAAATAAGTTCCGGGGAACCCGGTTGACCAATTCGCTAACGTTGGTCTCTCCCGTTCTCGCAGAAAAAGACGTTGGAATCACGTAGGATTGTTGTATACTACATTTGAAGTATTGCCTTGCCAGTGTTTGATGTCGAAACGACAACCGTAATAACAACCCACCTTGATTTATATTTCAATCTAGCTTCAAGCTCGGTGGGGCAGTATGTCAGTCGTACGCCAAGGATTCAATGAGGTCTGAGTGAAAAATAGTGTACCGTTCTGTCCCACGAGCCATTGGGAAAAAGAGGAGGCATGGGCACTCCGGTTTATGTAAACCGTTGCTGCGCACTATTATCTGGAGACAAAAGTTAGGTTTATCGGTTCGATATTCGATCATATTCGCACATACAATTTGGGATAATAAACGAACGTATAAAAGACACGGGAGGCCATGATGATTCACCATAGTGCTTTCACTTCTTCAGACATGTGAGTAAACGATGCTGAATAACAACTTGCAGTCTATCATTAACTCGTCAATTATGCAGAAACTACTATGGCTAAATTCACAAAGTTGGTCGTCCTTTTGGCTCTTCTCGGTACCTTGGCCACCTCGGTCAATGCTGTCAACTGCGACTCGGTGTGCTGCGAAGAAGTTGGATGCAACGGCTACCTCTACTGCTCTGGTTCCACCTGGAATGGAGCTTCTTGCGATTGCCACTGTCAATACGATTAGGACATAAATTTCAAACGCTTATTTTTTTATTCTCGGCGGTCATATTAACAGTATGATCTGCGTCAATAAAGCTGGTGATCTAAACTATGATTGACTTCAATCCCATTGGAGAAGTGTACTAGATAACAGATAGATCTATAGAGATAAAAGTCATTTCTTTAAACTTATTGCACTTGTTTTTTTTTTTTTTGAACTTTTGTTCAAGCAGTAATTGGGCTACTGGCATCAAAGAATGCAGCAAATTTATAGAGCACAGCAAGCGGTCGGCCGGTGATTGAAATTTTTCCAAAACTTGAAAACGAGCCGCAGTCTGTGTCTATCGCTTTTCACCAACAATGTCTTCTATGAAAGATTGGGCAGTGGAAAAACTGAGTGTTTTCCTCGGCTTTGACCCAGAAACCTTGGAAGAACAAGTATACCCATATTTAATGAGCTTGAATACTTCCAATGAATTAGTCGAGCATTTGACCGTAAGTGTTCCGCTCTCGGACGATCCGACAGTACATGCAATTAATCTTGAATATTAGAATCTTCTTGGTACCGACGAAAGCACCATGCAATTCATACAGGAATTTTCCACTCGACGGTTCCCACCAACGCAACCTGCGCTTGCAAACCCGCGCGCACCACAGGCTGTCAGCAGCAGCAAACCAACTTCACGAACTTCTTCAGCAGACAACAGTCGATCGGCTTCTCCTCAGTCCCAAGCGCGAAGTTCAACCGAGGTCCATGAACCGTCTTTCGGCCAGTCATTTTCAAACGAGCAGAACGTTTACCGGAAGAAGGATGTCGAAGATAATTACTTTGTAGGGTGAGTGGTGCAATGCTTTTCTGACTAGGAGACAGCGAATGGAATACTAAAATTGAACCAGCACTCGAAAAGCTAAAAAGGAAGTCAAGCCGAATGCAGAGGCTCGTATAGATCAACAACCATCTGTAACATCGTCAGAGACTGCCCATTCGTCAACTACGAAAGCGACCGGAAACGGCAAATCTATGTTGATCTCTGACAAACTAGCTCCCAAAAAGAAGAAAGGTTCTGAGATCATGAATTTAGAGGATGCTCTTAAGGAGCTCAACATAATGACAAATGTTTCTGATAACAAGAAGCGGCAAGCATGCAATTGCCAAGGTGAGCACTTTTATATCTTTTTTGCCTTCATTGTATAATGGACCATCCTATTAATCCATACTTATAGCTACCAAACATGAGCTTTTGTCAATTAGTCCTAATTGTCTGACGTGTGGTAAAATAATATGTGTCAAAGAAGGCCCGGGTCCCTGTACATTCTGCGGAACGCCGGTGCTATCCAAAGAGCAGCAACTAGAGCTCATCGCTGAGGCGAAACGAAAGAGAGCGGAGGCAGCACGAGAAAAGAACCGGCAGTTAAATAAGAAGTCAACCGCGCCTTCCAAATCACAGGGAATGGCGCGATATGCATCCAAACTTGGTGGATCCATCATTAGCGATAGCAGCGACGATTGGTTGGGCCCTGCCGAATGGGAGGAACAACAACGTAAGGCAGAGGAGTCCAGATTGGCGGCTGAAATGCATAAAGAGAAATTGCTAGACTTCCAAAGGACAAGTGCGAAGCGAACAACGGTCATTGGTAAGGATTTCTCAAAGATACAGCAGATGAGTTGACGTTGGCGCCATTAACATGCTGTTTCTACCACAGACCAGGCAACGGATTACGAACTCCCATCCGATGGTGGTAATATATGGCTGTCACCTCAGGAACGAGCCATGCAAGTCAAGAAGCAGCAATCGAATTTGAAGCGATTAGATAACACGGGAAAGCGAAAGGTCATGACCATTGACCTAGCTACGCGTAATGTGATCATGGAGGAAGCTCCCGAACCGGATGAGAGCGAAGATGAATATGAAGGGATCAAGATGACACCAGCGCAAAGGACGTATTTGGAAAGACAGAAGGAAGCCAAGTCCATACGACGACCCACAGCAGCATCACCTACACAGGCTTCTTCAGGAACATTTGCCAACAACCCCTTCTTGAACCGAACGGATGCTCCAACCTTCATACGAGGCGTCATTCCTGCCAAAACAGACAAGAAGAAGTCCACAGTTTCGGAAAAAGGAGAATCATCCAAACCCAAGCCAAAGCAAACCGTGCCGTCGCGGGTACAAGATGATAGCAATTCACATGGCGCTGAACACTTGCTTATTGGCGGTGAAGATGGTAGTCGAGATATAGTGATTGAACCTATTCGAGGGTAGATAGCATCCTAAATTTAAACTCTAGACCACTGGCTGGTGTCACTAAAGAAGGTTCCGTGGGCATACAAGGAAAATTTACAGTTTCTAATTTCCCGTAATTGACGTTTGAATTAAACGAATTTGGGCATTTCATTTTGTGCCCAAGTATTTGCACATTGTGCCTGGCGAGGGTTGATGTTAACGGTATGGTTTTTCAGGGCGGTTGTTGTGGCACAACGCCAATGGGTGGCCGGAACGACCGGTTAGTATCCAAGTTTATGGGCATTGAGTGACAGGTACTAAAAAGGTCTTGTCACTTGGATGCTCATTTCAACTGGTCCCACTGCGTTTTATTCTGGTGTTTCCCGCGCTCTCTGGTGGATTGCATGTTGCCTTTGATGAAGTGTGGAAGTTCTGTACGGATGGTTTAGAAAGGTAGACGTGTTCTTTGGTCATTTCTGGTACTCTATTAGGACACCCGACGCCAATACAACCAACGGCACAACCCATCACACCTGCTAGTCAATACCCTGTCGCCTTGAAACGATGGTGAGTGGGTTTTCGCTATGTGACTTGCTTTCTTCTAAGCGCCGCATCAAACTCCTGCTCGTGACAGATCGCCATGATGCTTTGATCACAACCGATGGCAGGTAAATGATTGGAGATAAAGTAGCTGGCGATGGATATGTTTTTGGGACACGACAAGCATAGTTTATGCGCACGTTGATTAGGATGCCTATTTAACGCAGCGTCTTTTTCCCTGATTCACTTTTTGCAGGAGACGCACCCCACTACCAACGCAAAACCACGGAACGGCGGGATTCGTTCAAGCAGCATCGAAAGAACTCTGTAGGTGGGTGCAGATTGGACTGTTTAAGCGTGGACGGGTAGGTTACAAGTGTCACTAACGTGTAGGATACCTTCAGGGCGGCAAAAGGATCATATTCAGAGAAGTACGTCGTCGTCACCTGGTGGTATGCCGTTCCCCAAACCATCCAAAGGATCAACGCATCAGTCAGTGAATGGATTCAATGCCCAAGAAATAGAGCAGCATTTGAACAGCAGTTAGTATGAGGTCATGATGTCCGTGTTATGCGTCACGTTAATGAACCCCCATCTCTCTTATTTCGCAGACTTTCAATCCACTATGAGAGCATATCATGATCATTCTATTCCTGAAAGAGAACGGCCAGAAAAGTTTTCCAGTGGAGAGCAAGCATGGGGAGGCAAAAGTGGGGTTCAATCAGCGTGGGGGGACTCGAAAGGTAAGAAGTTGTTTGTCTCACCAATTTTTATTTTTTGAGGCCAAAGAACCAATGATAAGAGGAGATAGAATTAACACTCCTTTTGTGTAGCTTGCCTTATGGCTTCTGGACAAGACTTTTTGGCCGAACTAAGAAAACATGCTTCGTAGAACGATGGCCGGAGTACAATCCAATGACATTCATTTCCAGTAGCACGGGAAATTTTTCCTTCAACCGTTGAGACAAGCAGTAACATCTGGAGAAACAAGGTTAGCGCCGCTCCAAATCCCAAGGGAGCGGGCAATGGACAATGAGAATAAAAAAACCCTCCCCCCAAGGATTTATAAATAAAATGCTATTTGAATTGTATTTAAAGAACATGATTCGTAACATCTCGTGCAAAACATTGTGTTCTTCTTTCCTCTTTCCCACTTGTTGAATGTCTACTTACATTGGCGCTGTCGACTCTGGCACCACATCGTCTCGATTCCTTATATTCGATGAAAATGGCAACCTCATTACATTCCATCAAGTGCAGCATACCATGCACTATCCTCAACCAGGGTAAGTCCGAAGCCAACGGGGGTGGGATATGGGAAAGACACAAAGATTAACTTGTCATGTTTTTGCAGTTGGGTAGAGATGGATCCTGAAGACATCCTTAGTGCTGTGAATGAGTGTATCGACAAAGCCATTCGACGATTTGAAATGATGGGTCGTCTCGTCAGCGATATCAAAGGTACGTTGTATTGATATCATTTCTTTCCCGGGAAAAAAAGGATCTACCTGAAAGTTCTTCTGACCCTGAAATCCCCCTCCATTCTGCTCTGCACAGCTATCGGAATCACAAATCAGCGTGAAACAGCTCTGGTCTGGGATCGAAAGACTGGCCATTCGCTTCATTCAGCTATCGTGTGGAGCGACACTCGAACCCACGATATCGTCAAGGAAGTGAATCAAGATAAAGACCGGGCTCAATTGATTCGAGATGTGTGCGGGTTGCCTGTGACAACGTACTTTTCGGCCGTCAAATTCAAATGGCTGCTAGAGAACGTTCCAGCTGTCCAGACCGCGTCCAACAGCGGAGACGCAATGTTCGGAACCATTGACAGTTGGTTGATGTACAATCTGACTGGTGGAGCGGCCAATGGTGGAGTGCATGTGACGGATGTCACTAATGCCGTAAGTCCATTGTTACCTTTTAAGGCGTTAGTTCCATGAACGGAAGTTTAACCCAAGTTGTTATGCTTAGAGTCGCACATTGCTTATGAACCTGAAGTCCTTGCAATGGGATCCTGCCTTGTTGTCTATATTCAACGTTCCGTTATCGGTCCTGCCCAAGATTGTGTCATCGGCTGAAGTCTATGGCTTGGTCAAGTCAGGCCAATTGGTGGATATTCCTGTGGCAGGATGCTTGGGTGACCAACAGGCTGCTCTTGTCGGTCAAAAATGCTTTGAAAAGGTAGGGGGAAAAAAGAAAAAAAAAAAAAAAACTACAAAACTCCGTACAAGCTGCGTTTAGGCTTAATGCTATTTTTCCTTTTTACCCGAATATGCGCCTAATCTCCATTTTGTTTTCTCTTCTTCGCAGGGAGATGCCAAGAACACGTTTGGTACCGGAGCCTTTATGCTGTTCAATACAGGAGACGAGCCTCTTGTGTCACAGAACGGAATGGTCACCACTGTTGGCTATCAATTTGGCCAGAACAAGCCTGCCTATGCCTTGGAAGGCTCTATTGCCTCGGCTGGTTCAGCCATCAAGTGGACTCGCGATAATCTTGGATTGATCAGTTCCTCTGAAGAAATAGGTCCTCTTGGTGAGAACTTTTTTTACTTTTTTTTGGGGGGGAGGGTTTCTACATCTTACTGGTGAACTCATCCATTGTGTTTCATATAGCTGCAAGTGTTGAGGATAGCGGCGGTGTTTATTTTGTTACAGCTTTCTCAGGACTGTTCGCTCCTTATTGGAGAGACGATGCTCGTGCATGCATTGTTGGTATCACCCACTTCACCACACGTAACCATATTGCAAGAGCCACTTTGGAATCCATGTGCTATCAGTCAAGAGCTATTCTGGATTGCATGAAAGACGATGCATCGGTACCTTTGAAATCGTTGAAGGTCGACGGAGGTGTATCGAATTCCGACGAAGCTATGCAAATTCTATCCGATGTTCTCGGTATCCAGGTTGTTCGACCTCAGATGAGGGAAACAACCGCTCTTGGAGCTGCCATTGCCGCTGGATACGCCATCGGTAGATGGACTGAATACGCTGACCTAGACAACGTCAATGCTCAAGGCGTAACTTCATTTGAACCCAAGATTGATACCCTGAATCGTGATAACAAATACAAGGACTGGGCTAAGGCTATCGAACGGTCATATGGATGGGCTCAAGTGGCCCAAGCTACTGATACCACTACTACCACTGTCCCTGCCGCTTAGACTATGGTCTCCCACACACTTTGTACATGTCCTAATTCTCGCCTATCCTATACATATAAATTTACTTTGGTCAAGTTTCGAGTGGTTCCCTCGAAATGGTGTATAAAAATAAAGATACCTGTTAAAAAAAAAAGCAGCGAAGAGGAGGAAGTCATAGGTATATACATATTGGAAAGAGTGACAGGACGAGAGCGAATTGACTAGGAGTCGACTTCGTCCCAATCGTTCTCCTTTGCAATCTTGCTCTTCTCCACAATGTATTTGCCTTCCTTGTACTTTTGACTTTCTTCAAACGCAAATACGTATTTCCAGCCGACAGTCGTATGGCAAATGTTGCAATAAATATCCGCCACAGAATGCATACCCGTCATGAGCATTCTTTCCTCTTTAGCTCCCAACGAGACATTGACCACGTTATCAAACAGATAGGCGGCACCATGCTATAGAGACAAAAAAGAGGTCATGAGATAAGGTACACTCCATGGATTCAAAAGAGGAGGCAATGGGTGACTTACCCGTCCATGAAAAGCTCTTGATATAATATCTTCATGTAGCGCCAAGTGCGAATGACAGGTGGTGCAGGTGTATATTCGAGTTCCGTTCAGATACGTCTGGTATACCTTTACCATGGTGTCATCAACTATAAGACGTAAAGTGCGCTGATAGACAATTGTGGATCGTCTGGGATGGAAGGCGAGAGATGCAGGAGGTGTGGTTAATCAAGACAAACTTCCAACTCAATTGGCAAAAAAGGTCAAGTTTAATGGAGGGAGTACCCAAAGACGATCAGACAGGAAATCCATGGACCCGTTTCCACCGCCCCTCTTGATCAGCGGGTGAGGTCCAGAAGAAAAGCACGTCACAGAATCCCATAGCACAGGTGAGGGTTATGCACTGACTCGCTTCCCTCATGAATAGCTTACCTCCTATTGCTTTGTCACGCCGCTGATCGGAGTAGCTCGGTTCTAAAGGGGGGGGGGGGGAGTTCTCAGACCGATGCCGTAAATGAATGGCCTGTGCCGATATAGCCGTGCCATGAAGATTAGTGAGGTTATTATGGCATAAAGAGTGTCAAGTGCATCGTCTTCTGTATTCTTTTCAAAAACGAAACAAAATGTCCTTGCAGCTTGGTTGAACTTCCGGAACGTTGTATTCACAATTCAAAGTAGTTTCTGTAAGAAAGTCAAAAGGGATGAAATAAAACGCCCTCTCCTTTATCGCCAGTGGATAGAAGTTGCCCATAGATTTTATCTGCCGGGATATCACATTGTTTGCTTCTTGTGACCTGTAACTGCTAGTAAACCTAGAGCCGAGGCTTATCAATGGAGCGGTATGTGCTCACCCAGGCTTTAGTTGTATCTTGAATAATCTGAACCCAGGTGCGTTCGAGCTCTTATGAAGTTGCTATGGTTGGGTAGCCTTCAAGTCGTAGCGATAAAGGAGGTTCGTTATAGAAGGCTCTGATTGGTTAGAAAAAATACAAAGTTGAATCTGAATGGAGAGGACAAGTTTTTGGTGAGACAGAACTTCGGTAGAAGGCAAGCCGATAGAACTTTTTATAAATAGGAGCGACGTCTCATTCCCATTCACGCAACTCACTCTGAGCATCATGAGTGTAACCGCCCCCAGGAGACGCCGACCGGAAGACACTCCAACCACCAAATCACGCCAGACTAAGCCCAACTCTGCCAGAAACATCTATCGAAACATCTTTCGAAATGCCACGTCCAAGCGATCCGTTGCATCCGTTTACCAGCGCTTACTGCTACTCGGCCTATTTTTGCTTGGCGTGGCAGCCTACCTGCTTGTTCCAGAATACTACTATGAGCACTGGCTAGCCCCTAAGTCTCGAGCGTTCAAGTCGACCCTTCCGCTAGAAGACACCACAGTGTCGATGAATGACTCTTCTTCTCACTGCACAAAGCCATTCGGGTCGAAACCGCTGGTTCAGTTTGCTCTCATGGTCGACGCGGGATCGACTGGTTCTCGCATTCATGTCTATAAATTTAACAATTGTGGCCCCTCTCCTGCGTTGGAGGACGAGGTTTTTGTGCAGACCATTCCAGGTTTGTCAGCTTATGCCGACCAACCGGAAGAAGCTGCAAAGTCGCTTGATGTCTTGATGCAAGCTGCAGTTGAAAACGTACCTATTCACCTGCGGCGATGCAGCCCCATTGCCGTCAAGGCAACCGCTGGTTTACGATTGCTTGGAGAGGAGAAGAGTCAAAGCATTTTGGATGCTGTTCAGCATCGATTGAAGCATCATTACCCTTTCCCTATCTATAGGAAAGACGGCGTTGGCATCATGGATGGTCGAGATGAAGGTATGTCAAATTTCTGATGGGGGTAGCGCAGGCATGATAGCAATGTATTAATCCAATACATGCTTGCAATTTCTTTTCCAGGTGTGTATGCTTGGATTACCGTTAATCATCTTTTGGGTAATTTTGAACCCTTGGAACCTGAGACCACAGAGAGAACAACCGCAGCCATTTTCGACCTAGGCGGTGGCTCAACTCAAATTGTATTTGAGCCAGACTTGCACGGAGCGAGTGAACCTCTTGCTGATGGTGAACACAAGTACGAGTTAGATTACGCCAATGATGTGTATACCCTTTATCAACACTCGTACCTTGGATACGGTCTGATGGAAGCTCGAAAGCAAATCAAGTCTTATCTCATCAAGGAAGCAGCCAATGAACGAGGCGAAGTATTCCACGCATGTTTGCCGAAAGACGTGCGTCTACCCTATGTCACTGCCGATGGGTCCAACTACACGTTGGTTGGACTTGGGTCAGGGCATGATGAATGCCGAGAGATCGTTCACAAGATCCTCAACAAGAACAAAGAATGCGTCATCTCGCCTTGTTCTTTCGATGGAATATACCAGCCGTCCCTCATGGAAACATTTGCCCATCACCCCGTCTACATATTTTCATACTTTTACGATCGCACCAGACCACTTGGCTTGAGTGAAGTCTTCACTGTCGGAGACTTGCGCACGCTGACCGACGATGTGTGTTCCGGCGATTACCTCGCGCAAGTCACTGACCCGGATTTGCGACATGAAATGTTGGATCGACCCGAGTGGTGTATGGATTTGAGTTACATCTACGGCTTGTTGCGGTATGGCTATGAAATTCCGGATGAACGTACAGTGCATGTTGCGAAAAAGATCAAAGGAGTGGAAACTGGCTGGTGTTTAGGAGCCTCCATCGCTATGCTCGAAGACGTATCGTTTTGCGAGATAGATCCATAGATTTAGACCCTCCATTATCATTTAGTTGTACATCATCATTATTATCATGCATCATCATCACTTTTCTGTTTCTTTTTTATTAAAAAAAAAAAAAAAAACAACCTCCTGATTAGGGTTATGCTACAATTCTATAAGAGAGAAACCAATTTTGAAAAATGACAAGGAGGCATCCAACAACACTGGTGGATGGGTAATTTACAATTTGATGTGATGGTGAGCTGCTACAGTGGTAATGATGTTTTCTATATCGGATAGTCCTGATCGCCGAAGAATAGAGATGATTTTGCGGCTTTCCTCGGCCATGCGATTGTTGCCAGGTATGTGACGGTCGCCTTTCATGTGGGAAGGCAAGGTGATGAGAAAAACAAGCGGTGCGTAGATATCTTTGCTTTGCCCCCAGTACTCGGTCACGAAGTGACGGAGGGTGGGAGTCATCAGCCGTACGCCTTCGCTTGTCAGCATGGTCAAAAAAATAGATACAAGGCGCTGGGAGTACAGGCATAAAGAATGGAGGTCGGTGGTGGTGGATGGATCGGAAGGCAGGTTCACTGGAATGCCCACTCGACGTTTCTTCATGCGAGCTTTCTTCATTTCTTTCCTAGCTTTTTTTCGTGGTGGTTGTGCGATTTCTGACTCCTCCATGGCAGTACTAGTCGGTGCTGTCGGTCTTTCCTGCTCCATCAGTAGTTCTATTTCATCCACTGTTTCTGATAGGATGATGACAGCTTGAAACAGTACTTGGCGGACGTACACAGTGTCATATATAAACTGCGGGTCGGGTGAGTTGAGCAGATGAGAAATTAATAACGTAAACACATCTTCGGGATCCTCTATCTCGGACAATAGCGCGAGATCTGTGGCTTGAACGATGAAGTGCGGGACATCAGCGTTTTCAGACGGGTGGGTGAGAAGAGCATGGATGTGATGGGATAAAAAGCCATCAATAGCCTGCTTGACCGCCGCAGAAGCATGTCCAAAGAAAAGCAAGCAGCAAAGAAGCCATTTAGGCTTCGACTCCAATAATTCAGCTCTCCAAGCTTCCTTCCACAGCTCTAAAACCGTGTGCTGCCGTATTGGGTCCTGTAAGCGAACGATTTCCTCAAACAGTCGTAACAGTCCGCACATTTGGGGTTTGAGAATGTCATGGCGTTTCAAAAGTTGAAGTGACGTATCGCGTATAGGTGTATCGATCATGTACAATCCCTTAGCAGAGGAAGGATCAAAAATCCTGAAGAATAGGAATGGAAAGAAGTGGCTGTCGGCCATAATGGTTTGAAGTATTCCTTGACAGGGCCGTTGCTTTTGTACTGTGTCTGTTTCATAGCATAGGATGGGCCCCAGGAAGTGATTGGAAAACCATTGCGAGCTAGCTTTGCTTTGAGCTCCCAACACATTGAATAATTGAAGCATGAATTCTTTGGGATGCGATTGGAGAAGATCGTTGACCAGCAACTCTATAGCCATCTCAGGGGGTTTGGAAAAATACGCTTTCAGCATAGCATTGAGGTAGGCTCTGGATTCGACTAGATCAAGAAATATCATGGGCTGGGTGCGCATCAAGGTTGGAATCACACTGTCGGCCTTGTGCTTAATATGCTCGCCTTTAAAAACTTCATTCAATTGCCTATAGTACTTGTTCTGTTTATACCAGCCGGTATGGTCGTCAGTACCTAATGGAGCCGAACCGATTTTTTGGGCCATCCATTCGAGGTACTTTGCCAGCACGCGCGATGAAGCGACTTGCAAAATGTCATTGATCCACGGGGTAAGTAAATTGTTGACATTTGCCTCGGTGAGCAGTTGAAGAATTCGGTCGCATGTCCTGTGCCGACGATCATCGCCTAAGACTTCGTCTCTTCCACTGTCGACTTGTGCACCAGAGATTTCTCCATACAGTGGCCGTGACTCATCTTGGAAGCTGTCAGATTGTGAGTACAAATGGAGGACTGCCCAAAAGGGACTGGCTCGCTTATCGTATCGTTGTTCTTTCAAACAGGCAATAATATACGAGAGGATGGTTTCTAAGTAATCCTCCATCTCATCCCTCTGGATCCATTCAATCAACAAAAGGTCGAGTACCGTCTTGCGGTCATTTGGATAATGTTTCTCGATGATTTGACGCAAGTGAAAGTCGAATTGCTTGAAAGAAAACGTTTGTAGTTGATAGCTCCATTGCGCCATAGGTTTTTCGAGTAAGTTGGTACGCTCAGCTTCACTTGTTGGTGGTGGGTCCATGAGTTTATGGGTGATGAGAGGGTTGCGTTTGAACATAGAAGGAGGCAAATCATTTCCCGCCATATGCGTATCGGTGTCTTTGTGAGGCGAATCAGTACAAGTGACAGACATGTCTAGACCACTATGACATAAAATACATTGTGTGTTTTTTTTTACCTATATTTTCCTGCCTCTTCCTCTCATATTCCATAGCCAACTTGAGCAAATGTGGGCTGGCTTTCTTCCGCTTCTCCAAATATCGATCAAACGCAATTTTTCCCAGAATAAGGTCTTGATCACTGAAAGGGTGGACAGAGACATTGCCCAAATACTGATTGACAGTTGACTGAAGTACAGATGCCATGCCTCGCTCCAGAATACTGAGCATGGTGATCCAAGCTTCTTCCATATGTCCATTGCTCGCTCTGTAATGCGATTCTACACAATCCAGGAACATCACCAAAAACTCTTGTTCAGCCGATTTCCGGGTATAGACGCTCAGCCAGAGGTGAGTATTGACGTATGGAGTGGCGGCTTTGACGAAGTGGGACATGACATTGACCCAGAGCGCTGGAGATACTTGTTGTTGGGAGCCCATGGCGAGTATGAGGCCGTAGACGTAGACCAGGATAGTGGGACTGGTGCGTAACTTTGACCAGGTTTTATCTGAAATTTGGGGTGGAAACGATAATAACCACATGAGTCCATTGGATACCAAGATATCATTAACGCAGGCACGCAATGAAGCGACAAGAGCCGACGTGGTATAGTGAGCCTCCAGATCAGAAGGATTCTGGTAATCGAATGAAGCAAGAAGTTGAAGGAATTGGTCAAAGTAATGGCAGCACTGCTCTGGATCAGGTGGAATAGTGAATGTCGCGTCTGTGATTTGATCCAGCTTATACGCGGTGTCGGCATTGTCAATGAGGCTGACAATGCTGCTGAGAGTCAGTGGCTGCTTGCCTGAATGGAGCATGTTTTTCAGGTCCATGGCTGCCGAATGGTGGGTGACACCGGGGATTTGAAGAAGTGGGTCTGTCGTTCAGTCAATCAATGGCTGCAGGTCACAAATTTTACATCAGACAGACTGGGGGGATTTTTCGGTGTTCAACTTTGAACATCCAAAGAACTTGTCTCCAGATTTTTTTAATAGGTAATCAGAAAATAGGACGGATATTTACACCAGGAGAAGAAATAATACTGTAGGGAAGTAGGTATCGTTAAGACGAAAACCTCGAATCTAAGATCTATCAACCTGCTCAACTCGTGCACCATTGTACTTGAGGTCGCCGGAAGCTGAGTCTGGAGTGGTCATGTCTGAGGCTTCACCGTGATCGTGAAGATGAGAATGAAGGTTTTTCAACTTTTCATCTTGACCGAGAGCGGCAAGCTGTTGTTCTCGCTCTTGCTCTTCAATGGAAATTTGCTTGGGTCCATTGAACCAGCGACGAGCCCGGAAATGATAATAAGAGACGGAGAGGAGAACGACGAAGGCCAATACAACAATGGCATAGTTCATGTTGACTGAAATAGCGGAAGTGGATTAGGAAAAAGCTGTTTTCAAAAAAATGCGGCGGAAGGAAATAGATGACTTACAAGCTGTGACGGGGGCTTCAGTGGGGCAGATGAAGAGGGCAGAGGTCAAAAGGATCCAGGCAATACTGATAACGTTGATGACAGTGGAAAAGGGACCGAGATGGAAGGGACCACGCTCGAACTTCTTGCGCGCAACCGTGACTTTGAGGGTAATGGGTATGAGGTAGGCGAGAGAAGAAGCAATGGTGTTGACGGAGACAATGGCACTGAAAGCAGTGTCATTGATGATGAACAAGAGTCCGACAATGGCGGCAAAAAGAATATTTCCCCAAACCGCATAGACGGGTGCAAGTGTCCAGGGGTTAAGGCGATATAGATACTTGCTGAAGGGCATGGCACCATCACGAGAAAAGGCAAAGACCATACGAGAGCTGCCAAGGGTCAATGCGGAACCGGAGAAGAACATAGCACCCATGATGATAGTGACAAAGACGATAGTCCAATTGTAACCAACACCATCCAGGAAAACTTGAGTCATCTCAGGAGTGATGGAAGCATTCACGATTTGAGCTTGAAAATCTTGGACACAAAAGTTGACCGAGAGCAAGAAGGCAAGGCCCACCACACTGGCGGTACCAATAGAGAGAAGGATACCGTATGGGGCGCCCTTAGAAGCACCTCGTGTCTCTTCAGACATGTGGGCAGCCGAATCGTATCCAGAAAGGGTATATTGACTTTGAAGAAGGCCGATCAAAAAGGCATAGCCATCAGGAAAGCCGGTATCGTTTTCGAAATAGGTGAAAACCCATTTGGCGGAAGGCTTATTGGGAGTTAAAGCCAAAGCAACAATAATGATGAGCAAGGTGCCAATAATGTGCCACCATAGAGAGACTTGGTTGAAAATGCCGTTGTATTTAATGTGCATGGAGTTGATCATACCGTGGGCGAAAAGAATCACCAAGAAAATACCATATTGCCAATAGATGCTGGCATTGTAGTCGGGGTTATTGATGGCAATGATGGAGGCAATGTATTGCGAGATACCTAGATCAGCCGAAGTGATGGCGACGGTCAAACCTAGCCAGTTGAACCAACCGGTCAACCAGCAGGCCAATGGGACCCATTCCTTGGGAGCAAGGCGGGATACCCAAATGTATAGACCTCCAGTGACGGGATAGGCGGAACAGATCTCGGCCAGCGAGAGTCCAACCAAAAAGGTCAAGACCGAGACAGCCATCCAACCCCAAATGACGGCTACGGAGCCGCCTGACATCATTGCTGAACCCCACAGAGGAGTTAAACCCGAAAGAATGGAGCAGCAACCAAAAGCAATGGCAAAAGTACTGACAAGCGAAATGTCTCGTTTCATTTCCTATGGGATTGCCAAAAATGGGAGGAATTAGCACAAACTCGGTATTCAACCATGAAATGTGGCAAGCCATACCTGCTTGTAACCAAGGGATTCCAAAAGAAGTTCATCGGCATTTCTTGCATGTTCATTTTCGAGAATGGTCACCGATCCATTTGATTCCAATCTACTTTCGTCATGTTGCAGTCTGTGACCAGCTGCCGTTGGAACAAGTCCCATAACCTTGTGATTTTCAAGTGTGTTGAAGGGGGAAATATGAAATAGGTATGGACTAACTACTTTCTGACGATAGAGTTAGAAGTCGTTTTGCTCTTTTTATGTGAAGCAGAAAGTAAAATGATATGTCTTTTGGCAATAAAGGTTCATTTTCTCGATCAACTTTTAAAGGGTGGAAAAAAAAAATTAAAACAATCCCCGCTCTTTGTCACTTTCCTGAGAAATAAAACTCTGATTGGTCCGCTAACAGAAACCAGGAACTAACTTGGCAATAGCTTTTCGATCTACTGAATAGCTTCTAACATGGAATGGATGTGAAGTCGTCCGTACCATGCATCCAGTGCCATGAGCTACATGGCGTAATGATGTGTGACCATGGCCATTTACCTTCATTGATGGTGAGGTTCGGATCGGATCTGGAGGTCGCTTTTTGCCACATGGATTCTTATTCGTCCATGATCGGGCGAGCTTACAAATGATGATATGCAATACGTGAGTTACGGTGAATTTTTTAGCTTCAGTTCATTTTAAAACCTCTATAATTGTAGAAAATGTTCCATGTGACCCTATTTCTCCACACGGGCAAGCTTACTCTCACATAAACCTACCCACCTGGCACAAATTGGTAGTAACCAAGTGCCACAAAACGTTAATAAAATTCGCAGGCTGGCCGATAAGATGGGACGAGGATCTTATCTTTTGTGCTCTACCTCGTACGCTAAAAACAGATAAGGGAGGCTTTCGGCATCTAAAGTTTAGTTGATCGGAGAGGACTACGCGGTCCAAGAAAAGACCGTGGAAGAGGGGCATATTGAACCAAGTCAAACCCGACCGTGGGAGTCTTTGTAATCATGCAGACTAAAAAATGCTAGAACATGGGAATGGTTATCTACACTTTTTTACATCATTCATCGCTCAATGATATCGAAATGGCTTGCATTGATTGAAATCAAGTAGAAAAAAGCTTAAGACACACACTTAAATCACCGCTATCAGACTCAGACGCAACACCGATGGATGATAGTCGTACATCAGGGCGCAGGGTGCTGTTCTGCCAAAATCATATCATGGACTCGGCTGGTTTATGAAGTGAACATATATGTGACTAGAAGTAAAGATCAAAAGAATCATAATATGGGTGATTCAGTGATGTTGGCCGTGGCTAGAGGCAGCCCCGACCTTGAACTCCCCTTGGACAGTAGAACCAGCCGTTGTACCTTGAGGAAGTGCCACAGTAATAGTCGTAGTGGAGGATGACTTGGACGATGAAGTGGTAGAGCAGCTGAATGCAGCATTATTGGGACAATGTAGAGACTTCCCACGGGTTTCGACAGTGAGTTGCACAGACGACAGCATTTGCGTAGGGTCGGCGATCATGAGCTGAATTGAATGTGAACCAGTCAACGCAGAGAAGATCACACCACTGGACACCACGACCGGGCTTCGGACCTTGCCGAACAGAGGAAGACTGGCCTTACCCGCGGACCAGAAAACGGCACCAACAAACTTTTCACTCTCAATTTGAATAATATGAGCAATGTCGTTGCGTTGAAGGACAGAGACTGGTTGATGTTGGACGCGGGAAACGAATTGCGATTGTCCCATACCAGGATACACAATATATCCAAGCTCAGCATTTTGCACTGCTTGGCCACTGGTTTGTTGATGGGCGATTTTGGCATTGAAAACAGGCCATGATACCGAGCCGTTGTAGGCACCAATAGACTGCCAAGTACCAGATTGAACATTCGTACTGAGGTTCACCGATACTTTGCTGTCGATCATTTGATAACCAATGCTATCATGGTGAATCCACTTGACATCCTGGTATATCCCCGAAGTGGCCTGTTGATTGGCTTTGTTTACATAGACTTTTCCGTTGAGTTTTCGTTGGTCCAGCGTAGAAAAAACTGGGTTAGGTCTTGTTTCAGTTATATTGCTTCCAAGCACCACATAAAAATCATTCAAAAAAAACCATGACTTCTTCCAGGCAAAGTCTTTTGTCTTGGGGTTCTTATAGTTGAGTCCGGCAACACCGATCTGGCCATTGGAGATGCCTCCTGCAAAGGCATTGGATCCAAGGTATGCTGGAGTACAGTTGTTAGGTGTACCATGGTAGTCGATGGTAGTACCTGGGATTAGATCCCAGTCCCAAGTTGGGAATATGTTCCGGTACTCGTCACCTGAGAGATAAGTATAAACGGTACCATCTGATAAATGGAATCCTTTGGAGCTTTCCCCATTGACACATTCTTCAGCCAACGTCCGGTTGCTAGTCATCTTGAGTGTCACAATGTAGTTGTTACGTCGATGGACCATATAGTCACCATAATAGAACATTTTGTTGCCGTTGAAGGGACCATGGTTTGCATCCTTCGATGGAGCTTGGATGGATTTGACGATTTTAGCAATATCTGGCCCCGTCGACCAGTTTGATGTGGCATTGACCAATTGTGCGAGATTCACGGCTATGTCCGTTGCAGCACCTGGTCGACTCAAACTTCGTCCTGTGACAGAGTAATCCCACAGAGGTGACCCAGAGCTATTGCTGTACACCATCCATTCACTACCATTCATCACTAGAGCAAATGCAGACTGTTGTGTTGTATTGGCTTGGTAGGCTGTGCCCATAGCAAAAGTCTGAAGATTAAGGAACCCTTGAAACATGACCGCCCCTAGGTTATACGACTTAGTTAGTAGCGATAGCATATAGATGGTTTTTTTTTTTGAGAGAACGCACCGTAAGATCCAGAGGCAAGTAAACCTCCATGTTGGAAAAAGGAACCGTCCACTTTAATGCCATCTAGTTGACCTTTGCTTACTTGCAAGGCGGAGTTTCCGGCTGAAAAGGTCTTGGAGAGAATGCTAGTATTACGGCTAACGAGGCCATAATAAACACTACCTAGGGAGACATCAATCAAATTGGCCGCCGTTTCCTGAGGGATAGCAGCGTAAGGACGTTTGGTGATCCTTTGACAGCCAGCTATTTGCGTCGTGTTGAGTTGGTCAGACACCACAGCACATGCAGCACCAGCAATTTTAGGCACACCGATGACGTTGAACCACCAATTAACACCCCCTAATGAACGATCGGTTGAGTGCAATGAAACTTAGATTGCCCAAATGCAATTCACTTACATAAGCCAGGAGTACCGCATGGACAAGTACTGCCACCATTTCCAAAAGTACAACCTTCGTTCGTGTAATCGTTGGCAAACCAATAATCCATTGCACTCTTAATGCTTGTTAATAAAGTGGAGGAATTCTTATAATTTGTCCCATTGGCTCCAGATCCCCACGACACTGTCATATCCAGTACGTGAGACCAATGCACCTCAGCACCCCAGTTTGCCCGGTCACCAGCACATCCTGCACAATCGATTGTCAATAGGGTTGAAATGCAAGATTCTCTTCGGTATCATATACATTACCAGCTACATAGTTGACATCAGAAAAGCTTCCATCTGCTTGCAGTGTTTTTAGCCATTGAGCAGTGCCTGGAGACGGTGAGTTTTGGAAGGTAAGTTGATTCACATTGGCCAGAATAGTCTGGAGGTCGGAGGCGTCATCTCTTCGGTCCAGTGCAAAGGCTACTTGTGCAGCGGCAACCACAGTCAACAGGCTTGTCCTTTTGATAAGCATGGTGAGAAAGAGGCACAAGGCGCTTGAGAATACTGGGACGTACTGATCAGAATGCTTTATATAGTTTGGATCTGTGGGGCCTGTCCAACATAAATGGCGGCGGGGTTGCGGAAGGTTTGGCAGAGTTGGCAAGGAACGTTGGCAGAGACTACGTAAAAATAGAAGAGATGAAAACTTATGGTCAAAAGACCCTGATTTTTATCACCTTTGCTGACTGGCCGTTTCGCTCCTTAAATTCATTTCTCCGCCCTGTTGCTTGTGGGCTGCTATCCACCTCTTTTAATGCACTACATCAACCAATCCATCCCTATCTTTCACTAGCATTCCTTCCATTGAGCGACATTTCAGGATAGACCGCCGGTGGTACAGGGTTCCTCATCAGGTTGTTCAATGCAGTACCCTCTCACAAGCCTAGTGTTCTCCGAACACTCGCATCCAATAAAACTTTATTTTTTCATACGAGCGTTCTTACACTAGCCATGCAGGGTTCCGAGTTGTGAAACGTACCATATCTTGTAAGCAAGCGGCTGACAGACCAGCGTAGCAAAGGTATAAATGATGGCAAACATGATGCAGAGCTCTGTCTGTTACCAAGAAAATTGCTCGATAGTATGAACAAGTGGATTGCCATTGTGCTGGTATCTCAAGCCATGACCGCCGCAAGCACCTACGTGCTTAAGGATCACTTTACAGGATCCAACTTTTTTGATAACTTTTATTTCATGAACGCTACGGACCCTTCCAAAGGATACGTAGAGTACGTGGACCAGACCACGGCGCAAAACTTGGACCTCTACAATTACCATGAGAACAAGAATTGGATGTATGTTGATAACACTACCATTGCATCCTTGCCTGGTCGCAAAAGCGTTCGTATTCAAAGCAACAATGTCTACAATCAAGGCCTGTTTATTTTTGATATGAGCCATATTCCGTAAGTAGCAGACTTTATTCCTCTCTCAATTGCATCTGATAACCCATTAAATCTCGTTTATGGAATGCTTTAGGTGGGGATGTGGAACTTGGGTAAGTTAGATTACTTGTTTGACTTTGTACATTTCCTCATTCTTGAAAACTCATATGTCTTTTGTTAGCCTGCTATCTGGACTTCCGGTGCCAATTGGCCTTACAGTGGAGAAATTGGCAAGTGTAATTTTTAGGATGGCATTTGAAAGTTGTCATTCATGACTGACTAACCTTGATTTTTAGACATCATGGAAGGTACCAACCTCAATACGTTCAACTCCATGACGCTCCATTCCTCTGCCAACTGTACCATGGATAATGTAACGCAAGTGATGACCGGAACGATGACCGCCTCAGGCTGCGGTAGCAGCAGCGGGTGTAGCATCCGAGATTCCAGATCTACCGCTTATGGCCACGGTTTCAATGTCATTGGCGGTGGTGTGTTTGCTATGGAATGGCTGACTAAGGGTATCAAGATTTGGAACTTCCCTCGCACAGGCATTCCCTCGGATATTCAGTCAGGAGACCCTGATCCAACCTCTTGGCCCACTCCGCAAGCTGACTTTCCTTTTGGCGCCAATTGCCCATCGACCAATTTCAAGAACCAATACATCATTCTCAACACCGATTTTTGTGGGTGGGGTAACCAGACATTCACCAGCAATGGATGCGGTAGCAGTTGCCAGCCTTATGTAGCCAATCATCCTGGAAATTTCAGCGATGCGTTTTTTACTATCAACGATATTAAAGTGTATGAGCAGCAGTGAAATCAGTTTCATTGTGGACCCTGTTACTCAAAGACGGCCACCAAGTGCATTATGTAATAGCATGAAATCAAGCTTGTTTTTATTTGGTAATTCATTTACACTGCATGGTGGCGATAGGGTGGGTAATTAGCATCGGTCAATTGTGCGGATGGTTTGAAAGTTTGTACTCCTGCGACGTCAAGAATTTTTGCGAGAGCTTTGCCAGATCGGGTTACATGACGGACAAATGGTCGGCAGCGATTGTTTTTGGGTTCGTCGACTATACCCAAAGACCTAGTTCTCACACCACTTCACGTCAGCTGGAAAATGGAAGTTATCTTTCAAATTATAGCCCGGTGAAGGTCATTATTATTCATTTCATGTCATCGCTTCAGTATAGTAAAATTAAGCGCATTATTCCTAGTGTTAAGTAACTTTCACATAAACATAGTAAGACTTTGAAAAAACACTGCATCGTGGCCCCTATGTGTTCAGTTCCTCTCAATTCCCCAAGTTATGCCTCCTCCGGTGTGGGTAGGATAAGAACATATCCTTCATTGCCGTCCACTCGAATGTATTGTCCAGTCTTGATGAGATCGGTGGCGTTGTCAACACCAACCACAGCAGGAATGCCATACTCTCTGGCCACCACTGCACCGTGGGTGAGCATTCCGCCGACACAAATGACCAGTGCCTTGGCAGAGTTGAAAAGTGGAGTCCAGCCGGGATCAGTGAACGGAGCGATCATGATTTCACCACTCTTTAGTTCTGCATTGTCCGGGCTCAGTACTACTCTCGCATAGCCTTCAACCACGCCAGCTGACACGCCCGATCCAAGTATAGCGCCTTCTGGTGCATTGATCGACTTGCGAGCACCATTGACGACCTCGCCATCACTGGTCATTAAACGCACGGGGTGTAAAGTGTCATCTTTGGCGTGCTGCTCCTTTCGCTGTGATATCAAATCCTTCGAGTCGCCCTCGAATGTATTTTCCAACAAAGACGCTACCTCGGATAATCCAAGATAAAAGATATCGGATGGAGCATGTAATGCTTCTGATTCAACCAATGTATTAGCCTCCTCCAACAGAACCTTTTTGGTGATCCAAAGCATGCGAACTAAAGTGTATTTGGGATGTTCACGCATGCCTGCGCGATATCGGAACACCTCTACCAATCGTTTCATAAGGATAGCTTTAAGAAATCCCCAAGGTGTATTGCGAACGCGTTCCACAATTCGGTGAGCTGCTTCCTCTGCTTCCACATTAGCTTGAACGTGTTTGCGACGATGGTCTCCCGAGGACTGTTCGTTCCTTGCCACGGTCAAGATAGAGGAGATCAAAGAGGACGGGCGCTCGGCCCATCGTTCATTGTTAATATCGATTTCTCCCGGGCATCGCATGCCATACTGAGACAAAAACGAGTCAAGTTCCTTTTGAAATTCAATTCCCCCTTTGACATCCTGCAACCCTTCGTAAAACGTTTCGCTGTTAGAGGACGATTCCAAATACTGCATAACCGCCGGATGTTCACGAACACAGTCGCCTAAGTCGCCAACACGAAGTCCCATTTCAGTTGTGACGTTGCCAGGAAGAGATCTATGCATGATGGCGACATCGGTGACATCGCCTAGCCACTGTTCTGAGAATCTTTCCATCAATTTCATAGCGAGAATGCCAGGAAGTAGTTGTGGGGCCAGCGCTCCCATAATAGATGGAAACACATTATGAAGCGAGGTCTGCAACAAGTGTATTCTCTCAGCACCACTGACTTCGCTTAGTCGCTTCTCAAAGTTCGCCACCGCCTCCTCCATCATGGAATTAGCATACAATATGGCTTCTTTGGGGTCTCTGATGAATAGGCCCATAAAAACTTGCCGAGCCACAGGGATAACAGCACGCACCAAGGTCATTTTCAGCCCTTTGGGCGGAGGCACGTTACGAAACTCAGGTCTTTGAACCACTTCCTGGAGGCCGGCAGAAATTTGCTCGTCAACGACCGTAAGGATCTTTGGAAACACCCGTCCCAACATTGGGATTCTTAAAGCAAGCGTTAAGTCGAGGTACAGATGGCTAGCGGCCGACACACCCCAACAAGATTCGTCTCCTGGAACGGTATGGCCAATCGGTATGACGGTTCGTATGACCGACCTTCCCATGGGGGTTATGGCTCTGGTCATCATTTGAGCGTGCCCAAATGACGTATAAACATGAAGCGCGTCGTCTGTTGGGAGGGGATCCACCATGGGAAACAAAGTTGTGATAGGACGAGATTGAACGATGTATATCTCTTTCTCGGCGGTCACACACCACTCGATATCTTGTTCACAGCCATAATGAGCTTCGATATGTTTGCCAAGGGTCGCCAATTGCAAAATCAGGTCATCCGACATGGCCTGAGCGTTCTGTTGCTCCTCTGAGACGTCTTCGGTCACGGTTCCTCCTTCAGGAAGAGAGTAGATGGCTAGTTTCTTGGACCCAATGTTTTTTGTGACAATCTTCTCATCTCGAACTTGATACATGTCCGCTGTTACCAGACCAGAAACCAAAGCTTCTCCCAAACCATAGCTAGCATCGATGGTGATTAATTTACGGTGGCCAGATACCGGGTCTGCAGTGAACATGATGCCAGACACTTCTGGTGTGACCATCTCTTGGATGACCACAGAGAGCAACACCTCCTTATGCTGGAATTGATTGCGGGCTCTGTAGATGATGGCACGGTCGGTAAATAATGAAGCCCAGCATCGTCGGACCGCATCCAGAATATTGTCGAATCCCCTGATGTTTAAATAGGTATCTTGTTGACCAGCAAAAGACGCGGATGGCAAGTCTTCGGCGGTGGCAGAGGATCGGACGGCATAGAATTTGCCTTCACCGATATTGGACCAGCCCTCATGGATGGCCTGTTGGATGTCGTCGGGGATAGGTTCTGTTTCCAAATGATCCCGGATGCGTTTCCCTAGTTCTTGCACCTGCGCCAAGTCATTCACTTGCAGATCTTGCAAGTCGCGGAAGAAGTCGTTCATAAAGGCACTGTTGGCGACAAATGTCTCATAGGCCACTGTGGAGATGCACATGCCATTTGGAACGGGAAATCCGGCACTCAACATCTCGCCTAGATTGGCACCCTTTCCGCCCACCAGTGGTAGCGACGCTTTGTTGATGGTGTTGAATGGAATGACACAAGCCATTTCCAAGGCAGTTGATGTAATGGAGTTGTTGTCGTTACCAAGTCGTGTTGTTGGACTTTTTATTTCTTTCGTTACTGTGCCATAACGGAACCCCCGTGCTACAGCATAAGAGGACTCGTGAGCCATGTGGTAATCCATATTCAGTAGACCAATATGACTTTTGCGTACTTCAATATAGAAAAATTCATAACCCATGTCCTGGTTGATGAGCCTATTCGCGCGGTGCGTTTTACACTTTGCCTTGAAGGTGTTCGTTCAACAGACCCGTTTCTGCATCATCTTGAGAGAGTCCACAGCGAAATTATGCCACCGACCATTTTCATTCGAGGCTGTTTCGATCCGTACCTATATAAATAGGCCGTGTAGAGCGCCGCCATGATTTCACTTTTGTACGGTAGGTTAACACAACTCCTTACCATGAAGAAGACAAACAGAAGCAACCTGACCAGGAAAAGAATGAAGAGCTGTATTGACCACGGTATTTATACAGCTTCCATTCAAAACACGCTGTCATTGATGTAATGCACACACATGGGGTAAAATGCATCGATCTTTTCCGCATCCTCTTGCAGGTCGCGTCTCGTATTGATATCATGATTCGAAGCATTGTACGATTGGAATAGCGTAACGCTTACTATCGGAAGAGTTGATTGGCAATTCATCATCGCTGAACGTTCCAAAAGCCTGGCATAGCTACAGTGAAGAAGGTCATTACACGTTCTTTACCTAAATGTTCATGAACAGTATGTATAGAAGGCTGCATGCGATGTCATTCAGAGTACGTATAGAAGGTTGCTTGCTGGAGCCTTGCCATCGCTCAATTGACTGAAGACAAGATAAAAGAGTGATAATAACATACCAGTATTATTCAGCTACCTCTCCATTTGACCATAAGGTGAGTATGGGTTATAACAATGCGAGTTTATTCAAGAGGTGCAGTTTGATCTACACGTGGCCGGTCGTTGTTTTAAAAGAACAAGGACCCTGCGTCTCTTCAGGAAAGCATACCGGTCATTCACTTGCCTTCGGAATCGATGCAGGGGAAGTACCGAGTATGTTGCAACCACAGCGTTGACACCAAGCAACGTACACATAATAAATGGTTAACGCTCAGTCCTTTGGCAACAGCCACTCCGCAATGGCATACTGGCATTTGACGAGGACAAAGGTGTAGCAACGTCACTGATTCAGCCCTCCAAGTACAGGCAGCTATGTGCGACTTGCACGCGGGCGGACGGGCCATATCAGCGTCACTCATCAGAACTCAAATTAATACTTTTACAATCTGGCTCATACCTGGACATCCGCATTATATCTAACGCAATCCAGTAGGGCCGTACATCCATCTTCTCACGCAAGGTATAAATTACAAGTTTGCGTTATCTTACGTTACTCAACCAGGTATGGCGACATGCGCACAAAGCACTATCAACAAAGGTGGGGTGGGTACTTTCATCTTTCTATATCGAGCGAACGAGCATTGGGTATAAACGCAATGTGTTTTGTTTCATCAAGGCATCGACCAACGTACAAAACGCTCTTCAGGAATTTAGAAGGCAGATGTTGGCTGGTCAAGGCTCAGCGGGCGTAGGAAAGATAGTGAGCGGTGTTTGGCTTTCCGATGGCCTGCGAGATAAGCTCGTGTAGGTAGTACAGACTCGGTTGGACTTTATACAATAGCCTCGATCGATTCCGCCGAGCAGAGTCACAAACTAGTGCTGAAGGTTGGTTTTATAGACCATTATGAACAGACAACCTTGCATTTATAGCTTCATACTGTACTACTTTCACCCGATGAGGTAGCGTGTGATTGGTTCAGTGTCAGACGTGAGGTGCGATACACATTATGTGCCATAGGTAGATGAAAGCGGGTTAACGTCACCAGACTATTCTACGTAGAAGACTCTATCGCAGCCAGCTGTTGAATGATCTTTATCATCCTTTCGTTCTCTACACCCTCCGAAAACGCTGCGTGGGATGCAATTTAACAGGCTCGAGATCGCCCATACCGTAGTGCAGTTGAAACAGCGAAAGATGATTTGTTATGGTCGGAGGTGTCAGCACGTGATGTGAGACCATCTCATTCGCCTGTGGTCCGCACTTACCCGGGGTTGTGTCCAATTTGGAGATAACTACTACGTTATGTTGGTGGTATGAACAGTCCAGCAATGGAAGATTTTACATAGAGTAGAGAGGAGACGGCGCAAGTAGGCTCGGAAGGAATGATCTCGCCGCTTGAAAAATGGTGAAAGGGCGATCCGAAGACCGGACATGGAGTGGTTTGAGAGGGATGGGATGGGAGACTCTCTTTCCTTCCAGGCAGGCAGTAGCTGTTAATACCATGTTGTATAAACGAAGCGTTGATAAGCGTATCCGTGGAAAAAAAAAGGTTTGGAGCAAGCTTGCTTATCGAATATTACCTATTGCGGTGGGACAACTAAACCCAGCTAGTCAAACCAACGAAAATTTTTACTAGATTATAAAAAAGTGTTGCAACTTGGTCGTCTTACGAGTTTTTTCTTTTGTGAAGCCCTCTCCCCTCTCTCTCTTTCTCTCTCTATGACTGCTTGGATTGACAAGCTCAACGAAAAGGTTGCGGCCTCAAGGTTCGGCCGTTATTTCCAATTGGAAGGATCTGGTCATAAGCGAGAACGTAAAGGAACTCGTTTCAGCACTGAAATCCGTGCTGGTCTGACAACGTAGGTATTCACTTACCATGATCCAATGACCCAAAGTTCAATATATTCATGATATATATATGTCCATTTTGCTGTTCGATGTAGTTTCTTTGCCATGGTAAGTTGGGCTTCACCTCCTTTGGTTGGTTCATAGCCTGTGCTAACCCCACCCACCTTCAACAGGCCTACATTATCTCAGTCAATGCCAGCATTATCAGTGACAGTGGTGGTACTTGTGTTTGCGTAGGAACTGCTGATGATCCTACTTGTGATGCCAACACCGATTATATGAACTGCGTGTACAACATCAAGCTTGACCTTATCACTGGTACTACCGCAGCCTCCATCATCGCCACCTTTTTGATGGGTGTGTTTGCTAACCTTCCCCTCGGATTGGCCCCTGGTATGGGCTTGAACGCTTATTTCACCTACACTGTGGTTGGTTATCACGGTTCTGGCAAGATCTCTTACGAAACTGCACTGGCTGCTGTCTTCATTGAAGGTCTTATCTTCTTCGTTTTGTCCATCCTTGGTATCCGTCAATGGCTCGCCCGTATCATCCCCATGAGCATCAAGATTGCTATGGGCTGTGGTATTGGTCTTTACCTTTGCTTCATTGGTCTTCAAAGCTCGGCTGGTATTGGTTTGGTCACTTTGGACACCGCTACTTTGGTCAGTTTGGGTGCTTGTCCCGATGCCGCTAAGGATGCCAATGGTTCCTGCTTGTGGGGCCATATGACCAACGGCACCACCTACATGGGTCTCTTGGGTTTGATGATCATGGCTGTGTTGTTGCTCTACAGAGCTCGTGGTGCCATTTTGATTGGTATTGTCTTCATTGCCATCACTTCATGGCCCCGTGTCAATGCCGTTACCTACTTCCCTTACACCGATGCTGGTGACCAAATGTTCAACTACTTCAAGCAAGTCGTTACTTTCCGCCCTATGCAAAACACCCTGGCCCAATTCAACTTTGACTTGTCCACCAGTGAGGTTTGGATTGCCTTGATCACTTTCTTGTATGTCGATATCATGGATACCACCGGTACCTTGTACTCTATGGCTCGCTATGGTGGTTTCACCGATGCTTCCGGTGACTTTGAACACTCTACCTGGGCTTTCATGAGTGATGCTCTTTCCATCACCATTGGTTCTTGCTTCGGTACCTCCCCTTGCACTGCCTTCATTGAATCCGGTGCTGGTATTGCTGAGGGTGGTAAGACGGGTATCACTGCTTTGACCATTTGCTTTGGTTTCTTTGTTTCCCTGTTCTTTGCCCCTATCTTTGCCTCTTTCCCTCCATGGGCCACTGGACCTGCTCTTATCTTGGTCGGCTCCATGATGTTGTCCAGTGTGGGTAACATCAACTGGAACTACCCTGGTGATTCCATTCCTGCTTTCTTGACTTTGACCGTCATGCCTTTCACCTACTCCATTGCCTATGGTGTTATTGCTGGTGTTATCTCCTACATCATCATCAACGGTTTCGTTTGGATCGTTGACAAGATCACCTTTGGTAGAATCACACCTGATTACAGCCAACGTGAGCAATGGTGGGTGGGTACCATGGATAAGCCCATCACGCCTACCTGGATCCGCTTTGTCATTGCCAAGGCTCGTGGTCAGCCCTTCGATTTGAACAACGACAGCTTTGATGCCAAGACCGCTGCTGATCATCCTGAAGAAGTTCCCTCCTCTTACACCAACGAGAAGGGTTCTTTGGAAGACAGCCCCGTGGCCATTCCTTTGGAAGAGACTGCCAGCCATCACCAATAAGTCAGTCAGTAAAAGACAACTTTTGACATGACCTCCACATCCTCTTTATCTCTTTCATTTTCGTTTTTTTTTGAAAAACCTCACCCAGAAAAAAAAATAAGGGGGAATTTCTTTTCTTCCATACACCCCATGCTTTTTCCACTATCATAAACAATAATTTCTTTTTTTTTATTATTATTTTTTCCATAATACAAAAAAATCCATGAACCTTTCCAGGTTCCTTAACGATCTTCCAAATGTATACACTGCTGTGCTTCAATGTTTGCTGAGCTTCATTTGAAACCTTGCCAAGCATAAGGTGAGGCACGCTGTCAAAACATTGATTGAAACGGGGGCTTTTATCAACGGTCAAGTAGGAACATGTTTAATACCGCAGACCATGTCAAAAAAAAAACAGTAATAAAATAATGCTACATGGATGTATACTAGGCCCAATAAAATAAAAAGGGAGAAAAAAAATCTACCACTGATTGGAAGGCTCTTGCATCATGGGAGCAGAGATGCTTTGAGCAATCATACGACCTTGTTCACGGTTCTGTTCATATTGACGCTGCTTTTTTCGTCGGTACGCTCTGACCACCGCCACGGTGAGACCAGCATAAAGGACGGTGGAAGCACCTACAGCGATGCCAACCACCGCGCCCTTGGACAGACCAGGGGAGCCAGCGCTGGTAGGTCCAGTATTCACGCCTTGATTATTGGGATCAATCACCGGTGAAGAGGTGCTGGAGGTGACAGCATAGTTTTGCTGCACAGGGTAGGTGGTATCGATCAGCTTGGCCAGCTGTCCATTGGAGGGGGAAAACAACGCACTGTTGGGGGATCGGATTTGGTCTTGCAGGTTGCTCACTGACTCGGAGGGAATGCTCAACGTGACAATCACACCGCTGGTACTGTCGTCTCGCTTGGTCAATGAGGTTCCACTGCTTGTGATCGACACAACAATGATATCGTCCACAGAACAATTGATGGCCGACACTACAAACAACGGCAACGCTTGGACAAACTCAGCCGTCAAGAGGGGATCTGCTACCATTTGAGGATAGGACAGGTAATCGAACTTGAGGTTGGCCGGTGTGTTGGTCGCTGCGAAGAGAGAGGGAGGATGATATGAATAAAAAGTGTAAAATGGACGGGCTGGTCTGACTGAATCACTTACGTGGAATAATGGCATCAACATTGGGAGCAATGAACTGAGGCAACGAGCTTGAATCGGCGGGGCTACTTGTTTGCGTGGCGCTAGGGTCCACACTAAAAATGGCGCTGACGGCTACGTTGGTGGAATGCGTTGCCGTTCCAGTGGTAGTAGTGGCCACACTAAATTGACTCAACCAGGTCATGGTCTGGTAATGGTAAGTCGATGTCGGTGTGAACGCCGACGAACTAGTGGAGCTAGTAGTAGTACTATCAGTCGTGGTGGTAGTTGCTGTGGTGGTCGGAGTCTCCGTAGTGGTGGTTGAAGTCTCAGTACTGGTAGTTGAAGTCTCTGTACTAGTGGCTGACGTCTCAGTACTGGTGGTTGAAGTCTCCGTACTAGTGGCTGACGTCTCAGTACCGGTGGTTGAAGTCTCCGTACTGGAAGTCGAGGTGCTCGTACTGCTACTATCAGTTTTGGTGCTGGATGCGGCTGTACTGTTTTTACTTGTACTTCCAGTAGCCGTGGTATCGGATAGCGTTTTGTTAGCTGTGCCAGTGGCAGTAGCATCGGATAACGTAGTGGAAGACGTACTGAGCGTACTGTGAAGATGATGTGTGGTCGTGGCATTGGCCGTAGTAGTACTGATATCAGTAGCATTGGCAGTGGTATGATGACCTGAACTTGTCGGACTGGTGATAGTGGAACTGTGGCTATGATGGGTAGAGGTAGACGGAGCCGTCACGGTTGAAGTAGCATTATGGTGTCCGGACGAAGTAGACGTGGTCCCGAACAAAGCGCTCAAAAAGTTAACAGTGGTAGATGTGGATGTGGCTGTTGACTTTGATGAATCACTGGTGGACGACGAGTGATGATGGCTAGTCGATGTAGACACCACCGAGGAGTCAGTCGACGAATGATGATGGCTAGTCGATGTAGGCACCACCGAGGAGTCAGTCGAGGAATGATGGTGACTAGTCGATGTAGGTGCAGAAGAGGAGTCAGACGACGATTTGTGATCGGTCGTCGTTTGAGGAGGAGCGAATAATTTACTCAATAAATCAACCGTGGTAGTGGTGGTGGTGGTGGTGGTGGACTTTTCATGGTGGGTCGAAGTAGGCTTTGACGAGTGATGAGACGACGAAGATGACTTGTGCTTGGTTGTGGTCGTTGTAGGAGCCGGGCCCAACAAATCACTCAACAAACCACCAGCATGAGTTGATGTTGTGTGGTGTGTGGAAGTCTCTTTGGATGAAACGTGGTGTGTAGATGTCTTGGTCGAGTGATGAAGCGTAGTCGACTTCTTAGAAGTGGTCGACTTGGCATGATGACTCGTGGTGGTGGTTTTCTTATGCTTTGAGGTGGTTTTGGTAGAGCTACCGAACAGGGCACCCAACAAATCGAAATCAGTGGTGGTGGTGGTAGACTGGCATTTAAAAAATTTAAAATTAGTGCCTGAACAACCAAACGTCGACATGACAAGAACCTGACATTCACCTCATCGTGGGTAGTCAGCGCACGGTGTTGGACGGGAGCTGCGGCTGAGGCAAAGGCACAGAACGCAGCCAAGAACAGTAAAACGAAGGGCAGGGGCTTCCTCTTCGACATGGCGCACAAAGGGCTGGAGTAGGCTACCTTTGAATGTGATGGAGCCGAGAGAGAGAGAGAGAAGGAATGGAAGGACGAAGAGGTCTGCAGGCCATTCGTTTCTTTACGAGAACCATGTAGCAGCGGATGTACAAATTTACAAGGGAACGCAACCTTTTTTTTTCAGGTATCACAACTTATATTGCAGTGTCCTGGGTACTGGATCACACCGTCAGTCTCCTGAAATTGAATAGCCGACTCCTTTACTTTTTTATTGGAAGCAGTTGTTTTTATAAAAGATCTTTTGACAAGTACTGGCTGGCTACTTCACCAGGACGAGAGAGAAAGAGAAGACACACTATGTATAACAAAAAGAGAAGAAGGTTTCTCTCCCGTTTTCGTCGCTCAATTCTAAACTAACTTTGGAAATCGAGTCGCTGTCTAATCCTTCATTGGGCTAAAAGGTAAAATGATAAAAAGACAGGAAGTAGTTAGATACGTGTTACGGTTGCAAAAGATGGACGCAGCATAGCCTGGACTCCAAAAAAAAAAAAATTGCTGCTGGTAAAAGCAACGTGTGGATCTTACCTGATATCGCCTTCTTCTTCACGAGGAGCAGGGGATCCAGATCGGCTACGGTCAGAGAACGCTTCCTTAGCAGGACTTCGGCTGCGGCTAGCACTGCGGTCACGACGAGAAGAGCTTCTCTTTCCATTACGGTCCTCGCTATCACGTTCAGGGGAGGCTGAACGATCACGGGAAGGAGAGCGACGGCGTTCATCGTCACGGTCACGGCGAGACGAGCGACGAGGAGATCTGGAGCGGGAACGAGATGGGGAGCGACGACGGCTGCGACGAGGAGGAGATCGACTGTCAGAGCGGCTACGTGATCGACGGTTAGAGCGACGGTCCTTATCAGCCTAGAGTGAGTACACGTGCATAACGTTAACAATGGAAATTTAGAATAAATGGTTTAGATTGAGCGGTAAAAAAGAGATCTAGCCATACCTCACGGAGAGTGACTTCGTGTCCGTTCAATTCTTGACCATCCAATCGTTCAAGAGCAGCCTTCATGTCTGAGCGAGAGCGGAACTCAACAACACTGAATGGGCCATAAAGAAAAAGGTTAGACTATTTTTCACGGGTAAATGCAAGAGGTGTTCATAAAGTCAGGAAAATTTTGTATGCTAACCCTTCACCATCTCGGTCCTTGAGAATATCAGCAAAAGAGACTTCTCCAGCCTTGCGCATAAAGTCCTTGAGATCCTGGAAACAGAGCAAGCCCACAATTAAAAAAGTAGGGAAGCCAGAGAGGTAAGAGACCAGTCAGTCATCAAGTCCTTCATCAAATTGCAAAGCGGGGGAAAGAGAAAGGAAAATGGGAAGAAAGACAACAGCCCCACCAGAAGAGAGAGAGAAACGCAAGTGCAAGTCATTTTTTCCTGTTGCCCAGCCAATTTTCTCGCTCAAAGAAACAAATAATGAAAACACCTCGGAAAAGCCGTATCCCAGGGAGAGAGAAATCACCCACGTATTCAACTCGGGAGGGGTCATTTTTTTTTCCATTGGGCCATTCCAAGAGGAAGACAAAAGGGATAGAGAAAGGGAAAGGGAAAGAAGCGTCTAAGCGGCGGCGACGGAGTCAAGGAAGGAGGGAAGAGTTACCTGCCAGCTGGTCCCGGGAGCAATGCCGTTAACAATAAGGCGGTGTTGAGAGCGACTACAAAAAAAAAGCCGGAAATCAAATGATTAGTGACATGAAGGGCGACATGGCAACCCCGGCATGGGCCCAATTCTTACTCATCACGACGACCGCCGCGACCACCTCGTTCCTCACGGCGTCGGTTACCGCGGGCAATTTCAACAATGAGTCTATAAAATAAGCATGAGACGTTGAGCGAGACTACATGACACGGGGGTGGGGGAATTTACCTTTCACCAAGGAATTCCTTGCCGTGAAAGTCATAGACGACATCTTCAGCATCTCTGTTGTCTCTGAATTCAACGAATCCAAATCCATTCTTCAAGTTGATTTCACGAATGTCGCCATATCCTCTGAAAAGCTTTTCGATGTCGCGATCTCTGCAATCACGGGCGAGACGTCCAAGATAAACTCTGGTAGACATATTGTTTTTTTTAAAGGTTCAATGGGGAAGAGAAAGAAACAAGTAGCCACACTCAGCTAAACCGTGCAACAACACAAAATAATTTTTTCTCGTCTTGGGCTGGGGTTCGGTCTCAACTTGACTTACAAAAAAATTCGCCCAATCACCTTGAGAGAAAATAACCTTGGTGCCTTCGCTGAGCCAATGAACATGGATGATATAATGATTATACTACAGAAGCTTTTATTGTTTAAAAATGACCTGGGGTATCAGCTTCTTTCTCTATCTATACTACGTCTATTTCATGCATGGGGAAAGAGTCCTGCCCTTCTTTTATGCTGCAGACATAGCTTCGTATGGCGGTGGTAATAAGTCAGTGGATGGCAATGTGGAAAATCCGCCAGCTTCCCCGTCTGGCTCAGCTGTGTAAATAGGAAGGTCCCAGTCGATATCAACGTCTGGTACTTGTCGGTGACTAGTCGATTGTATCAACAATGAAGTGGTCCCTGACCTTGCCCGTAGGCCAGATGATGGAGATTGGCCGTTTGGATGATGGGGAGTGAAGTTGGTTATCTGCTTGATGGAACGATCAAACATTTGGTTGAGGCCAACCGCCAGTTCCAAAAGGTTGGAGGTAGAAGGCAAAGTGAAGCGTTTGCGTTGATTTTTGCGTTTGCTATCTTGGTCAGATTGCACACTGTGAGGTCGAAGCACCACCATAATGGAGGACAGAGGATTCATCACACTGTATATTGTACGAATATACTTGACTTGAACTTCAATCGTATTCGTTTGGTCATCGACTTCTCGTGAGTTGGAACTGGCTCGTTGTAATAGAATTTTAATTCTACTGTGTTTGCAACAATACGATACAATATCCGTAAGACTGCCTACAAATGCAAAGGCGCTATTGTTGTTCAAGGATAGTCCAATTTGGGACAGTGCGGGCGGCTGTACCATTTGTGTGGCGGATGTAAGGTATCCCCAATACATTTTAGAAGATAACATGGAAAGAAAGTAACGAGAAGAGAAGGGTATTAATAAAGAGAAATATAGGTGCACTCCGTTAAAGAGAGCGATTGGTTATTCGGGTTTCAGATCAATCTGAAAGGCGCAACATTCAACCGGTTATTCCGCTGGGTGAGATGACAGAGCCGCCTCCAAAATTAGCCCTCCTACAATCGTCGTTTCCGAACCAAACCTGGAAAAATGATGAGGAGCCTTGTTTGTTCCAAAGGAAAATAGAGCGGCATCGATGTAGGCATGCACTGCTGCTGTTACCACAGACATCCTTCCCCATGTCGCCTGCAATATGTCAACGTCTCATCTATCTCGACCTTCAGGCAAGTACATGATGTATCTTAACATAGAAACACCTTCATAACAGATATGTAAGGGGGCTGCAGCTTTGGGAAAGTCCCTTGTGGCCAAGTAAATGTTTTTTTTGCTCGTGTAATTTCTTCAGTTTCCATTCACTTTGATTTAACATTGGCCAGTCAGATGAACCGTAAAGTAATCATCTTAAATAAAATAAAATATACTATCTTCTAATACACCTCCCTGTAATTTAAAGTGAAAGCCACATGTTTCTTCCTCTCTCCTTCATTATCAATAATCTGATTATGAAACCCGGGGATTGTCTAGACATCACCAAATTAAGTGTATCGTTTATGATTTTGGTCACTTTCTATTCCCATGGCATTTTGTACTATCAGAATGATCTAGAATGGGTTTGAATTAAACACTGTCGTGAAGTCAATCAATGGAGAGTGGAAATGGCCGCTCATTTATAAAATGATCAGAACGAGCCCTGTTCATCTCATTGAAGTCGAAGCCTTTTAAATGCTTTGAAAGTTAACATAGGAGCTGCCTTTTAACTCTTTCATTTTTGTCAAGTGACAGAGTTTATATCCTTAAGCTTTATGGAAACCTCGCCTGTACTGTATAGTATATAAAGTCTTGTATACTCCCTTGATAGCCACAATAATCGCCTATGTGCATTTATCCAGAAATTTAAGAAGGCATGCAAACGAAAATCAACTCCTTATCAGTAAACAAGGTATTTATTTTTGTCTAACTGACTTTTCACCTACTTAGCATTTAGATTTTCGAATAATACTTCCAAGCTCTTTCTTTCACTGCACTTTAATTTGTACAAGACAAATTGGTATGTCTTGCAGGCTTAATTGAGCCTCATTACTCTATGATTGATTAAAGCTAAGACTGTCCTACTAACAATGTCGCAAAAGAGCCTTCTGCTGAGGATCCAGTAGGTCACAGCTTGGCACTGACGTAGGTTGAGCCCATTGACATGATGAGAGGAGTTTGAAAAATATGATGTAATAGGTGGTGGAAACTCAGAGGAAAGGTATAAATGTGAATGGTTTCCCTTCAGACTGCTAGTCATTTATTACACCCAAAATGGCTTCAATCGATCATTTACACCCCTCAAACGCTATGAACTCTGAAGAAATTCAGGTTCCCCAGGAGAACACCGCTGAACTGAAAGACCCCAATGATCCTATGTTCAAGACACCTGAAAAGCGACCCGTTATGGAGTCCGACAACTCATCCTTTGGTCCTATTAACCCTGCCTTGGAGAACATTGACGCTGAACCTAGCAATCTTCCACCCCAACCAAACTACTGGAGAGGTCAGATGAATGAAATCAAAGGTACTGTGCAACAGGTGGTAGGCAATATCAAGCAAGATGGAAACTTGACCAGTAAAGGTGAACAAGCCAAGATTGAGGGACAACAGGAGAAGGCAGCTGCTCGAGCTGTAGAGGATGAAAAGGTCGAGCGAAGAGAGAATAACTAGGTCGCTACTATACCCAGGCTATTATGATAGTGAACTTTTTGATGTATATACATAAATTGAATACCTTAAACGCAGCATAACAACCATGGTGATGTTGTAGACTGTAGGAGTGAAACTTTGGTTAGGTGTCCGAGGTGAAACCAGCATGGGGAGATCTCCTCAGCTTGGGATTTTCCCCGAAGTGTTTTTTTTTCATGCAAAAGTAAAACACCTACCTAGTCAAATCACCTTCCAGTTTTCTCTGTGAACTTCTCTACCTTGAACATTTTCTTTTAACTATGCCTCATCATCCATCCGATCAACACTCCCACTCCAAGAACCCTTTCAAGCAAACACACGTGAGTAAAGCTTTGTGATGAAAGAACGTTTGTCGACGTTCTGCTCATAGCAGTGTTTGTATTTTTGCACAGGGTTCCATGGCACAAGGTAGCAAAGATACCGAGGAGCCGCAAATCAGCTGGGTAAGTGGTGTTCAATGCATGATGGAAGGTAGTTTTCAAACTCATTTATGACGGCTCTCTAGTCCCAAATCGATGCTATGGAAGAAAAAGCTCGCAAAGAGAAAGAACAAGACGAGCCTATCCTAGCTGCCAATGCTCGAAGAATGTCTGATGCCATTAGGGAACGTCAAAAGTCTCTTTAAATGAAAGAAGTGATTGCTTTTTGTAATAGCCATGATGTGTGGCGCGACTCAAATAAAAAAAAAAAATTTGTACAAACTTGGTGAGCAAAGCCGTCTGCTGCAACTGAAACGTGTGTACCACCTCTTTTCGTTTCTTTTCTATCCTCCTTGGTTGTTTTTTTTTCTAATGGTTCAAACCGTTCCTTGCAAGTACAAAACCGGCAAGGTTTTGGGCAATGGTACTTATGCCACCGTGAAAGGTAAAGCACTCTAGCCCCCGCTCGCGTCTAAGCGTCGAAACTAACCAACCCCCCACCCCCAATGCCAATCTTTCAGAGGCAATGCACGTAAGTGAACTGCTCAGTCATCGAGAAATTAGTCCCCATTCTTCACGCTGACTTGTTCTTAAACTGCATTAGATCGAAACTGGCAAATACTATGCTGTGAAAATCATTAACAAAAGATTGATGGAAGGTCGTGAGCATATGATTCGTAATGAGATCAATGTGCTGAGGAAAATCTCTCAAAATCATAAGAACATTTTAAGTCTGGTTGACTACTTTGAAACTCTTAATAACTGTAAGCTTTGTTGTCCGCTTTATCCATGCTGGTTTACCCACCTTTGCTCACCCTTCTTGAAACCCCCCAACCACATAGTGTACCTGGTGACTGATCTTGCTCTGGGAGGAGAGTTGTTTGACCGTATCTGTCAAAAGGGTAGCTATTTTGAGCGTGATGCTGCTCATCTTGTCCGAGTCATCGTCGAAGCGGTTGCATACTTGCATGATAATGGCGTTGTGCATCGTGGTAAGTTGTGATATGCGAGTAAAAGCTGTTCTTGGGATTGCGCAGTTTTGGGTATACAGATCATGAGTTTCCCATTGTTCTGACTGTCATCGTTCTTTCTTGATTATAGATTTGAAAGTAAGACAGGATCTATTTGACTGAACTTCTTGATGCGTTTTCAGTTGTGTCTCATGCATTCTCTGTCCATGTTTTAGCCCGAAAATCTCTTGTTCCGCACACCTGATGAAGACTCCGATCTACTTATTGCGGATTTCGGTCTTTCACGCATCATTGATACTGACAAATTTCACGTTCTCACTACCACTTGTGGTACACCTGGTTATATGGTAAGTTGTTGAGGCTTATCGGTGTGGATGGATTTTCCATACCAGCATAGTGTTATTTTCACCACTCTGGGATATTAAAACCCCCTCCCCCCTTTTTTTTCATAGGCTCCAGAGATCTTCAAGAAGACTGGCCATGGTAAACCAGTGTAAGCCAGCGATTCATTGATTGTTCAGCTTCAACCCATCACCTCACACTTCTTTTACCTTGCCATCAGAGACATGTGGGCTATTGGAGTCATCACTTTCTTCCTTCTTTGCGGTTATACACCTTTTGAACACGACTCTAATATCGATGAGATGCACGCTATCATGCATGCCCAGTACAGCTTTGATGAGCAATTCTGGCATGGCGTCAGCCCCCAAGCAAAAGACTTCATAACCAAACTTTTAACCATTGAGCCTGATCTCCGACTCACAGCCCACCAGGCATTAGAACACCCATGGTTGCAAGTTGAAGTTAAGCCTTCTGCTGAGGAGGGTAAGGACTTGTTGCCCAATGTTACCAAGAACTTCAACGCTCGCCGGACATTCAAAAAGGCCGTCGATATGGTTCGCCTATCGCAATACCTCGGACACAAGCATGCAGCTTCCATGGGCGGTGGTAAGAGCCGACTCGACAGCACGCATCAGGGTGTGCAAGATTTGGATGTACAGCCTGTACAGGAGGGCTTGGAACAAGTGCTCATGACGACTGACTAGAATTTTTGAATCCCCCTTCCTCTCACCGCCTCTTTATCAACCAACCAGTTCTATTCCTGTTACTATATTGTTTTCCTCTCCTTCGCCAAATGTCTCTATTTCTCATACTTTACTATACTTGTCTTTATGAAATGGAGTGTTATTTGATACAATGAAGCCACTGTGGTTTGTTTTTATATGCAATCTACGATGCCGCCGACTCGTCTTTTTGTTGCTCCTGTTTTTCTTGTTCTCGCCGCCGTCGCTCCGCTGCCTCTAACATGGGGTTAGCTGGCCTTTCGCCGCTCGGTGCTGCGGACGAGCCTACCCGCCGGCCGTGGTGCATTCCTGCAAATGGCGCAGAAGTGGATGCAGTGGGTTTTTTTGGCTTTTTCTTTTCCTTCTCTTTGGTTTCTTGTTGTTGTTGCTGCTGTGATGTTCGTGAATTCTGCGTTCGTGTGCGTACTGTGAATGACATTCTCAGCAGTGTTGGTTTGAGTGAAAGTGTGGGTTACGGTCACGTTTCGTCGCTACAAATTTTTACAGCGTCCGGGTTCCCTTATGAAAGACACAGAGCAGCTTCGACCAAAGACTTTCTCCCGCCCATGTTAACGCTTTGCTATATGAATAAATACCACAGATATAAGTACAGTTTCGTTTTTATTGTTCAAATTAAACCTTGTGATGCTGCTGCCTTCCCTTGGATTTACTTATACACACTTGAAAAATGAAGCGTTCTTCGCAACACCTACGCTTGAGAACCCTCACTTAACCACTTGGGTCGAGCTTCCTCCATCTCAGCTTTAGCCTCTTCGATCTCCTTCTCGGTATTTTCAATCATCTTCTCCACAGGAAGGATCTCAAACTTGCCCTTGCCGAAACCGACCATGGTGGAATCAGAGTGTTGGATCATCTTGAGCATGGATGTTTTGGCCCAGTAGCTGTACATCTTGGTCAAATACTCCTTGTTGTCACCATTATGTACAGGATAGGCTAGAATGCGTTTGTCTTCCCAGTCAATGGTATCGCCTCCCACGCCAAATTGTCCCACCACGTCGTTAAGGTACATCTGCTCAGCGTTATGAAGCACTCCCTTCTGACCATATCCGATTTTCCAGAACGGTTCTGTCACATCGGCATTGAGCCAGGAGCCGTTGTTGAGCCATTGTTGGTATCCTTCTCTATCCGGTTCCCATTGCAAGAAGAACGGATCGTCCTTGTGCGCGGCCAAGACGATGGTTCTCTCCTCGTCTTCGCCTACCTTAAATTTCGCTATGTACACGGGCCAGTAAAGAGGATAAGCTGCGGCGAACTCTAGTTGGACGTCGTTCATTTGGTAATTAAACTCTTTGCCTTCGATAACCGTGTCATTCACAACGTCGACTCGGTCAGCAATATCAAGGAGTGGGCTGACGCTGAAAGGAATGACTTCGATATCTTCGACGTCTTGGTACATACTTGGCGAAAACGGGACAGCATCTTGAATGTCTTGGTTGTGAGGTTTACCAAAGGATACGTAATGCAGAGGGTCGAATACAAACCCCGGCCAATAGCTATCAAATGCCATGCCCAGCATGGAATTTTGCATATCCTTCTCATCATTTCCCATATTGGATTGCAGCGCCGTTCCTTTTCCAGAAACTGCAATATCAAGGTACCAGAAGGGCAGGTAAGCCTTGCGTAGCTCGAGGTCTTGCGCTTTTTCGTCAACTTTGGGTTTGGTGCGAGTTATGGCCTGGTGTAAGAAGAATAAGCACCCTAAACAATTGTATTCAATGTCCTATACCAAATGCCTACATACACTTCCGAGAATTTTGAAAAAGCTAGCAAACGTGTGCTCGTTCACATAGGCAGTAAGGTCGATCAGAGAGCGTGCCTTTTCTTCTGACAATTTGAAGGGCAGTGCATGAATCTTGCTGTGTGGATTGCTTTGACTGAACAAGCGTGGTGTCGTGGCTAGTCTACGAACGCTCTGTAGCGCCGGGCGTGCAAGAATACGAGGGGTTCGTGGAATTCGAAGCATGGTCGCCAGGGTGGGGAAGTTGAGAAGGTGTGACTGGGATCACGTTTCGCGTCTGGCCTCTCCGCGACAATTTTATACAATAAAAAAAAAAGGAAGCACGGCAGATGACGACAATTCATTAAACAATCACAACAAATGGCAAGCCAGTGGGTAGCCATTCGACCCAAAGAACCTGAACACGCCGGTATGTACATTTAGGCGATATGTTCTGCGGTTTAACCGAGATCTACATCCTACATCGATCTAACTGACAGCGACCAACTACAGGTGCGTCCGTCAGCATTCAGGCACCCCATCCTCGTACAGGTACTTCACAGCCAAAAATATGCAAAAATCCTGGAGAGTACTCAAGAGCTAACATCGATAATCTCGTATCGTACAGGTGATCCTAGTCGATACGTACTGCAGCAGGATGGTGTGTTGCTCGAAGTGCAAAAGGTCGAAGCCGAACACAAGCAAAGTTGGTTGATAGGAAACTCCGTTCAAAAAAGTACATACCTCATTGCTGCTATACCATCTGTCTCGTGTTGATTTTAATTTAAAATTGATGGTTAGATGGTGTATTGTACATGATGACGCCGATGGATCCATTGTTCGTACTGTTGCCAGTACTGGCCGAAACACGCAAGAAGGTAAAGTACTAACATGATAGTTTCAACGCTCAGATCCGTCCACACTCCCCTAATCGTATCCTTCTCTAAACCAACTCTAATCTTTCGTCGAATTACTGTCTTCGCTTCTATCAGTCGGCAGAATCAGATGGTAGATTTGTTCAATATGACAGCATATTTAGTGATGCCGACGATGACCAAAGATATCAGAGCTTGCATCGTTTGGCTGATATACCCGGTCTACCAGCGCAGCTTGGCCATCTCTGTGATCAACAAGGTGAGTGGATTTTCTCGTCTGTAGAGCGCTGTTGATTTGCGCCCCTAACATAGTGTGGAACTGCAGAATATATGAAAGGCGAATTCGTATACAGACTGAATGAAGACAAAACATTAAAGTGGCTTCGGCTTAAGGTAAAGCAGCTAATCAGCCATTGTATTACGAAGACATTCCAAAGTCTTACAGATTTCTATGCACTTTTGCTTCTCTCTTCAGGTGGAAGCGGTGGCAGATAATGTTGAAAAGATGCCTATCCTACTTCAATTCATTAATGAGCAGCTGTTTGACATTGATGCACCCCAGACGGATACAAGCATTAGATCTGGTAAGAAGCTCGCAGAATGGATCCCCATGAATCAAAATTAATTATCTAATCGTATATCACATTTTTTTGATGTTTATTTATGTAGACGCCTATACTTGGGCCGGAATTCAAGTGGTTTCAGAGTACATAACAGATGCATGGCAAGAAAAGCTTAACCAAAGCTATAGGTAAGCATTAGTTTATAACTCTCTTTTATACTTTCTTTCAAAGGTTAACAACTTACATACAGCTTGACCAACTTGAAGAGCCAAGTCGAAGAGCACAAAAAGAAACAGGAGATACAGTTTCAAAACTATGTAACGCACGATCCTACAGAATTTGCCAAAGCCAAGCGAGAGGCATCTGATTTATCTGATCAGGGTTCAAAGGTAATTATGGACAATGTTATCAAATGGTGGCACATGTATTAACATTAGGCATTAGAAACCCAAGCTCTCTGCAGGACAGAAGACGCTTGCCAAGGCAAATATCAAAGGCATGAAATCTTTGGCTTCCTTTTTCGCCAAAAAGTAGACAATAAACTTTCCCCATCTGACTCCGTAATCATCGTCCCTTTTTTTTTTGTTGCCGGATCATGAGGATTCGCACAGTTACTGCCTTCGTTGCCTTAGCGCCCGAGTATGAAGACTCACGCTCTGCTTGGGAGCCGTTATTTCGCCAGGCAGTAGACACCATTACTATTGCAAAGGCTGCTCTTGAGGCCAAAGGTTACGAGGTGCAAACCACTCGCATTGCAACCAACCCATTCCCGGAATTCACCCGGCATGACACCGTGGAAAACGCATGCACCATTCTTGACGACATCTGCAGTGACCTGGGTAAGCGTTTGAGCTTTATGGCTTGCTTCCCGAGCGCTTTCAACTCAACTGCTTCCATTAGGCATTATGATGTTGAACATTGGCCCCGCTTCGGATGTCGACATTATTGCTCGAATCCCTCACCTTATCGCGGTATGATATATATATTTTTTTGGCTACCTGTTCAACTTAAGGTCAAGTAGACTGTAGATCCGCTGTATCATGGCTTGCTAAACGTCGCCTGTTCTCCAGTCCACAAAACATTTATCCATGTCGAGCACCATCCCTATCAAAGCCAACGGGGTAATTGACCAGGCGGTGAGTACAATTGATTTGTAGTTGTTAGATACTCAGCCAGAACGCTTATATCTTTTCGTCACTTGGCCTAGTATGCCATTCAAGGTGCAAAGGTTATCAATGCCATTGCAGATCATTCTCCAGACCTTAATTTCCGCTTCTGCGTATCGGCAAACACAAAGCCAGGCATACCGTTCTTTCCAGTTGGCTATGGCCCATCGTATGTCAAGGGTTCCGCATCGCAAATATCGTTTTCCCTAGGTTTAGAGTGTTCGGATTTGGTGGTAGTTGCTTTTGAGCGTGCAAGAAAAGACGGCCCTGCCCAAGGTGACGATCAAGACCCCTGGGATTTGGCGGAAAATTATTTACGAGTGAGCAGTCGGTACATCATACTGTTTTCCGTTTTCCTTCGTTACTGATGGCCCTCCCTGTAGCATGAAATGGAATCTGCATGCAAGCCAGTGGAGCAGTTGATGCAATCGCTGGTATGCCCTGCTTCCTATACCGGCATTGATGTTTCCGTTGCACCAACGTGTGGATCCGACGCCATAAATACGAGTCTTGTCACTGCGTATGAAGCTGTTATTCCAAAGTTTGGCGGCGCCGGCACGTTGACCATTTCAGCCATGATAACTGGTGTCTTGAAGACTTTGGATGTCTTGGTACGTTACAAGGATATCGCTCCTACTTTTTTTTTGTTTGATCTGCCTTGGCTAATATGGCGTGGCGTTTTTGATTGTTAGAAATGCGGTTACTCAGGGCTCATGTTGCCTATCATGGAGGATGCTGGGCTAGCCAAGCGGTTTGCCGAGAGGACGTATTCCGTACAAGAAGTCCTTCTCTATAGCACTGTGTGCGGATGTGGTCTGGGTAAGTGAAACAGTGGGTATGAAGTTGGGGCATTTGAGTGTTTCTAAATTTCAAATCGCTATTCAGACTGCGTACCTATAGCTGGTGATACGCCATTGAAGGCGTTGGCAAACTTACTGGCTGATATGGCGACCCTTGCCTACCGAGTAAGCCTCCTCGTCGTTGCAACTTTGACATCATTCCTATCTCTACTAACCACCCTCCCTTATTCCATCAGTTGAATAAGCCTCTGTCAGCTCGCATGTTCCCTTTCCCTGGACTGAAACAGGATATGGCTACTGAATTTGATAATCCACTCCTTGTAAACACCAAGGTTGTCAAGCTCGAATGATAGAAAATATACTTTTTATTTATGAAGAATCTTTAGCGATCCCTCCAAACAAAAAGATATGGCAATATTAGAAAGTGACTATTTACAATGGTGTGAATGCACTTGGGTTTGTTCATTTGTTCGCTTGCTGTGTCTTTTGGATCTGAGGTTCACCAACAACTCCCTTTGGATCATTGTCGTCAACCTTGGTGATGTGTTCAGTATCTTGCCACTTTGCCTCCTTGGGTCTATCTCCAATGGACTCAATCACCTCTGTGGCTTCAGCATTGCGAGGTCTGGCATGGAGAGCAGCGGAATTGGGTTCGCGGCCTATAGTGTGGGTGATTTTGACTTCGTTTTCTTGAGCAGACATGTTGGGAATGTTGATGCAATGTTCTGGTTTGCTGGCGGTTTATATAATTGATGTTTGGCAGGTTCTAACATCATATTTACTTCAAGATGACAAAAAAAAATACCGAGTTTCAGACGATAGGTTCGGTCTCCGCCTGTCAGATTTTGTGTTCTGACAATTCGACCAGAACACCCAACTTTTTTTATGGCCGGGCAGGCAGTAAAATTCCATGCCTTTCGATGGTAGAGAAAGATAGTTTAGAATGGGTAGTACCAACTTTAAGAACTGGACACTAAATGTCAGTCCGCCCTACTCTCTCCCTTGCTTTCTCTGATTCGTTATTGCATAACAGGTACTGAATAGGCTGCTGTCAAACTAACATTAAAAAACTGTAGTGTACCGATGCATCTGTCAAAGGCTGCTGGTCAAGCGTCATGGGAAAACGGTGTGTACAAAATTAGAGTTGGGGGAGGAATATCAGCAACATTGGAGCAAGCAGTTAAGCTCTGAAATGACGTATTGCTTATGGTGTTTATAGGCATCGTGGTACTGCTCATTGGCCCACCACGAACCACTTTGCCAAATTGAATGAGTTGTTTTTTTTTCCCTCCCTGAGTTTTTTGGTGCAGAAAAAATTGCGCGGCTGTTATTGGGTAATAACGCGTCACGTCACACCTTTAAAAACTAGCGGGGCATTGTTACGGCGTTCGAAACGTTTCTCTTCAGTTCTTTTTATAAAACATGTCTAACCCCAAGGTAAAATAGGTGGTTGAAAAGCTCAAAGGTGATGGTGACCATGGAAAACTCATATTGCTGTATTAGGTCTTCTTTGATATCTCTGCCGGTGGCCAACCCCTCGGTGTAAGGCTTTTAACCTATCGATTGGCTTGGTCGCGATCCTCTACTGACGTGTTTGCATTTTCAGCGTGTCGTTATGGAGTTGAGAGCTGATGTTGTCCCCAAGACCGCTGAGAACTTCCGTGCTCTCTGCACTGGCGAGAAGGGCTTCGGCTACAAGGGCTGCAGCTTCCACCGTGTCATTCCCGTAAGTTGTCTTTTTTGCTATTATTATTTTTTTCCTATTTGGCGGGCTTGGGGTTGTTGATGGACCCGCGCCTTTCCGTGACTGGTAATTTCCGAACCCACATCCATGTTGTACTGACACGCTTTTTTTTTTTCTTATGCAGCAATTCATGCTCCAGGGTGGTGGTAAGTGATCTCAGTCTAGGCCATGTTGTATGCGAATGCATTGACTTATACCACTTTTTAGACTTCACCAAGGGCAACGGTACTGGTGGCAAGTCCATCTACGGTGAGAAGTTCGCTGATGAGAACTTCACCCTCAAGCACACCGGTCCCGGTATCCTCTCCATGGCCAACGCTGGACCCAACACCAACGGATCCCAGTTCTTCATCTGCACTGTCAAGACCGCTTGGCTCGATGGCAAGCACACCGTCTTCGGTTCCGTCGTTGAGGGTTTGGATGTCGTCAAGAAGGTCGAGACCTACGGTAGCCAAACTGGCCGCACCTCTGCCAAGATCGTCATTGACGACTGCGGTCAATTGTAAATTGATTTCTGTTTAGTTTGCGATAAGATATAAAATTTGAGAAAATCTCCCTTGCTTTGGGAAATTTTTATCATCGTTACAGTATGATGCTTGGCCGAAATCTAAGAATATGGTTGGTTTACGTCACTTACTACTAGAGCAATCATGCTCCATCAGATAAGCCTTGACCACAAAGCTAGAGTTAAATGATTCCCTAGCTAAAGTGAGTGTGGTGTCAAAAGTCACCGATCGGCTGCCGGCCAAGTTTGCATTTTTGCTCTCTTGCTAAGTTCCACATACGTAAATTTCGAATGATGGCGACAAAACTGAGCACAAAGTATTTTGGCCCGGCAAAGGTGCCTTTCTGTCATCTTGGCTATGCTATAACTCTCCACAGCATCTCTATAATGCCCCATTCCTGCAAGTAGATCGATATAGGCTCTTACAGTTACCTGCCCATGTGTGTCATTACAAAAAGATTCAACGCTTTTCTTTAGTAGGTCCCTCTTGAGTTGATAACTCGTAAGGTTTGTCTGCCGCTTTCACTCGGAGACCAGCGTGTAAATTTTCCTTGATGTCTCAGTCTGCAAGTATAGAATATCCCTACTACAATTGCGTGGCATGCGAGAAAAAATATTTCGAATATCCGAAGAAAACCTATTTCCCAATTTGTCGGCCCAACCCTGTCTCCACTTGTGAAGCAATATTAATTCGGCGGGTTTTATCGATACACTTGTTATATTATGAGGGGGAAGCCACAAACCGGTGAATATTGAAACAATGTCATACAGGGTCGTTGGAGGCATTATATTGTGTTATCCGATGGCTCCATTGAACGCATAAAAGTGGGGCAAGGCAAATTACATGACTCTACAAAGTTTAAAGTTTTTTTTTTTTTTGGAACGGTAGCGTTTGAGAAATATAAGTATTCAAATGTTTCTGGCGTTGGAATACTTGTAGGGGGATTTTTTCTTTAAGGAGAGGTTCTATGATACAGATTTAAAGCGAGGATGATGATTAGTCGTCGTCGGTGCCAGGTTTTTGGGCGAGTCCGAGAAAGCTGTGGATATAAGTCTTGGCTCGCACAAACCGCGTGCTTATATTATCCAATGTGTGCTCATATTGTTCCATCGACATTTCAAAGTCATTCGCCACGATGGGAGCAGCTGCCTTCATGCCTCGAATGTAATCATCGCCAATGATTTCACTCAATCGACTTCCCCAGCCTAAGGGTGATTCGTTAACTTTTTCCATAATAATGGTGTAGCCGTTTCGTTTCAAAAGTGGTCCAAGCTTATGAATTAAATCAGGGTCTTGTTGGCGTTTCTGAAGAAATCGAGTAACTGACACATGTTGGGGTTAGCCGATGTTGTCACCATAGCCCCCCCCCCTAACCTCTCTTTGCTCACCTCTGGTCGAGTAATCTTGAATAGCAACGTCATTGTGCTCTGCAAATAACTACAGTTGATGGGTTAGATGAGTTTGATAACGCATAATGAGCGTCCGCCCATCCAAAACAAGCATATCGTTCCTTACCCGAATATCAGGCTCCATGACCTGGATGTAACCGCCTGGTTTAAGGACTCGCATCACGTTTTTGTAAACCGTATCCCATTCATCAAAGCGAAATGCCGCCACCATGAGCCTATGTTTGGAAATGTTACAAAATGTGACCGTGGGCGATTTTGTTCTTTTTTTTTCTGTTAAGGTGCCAAGCAGGACGTACCTTATTTGCACGAGATCGAATGTGTCTGATCGATAGGGTAAGTTATCTAACGCATCGCCTATTTTAAACGTTACATTGGGCGGTTTGATCATGGTTGGAAACGTAGGGGCGATGTCCATGCCATGAAATGTGGAGCTGGGGTATTCTGTCGCCAAGTCCAACAGCCATGTACCTTTTTTTTTAAAACAGGAAAAAAATTAGGATCCGATAATCGTTCACCCACAGTTATCTATCGGAGGGATCAACATTATATTTTGCTTTTCCTTTTTTTCCTTACCTGGCCCACACCCTATATCGAGAACCATTGCTCCGTCTTGAAGTTTACTGGACAGTAAAGCTTCGTCTAGAAGATTACCACCGAGCCCGGCTTTGATTAGAAAATGCTCTTCATGTAAGCGATCGTTTTCTTCATCGTCCTAAATATCATGATTGTGGCCTTTTAATACTTTGGTGGTGGTGTCATTTGCATAAGAGTTTTCTTCATTTACCATTGGTAGAAAATACGTGGAACTAATGTCGTGGAAGGTTCGTCCTTGAATCACTTGGTTGGATTTCTTTAGTTCGGATGGAGGAGGGACGAGAGGCTGCTTCGTGGTTCGACTTCGAGGCTCAACCGACGACTGTTTTGAAGGTGAGTTACCCATTGAATCGAAAGGAAAAAGGGAAGAGAGAAGAGGGAAAGGTTGAGTGAAAAACGGTAAAATTCCTTGATTTATCCCCAAAGGTTTGTAGCAGGGAAAGGGTCAGGTGGAGTGCTCAGACCAAGCGAGGAAAAAAAAATAAAGTGGGTAGAAAAAAAAAGGTGGAAAATCGATGTGTGCAATTGCTTCTTTATAAGCTCAAGGCGTTCGACAATCAAATAAATGCAAATGTGGAAGTGTCGGGCTGCAATCACCTCACCTCACTTTCCCTTCATCAAACTACATAGCTCCGAACCCAGCTTTTTCTTGCCAGACTAACCCTTCTCTATTGAAAACAATTTGTAGTGAACGTCCCTGCTTTTTCAACCTGGCTATCTTTTCAGGGAGATCAGCATGAATGCTACTCTCCTCGAAACCTGTTTCTTTTCCATTTTGTAAGCATGCCATCACACAACATAGTCGATAGCTTTTTTCGAAACTACGATCAACTGCAAGCAGAACAGTGACACTTGTAACACCCGCAACTTCAAATCTGTGCCGATGATCCTAGAACCTGTTCCTTGTGCTTGCCTTTTTTCATTCCAGACAGCTTCTCTCTCCCCCCTTGCTAAAAAAAAAAAATTACCAGCTGATCTTCAATCCAATCCCTTCTGCTACCCTTAGCAACGTTTCGCAAAATGAAAAATTCACTAATATATTCCAGAGGCTTTTTCGAAGTTTGAAAAGCGCCTACTTACCATATTAACTCCTCGTGTGGCCTGCATTCGCTGAGAACATTTATTCATACAGTGGCATAGGAAAAATGGGCGAAATCGGGAGTGGCGGGTAGGGGACATGTTAGCACTCACTGGAGCGGAGCGAACACTAGCTTCCAAAAAACAATTTCTCGCTCAACAACCCACACTAATGAGACGAGAAGTCTTTGCATCAGCCACCAGTATTTGGCTTAGGAAGCAGAAGTTCGTGGTCCGTTAAATGATATTATAAACTATCGCTCTTTGGAATTAGATGCCTGCCTTGAAGCGTTTACTCACGCTTTTTCTTTTCTTTTTTTTGATTTTGTATATTCCTTTTATTACAGTGGGTAGGCAAGTTACATGGAGGGTCTTTCAACAGGGTTGTTCTTTCATTTATGACTCATGTAAGCTTTCCAAAAAGTAAGGATGTTCCATACACTGTTTAAATTTATGTTTGGTCAGTTTTACATGTCCTCGCATATAGAGCCACACATCATATCTTTTACCCGATGTCAACTTACCGCTTTGGCTGATATACGGTGTGCTGGATCATACGCAAGTAAACTCTGTTGCAATTGAATACGCAGGTTAAGCCATCGTTCTTAAGCTCTCATTTGATTGGCTTGAGATCATTACCTTCCAAAGTTTCGTTCCGTTGGGTCCCAAATATTCTTCTATGTTGGTTAGTTCCTCTCCCTTCCATTCTATCAACAGCAAAAAGGATTAGTAAGTAGTGCCACTAAAGACTTGATGGTAGCGTAATACTGTGACATACGAGGAAAGGTAGGACTGTAATCAGGTAGAGTAGTGACTCCTTTCCAATGGTCTTCTGTCGGCGTGCCCAATACTCTAAATATCCGGAAAAGTTGATCAATCTGCGAGTCACCTGTCAAACAAGATGGACGACCAAAGCTCGATTAGAAACGCAATGTTTGAACCAGTTGAATAGGATATTCACATCAGCCCATTTACCTGGGAATAGCGGTCGCAGGGTCACCATTTCTGCAAATATACACCCAACACTCCACATATCCACCGACGTTGAATAATGCTTGCTTCCTAGCAATATTTCGGGTGATCGATACCATAATGTGATGACCTGAAGCAAATATGTTGAATGAGTTTCACTGGCAAGTCATTATAGCGTGTATATATCTTTCCATGAGTTGTTACCTCGTGGGTATAAGTTCTCATTGGGATACCAAATGCTCGAGACAATCCAAGATCAGCTATGGTTAGTTTGCCAGTTTTATCGATGAGAAGGTTTTGCGGTTTCAGATCTCGATGGAGAATTCGGTGTGAGTGGCAATAGGACAATCCACAAACCAATTGATGCATGAACGACTAGTAAATGGTATGTCAGTTGCACTGGTCGTAAGATATGACCCTGTATTGAAATGTGTTCGTTTTCGAGTGCTTACTTGGATGTGGATCTTGGTCATTCCTTCTTTACCCGCAGCATCCATGTATTTTCGCAAATCCTGTTGAAGGTAATGTAACAATGAGGCTTTTCATTCGAGATCAACACGAGGTCTTGGCGAATAGACCTATGTTTCAGTACAATCCTGCAAATACTTACGACATCAAGAAAGTCGAATACAAGGTAAAGCATGGTATCGTTATGAATGATATCGAGTAATCTGAAGATGTGGCTATGGTTAAACCTTATGTCTTGTCTTTTTTTCATGGCAGTGATTCAAGCCGACATGTCACGTCCATTGACACGCGTCCATACCTAATGACATTCTCGTGTTTCAGCTCTTTTAACAGAGAGACTTCTCGGATCGCGGTTGCAGGCACACCTTCGTCGTGAGAGTTAAGACGGATCTTCTTCAGAGCGACGATTTTGTTACTCGCTTTGTGTTTCGCTTTGTAGACAATTCCATACGTTCCTTCTCCAATCTTGTCCATTTTGACGTATCCCTCCATAACATTCTTGGACTTTTCAGTATCTTTGCCGCCATCTTTCCTCGATGATATTTTGGTTGGAGCCGCCGCTACGAGTGTCGTGCTGCCTGTGGGTCGTTTATTTTCGTCACCCATTTAGCAAGTTGTGAATGCAGAAAGTTTGGTACAAATTTAACGCGTCAAAATTTGAAGCGGGAAAATTTCCAGCTTGAACAATTTTATTTTCGATTATTGCTGTTGACTGAGATCCAAACTCTTCCAAGTTGACTTGTCATATTCCTCACAGTACTGCAATGACGCTCATCGTAGATACTAAACGTTAAAGTTGAACAGACACCTTAGATTATTATAATGTTTATTTTCTTTATGAAAACGACTCATACAATGAAGAAGACTTGATGTTACTACATCACAAAATTCTAACGCAAGGACTTGGTTCTATACCAGTTGGCAGGATTGTCACCAATGCACTCGCTAACAGTGGTTGGCTTATAACCCTTGCTCTTGACATAATCGAAAGCCCATGGAGCAAGTTGCTGAGAAGTAATTTGCAAAGGATCATGTTCAAGGGAAATGTGGCCAGGAACATCAGGGTTGGCGGCAATACCATTAAGGAAGTTGGTCTTCTCTGTTGCCAAGTTATTGACTTGCCAATCATCGGTATCAACATCCCAAACGATAACTATAGATGGAGACAAGACTTTTTTGTTAGTAAAGTTGCGTTTGATCTCTCATTGTGAAGGAATTTTTCCTTACCTTTGTAACCAAACTTGTTAAGAATCTTAAGAGAAGCATCGGTATATTCACCGTAAGGAGGTCTGAAGTAAGTAGGAATAACGCCCAAAATATCCAAAAAGGCATCTTCAAGCTTAGTGATTTCCAAGGTCAACTGGGCATCGGTCAAGGATGAGATGTTAGGGTGGGACCAGGTATGGTGAGCAATTTGATGACCAGCATTGTAGGTTGCAATCAAAAAGTCCTTGTAGTCGTAGATGTTACCGTAGTTTTGGCCATTGATAAAGAAAGTGGCAGTGATCTTTTGTTCGTCTAGATAATCAATGAGATCCTGAGTGTACTTGTATGGACCATCATCGAAAGTAACGGCAAAAGTGTTGGCTACACTGCAAGAGTAAACAGGAATGAGAGGGAAGGCGCCACCATTAGCACCAACTGCAACACAGAGACTAGTGCCAGGTTTCAAATCATTACAGCTCAATCCTTTGTTATAATTCAAAAGCTGTGTAAGGGTCAGATTGTTGTCGTCAGCAATGGTATAGCAAAGATCGCTATTGGTGATGAGGTGAGTCTTGGTGCATCCAAGGGTTGATGTACCAGTAGCCGCAGTGCTAGTAGATGTCTTGGTGGCGGTGGTAGTCTTAGTGACTGTACCAACAGCTACGCAAAGAACGTCGCCGATTTGAAGCAAGTTGCAGTTTACGCTAGGGTTGTAACCCTCAAGCACTGTTAAAGCAAGGTTAAGAGAGGTAGCGATATCGTAGCAGGTATCCCCAGAGACCACTGTGTAAGTCTTTGTACATCCGGTCGCAGTTGAAGCAGCTGCGGAAGTGGTCGTGGTCTTTTTGGTGGTAGTGGTGGTAGGCTTCGTGGTGGTGGTAGTCTTCTTGGTGGTGGTGGTGGTAGGTTTCTTGGTGGTGGTAGTGGTCTTCTTGGTGGTGGTAGTGGTCTTCTTGGTGGTAGTAGTAGACTTCTTGGTGGTAGTAGTAGACTTCTTGGTGGTAGTAGTAGACTTCTTGGTGGTAGTAGTAGACTTCTTGGTGGTAGTGGTAGTCTTCTTAGTGGTAGTCTTGGTGGTTGTGGCGGCCGCGGTAGCAACACAGACCTTTGCACCAATACTCAAGTCAGTGCAGACAGAGCTGGGATTGGCATTCTGAAATGTGGAGAGCGACCAACCTGCCTTGGTGGCCAACACAGAGCCTGTAGGTTTAAAAAAAAAAATAGCTAAAGTCAATCATCTGGTTTGTTATATTGGGATAAGTGAATGAGAGATATTTACAGGTATCACCCTTTACAATGGTGTGGTAACTGGTGCAAGTAACGGCTTCAGATGGCTGTACAATAGCCGCGACGAATAAGGAGAGGATGGGAAGCAGAATGGTCTTCATGACTGAACGACGGTCTGCTGAACTGAGAAGGAAGGACGAGGACAAGAGAAGTGAAGTGGTGGCGAGCATGATGAAATTATATTTATACGACGGAGTCGATCTTCGCTGTGCCTGTTGTACAACGATATTCCGCATTTAGTCAATAGCTTTAAATTCTCTCTTGTTTACCAGGGTTCTCGACAATGAGATCGAAGGCTATCCCGTCAATGTTTTCTAGGCTACTTTCCCAACCTTCAACACAGAACCTCACCGTAACCACCACCATCTTCAAAGTGGATTGTACGTCTAGCAATATGTGTACCTATGCTCCTGGACGCCACCGAAATCTGACCTTCTATTCTAGGCCGCGCCATCTTTTATAAATTCATTGCCGTTCGCTACTTCGCCCGCTTTATGTCCCTTACAGACACTGCAACTAGCAGCATGTCACTTTCCTAGGCTGCAGAGCTTCTTTATTCGCATACGCAGTACACCTTTTTTTAGAGAATAGGCAATAAGCTTCACGATTGACATAGGTTCAGTCTCTCGTTTCAATGGTGATACTTGATTTTAAATGTCAGCGTCTGTGCAAGGCTCGCATGGAAAAAACTTTTGACGGCTCAGCACTCTTCAACACTGCCTGTATAGTTTCCATGGCAACCACATTTTAGACTTCTTACTGAGCGTAAAAACGGAATGATGAATAGTCGACAACAACTGGTATCAGCAATTACCTGCATTGAATAACTACTTGAATGGGAATGGATCATAATGACACCCACCACGTGCGTCCGTTAAGCAACTAAGTGCATAGAACCATAGCCGGCTTCGACCTTGTTGCTCGTTTGTGAAGCTTTCTCTTCATCAAACTTTTCGAGCTGCATCATCATCTAGCTGTACTATCTCCTAATTATATCATTCGAGCGTGTATGGGTTGCCGACACATGGCCAAAAGTGATTAACACGCGGCATGATCTTCACACGTTATTTATATGGGATCTTCAAGTAACAGTTATGAGGCTATCTTAAAAAAAAAGGCTATGTTCTGCTAGAAGGTAGCAATGTTGAGACAAACGTTCTTGGTGTTGCGTAAAATAATAGCTTTTTGTGTTTACATGAAACCTTGTATCTATTGGGATCAGCGTGTCATGGACACCTGTTATAAAATACAATACCATGAGCAAGTATTCGTTTGGCATCTTTTATGATGGTGGAAACCACCAGCTTGAAATTTTTCAATGAACCGTCTACGCAAAAAAACACCACTAACCACTGAACGTCAAGTCTTTCCTAGCTAAAATGCCTAAGTTAGCCCTTTGGTGGGCAGAAAAATTATTGGCTAGCGCTTGATTGCCTTGCTTTTAAAACTCCTTTTTGGAGTTCGCGAGTCATCTCAAGCTTGGTTGCATAAAATTACTTTTGCATTCTTTGGAGACAGCAAACAGCAATATGTCGTCGAGTGAAAGACGTCTCTCTGGCGTTTTGAGCAAAGACGCGCCATCCGAATTAACGGTAGATGCACGTGTAGAAGTTCAAGGCAAATTAGGAACCGTCCGATTCGTTGGCACTACCAGCTTTCAGACCGGAAAATGGGTCGGCATCGAACTAGATACACCTAATGGAAAAAACAGTGGTGTCGTTCAGGGAAAGCGATACTTTGAATGCAAGACTAATCATGGTGTATTCGTGCGTCCTAGCCAAGTAAAACCATTATCAGCAGAGGTACATTTTTGCCTGTTTCAAACCCTGTACGAGTAAACCCCCCTTCCTCTATTAAACGCTTTGTAAATATCAATAGGAGGATTCGCAACCTTCTGCTACATCTCAACCAGGCAGAGGCTCGCCCCGAGCTAGTCAAGCGGCGGATAGCGTTCGCTCAGCTGCTCGTAAGACACCATCGCCATCATCAACGCTACTTCCATCACGAATTGGGACACCTGGCCGTACAACCAAAGCGCCAGCCACTTCACCCTCGACTCCACGGCGAACGCCCCTCACCTCTGCACGTAATACGCCATCACCAAGCTTGACTTCAGTGCGGCGTAAGAGATCATCTAGCATAGCAAGTAAAGGCGAGTCGGCTCGACTTTCAAGAGACATGTCGAGCAAGATCGTCAAAGCAGATTTCATTGAAGAGGAAGTCACTGAAGGCGAAGACACAGGTACAGAAATGGACACCCCAGATGAAGAAGGTCCAGCTACACCTGAAGAAGTCGTGACTTCTGTACAGCCTGGAACTCGCTCTGATCAGATGGTATCGCTTAAAGATTACGAAGAACTGCGTATGAAATTGAAGATCCTGGAGACCAAGCGACAGGAAGATAGAGAACGACATAGGGAGAATGAAAAGATCAAAGAAGAAGCTGAACAATTCTTGACCCTTCGTTCGAAGTTACAAGAGAAAGTCGCTGAACTTCAGCAAGATCTACGTGAAACCAAAAAGCAAGCCAAGGAATTAACCGCTGAAAATGAGCAATTGGAGTCAAAGTACAATGACGCCATCGAAGCTATGGAAATGATGACTTTGGACAAAGAAATGGCGGAAGAAAGATCTGAAAATTTGCAGCAGGAAGTTAATGTACTCAAGGATAAAATCGAAGAGATTAGCGTTGATCTCGAGGTGTTCAAGAAAGAGGGTGGTAAGTTGGATCCCATCTCAGCACGTTTGGAAAAAGGCGGAATTTTTAACAACCATGCGGTGTATTTCTAGATCTCCTTAGTCGAGCAAGTGAAGTTGAAGGCGATGGAAAGCCTACTGTCGAAGTTTTGCAGTTGGAAAAGCAAAATGAGAGACTGAAGGAAGCTCTTGTACGGTATGTAATCATGCAGGGTGTGGTTGGTGGTCAGATAATATATGCTCAACATCCATCTTTAGACTTCGCGATGTGACAACTGAGCAGGAAGCCGAACTGGATCGCAAGATTAAGGCTTTAGAGAAGGATAGTATCCAACTAGAAGAACTCAAAGGCAAGTATTCAATTTTTTTCTTTTCTTTTCGCAACACAATCACCATTTTCTAATCAATACCACTACGCACCTTTTAGTTCAACACGAAATTGTGAAAGAGAAACTAGATTTGGCCGAGAACCAAATTGAAGATTTGAAGATACGACTAGACGATGTGATTGGAGCTGAAGACTTGGTTGTACAGTTGACTGAGAAGAATCTCAACTTGAACGAGGTTTGTTTCAGGCATCTTTTCAATAGCCCTTCCACCTTTCTACATGTACAAGCGAAACTCATTCCTTTGTCACTTAGAAAATTGAGGATATGCGTGCAACGGTGGAAGATCTTGAGGCACTAAAGGAACTGGCTGATGAATTGGAAGAGAATCATATGGAAACCGAAAAGCAACTGCAAGCTGAAATCGACCATCGAGATATGCTTTTGCGTGGTCAGATGGAAAGACTAGGATCAGCTGAAGAGACAAATGCTGACTACGAAAACACTATCTCTCAGTTTAGAGAGCTTGTTTTGAATTTGCAAAAGTAAGCTTATCGTGGTGGCACAGTGTATTCGTTAATAACGATATCGAATGATGTTAACTCACCATTTACCTACAGTGATCTTGAACAGCTTCGTCACCGAGAAGAAAGCCAGCTTTCTGAATCTCGCAATCTTAGCAGCCAGTCGCAAGCTATGATGTCTTTGAATTTGCAATTGAGATCAACTGTTATGAAATCACAAGCCAAGGCGATTGATTTGGAACTACGAAAGCTGGATGCTTCACAAGCAACAGAGCGATTGACCTATGTCCAAGCTTATCTGCCAGATTCCTTTTTCAAGACAGAAAATGACCCAATCTCTTGCTTGCTTCTCTTTAAGAGACTTTCCTTCAAAACCAAGTTGATTCTGAAGCATTTGGATCAAAATAATTCTGTGTCTGATCTTCTCAACGACAAAATTCCAGAATCACTTTTGTCAGTGTGTGATATGCGACAAAAGCTTGGCTGGCTCGAAGACTTGTCTAAGCGCTTCGTGGCTCATATTGAAGTTAGCTCAGTACAGGAATTCCTGAAATTCGGACAAGTTTACCATGATCTAGTAGGAACCGAGCGAAGACTGAACGGTATTGTGGAGTTATTGCGCTCAGAAGAATTACGAGAAAGTGAATGTATTGCCGATGTTCAGAGGATGATAGCGCAATTGGAACATTTATCCGAAGTATATCTCCCGCAGACTGATACCGCAAGCTCAGAATACTTCTTTGGATTGACTAGAGCATTGGACCATAACACCGATACCATCCTGGTCAGCACCAACTATTTGAAGCAGCTGATGCAATCATCTAATGCTAGTGACGAAGATGGTTTTGTCATTTCGGAAGGATGGGAGAAGCTGGAATACGATTTCGTTGAACCTATCACCAGACTAACCACACATGGCCGCGCATCGAAAACTTCCATCAAAAAGCTTTTGCGCAGATTGGAAGATTTGTCGGAACAAGCTCTCACGCTACGACCGGAATATTTGGCTAATCTTAAAGACATGTATTCTAAGAGCAGCCGCATTGCACGACTCTGCGTTCAGGTAAGTAGGCAGAAATGTATAAAGCTGGCTAACATTGTAGCATAAGCACTAAACCCGTTCACTTGTCACCTTTGCTTTTTATCAGGTATTCAATGAGATATCTCATATGGTGCAGCAAAAGCGTGATAGTAAAGAACCAGTCAGCTTGGCAGTCATTCAACAAGTTCTATATAACAAGACCGATGAAATATTAGAAGTTTCCGAAAACTCAATGTTCGAAGGCATCATTTCCAAGTTGAATAATCTATGCAGCGAGCTCAATGCTGTTGTAGACAGAGTTGCCGAAGACTCCAAGGCCGTCAAGATTATGTCTGCCAGCTCACCTTGGCTCCAGCGAGCTTCTGATTTGAAAGCCGAGGTCGTGATCAATCACGATATGGAACGTAAACTTCAACAACACAACGATGAGATCTTGAAGCTCATTAAAGATGTCAGGATGAAAGATCAATCTCTACAAGAGTCAGCGGTCAAAATTGAACTTCTCGAGAAGAGAATGGAAGGTGTCAAGAAACAAGGAGAACAGATCGTTGAGCTTGAAAGCGGTCTTGCCAAGTCTCAATCGCAGATGCAAATGTATGCTGAAGCGATGGAGAACTTACAGGCTGAGTATGATAGCCTGGAACAGGAAAATATTCAACTCAAGAAAGCAGCTGCTAAGCGTAATGAGAAGCCATCATCAACGACCAAGAGTTCAGAGTATGCTGAAGGTTCTTCCAATGCTCCTGAAGAACTTGTCACTGTTGAAAGCTATGCGTTGAAAACACAGGTACGGTATAAGCTAATCGTTAAAAAGGGGGTGGGGGTTTACTGCATAACTACGTTTATACTGACAGTTCTCACCTTAGCTCGATCATCTCAAGAGTGCAGTGCGGTACTTGCGTGCGGAGAATACTCATCTCAAGAGCAAAGAGTACATGAAGACTCTCAATATGGATGGTTTACCTGATGTACCTGCTGCCGCAAATAACGATAGCGCCATTTCCAAAGAAGCACTCCGTTCCATTGCATTGGAAAGTAAGGCTTTGATTCATGACATCCGTAGTGTCAGCGCAGCCTCCAAGGTGATTCGATTACAACCAGCTCAGCAAGGCAAATGGAGATCACAAAAGTCGAATGCTGAATACCAATACCAACAACAACAATCTGTTCTCTATACTCTGCAGAAACGCAGTTTCGAGTTGCGACACAAGGTGGATACCATGCAGCAGACGTTACCAAAGCGCACGTCCTCATCAGCAAAATCTACTGGAGCTAGCCCAGATTCCACGAGCTATTCATTAGCAAGGATCCAAATACCCAAGATACCACAATTGAAATCTCTTCAATCTGTTCACAAGAACATCAATTTGTCCAGCTTCAGTGAATTTGAAAAAGTTCATGCTGTATTTGTGCGATAATCCTCATACCATCTTTTGTAATCTATAGAACTGCCACGGCGGTTGTTGTAAAGCATTAGCGGTTGCTTACTTTTCACGATATTTTTGATACTTAATTTCATCATCCCACTACTGTCTAACGTCATACGGTACTATAAAGAATTGAAGCAAATCCCTATACAACTTTCAGTGCACACACAACGATCATCCCGTCAGAACCATATTAATATGTTTGAAAAGGTGCCTGCGCCTCGAGCAATGCGTGGGCGACGAGCACAATGCTACTTTCATTTCATCATTGACTCACGCTCTCGATTATAACCCCGTCTTCGAAAAAAAGAAAATTTATGCTTGCATTATTCGTCACGCCAAGTAAAAGTACAAAGAAAATATAAATAATGATAATGCTATTGATAATGAAATACTGATGAGATTATTTATCTGTACAAAGCCGTTTCTGAGAATTGATAGCGAGGCAATAACCGCATTATGGTGGTTTTTCCTCGCTTTGACCGGTCGCTGTCCTTACGCAAACATGGACATGCATGAGCATTACACTCGTAACTGACAGCAACCTCAGCTTTGGCGCATTCCTCGTATTGAGGTGGTGATTCTGTTAATATAGGTGCTAACCGGCAGCAAAGGATTTCAAATGGACTTTCTAATAGAGCCTCATGCATAATGCCTTCCTTTTCCACTTTCACTGTAAGCTTGGCCCAATGAGTAATGACAATGTCTTGACTTCTGACCGTAGGCTTTAATACAAATTGGCAGGTGGGAATAGGAAAGACAAAGCGACCCTGGAGGGGAGTGGATAGGTTCCAGTCCAGATCTTTGAGGTTCATGTATTGGCCTTCTGTAAACGGTTTGTCGGCGTTGACATGATGATATGCCCATTTCAGCACGGCAATGCTGTGGTCTGTCTGTTGTACTCCCTCTTCTTGAACCCGGACAAGCCTTTTTTCCGTGACATTGAATAAAACAGACTTTATCTTGATTGGGTGCTGAGGATCTTGTGCTGTAATATTGAGATCTATACCCAAGTGATCGCCTAAAATGGCAGCTGGACAGTCAAATGCGAAATCACATTCCACGCCTTCTATTTTTCGATGGGCTGAAACATATCGCATGTCCAGTGGACTAAGTTCTGGATATCGAATCAAAAACATTGGAACACTGGTGGTTATGCTATTGAATAGAGCTCCAGTTCGACGTAATTTAGCCGTGATCTTATAGGATATGGTTCCATTGTTGAGCTCGATTGTAGGCGGTAGTGTATTGGGAATTGGAAATTCAAATGGAAGATGATATCGACCAGCTTCCAGCTTCGGAAGATTGGCTGGTGGTGGAACGGATAATTGAACAGAATGCAATTGTCTCGTATGAGTCAAATCACCTCGTCGACCTACTCCTGAACAGATTAATCAATAAACACTAAAAGTAGCTTGATCAGATTACTGAAAACTTTAAAAGTACCTTGCGGCCAGAGAGTGAGGCAAGTGCCAGAAAACTCGACTTCAATGGGACCACAGATTGTAATGGGTTTTTCCAGATCCAAAATGATGTTTCCCCAGACCATGTAGGTTTCGATCTTAGGTTTGATGTAGACTTCGTAGGAATCCATCTGTATTTGAAGCTGGATACCATGATGGACCAATTTGTTCATGGTGATACGAATAGATAGTTTAATGGGCTGCCACTAGGGATTTAGAAATATTGCATAATAAAAAGAGGGAGGTATGTCCACAACTACAATGTTCCAGTACGCGCTTTTATGGAGATGAAGAAAATTTTGATGAATAATCTTTCATCTTGCTACGCAGAAAAACCCGTCGCAAAAACCGTCCATAGCTTCCAGGTCACACAAACAGAAGTATCATTCATTCCACATGCCTTTAAATAACTCCATTAAGCTTTTGTGCTGAAGATGAGAAGTATCCGCTTCAATTCGATGCATGATTCATGGACTTGTCATCTCACTAAATCGTGCATCACATTGATCTCCTTTGACCGGAGCCCGCTTTGACCCTGTCATGAAAGTGGGCTGCAGACGCTGCTATCTCTTATCGCAATGATACTCTTTTTGGCACGATGAAGATCCACATCTGATATACCCGATCTTGGAGCCATTGATAAAGTCTCTTCTATTCGTAATGGAGAGTCACCGTGATACTGGGTACAGCTTTGTCACTTTAATACTCACAGCTCCGAAAGAGCGTTTACCCCCAGCCCAGATGGCGCTCGTTCTCACCTTATGAGTCACAGAAGATCAAATGACATGGTGTATACCGGCACTTCGGCGTATCCTCACTCCATTGAATGGGCAGTGGTAGCTACTCCAGATGCAGTAGTAGTTTTCCTGGCAAGAAGATATGTCCATATGTTCATATCTACGTCAAGACTGCAGGATTAATTGGCCAAGTTTCCGTTAAGCAACTGCGCCACGCACGAGCCGGGTTTTCTCTAGGGCCGTCGTTGTTCGGTATATTACATTGTACCCCGTCACCTTGTATTACGTTCCGAGCATCTGTAACAAATAAATATACCATTGCAATCAACATCTGAGTCAGAAACATCCACCCTTTGCTATGACAGCAGTACCCACATCTCATGGACAAAACAACCCACACCCGTAAAACGATGGCAAAGGCATTGAGAGGGGCTTTTACAAAACTCTAAATTCTGCGATAATTTTTATTACTCTTCAGGTCAATTTGTAAGGGTTGATGTTTTTTTACACATGAGTTATTTGGACTTTTCAGCGGCATTCCTGTTGTTGAAAGGACCATTTAATTACGGTAAGCAAGTCACAAATGTGTACAGGGTTCCTAACTTACTTGTTAGCGTTGACATTAAGCAACAAGGTGTCGGAATCCAACATGACTCTGTTGCCGCTTCTAGCAATGACTTGAGAGATTTCACGAGCAGTGTCAATTCTCTTCAAATCCAAGAAACCAGGCTTGTTCTTGATAGCTTCACCAATGAGTTCTGCACTCTTGGCTTCACCCTGAGCGCGGACAATGATGGATTGCTTCTCTTGTCTAGCCTTGTCAACGACGAAAGCAGCTCTCTGTGCATCCTGCTGAGCAATTTGCTTAGCTTCGACAGCACCTTCGAAACCGGGACTACGAAGGGATTGGAAGGGTTACTAAGAGTTGCGAAGGTGTAGAATAATGATTGGCGCATCAATGCTTACCTGAAGCCAACATGGGTAATGGAAACATCATCGAGGACAATGTTGAAACGGAGAGCGCGGCGAACAAGGTTCTCACGGACAAGGCGAGACACTCGCTCACGCTGAGTGATAAGTTGAGAGGCGTTGAATTGAGCAACAACTGACTTGAGAACTTCATTGACGATAGAAGGAAGGACACGCTCGTCATAGTCCTGTCCAAGAGTACGGTAGACAGTAGCAAGCTGGTCTACTCGAGGCTTGGAAAGCACACGGCAAGTAATGTTGACCATTTGAAGATCTACATTGTGTGATTGTGTAAGAAATACTAAGGCAATATAATTGTTATAACGAACTTATGATTACTTACCCTTGGTACCAGTCAAAGAAGCAACATTGCGAGGTTTGGCTCGGACATCGTAGATAATGGGAGTTTCGAACCAGGGAACGACGAAATGAGTTCCTTCATTGTAAATCTTGTTTTGGACGCCAAAAAGACGAGTGTACTTGATAGCACGGTGACCACCATCAACTGTAGTGGAGAGTGTTTAGTGATCGCTTTTTTTTTTTTTCTCCAGGATAAAAAAAGGCGCAGCCATAATTACCGTTGAAAAGAGAAGCATTGATGCCATAACCGAGAGCACCGAGGGTAATGATAGCACCTGCTGCTCCTCCAATTCCCTTTCCGGAACCCTTGGGGAACATACCGCCAAGTCGTTGTGCCGCTTGCTTCGCCTGTTGAGCCATTGAATGATTACTAGCTTGACACAGTGAGTGCGTAACCAAAGGAAAAAATATAAATAAAGTCCACGTGACCTAGGCATTGTTTGTGACGTGTTTTTGTCAGCTTCCCACCCAGTTCTCAGGGGCTTTGAAGAGAGCATGAAGCGGACCAAAAGCATGATACTGCAAAGCAAAATTCATATAGACACTATCCCACAAGCAATAAAACTTACAATGAACTAACCTCGTATAGTGTACATTGTTCCATAATATAATCTTTTCCAATAATGGTTTTACTGTACGATAGGGTGTAAAGCGAAAATTTTGCTTTGCCGGTCCCTTTGGCTGATGCTGTTTGCTGTTTTGTATTGGTTGAGGCGATTGGCCAGCGATTGTATAGTCAGGTTCCAATGCACTCCTGACTCTTTCACCTTTTTTTTTTTTAAAAAAAATAAAAACTTATACTAGCTGCATTGCACTATAATTTGCATATCATTCTTAAAAGTTGCAAGTTGAAACCGTATTAGTTGCCCATTAGTTTCGAATATCTGATATATTCTTCGATTGTCTTCGACTGGCATCGTTGATATGCTTTAAATAACTGCGATGAAAGTATAGTCGGTAGTAAGCCATCACGTCATGGAGGCCAAATCTCAGTAGCAGTAGTAGTACACAATGCGATTGCTTATGCGTGAGGACTATCAATTGTTTTGTTACAGAAGGCCATAGATGCAGCCATATTTCCATGATGAAATTCTTCAAATGTTCTAGAAGAAATTGTGCACTTTTTTTGGACCATAGCGACAATTTTCATCCCACAAATCTCCAGATAGCTTGCATTTATGATAGAGATCGAACATAAAAATTGTATGAAAAAACTGTAGTTTCGTGCTCTGCCAAGAGTCTCTCTTTGGTTTTATTTCAAGATGAATACCACTTTGTCGTCGGTTGCCAAGTAAAATGGGAAGCATGGAAAAAGGGTTGGACTTAGTCCAGTACCCCTCATCGAACATGAAGCCACTGGATGTCTGGCAAATATTATTACTTCAAAGTAGTACAACAGTTAGCACAGAGAAGCGTCACCCGCTAGTTAGCATGAGCTCAGTATGGGCAGCCATATGGAAAACCCATTGGTTTTGCACAATGGAGCAACAACCATGGTCTTTGCAGATGTGCTTACAAACCATTAGATCCAAAGATTTTTTGTCAAAAACATAGTGAAAGACTCTCATAACGTTTCGACAGTATATTTTGTTCCCTAAGTACCAATAAATTCCTTGACTACAAGAAAAAAAAAATGACTTTGGTGTGACTAGCTTTCGTCACAAGGAAGCGAGGATGTGGTTTTTGAAAAAATCGATCGAATTCTCAAAAATCCCATCATTTTTTTTATCCTGAAATTATATGTCATATTTATCACCTCACTAGAACCCCAATGTCAGAATCAAAAATATCACTGGCAGTCAACATGAACGACAAATCAAGGAAAACTTTAAGAAGTTTAGCACCTGATCCTACTCCATTGCAGCACAAGAAAGATTTGAGTGCGTCGCCCCATAATGCTCAACCAGATTCATCTAGTGGGGCAACTTCTTCATATTCTTCCGCTTCCTCGTCGTCTGCATCCTCCGAAAGCTCGACCTATACACAGTCGGACATAAAATCTGATGGTGATAAACTAGGCATGTCTTCTGCTATGATAGATCACAGAGTGGGCTCTAAACCGCCCGATATAGCCGCGTACTTGATCAATCGACTTCCACAAGATCTTCTGATAGAGATCTTTTCATGGCACCAGTATCCTCAAATATTGCGTCTAGTCAACAGGGCATTCCATAGAGTATCACAGTTCACATCCACCAAGGCCCTATGGCTTTTACGACATTATCCTTACTACAAGGTTTTGGAGAAATCCATGCGGTGGATCTTCTTCGATGTTGCCGTTGCAAAAACAATGTTTTCCTTGAATCCTGACATATTCTGCTCTCGGTTTTACGTTCGAAAGGCGATCCTCAAGCTGGATAAAGAAAAATATCGCTTCAAATCAAGTAAAAAGGTGTTACAGCATTTTGTTTTGCTCACAGGCAAGCAATACTTCGGCTTAGATCCGGAGGACGATTCAGAATTTCCACTACAAAAAGCAACTGGAGATGACAGGGCTATGACTGAAGCCATACGAAGTCGACAATGGACTGTTGTAGAACACATTGGGTCAGTCAACGGCTACGGATTTTGGGTTCATACACCGTTTGCTCGCCAAAATTTGAACAGCATGTTGCTGGACGCCAGAAATATAGCCCAGTCTATTGAAGTACCACAACCACCGATGGATTTCACTAGCAACGCACAGGATAACTCATTCTCGGATTCAGCCTCACATACTCCGACTAACGACTCGCCAGATGCTTCCTCCTCTCAGGACAGTAAACGCAACATAGCGCGGCACAATGTTCGCAAAACTACCATCTTACCTCAAAGCTTTTTGCGTGCTTTGCGAACATGCCTAAGAACAATGTGCTCGTCCTATAGCCCGCACTATTCACGCCAAACATCACCTTACAGCGACAAGTATCTTGTAAAGCTTGCTCTACAAACAGAGCTCATATCAGTATATGGTCTAGTCATCGAAAAGCTTGGCCCATATCTTTCTACCAAGGACAAGGAAAATATTGTTGACAGTATGAGCTTTGAAGGTGTGACTACAGACGAAACGTTTATCCGAATCATCCGCGACTACAAGTTTCCAATACAATATGGAAAATGGAATGAAAAACCATTATTTGCTCTCGCCTGGGTAAGTCACCTACTCGTTTATAAGTGGCGGTTTATTTGATATGCCGTAGTGTAAGTCTCTCTTGACTCAAATTAAAATAACATTTTTTATAGCACAATATGAGCCATCGGATACATCTTCTTCTTGAACTTGGCTTTGAACCATGCTACGTCCTTCCATCATCTGATGAGAACAATTTTATGCATGATCTGCTATGTGCAGAGAACACATCTTTGGAGTTATATTTTATGCTCCTGGACGCTGGTATTCCGCTAGAGCTTTCGACATTGAAGAAAATCGTTCAAAGCACTGTCTTTGAGGGCATCCTATTGGGTTGGATCATCAAAAACTGGAGTCACATTAACAGCAAAGTCGAATGGTCTGTGTTACAAGATCTTATGGTGGCGTATAGCTCGGATAGCCCCATACTAATTCAGCCGTCGGCGAAGCGACCTGCCCAGCATAGTCTAATTGATTGGAAGCGAAAAGAGGAAGAAGAAGGTCGCAATCAACAGCGAGAGTTCGAGATGGCTGTCCTCAGCGAACTTGAAGAAGGAAGATATAACGAAGAAAATGGATATGCCGATGATGAAGGTGCCGGCTTTAGCAGTCCCGGCGGTGATGAAGTCAGCAGAGAAGACGAAGATGAAGGGGTCGATGTGGATGATGACGCTGAGGCTGAAGCTGAACCATTATCAAGCGATGACGAACATGAACAAGCAGCTGATTGGAGAAACATGCCACTTGAAGGTCTCCAATACATCCGGTGAAAGAGGACACCAACTATCCGGTAGCTTCACACATTTTCGGCTAGAAAAGATGCTGAAAAAAAATACCAAATCTATACCTCTCTATTTTGTAAATAAACAATTAAACAATGCAACATTTTTGATATAAAGCTACAAAGTCATTAGTTCCAAACATATAACAGCGCCCTCAACATCATAGAGGACTGTGCAGCGAATAATCTTAAAGTATGAAGAAAAAAGCAACTATATGATCATTTGTGGCAGGATAAAGAGCAATATGCGAACATCGACAGCTCTGGATGTCTCTCAGACAGAATGACCTCCAAAGCTTGGAACCTCACTGTGTTCAGTAGATGACCGGGCATTTCGAGCATAGAGAACTTTCAAGCATCCAAGCCGTTGTAATATTTCTCTCGTACGTTGTCAAGTTCCAGCTTATTAAAAATATTGCGTTCCAAAATGCTGGGGAAGAAATTGAAATATTGTTCCCTGGCATGGCCAAAGGTGGATTTTTACGTCGGTGGGTCAATTGATCAGAGTCTATATCAATTTACAATACAAGTCGCGGGGTAAGGGCTCGATGTGGCGTTTGCTCTACGATTCGATTTCTCAATACCCTCTTACCCAAGCCTCAATCACGTATAACATATCGATCAAAGTTACACCACATGTATGGAGATGGAAGGAAGTCCAACTAGATTTCGTTACTGAATACTTATTCCATCGGCAGACATGGCCAGTAACACCAGATCTGGTTTAACCTAACTGAATTTACAGCAACTTTTTGCTGTTCGCTAATGAGAGCAAGCAATAGAACAAATGACCCCAAAGCCAACATATTTTGAGAATAATGAGAATGTGTTGTACCATAATATACGCCGCCCTCAAAATCAACTTCTCGCTCAATTACTGCAACTACAAACGCTTCATTTGAACCAATTTGGGAAGCTTCCAAGTCCTCACTCTTAGACAATCACCATATTTAGTATTGTCTACCCATCATGTCATCCAAGCAACCGCTGTTTAAGCCAGCATAGATGTGTTCGATTAGAATAATTGCTATGACAGAAGATGCTCATAAAACAATTGGTGAAAATAAATGTACATTCGCCACACAGCTATCTCTGCCTTACCTAATTTGCGAATTTACAGTCGTTCATATTGAAATTGTACGTATCAGAGCCAAACATATGGAGCCTACCTACCTCGAAACCTAACTCTTTTCCTCCTTGTTATTCTAAGTAAGGATACTGATACTGACAGTTATTGAATACGTCAAGGAATTAGCTTTCGTCCTAAGTATTCACCTTCAGCCTGCTGTATCTTCCAGTTCGCTCATGATATGCTTAACTAACCAGACATTGAAGAAGATGCAACTAAATTCCTTAGATGGTGTGCTATGATGCGTTGGAATTTATTCACCCAATGAAACCAAAGCGAAACAGTTTTTTATACCTCATGCTTGATTTCGAAAAGCAAATTACATAGCAGAGCATGCTCTACTACCATTAATGATTTTTGTTTATCCTGACAACTAATTTAAGCGAGCATCATGGCTACGAACAAAGATGTAACTCCGAGTTCGACGATGGTAAATAATGCTGTTTGGGAACCCGAGCTGGCAGCACCAATACTATCACCTTTGCCTAGTTTTCCAACACCTTGTATAGTGGATGTGGGGTTGGCGACAGCAGATTTGCATAAATAGGAATTTCCCTTGACGACCGTGGTTCGTACTTTGTTCACTCCGTCGCAAGAAAATTGCTTGCTGGAAGTTTGCAGATTCATTCCTCCACGTACCTGTGTTCTTGGCGTTAATAATCATCGTATTTCAATGAATGTACATGCTACCCATCTGTAAATACTCACATCTGTAAGAGAAGGTAATTGAAGATCGTCATACCCTCCAGTGATATCAACGGTTCCATCAACCTCGTTTAGTTTTGGGAAGGAATCAATAATAGTCAGGTGTGGGTTGTCTCCCACGCTCAAAGCACCTCCAACAAAGGTTAACTCTTGCATCCCAAGTTTGCTCAAATTATTACTGCTACCAATGGTGATCGTCTTCGCAACGGTCTTGAGCTTAGGAATATCGAGACTACTGAAGGTGTTCGAGATGAACGTCAAGTCACCATCAATCTTATTGAGGTTGGATAGCAAAATGTTTTCGATATTTCGGAAATCAGCAGACTTCAAGGTTTGGAGATTGCTGAGCTATAATTGGAGTGATTAAAACGTGTATGATAGATGTGAGAATTCTAATGAGCATCCGTATACATACGTCAACGTTGAATCCTGGAGCGTTCGCAGCAATTCTGACAGAGTCATTTATATCAGTAATGCTGCTCAAGTTGACATTCTTTAAATAATGATTGTTGTCGACGATCAAAGTTTGGACCTTTGCAACATTGATACCTCGGACTTCGGTTGCGGTGGTATCAGAAACGGTGATTGCATTTGCTTGAGATAGGCCGGCAGAGAACTCCAAGGTAGTTAAGGCGGGTGCGGTAGAAAGAACAAAGTTACCGACCGCAATGAGTTTAGGCATGGAAATGGCATGGAGGTCCCGAACACTTTCAAACTTCAGCCCTCCTGACACTACTTTTAGGTCAGGCAAAGAAACCTTAGTGACAGAGTTGATGTCGGTGAAAAGCATTTCACCGCGAACTTCCTGAAGACCAGTAAAGTCCAATTCTTCTATAGGAACCTGGGAGACTGTGATTTTTCCTGCGAATACCTGGCATGTACCAAGGGCTTTGATATCGGCTTGGCTTTTGATCACAACATCGGTGCTACAATCCAAGGCTACATATTTCAAAATATCAATAGGGTTACTCAAATGTTACATAGAGATTCTTGTCTAGCGTGACGCTAAATACCTGTTGCGAAACTAACCAACGCAGCAAGTGTAATGCATTTGATGATGGCTTTCATTTTAGAGGTAATCTTGTAAAGAAGCGTTTGTATATGCTGTCACTAGTTTTGGAAAATGCTTAACCATCTTTGCGTCAAATATGCACTGCCAATTTATATTTTCTTGAATCATTAATTTTTTTTTTCATCTAACATACTTGACTTGACTATCCCCCAGGTGATATTACAATTCAATGTTAAATGGGGAAATTTCTTGCTGGAAATTTCTGCCCGTTAGACAACAAACTGGTTTTATTGGCAGCTATGAAATTTCCTTACTGGCTATAGCTATGGCTATAATCGAGTAGTTACAATTTATTGAGAGCTTCTTCCAGTCTCTTTACGCCACTGTCATTTGGGACGCGAATACCTTTTTGCACAGCTTGTCTGGCATCGATACGCTCAACCCATTCCTTAACACGAGGAAATTCCTTCAAGTTAATACCAAGGTATGGAGAGCATTTGACCCAGCAATAGTTGGCAATATCAGCAATACTGTATTGGTTGTTGGCAAGGTATTCTTGGCCATCAAGGGCGATCTCCAAAACTCCATACAAGCGCTTAGTTTCGTCAAGATATCTCTTTTGAGCATATGGTATCTTTTCAGGGGCATATACGTTGAAATGATTTGCTTGGCCCTATGACAATTTTGATTACACCATTAGTTCCTGCGCGTCTAAAATTCCATATATGACTGCTGACAAATTGCAGAACATACCTGCATGGGTCCTACACCGCCCATTTGAAACATAAGGAACTGAATAACCCTTGAACGAGCAAGCGGCTCTTGAGGCAATAAGCGATGCTGGCTATCATAATTGTCACAGACATATTCCATAATGGCACCACTTTCGAAGACTGCAAAGTCATTCTTGGAATGATCGACGATAGCCTGCGCGATTTTTCTGTCAGTAATGCAAGTCTAGCACCAGATACACAGTAAAGCATTAATAGATGCTCACAGGTATTCTTCCATTAGGATTTATCTTGATGAACCATGGCTCCTTCTGAGTGTTTTTCATGATATCAATAGACTCCAAGTTGTACGGAATACCAAGTTCTTCCAAGGTTACGGAAGCCTTCCAACCATTGGGAGTACCACTAAATCATATTTCGTTGAGTATCAATATAGCTACCGTCGTTGATATAGATAACTTACGCAGTATACAGAGTGATAGGATGTTTTTGTGCCATTTTTTGAAAGACGTATCGAAGCATGGCGTGAGCTGACGCAGCATGTTACAAATTGAAGGCGTAATTGTGACCGCTTTGTTGAAAGTGGGACAGTCACGCCATCGTCAAATGGGCCCAAAGGCGGGTTAGGGGCCAGGAACGTACCACTTGTGGAACGTTGTGGAGAGAAGATTTGTCATCAGAAGATGGAAGATAGGAAAAGCAAGTACAATGAAGAAGGGATATACTTAAAATTGTCAATCTATAAAGACGTCGTTATCGTATATGGCAAATTGAAAGCGAAAGATCGAAGTTAACAGGAAAAAATCTGCATGATGCTATCACACCAGAGCGAAAATTAAGGCGCTATAACAATGAGATCACCGAAGAGACCCTCCAACTATAGTCTTTCTCAAAAGAATTGGCGCAGATCCTCTGATTTGTATACGCAAACTTTAGCTATATTTTGCCTAGGTAGCCTTAAATGCGAATTCAGGTTTTCATAGAAAATAGAATATACGGACTATGAGCCCTTACATAGTGAGCATGTAACATGGAAAACAGTAATATCGCATTTATTGAAGGCGAAAACATGATCTTGTGTGAAGCTGATAACTCTACCTCTACAGAGTCCACCATGAAAAATGAGGAGACTATGATATAAAAACCAAGTCAACCGATGGATATCGAGGAGAAAGGCGGAAACGACGATACCATTCTGTTACCGTTGCGAGCCCTGATGGATGTTGATATTTTTATTTTTTTTTGTAGTCTGATGGATGTTGATATGGTGGGACCGGACGCCTCGCTATCCACAGGAACCATTGGATTCCATCTTGTCCTCATATCTTTCTCTATTTCAAATTATAGAATCCAATTAAAAGTACTTAGATATAGAAGCAGACATAAAATTAATTGATCGGTACTGATTGGTACTGATAAATATTGGCATGCTTTTTGATCGTAAGGCAAGAGGCTCAAGAAAATCTCTTCTCATAATATCTCGAGCACATTTGAGGAGGCAACTAGATAGCTTAACCGTCCATCGACGCTATTATTTGAAGCCATTAAGTCATACGTTGAGACGAATCCAGTACACGAAAGTGTATGTAAGCAGTTTCTTTCGAACCCCTTTTTTTTCTCGAAACCCTCAAATCGAAAAGGGGGTTTGGCGGGCGTTTATTTTCAATCACTCGGTATTTATATTCAATCACTGGGCATCACTCTCAGCATTCACCTAAAAGTCTTTACAAAATGCCACGACAACAAACCATTAAAACTGGATTGATAGCAATACTACGTCCAGAATTTAAACACCTTGTGCCTGTTATTAGGGAAATAGCCATTGCTGCATCATTCGTACGGCGGCAGGCCAGTTTGCTGATAAACGCACATTTAAACAAAGGAAACACTGCTCTACCTACGGAAACCGAAAAGCTACAGTCCTATTTCACATTTGCTCAAGCGTTGTTCATGAATAACTTCCGTCCCACGGTGCTGACACCAGAAAAAGAGGCTTTACAACAAACGTATAACGATGTTTTCAATAGCTACTTTTCTGGTATAAACGGCATTTCCAAACCTTCAGTCCTGTCCGCACAAATACGGGCATATAATGCTAGAATGATGATTGCGAACCTTAAGGCTCATCTCTTTACGCACTTTTTAAAGTTCCAATTTCATATCTTGAAAAGTGAAATCGACCCATACATCCCAGAAGAGGAAGCCGAAGGCTCTGATAGGAAGAAATCGTCAACAAAATGGCCATGTACATCTCACGTCAAATAAATGAGCTCGTATTTGTCGCAAACAGAGACAATGTCGACCCATCATCACCAAGTAGTAGCACGGATAATTCACACCCGGAAGAACCATTTGAAAACACTGCGGCCTTTGAGGATAAAGAAATTGATAATGACTCGGATTCTGATGATTCCGATAATGAATCTGTTGAAATCCGTACATCAAGAAGTGAACGATTAGTGAATATCTACATTCCTGCTGACGATTTGCAAGATCTTATAATGGCACATCGCCGAGCTATGGGCATTCTTCTTCAAGAAAACCGGGAAGCTGATCACAGGTATCGAAGGCTGACAAGGACACTGTTGAAAGAGCGAAAACTACTGTCTTTGATATTGTCATACTACAAGTTCTTGCGCATCATCCGCTCAAACTGTGACGCTCGTAGGTTCCAGCTCTTTCCGGAATACACAATGACAACAAAATATTTTCGTTTGGATGAGAGGATTCTTGGTGAGCTGAAAAGGTATACAATGGTGACTGAAAACAAATGGCCCGTAGGATGTCAACGCCAACCACGTCACACTGAAGAGGAAAGTGCAGAAACCTCATCATCAACGTCGATATGGCATCAAATCTTTGATCTGGATCGACTTAGTAAGAAGTAAGTCATGATCACAACCGTAAGAAAACAGCCGTAAAGCACTAATGACATGGCTTTAAAAAAAAACTCAGAGCGGCGACTCATCATATAGTATAAACACAGATGGTTTTGGCTGTAGTGTTTCGTTCAAACCTCAGCCAAATGAATCAGCAAGCCAAATCTACCTAGCAGATCAACAGAGGTTTGTTTTATGGAGAAAATTGAACATTATAGCTGATGTTGATGTACTCACTGACATCAATACATATACCAACAACAGGAGCTTATAGACCTGAGCAGCTACAGTAAAGGAATGTTTAAGCTTCTGAAATTGGACTCTCAGTCCGTACAAGCTGAGCTCCAAAGTGCTGATCTCATCGGGGTTGATCCTGGCCTGAAGTCCTTGATTACTGCTGTCAGATCCGAGAATCTATACGATAAAATGCAGATAACCAAAGGTATGTCAGCACGCATACTTTGATATGATTGAAAATTGATAATTTAATGACAACATAACTCTATTTAATCAGGATACTGGGTTAACGCACGCCTATCACAAGCATTTTCCAAAAAAGAATCTCGTCTGCAGCAAAGGCTTGTGAAAGAGGCAACTGACCAGCTATCATTGTTGAGAAGAGATAGCTACGATCAGTGGGCTGCCTATTTGGCTGTCTATTACCGAAATTCAACATCTTGCATGCATGGTCAAAGCTGGGGTTTTACCGAAGATGGAGAAGGACGAGAGAAATTGCAACAGAGAGAGCCTACGCCACAATGAAAAATACTCTGCTCTGCAATTCATCGGTGTTGTCACCGCAGAAACCAATGCTGCTGCTGGTCCTCCGTCCAACCGCATACCACTGCTACATCTATCGAACCCAAAAATTGTAGCATGGGGTACTGGATGCTTTGGCAACAGGAAGGGGTCGCCACCACTGCCCGTCAAGGGTTTGGCTAAATACGTAGCACGATTTGCCAAAGTAATCAAAGTTGACGAATTCCGGACGAGTATCACCTGCTTATGTGATGCTAGGACTGTCGACTACAAAACTTGTGTCTCGGTATGTGACCACCTCGCAAAATTAAAGTACGATGATCGAGTGCCCGGCAAGCGGTGGAAGAAGAGGAGGAAGTGGTGTTGTGAGAGAAACGATGACGGCATCATATCATTCCTCCACCCATTTAATGAATGCCAAGGTCGTGTCATAAAGAACGATTGCGCTGTAATTCGACACAGAAGTTGCACAACTTGCCGGGCCAATTACAATGCTGGTACATTGATTAATCCTCGGCTACCATGGACCTACACTTTGGATGCTGTAGCCACTCGTCGTCATGATCACCAGGCCGTTTGGCACAAGAAGTTCTTGCCGCCATAAATATGAGTAGGATCGTGAAGTCGTATGCTCTCACCGGTGAAAACCCTACCTGGAATAAGAGGTAGTATCATGAGAAGGGTGCTACGAAAGCCCCACGCGCTTAAAGCGATACTTGAAAGAGGTGAGTTTGTGTCTTTTTTCACAAGAAGCAAACAATGTAAAAAGTATCTAACGCAATATCCAACGCAAAATGATCTTCTATCTAACGCAGATTATCATTCCATCTTCCGTAAATTTGTAATCAATAAACAGTATTCATGCCTTATGAATAATTTTGGTTGTCTTTCAGAGATTTGCGACTTCATTTTTTTATTTGCTCTTCATATCGAGATGCGAAATCCGGTCGTTTTCGAGAGATAATGTTTATTAAACATCTTTTGTCATATTATGAAGCATATATTTGTGCTAGGCAGTAAAAATTATTTTCCTTTTTGTTGATTGCAAGTTCGTACGACAGATATGTAATTACGGTCGATAGGAAAGGTAGTTATCGTAGCTCAGTGTACATAATGCGCTCATCGGGAAGGAAGGTAGCTCTCCTTCTTCAAGTATCGCTTTTGTGCGCGTGGGGCTATCCCAGCACTCTTCTCGTTGTCAGGATCTTCTATTCCAAACAGGTTTTTACCCAGTGAGAGCATAGTGCAGGACACTCGTTCTCAATTCATTGCCGCAAGCACATCTTTGTGCCGTACAGCCTGGTGATCATGACAACGAGTGATTGCGGCGTCGAGAGTGTAGGTCGATGGCAACCAAAAATTTATCAGTATACCAGCGGTGTATTTGGCGCAGCAATTTGGGCAAACTATGCGTCGAATGACCGTGATAATATTCTTTTTTTTTTTATATTTTTTTTATAACATGGACTTATCTCTAATGACGTTTGAAAATTTGGAGCATGCCAAGTCAAGGTAGTCATCGCATTCTTACCAGATGGGTTATTTCTGGATCTTGAGGGTGTTATACTGTCTCCTGTTGTTTTTTAAGCTTTCTTTTGTATTCAGTGGGTTGCTTTATTTCTTGAAATCTGTTGACTGATGTATTGATTGTTATTTATACTAAATGCTATATTGTAATAAAGCTCTTCTTTTTTTTTGTTTTATATCCTAGAGATATCGAGCTGACGATTTTGAAGCTTCATGAATTTTAGGTCCTGCCATGGAGCTAGTAGTAGCCTATCCAAAGCTTCATTTGCGTCCGTTTTGGGTCAAAAATGATCTGGAAGGGAAACACCACTTCGAAGTCTGCACTTGGACGTTCATCACGGAATACTTCCTTGTATTAGCATTGGTAACATCTCCACCTTTTCCATACGGAAACCTCAATTTTGCCTCGACTTGTTACGCTTCGTACCATTGGTATCCATCCATTGCATGCCTTCTTTTCCTTCGGTTGGAGGAAACGGTCATCAGTGGGCTGGATGATTGATTCGTACATATTGAAAGCAGTTTGGTCCTATCATTCTCTCTGTTGTTTGATGCAATTCCAGTGAGTTATCCAAATGGCGAGCATGACTCGTCCCATTTCCTTCAAAAATGTTCATCTTGCAGCTTAATCTTTTTTTTTTTTTTTTTTGTATTCAGTTTTGCAGCTTAATCTGTTGTAAGAAAATCAACTCCCAAATTTTGTCTTTCTTTTTTTCTTTTTTAGGCGAAGCCAAGCTTAAGACTTTTATTTGTGGTAGTTTTTATGGATTTACTGAAGCTCTAGAAACGGAAGCTATTGGAACATATTATTCAGTAATATGTATACTTGGGTAAGTGATGATGAACGTTCTGAGACGTCCAGTCCACTATCTTTTTTTTCCGTTTTTGACTGTTTCATAAGTCCTATTGATGCCAACAGCAGCTCTCATCTCAACCGATGAGAGAGGGACTGCCAGCCCACTCCAGGTAATTTCAGACCAGGTAGGACTCTGGTCATGAGAGCCTGTATCCATAATGCTACGACGAGCGAGCTTTGAATACACGTGTATTAAATGTCGGTGTTTGTGTAGGTTTTGAACTATACTTTGGCTGCAGTGTTACAGTAAAACTTGAGATTAGGTTTTAAGTGATTCCTTTGAAGCTGTGTAGACTTTATTCGGTTTCGGCTTTCAGACTCAAAAAAAAAGTGATGAATAGCGGAAGAAGCATAGTCTTGATGGTATTGATCACTCTTGATGTGGGTAACCGTTAAGTGGGAACAATACTGTGTTCTGCATGTTTATCTTGGCGTTGCTGGCGGAATGGTACGTTTGCATGATGCTCAGTAGTGTGGACCATTCTCTTGAGGAAGAGAGCAGAACCAAGAGGTCATCCGCATAGGCCATCATTTTTATTGGCTTGGAGACCGGGAAGAAAGTAGAGTTACCCGATATTTTACAGTATAGCGTCAAGTTGTTGTATTTGTCGATATTCATGAATGTTGATAAATTACCCTTGGATAACGGGAAGAGAATTACCCGGATTTTAACGACTTGTTCTGTCTGTGCACTTCTTTATATGAGCCAGGAAAGCACGTCCGCAGGGTTATTAGCACCAACACGATACCTAATATCAAAATCATAGTCCTGGAGATCCATTACCCAACGCATCATCTTGTAGCTAGATGTCCATTTGATGGATACATGCACTTCTGTGGAGGAGAACAGATCTGATATGGATTGGACTATTACGATGGGGAAGCCCATTGCCAACATCACCTTTTTAAGGTAGGTTGGATGGACCCGATCGTACGCTTCTTCTTGGTCAAAAAGGACGCCAGTCTGAGTGCCTTCCGTGCCGGTTTTCCGAACATAAGCCATGAGGGTTTGTATGATCCAGCCGTTGTCAGCAATGGAGCGACCCGGTATAAAGCCAGTCTGGAATTGATTTATCAAGGGAGAAATTTCCAGTGCCATTCGAGGAGCAATGATTTTTGTGAACAACTTTGCACACTATTGATCAGAGGCAGTGGGTGCCAGTTAGAGAGATTTCTTGGGCCGCCTTTTTTGAATAATAGTATCAGCCGTGTTTGCATCCAGGAATCTAGAAATTTGAAAGGAAAGCTTCATACATCACGTCAGTCAGCAAGCTGGTGGTATACTTGTGATGAGGTATGTCCGCTTTCCAAAATGCTATCCAAGCTTCATTCATCACTTCCATCAACAATTCTGTGATAAACTTGTGTTTCATCAGGACATCAAAGGTATACTCTATGAACTCTATCATATGCCTTTTCTTGGTCCAAAAGGATAGCAACGTGAGGCTTTCTTGGTGCCACGGCCCGCAGATGTGTCATCAAGGTGTAATTTGCAGTAAGTGCAGGATGGATTTGCGTTTTCCCATTTGGCCTGAATGGTTGTCTGCCATTCAGGGATGAAAACGAAAGATTTGAGATCGATGTATGAGGATTCATCCGACTGGGTGGTGTCCAGGAGGATGAACCCATCTTCGTTATAAGATTGGTACTTGCCATGACCGACAGACTTCTTAAAAAGGGAGACGTTTTTTACTTTTCCGAAAACAGTCATGCTTCGGCTAAGGACTCTTACAATACCTTCTTCACTAGGGAGGAAAGGCATGTTCCTCAGCATGTTCGTGCAGTCCTCCGGAGTGCTTGATAAACTCCACCCCAACCGGTGTCGCTTGCGTCGACGAAGACAGTGTGCTCTGGTGTTTGGAATAGAATTGCTCGACCGTTCCATTTTTCTAGATTGCAAAGCCACCATTGGAGTTCTTGCACGCAGTCGTGAGTGAGAGTTATACGTTGGTCCCAATCGGCGCGGGCTTGGATATGTCTGTTCTTGAAAAACATCAGGTGTTGTGTGTGTGGGTTCGCTGGAAAGATTGCCAGCGTCGCTGCTTTGATCCTCATCGTCAAGCTGTGAACCAGGCGGGGGGGTCAAAGACGTCCGCGGAAGACCAGTTGCCCATGAATGTGACATCCTCAAGTGGGACTCCTCTTGCCAGGGACCGAACCGATGGGACCGGAGTGAAAGTACAAGATTTCTTGACAATATTCCGTAGCCATGTGGAAATGGTGGTAGTTTTCAAAGGCTTTGCGGCACTCTTAGAATTTACTAGCAGGTTGTCTTGGGATCGATTTTTGGCGAGAGGATGGTTCTTCGGGCCGTAAGTTTTGTCTTCATGCTTTGGGTCGTTTGGGCTCGGATTTGGTGACTGTTGACCGTGATTCCTTCTCTGCCGCTACCTTACGGTGGGCGGCGGCAACATGAGGGTCGAACATGATTTCAATGACGTTCCCTTTGGGACCTACTTGTCTATGACCACGGATGGCTGCTGGCTTGGATTTGTCAAAGATGGCCAGTAGGGCATCTTCCATGGTTTCTTGAGTGGCAGGGATGTGGGAGAGGTCAAAGACCACTGCTCCGGGATTGATGCTTCAACACAAATTTTCCTGTGCTGTCGTTGTTAGCGGGCTGTGAGGCGATTTGAACAGATTCTTAGTAACGGATAAGGCATATGTGCCGATGGTTGGGTTTCTAACGGGAGAGGTGTTTGCTGTCGGTAGCTGGGGTTGTCAGGCCCTCCAAGATGGGTCTGACTTATCGCATGTATACTTTTGGAAGTGCTCATGGAAGAAAGCTAACATGATTTCAGTAGCATTCCCTTGTGGGCCAATTGTCTGTGTCCACGGATGGCTGCTGGGGAGATTTTATCGAAGATTGCCAGTAAGGCATCTTCCATGGTTTCTTGAGTGGCAGGGATGTGGGAGAGGTCAAAGATAACTGCTCCGGGGTTGATGCTTCGAAACAATTTTCCTGTGTTGGTGAGGTGTTTGTTAGCGGGTTGTGGGGCGATTTAACAACATTTTTGGTAACAGATGAGGCATGTATGCCGATGGATTCCTAACGAGAGGGTGTTTGGTGTCGGTAACTGGCGTTGTCTGGTTTTCCAAGTAACTTTTTTGTTTGGGCCTGCGTCATGTATTATTTACTTTTTATTTAATGTGAAGTGGAGGTCACAAAAGTTTGTGACATAGACTATGCTAACTTATAGGGGTATGAAGATGCGAGGGCGATTGATATAGACAGTGTCATTAGACCACTCCTTTCCTCAGCCATTTTCTCTTTTCTCTTTTTATTTTTGCGTCGTCTTGTATTCTTTTTTTTTTTTTGTATGCGGTTTTATTGTAACAATTTCGTGACACTTGTTTTGGGTTAACATTAATTAAAAGGTACTAGACAAAATGTCCATAA